TAAGAGATATCTCCTAATAGTAGAGTTATTACTTAGATTAATTAGTAAAGATCTAGACTACCTAGCTATAAGAATACCCCCTCCTTAAGTACTCGTCTACCCCTCTACTATAACTCTAGATTAGAAGGCTTAACCTTTAATCCCCTAGATCCTATTCCTAGATTAATAGCTTAATAGCTTAAGTCTTTAATCCTAAGGAGATTATATAATCTCCTATCCTTTTAGTGGCTAGTGTGATAAGCCTTCGCCTTACCTCACTTAGCCCCACCTGCAGGTTTTATAGTATTCGTAACACTCTTATAGAGGAAGAGATAGGGAGGTTATAATAAAGTGGCTACTATATATAAAGGGGAGTCCCCCCCCCTATTAGCACCTTAGGCCACTAGGCTATCTAGCTAGACTATAGTCTAAGCTCTTATAGTCTTCTTTTTTTACTTAAGAAGGGTTTTATATTTTATATTAAGTTCTATAAGGCTTAAATAGATTCTATATATTATAGATCCTCTAATATATTATCTACTATTTAACTAATAGTATAATAACTAATAATTCTATTTACTTTATTCTTTATCCTTAAGTTATTTAATATAGAGTTAGTTATTAACTTTAATAATTTTATTAATAAATTTATTAAAAGTATTAAATTAATTATTTTTTATAATCTTATTCTTTATATTTTCTTATAAAGTATTATAAAGTAACTCTATTATACTATTATTATTCTATATAAAATAGTTTAAAATATACTTAAATTCCTTTATAAAGTATTAAATAAATCTAATCTACTTAAAGGCTTTAAGTTTATATATAATAGTATATATTTTATTTAAGTCTTTAAAAATAGTTTAAAGTAACTCTTTAAAGTATTTATATTATCTAAAGACTAATATACTTTTATCTTTAGGTTCTTTATTCTTAAAATAGTCCTTAAGAGTTAAGTTTTATTATTTTACTACTTTTCTTATAAGGAGGTTTTTAATATAGAGTATTTATACTATAGGATTTAAAATAATAGTATTTATATATAAATTAACTTTTATATAGATTAAGAAATTTTAAATATCCTTTTTAGTTCTATTAAATGAGTTAGGTTTTAAAAACTTTAATAGAGTAAAAGCTCTATTATTAGTATTCTTTATAGTCTAGATTTAAGTAGTAAATATATTAATTTACTATTTTATTTATACTATAGTATTACTTAGGTTAGTTATTATACTATTAGTAGTAGATATTATAAAGGTTAATTATTTATAATTTTAAAGGTAATTTACTAAATAGGGCTAATTAAAATATAATAGTTATTTAATTTTAATCTATAGTTAGTTTAGTTTTTTAAGAAAAGAGTTAGTTTAAGTATATAGAGTATAGATAAGTAGTTTATTATAATATAAGTTATATAAAGAGATATCTCCTAATAGTAGAGTTATTATTTAGATTAGTTAGTAGAGATTTAGTCTAGCTATTTACTAGAAATCCTTTTCTTTATATATTTATTCTATCCTCTACTATATTATTAAGATTACTAGATTATTTATTTATTTATTAATCTTTCTAATTATAGTAATTAATAAATAATCTATTAATTACTTTTTAGGTTATATAACCTTATATTCTATTCTAAGTACTAGTGTATCTAACTTAGTCTAACTTATTTAGCTCTACCTATATATTCTATATATTTATAACACCCCCCCCCTATTAAGTCTATACTTTAGGCTATTAGACTATTAATCTAACTAGACTATAGTTTAAGCTTTTATAATCTTAGTTTAATTTTAATCTATAATTAGTTTATTTTTTTTTAAAAAAGAGTTAGTTTAATTATATAAAGTACTAATAAGTAATTACTATAATATAAGTTATATAAAAATATATCTTTTAATAATAGAACTATTATTTAGATTAATTAATAGAGATTTAGTTTAACTATTTACTAGAAATCCCCTTCTTTATATACTTATTCTATTCTCTATTATATTATCTAAATAGCTTAAATATCTATTAATCTATTAATCTCTTAATTATAGTAGTTAATATATAATTTAATAATTATATTATAGATTAAGCTTTTTAGGGGTAGAGTAAATATATAGACTAGGTAGTCTCTACTCTAGAGAGTAGACTAAGCTTAACCCTATAAATAGGTAAGAAGCTATAGTAATCTATAGAGTGGCTAGCACTAACTAAGGATAAAGCACAATAGGAACAGCTCGCCTAGGCTTGTCCGACGGGGACCGTGTAGGATCGCTCGGGCCGAGCCAGGTCCAGGGGGCAGCGAAAAAAGAAAAAGGGGGCAGCACCGTAAGGGGCTTAGCCACAGAGAGGAAGCCCATTACGGCGGCCAGTTAAGGAGAAAAGAAGTCGAGTGTACTGAACGCAGCGGATGGGGGAGGCCGTAGTCTTTATACTCTAGAGGGTATGACGCGGTGGGGCACAGCTGCGAGCAGGGGTGCGTGGGATAAAGCGGCGTGGCGCGCGTTGCCTGTTTAGGAATGCCACTATTCTAGAGGTGGTAGTAGCGACTCTAAGATTACTTAAATAATAGATTAATAAGAAAGAAAGTCTTTTTATATTTTTTATTATAGTATAGTTTATTTTAAATTTTATTATATATTAATAGTTATAACTTTAATTTATATAGTCTATTTTATATAAAAAAAAGTATATAAAGTTATTATTATTAAAAATAATAAAATAGTTAAATAGTAAAATACTTATAATAGGGTTATTATTCTAACTATAATAAAGTAGGTTAGTACTTTAGTAATCTTTTTACTATAAATACTAATAAAATATACTATAGATCCTAAGTATCCTATCTTTTAAAAAACTCAAGATTAGAGTATAAAATGCGTTTTACCCCATTTCGGAAATCCCGGCTCGCTGGTACGGCGTGCATAGGTGTGTCGCTTCGTCTCTCCAGTCACACTCCCCTGGGGACGGTAACTGTCAACGTGACCATTCTTCCATGGGTGATTTGGGAATACTCTTGTGTTTCGACAATTGTTCTGCCTACCGTAGGGCCATCTGGAGGCTCAATCTTGTAAAAGTTGCGTCAAGTGACAGAGAACCTGCCGAGGTGAGCATTTTCATCCCTAGTCATGACCCAGGCGAAGACGTCGTGTTCGTCGCGTTCTAACGGGTACCAGAATTCATTGGCGCCCTAAAAGCAAAGCTATAGCTGGTCACGCTCTAGACGCACCTCTAATCTGAAAGTCTTAATGTTGATGCTGAACTGCCCTATGTATGACTCGAGTGGCAAATGAAGCGTACTGGGTGTGCGTTCCCTTTCGATATCGGCTTTCATTTTGCGCCATCCCGTGTTGGAGTTGCCGGCACTAAGCTTTGCGAGTTCGAGGTAGTTTGTGTCTTTTCGAGGTTGTCGAGAACGGCTTTAAGAAGCAACTGCCTAATCCAGTCCGAAACGTCATTGTTTGCGAGGCCCAAGGGAGCTGGCAGCTCGGTACGGGGCCACCCGAGAGCGTATGGGTTTTCGTTTCCAGAGGGTAGCTCGAACATGGGCGGCTATGTTGGCGTTTTTCTGGACCTTGTCGTCCCAGTGCTGGAACTCCGGTAGAATCTCGCGGATCGGCGTTGTCCACTCTAGCTTTCCTATGTCACTGATGACTGAGGAAAGTGCCCTCGGGCGCGTCAGGAGAGCGTCTTCCATGGTGGCTGGGTGGTTGGTGACACTGATGGTGGTCGTGGTGCTGCTGACCTTGAAGCGGAATGATGAGCGGAGAGTGTCCATTGTGGAACGCGTTGGCTTTGTTAGGGAATAAATTGCATAAAGTGGCTGCTGTTTGCATAAGAGAATATTTTCTCTTGCTTTTATAACTCCGATGTTGAATTCACATTTCTAAAGCTGGTGTTTGCTGTTGGTGGCTTGCTCAGAACAAGGCGGTGGCTGTTCCCCTCCTTCAGCCACCCATGCATGCCACCTCACCAAGTATACAACCATATACAGAGTTACTCATTTACTCTTAGAGTGTCTTTGGATGTGTGGAAGAAAAAAGTTCTTACGCTCAAAAACAAGGCTGCAGGCATTATGCACGAGGCAGGCAGCCGATAGCTTCCAACCCGGGATCCTACTGGCAAAAGTACCCTGTAGGTGCCTGTATTGTGATGTGATGGTGGCGAGAGCCGCCCACGACGTACACAGTGGTTCATCCTCCTCGATCATTTGACTTCTATTCTTGGGCCGCACTGCAGGTTGATGAGAATCAAATATTGAACGCTGCCTGCAAGCCACATTCCCTCCTATATCCCCGTACAAATCCTGAAGCAAGCTTGTGCGTATAAATCACGCTGGACGCCGCGCACACACTCGGGATTAACTCGTGCAAAGCAACGTCCCCCCATTTCTGAAATTGACAATCAAGCATTCAGCCATGCATAGCTTCCTTGCCGTATGGGCACTTGTTGCCTGCTCTCTCGTCCACGGCTACCCGGGTAAGGCCTCCCACGCCCGACTAGATTCGAGGTCTGGCTAATGATGAATGCCGCCGAGTACAGTGGATGAGCATTCTGCCGCCATGCGCAGGGAGGACAATGGCGAGACCCAGGGCTGGCCGGGCAGCACGAGCAAGCGGGATGATGTCGTGTCCCAGGGCTGGCCGGGCAGCACGAGCAAGCGCGACGACGTCTCGCCTCAGGGTTGGCCGGGAAGCACCAGCAAGCGGGATGAAGTCTCGCCCCGAGGCTGGCCGGGTAGCACGAGCAAGTAAAGCGCTCCACGGGCTGCAAAGAGACGAGAGAAAATCTCATTAAAGTGGTTAAGAATAGCTCATGTAAACCTAGGACCGTAAGGATTATTCGTAGGAATTGCACCTATGGACTCGATGATTACGTCTTGCAAATAATCAGCGGCATAATGGGCTCTATCACTGATGCATTGCGGCTTTCGCCTGCTGAAGCGCCCATTTGCACTCCCTACCTGCGCGCAACCCTGTTCCGGCCCGGCGCATACCAGTTACACAAGGCCGACCTCTTTCAATGACTTTATGTAGCCCGGATGGGGAACTTTTGTACTTCGGTCGCACCACTCACCCATCATCACAGGGATCACCGGCCCAGGCTGCGGGGAGCCGAGCCGGGGCCGTCAAGTACTTGTCTGCCAGTGGAGAAACGCCTACACCGAGCTACTCAATGTGGAAGTACGTGCATGCGACTAGTGAATGCGAGATCTAGAATGGTTGAATCCATCAGGTCATGTTGGCAGCGTAGGATGCGGTTGCATGATGGCGGCTACGGCCCAAGCCGCAACTCGGGGCCAGAGTGACCTACCGTGTTGCTACCACAGCTTGGTGAGGATGGTTGCAGATGCGTCTTTTTGTATCCGTAACATAACATCGTCCAATGTAGCTCGTCTTGCTGCTTTCCCCAGACCCGCCCATGTTGGCCGTTGCCAAGAACGAAGTTGCCCGTCACTTACTGCAGCAGAGAGATGAAGAGCAGCAGAATGCCCTCTTACCCTTTGTTCTTGTACCTTCCAGCACGGTCTATACCACACCGCTCGAAACACCGTGAGAAGCTTTGCATAGAAAATAAAATAAAATAAAAGACAGAAAAAACAACCACAAGAAGAAGCTCTATAAACCCTGGAGCAGCCCCCCCCCCCCCCCCCCCCTGACCATCGCTGCCCACCCCCAAACATGGCCGCATCGCCAGACAACTCGTTCGGCCCCAGGCTACCGGGCAAGTTTGACTTTACCCTCCTCTTCGAGCAGGCCATGCTTTCCATTGTCCCGGCAGCCGTCATCGTCCTGGCCGTGCCCTACTACGTGCGCCTCGCCCTGCGCGCCCCGGCGCTGGTCCGCCCGGGACGCCTGCTCTGGCTCAAGCTAGCCGCCGGCTCCGCGATGCTGGCCGTAGACACAGCGAGCTTGGTCCTGTGGGCGCAGCGAGGCCCGGCGCCCGTCCGTTACTCCGAGCTCTCGGTCCCGGCCGCCGCCATGTCTCTCGTGTCGTCGCTCTGTCTCCTCGTTGTACTTTACGTGGCGCACATATACTCGCTTCGTACCTCGGGCTTCTTGAGCGTACTTCTTACTGTCACCATGCTATTCGATGTGGTCATGACGAGGTCCTACTTTCGCAGGGCTGGACTCGGTGCCGTCGGTGCGCTGCAGATAGTAGTCATCGCAGCCAAGTTCTTCCTTGTCGTTTTTGAGGAATTCCCTAAACACGGCTCGTTCCGCTCCGAGTCCTTGCGTTGCTCTGCTTCCAAGGAAACTGTCGCCGGCTTCTGGAACCGTGCCGTGTTTGGCTGGCTCAACTCCCTCTTGATCTTTGGCTTCAGAAATTCGTGGAAGCTTGACAATCTGCCCCCCATTGATGAGAATCTGGAATCTTCCATTCGTCGATACGACCACTTCGTCCCAAAGTGGAATCGAGGTATGTTGCGCTCAATCGCCAATCAAGCCCTACGTCCACTCCGTGCAGCAGCTCATGCAGCTTAGTTAACAGAGCGTCTGGGTATGCCCTTCCAATGGCTCTTCTGTTCGCCACAGCGCGAGACGCTACCAAGATGATACTTCCGCGACTCCTGTTTGTCGGCGTCGCATTTTCTCAGCCCTTTCTGCTCTTCAGTATTGTCAATGCCGTAAACGGTGAGCTCGACACTCAGGTGACTCGCGCCCTTATCGCAGCCACGGCCTTGGTCTTCATCACGAAAACGGTGTGTTTTTTATTCGTTTTCTTTTTGGACTTTGCGTTGGGCACAGCCACTGACCAGAGAGACGCAGGTAACGCGCGCCATATATGAGCACCTGGTGTATCGCATCATGACGTCCACCAGAGGCATACTCGTCGTCGCCATTTACGACAAGATTCAGCGACTACCCAGTGAAGAGCTCAGCAAGTCGGTTGCTGTAACCTTGATGACATCTGGAACAACGGCCGTCGAGCAGATGCTCTCACTGTATTACGAGCTCTGGTCGTGCGCTCTTCAGGTCGCCCTGGGCATCTGGTCGCTGAACTTGTACGTTGGCCCGGCGTGCTATCTCATGCTCATTCCGGGGATAAGTACGTAAATGCCATGCTGAAAAGTGTGGAGGCTCTCTTTCGCTAATTACGGAATTGCCAAGTCTCCTTCGTCGCATCACACTACATCGGCCAGGCCATGGCAAAGGCACGTCTCGCCTGGAACTTGGAGATAGAGTCTCGAGTCGGAGCGACATCCAATGTTCTTGCGCAGATGAAAGGCATAAAGTCCATGGGTCTCTCGCAAATGATGACCGAGTACCTTCAAGAGTCACGACGCAAGGAAATCCGGGTCTCGTTGAAAGAGCGTAAGACGCGAGTTTGGCTGTTTGCTTTCTGTAAGTCTTTGAAGACAACATCCAAGTTTTCTGCGTCATCACAATTCTCACCGCACGTTAGCTGCGATAAGCAATACTTTGCCACCAATCCTTGTCGTTGCCGGTGCAATTTTCTGGACTCGCGAGTCAAAGCCCATGACCCTAGCAGAAGTCTTTACCGTCATCACCATCATCCTCGTCGCCGCGGAACCTTTTCGGACCCTACTCATGAGCATTGTGAGTTGGTCAGCGGGTTTCGCTGCAATGCATCGGATTCAAGAGTTTCTATGCCTGGAGGAAGTCCAAGACACGCGCCAGTTTCCAGACGCACTCACGGTCGCCGAGGCATGCGTCCCGGGAGAGAAACAATCGCCGCCACCACATATGGCCTCACGGTCGATGCAGTTTGCCGTCCAGTTTGACCGTGTTGCTGTCACATCTGTATCCAAGGGTCCGATACTCAAGGAGGTGAGTTTTTACATCCCATGGGGGAGTCTGGCAATGTTTTGGGGCCCAATCGCCAGCGGCAAATCGACTCTGCTGCGTTGCATTCTCGGCGAAACCAGGTTAGACTCGGGTGTCGTCGCCGTGGGAACAAGATCCATTGGCTACTGTAACCAAGGATCATGGATCCAAAACCGAACGCTGCGCGACAATGTGACGGGCGTACTCGAATATGTTGAGCCGTGGTATCGCGAGGTCATTGTTGCCTGCGGTCTTGACGTCGACATCGGCTCCATGGTCAACGGCGACCAGGTTATGACGGGAACAGGTGGTTGCAATCTTAGCGGCGGTCAAAAGCAACGAGTTGTAAGTTCAGATGCCTTTCTGGGTACCTGCACTTGTCTTGCTAACAGAACCCCGTCGAGTAGAGCTTGGCTCGCGCAGTGTATGAGCAAACGGATATCCTCGTCGTCGATGACGTATTCAGCGCGCTGGATCCTGAGACTGCCAAGCTTGTATTCAGCAACCTGTTTGGGCGCCAAGGTCTGGTGCGACGATGGAACTGCACCGTAGTCCTCACGACAAACCATTGTAAGTCCATCACCACCAACAATTGCACCTCTCACAGCCCAAGCGCTAACGTGCCGCTACATCAGTGGAGTTTTTGGATGACGCGGATGTAATTTTCCAGCTCCACAAGGGCGGTCGTGTTGAACAGCAGCAAGTCGAGCTTTCCGATGAATCGTCCGCTTCTGGTAGCATCGACGACAATGCCGGCGACTACTTCAGAAGACCAGAGGTATGTGCAAGGCAGCCGCTAGCCTATCGCAGAGATGCTAATAACCAATGAGTTTCTCGAGAATGGAAATGGTGAGATGAATGATAATGCTGAGCTGAGCGACAATGAAGACGGCTTGCCTGCCAATGCCGCACGGAACACGGAGCCACCATCTGTCAAGCCTGCGACAGATGACATTGAGCTGCAAAATGCGAGGGAGAAGAGAAAGTATGGGGACTGGTCTCTATATAGCTACTACTTGGGAGCATCTGGCTCCTTTCTAGCCATATTTTGGGTATGCTTCACTGCTCTTGCCTCCACCGTAGAGCAGTTCCCAAGTACGCACACACAACCCCCCCTCCTCTCTCAGGCAAGTGGACAATCTAACAAGATATTGACCAGTCATATTCATCAAGATTTGGTACGTTCGAAATGCTGCGAATACCTACTACTTTGCCGGTTATGTTGGTATTTCGGCTCTTAACATTGGCCTCGACGTCATGGTCGGCGGGTAAGAATAACCCACACCTGTGCACACATTCGATCCATCTGATCTGACCCGTGAAAGGTTTTTCTTCTATAAAATCTTACCGAGATGCTCCGAGGAAATGCATCTGCGGCTTACGAGAGCCGTCATGTTGTGAGTTTTGACGCGGATACTATCAGATGCACAGCGCTGATTGTGTGTTGAAGCGCCTCTCCGCAATATTTGAGCCAGACTGATATTGGCAAACTCCTCAACCGGCAAGTTTCCATTCCTACTATAGAGTTTATGAATGGCATTTTAATCTTCTTTTTATTTATTCATTTATTGTAATTCTGACATATTTGAGTAGCTTTGGCCAGGACATTTTCCTCACTTCACAGTATCTCCCCATTACTCTCATGCAGTTTCTTTACAGTACGAAATCATCACTGCGGTTCCTCGTTCCATCGTACTTACTTTCGTTTTACCAGCTCTATTCACAGTTCTTGTCGAAATCGGCATCATCGCTGCTGGCTCTATTTATACGGCTCCAATTATGGTATTCCTGCTAGCGGCCCTCTTCATCATCCAGTTCTTCTATCTTCGTACTTCCCGCCAGCTACGACTTCTTGAATTGGAATCGGCTGCGGATTTGTACTCCCACTTCACCGAAACCAGCACAGGCATCCAGCTTGTCCGCTGTTTCCGGTGGCAGAGGAATTTCTTGCACCAGCTCTGCGTCCTGCTTGACAAGTCCCAACGCCCATATTACTACCTCTTCTGCTGCCAACGTTGGCTTCACGCGGTCTTGGACTTCGTCTCAGCCGCCGCGGCGCTGATTCTGGTCGGCGTGTCGCTTTCGCGGCCAGGCGGAGCATCAACAGGCAGCGTTGCGTTGGCGCTGCTCAGCATCATCGGCTTCAATGCCACGTCTTCGTTCCTCATCAGCTCCTGGACCAATCTCGAAACCGGTCTTGGGGCTATTTCGCGCATCAAGAACTTCTGCTCTGAGACCCCGAGCGAGAAGGATACACTTTCTGGACCCGAACTCAGCGAACAATGGCCGAGTCACGGGCGCCTCGACTTCAACTGCGTCGGTGCCAGCTACCAGTATGTTTGCCGCATGTAACTCGACGCAGAGTTTTGCTGACGCTAATGGTATCACTCCCCAGGGCGGAGGACGGCAGTCTGCAAAGGGCTCTGGACAACGTCACTTTCACGGTTTTTCCTGGTGAAAAAGTAGGAATCAGCGGCCGAACCGGAAGGTATGTCATTCGCGGAATTGAAGCAGCCCTCGAAGCAGCCGGTGCTGACTTGATGGCAGTGGCAAGTCGTCATTGCTCATGGCAATCCTTCGTATGGTCGATTTCACGGGAACTATCAGCATTGATGGCCGAGATTCCCGTAGTGTGCCTCGAGAATTACTCCGGTCGCGCATCACCACTCTGACGCAAGATGGCGTTGAGCTAAAGGGGTCCGTGGGACTAAACCTGTGGCCGTTTGCCGGCCCCAAACCAGACGAGGCTCTCATAACGTCGACTCTGCAGTCAGTAGGGCTGCTCAATCACGTCAACCAACACGGCGGCCTCAACAAGTCGATTTCCTGCATGGGGCTCTCCGTCAGCCAAAAGCAGCTGCTCTTTTTGGCGCGTGGCATCTTGCACCAACAGGCCATGCACACGAGCATCGTCATCATGGACGAGGCCACCAGTGCAATGGATGGCGGTACTGACGATGCGCTTCAAGACTTGCTGGACAATACGTTTGCAGGGTGTACGATATTGCAAATTGCTCATCGTGAGGAGAGCTTCCGTAACCTTGATGTGCGTGTTCGTTTAGATGCTGGTCAATTGGTTAGTGTTGAGCGGCCGAGGGGCAGCCGAGGGGTGCCAGCGAGGTAGTCCGTAGTTGGTTAGTCATCAGAAATACTATAATTTGTAGACGTTGTCGACATTTAACCATTATTTTAAATTGAATTAGCACTAATTATTTGTTTTTTTCTTGCTGTTAGCTCCAAGAAATCCTTTACTAAGCCATTCATGTATTAAAACCACCAGTTCATTGCATGGGGTACCATCGGGGCCTCTCCACCACGCTCACCATTTCTCCACTGAAGCAGCCTGACATTTAGCACTGATTACTCCGTACACCCACCCCAATAATCTGTATGGCTTCCCTGGTATGGAGTAACTACTCCGCAGTTCGTTTGCTTGGCCCACCGAGCCGACCATCCAGCCTTTTCCCACCAACGCCGCCCGCCCGCCTGCCCTTCCCGTCCCGTCCCATCTCCAGCATCCGACACGATCATCATCGGAAGGGCTGGCAGGGCATCCCGATCAGCAATCTCACGATCCTCCTCGTCGCGATCTTCCGACCAGCGACCGACCAGCCCGTTGCACACACGCCGCCACCATGCCTTCCGCCGCCGAGGCCAAGGGCTACCGCCCCGTTGACGCCGCCGACAACGACAACGGCGACTGGGACGCCGACCTAACCCGTCGCGAGGCCTTGTTGGCCCGGCGCGAGAAGCGCCTCAAGGCCGGCTCGGCCGGCAACGCCTTCGTCTTCATGATCTCGCTCTGCCTGGCTGCCATTTCCTGGTTCTCCAAGCCCTCGTTGCTCGAGTGCGACCGGATGACCTCGCCATATTGTGAGTCGTTCTTGTTAGCACAAGCCGCTGCTGGGGATATATGTGTGGGTGTTCATTAACCTTTGCGAAACAACAGCGCCCGTGTTCAACGGAGGCATCGAGCACTGGGAAGGCGACTTTCACAATTCCTTCAACCAGACGTCAAAGTACAGAGGCCCGCCGACGCTCGAACTGGAGACGGCCTGGGAAGAGCTGTGGTATCGTATGTGCCCTTCAATGCGCCCGCTCGCTGTTGTTCGCGTCTAACCCACCATCTATCTACAGAACCCGGTGTCGGGCTCACTATCGACGAAATCGCCAAGCTGAACAAGACTCGCCCCGGAGTCAGCTTCACCGAGATTGAAGGCAGCGACCCCAAAAAGCCCACCTACGCGGCAACTCTCGAGGTCTTTCACCAACTCCACTGCCTGGTGCGTTTCTCTCTCTCTCTCTCTCTCTCTCCTCACTTCCTGTCCACCGCTGACACCCTCTACGCAGAGCCTCATCCGCCAGTCGACGTGGCCGCTGCGCATGTTCAACGAGAGCTGGCACTCGTACCCCTGGTTTCTGACCGACGAGCTGGCCGGCCGCATGCACGTCGACCACTGCCTCGAGTCGCTGCGCCTCAGTCTCATGTGCTACGCCGACGTCACGCCCGTCCTGGCCGAGGACAACCCATCGCGCCCGACCGGCCTGCAGCTCGACTTCAACGTCCACCACAAGTGCCGCAACTACGACAAGATGCTCGAGTTCGTTCGGTCCCACGGCGTGGACGTGCCCCCCGAGTAAGGGTGGATGACCTTTGTATGAGATATCAATATGGAACCTTTTGCATAGGTACATTACTAGACTGGAATGACGATTGGATGACTTTACAACAGTAACTAGCCTGGAACACTGCGTGCAAAGTAAACATTTCAGGTAAACCACAAGGCATAGCCAGTTCAAATACCGGCATCCCTGTGACGAGACGCCACGGCACGGGCAACCCCGCTCTCGTGGGTTTTGGAAAGCAGCGACTCAAACAAAGTTCGAATCATAATGCAACGTCCCGCACCCGATGGTTGTCGATGCTGATGCATTGTTTCATCGTACCAGCCTTTTTTGCTGGGGTCATTTATCCGACGGAAGAACAGAAAGCACGGTTCCATGTGTTGCGCATGCCCAATGTCACGTCGCAGCGCTCAAATGAGAAAGTCGACAGCAGATGCCTTGAGCTTGCTCAGACGAGCTCATGTATATGGGAACCTCTTGCATCTCGCCTGCTTTTTAAAGTAAACGCATGTCCATCGGCAACACCACCACGGTTACCACGATACATTGGATTATTGGCCACGCCGTGGCGGCGTCAGTAAAATCAGCTCTGCCTACCACATACGATGCGCAAATTGTCTAGTTCAGTCAGTCTCAACCTATTTTACTATGCAAAGCTAATTTGAAGAATGCTGGAAGTCGTTGTGCAGGACCCAGCATTCAGGTCGTCAGCCCCAACCTCACCACAAGCGGCTCGAGGGCAGTAACCACGTCCATATCTTCGAATTGTTTGTATAAAACACGGACAGAGCCCGGTTCCTTACCCGGAGCCACAACCTGACGGTGTCAGCGGAATCGTCATCGCCGAACACGGTCGTGCCTGGCCATGTCAAGCGCCTGGCGGCGGGCCCTCGCGCGCTGGTATAGGTCGGCGTCAAGAACAGGCCTGGCGTCTCCGTTAGCGCTCGGATTAACGACAAGGTCGTTGCGTCGTCGCAGGTAGCCGTGGGCCTCGTTGGGGGGGGGGGGGGAGATGTAGTCTTTAGCAGCGTCCCCATCCTGAGCGGTTGGGCTGGGGGCGAAGCGGCATGCTCTTATTTTAAGCATCTATGTCGTACTATTCTCAGAAAAGTACATAAACCATTTTCGTTGCATAAACATCTCAGAAGTTATCATCTTCGCCGCCCCCCATCAAGTCATGACCATTTGCCTCACCTCGCCTTCCTTTATGCCCTTTTCACTTACAGGCCGGTCGTGTCCTTGATGAAGGATCGAATCTCAGCGCTGGCAACGCTGGAGTAGACGCCGGGGAGTTTGGGCTGAGCGCAGCCCTCTCCCCAAGAGACGACACCCACGACCTTGCCGCCAGCAACCAGAGGACCGCCGCTGTCGCCCTGGCAAGAGTCCTTCTTACCCTCAGGGTAGCCAGCGCAGATCATGTCGGGGGTAATGAGATCGATCCTGGCGTAGTCATTCTTGCAGGTGTTGTGGTCATAGATCGGGACCTTGACCGCCTGCAGGGTCGTGGCGTAGTCGGGTCTGCCAGGAGTCACGGTTCCCCAGCCGGAGACGACCGCGACGGTGCCAACAGCAGGCTCAACGTCTGCCAGGGGAATGGCCTGCACACCGGTGCCAAACTTGATGCGCGGGCTGATCTCAAGGATAGCAGCGTCGTAGGGGTTCTGTCGGTCCTTGTACTTGGGGTGCTCGACGGCCTTGGTGACGTTGTACCTGGTGCCTCGGCCGTTGGTGGCGCTGCCGACGCGAATGTTGAGCAGGCCGCGGTAGTTGAGGGTGCAGTGGGCGGCGGTCAGGACGTAGCGGTCGCTGATGATGGTGCCGCCGCAGTTCTGCTCGTCCCGGACGCGCAGGTCGACCTGGTAAGGGTAGTCCTCGATCCGGACAGCCTCGCCATCAATGATCGCTCCGCCTTGAGAGGTGAGAGGAGGGGGAACGGCGAGGGCAGCGACCTGGCTGGCGAGGGCGACGAGGGCGAGTTGGTTTCTCATGACGAAACAATGGTGGGTTGAAGCAGAATGCTGAAGAATGAGGAGACTGACTGATGCTGATACTGATGATGGAGAACGCAATGGCACTTTTAGCATCGAAACAAGGCGATTTATATAATTCAACAATGTCCATGTCATCTACAAAATTTCTTTCCCCAATAAGCAAGTCACAATGAAAGTGGCGATGCCCAGAGGCCAAGCCGACAACCTACGTATGCTCCTTCGTAAAACGACGGGATGGGTTACATTTTGTGAAGGCTGAAGCAGCTATACGGGCAACAACCACCCGTGCGAGGTCGGTTACACAGGTTGCGTTACTTTGCTTTGGTCCGAGTCTCTTTGACTCTCTTGGCGCTGGTTGTTGGCCGGTGCATAGACAACTGCCTATTAGAGCTTGCGTTGTAACCCGGATAAATCTTGGCTTCTTTTTAGGAAGGTAAAAGCAACACCGCCACCACGCGGCCCTGTCTCACACTCCACTCGTCAGTGTAGATCTGCAAAGGCGTGCAGATTTCGCAATTGCCGTGCGCTGACCTGTCTCGTGGACAAGCAATCTCTACTTATCTACGCAGGTGTCTACTCGGCCATCAAGTACAACGCGCCAACACTGTACGCCTTATGACTTTGGCGCATTACGTTTACCATGTTTAGTGTGGAGAATGCCTACCAGAAAGCCGATGCAGTTATGAACGGGAGTTACACCAGACCAGTAATCTTAACCTTATCTCAACCTTAAAATAGGGCTACTGCTGTTTCTACGGATAAGAGCGGGTGACTTGCCAGCCAGCCCGCACCTGTAGCTGGACACTCTCTAGTCCTCTCGGCTTGTCGCGGGCATCCTCTAATAATCAACTGCGTCCCACGAAGAGCCGTGCGGCATAACTAGCAAAGAGATCACTGTCCATATGAGTACTGCATCGGCCGCCCTGAGGGCAAGTATATTCGGATAACTATATGCAAGGGTCATGGTATGGCCAGATGGTACATATTTACACGATATACCTAGCTAAAAGCTGGCCTCCGAGCCTTCTAACTGTGATACCATTGCAAATCGTCGTGTCTACACTAGGTAGACTGACCTTCGTGGCGGGGCTGCTCGTGAGGATTGTTGCTCAAGGTAGGGCTGACCTTGATAGTTATGCCCCTGAAGTTGTTACCAAAACCCGCGCATCCCTGTTCGTACCTAGGTACCCATCTGGTAAGTTTGTAGTAACTTGTAAGTTCATTTTCAAGTATTACACCGATTTATTGAATGAGCGTACTTGAAAGAATTTATTCTTCCAAGGGGTGACAAAATAAGTCTCACTCAGTCCCAATTGCCCTTCCTAGTGGTCGTCGCTAATGCTACAAAAGATGAAAAAGACAAGAAAGACGAAGGAGACACGAAAAATAAGAACGACAAGAAAGATACGAAAAATGGGAAAAACCAAGACTTTTCTAAGAAGAAAAAAAAAACGATCCCGGCGCGAGACACGACTTTTAAAAGTGACAATCTGTGCCTCTGGCTACAAAAATGCCACCACCACTAGCCACGAGCCAGCCTTCATTCCCACGCATGCTACATACAGTACACCCACTGTACCTCCTCTTTCGAGTCGAAGGCTACCTACCACCTCCTCTTCCAAGTTGAAGGCTACCACCTCACCCTCCTCTTCCAAGCCTACAGTCCTTGGAGTTCACCCCGCATGACAGTAGCGAATCGCGCTCATCGACATCGTGGTGGGCCGGACGACAGACTGGAGCTCTGGCTGGCCGCACCACATGGCATGAGAGTGCCAGAACAGGTCCACGCAATTGTCGAGGACGCAGACAAGTTAGAGCTCTAGTTGCCTAGTAGCTTGACCACCTTGGCACCCTGTTCACTATTACTGCAGTAAAGCAAAAGTAGATTAAATACACCACTTCTCTATCCTCATCAGCACTATGACTAGATATTTTTTGACTTGCATCCTACATTACTATTATTCATAAACTCTGTTTTTTCTCTTTCTTTAATTAAAAAGGTACAGACATTGACCGGTAGTCATGACCATTTCTTTAGTTCAACATAGTGTTGCTTTCCCGATCCTTCCCGTCGGCTAGCTCTGCGCCCAACCCAATCCAACCCCCCCACCCTGTATGTACATACAACATACTGTAGGTTAGTACTGTAGGTTAGTAGGTTAGTAGGGACGTGCCTTGGAGCTCCACGCCCACAGGGTGCAACTAAGAATAATCAACATCACCACCATAGCAACCCTGTGATACTATCGTGACCCTTCCTGTACCAACACTCACCATGTTTGGTAGCTCAAATTACCCTCCGGCGCCCCTCATAACGCATGAATGGTTGGCGCGAAACTATTGATTCCATTTCAGCCCAGCTTGAGGCGACAGAATCAGCCCAGTCCAGCTGCGGCTGAAAGGACCTCCATGATCGTGTCCTGACCTTTTCTGTTTAAAAACTGCATCGTGTCCATGCCGCGGCAGTTTGTGCCAAGATAAACTCGTCCTGCATCGAGCAGATCCCGCCTGCTGCCATGGCTCGCGATACCCGAGTCCGCCAAGCCGCCTCGTCCCTCGTCACACAGTTTCCCGCAAACGGGCGCATCCCTTTCAAGCAGATCCTGCAGGCGACCTGGGTGGCCACGGTCGCTCTCCTTCTCGGTGTTGCCTTTGTTTTGGGCATCGTCTTCTCCTCCAACGGAAAGCCCACGAGCGGCAGCATATGGTATCAGCAGACGCCGACGTTCATCTCCCTGGGCGCCGTCGTGCTTCGAGGCTCCGTCGCCGCTCTCCTCGGCATCGCGCTCTACCAAAACCTCTGGCAGAATGTCGCCACGCAGGCCAGGTCCGTCAAGGATGGGGTCGTCGATGCAGGCCCGGAGGGCATCCCGGTCAAGACGGTCGAGTCGCTGCACTTAGCTTCGCGGCTGGCCGTCGGCATGCTGGCCCATCCATCCCTGAAAGCAGGCTGGGTGATTGGCGTCCTGGGGCTCGCCGTGGCCTCTGCTGTCCAGCCTGTTTTACAGTCCGCCATTGCCGTTCGACAGCAGAGGCAAATTGTCCCCACGAGCTTGTCCATATACCACCCTCAGTTTAATGGGTCGCTCGCCCAGAGCGACTCTGCGATGATGCATGCAGGTGGCCCAACGACCATAACGACCAGATCGGCCCTCGCAGCTCTGATGGGAGAGACCAGCGGACTTCGGTACACAGACGCCAATGTCACGGGAGTGGCGCATTTCGGGCCCATCCACTACCTCGATCTCATCTGCAACATTTCAGCCATTCCCGGAACCGAATCCAACCTAGCGGGCTGGGATGTGTACAACTTCACCTACCGATATCCAGACACACCCTATATGGATCAATGGCAAAACATATCCAACAGCTTGTCCGAAGGTTTCGTAGTCTTAACGGCCTTGCTGTCAAGGGTAGAGGTGCAAGCCGTCTTGTTCAACAACACGCACTACCTAACGCACCAATGCATGGTCCAAACCGCTATCGGGAGCTGCACGACTCATCTCGCGGCTGGAATCGGAATCATGGGCAATCTGAGTTGCTCGAGGGACCAGTTTATCAACCTCGACAGCGATCTCAACAAGACCATGTCGTATTACGGACCGGCTGGCGCGGTGGTTGGTCTCACTGGCGCGTTTTTGGAGGCCTTTGTCGGGAAAGCACTGCCCGACATACACAACAGACTGAATCCTGGAAAATCTTCGTTTGTGACGGCAGCTTTGGTCTCGGATACGAATTCAAAATTTGTCATGCCGTCAGACCTCGTGTCGCATATGCAGCGCGTGCTCTGGGTCACGCCCCTGCTCGCAAAGACCGGCACCACGCAGCAGGTGGCACCAAATGTGACAATGTCCGTCTCCGACGAGCGAAACGTCATTGTCTACGAAATTGACAAGCTGCGAGTCATTGTAACGGTCGCTGTCCTCGTTATCATCAGTCTCGGATGCTTGGTCTATGTATCTCTCCCTTGCAGTGCGGCGTGCGGGCGCCTTGCTAGAGACAGCTTGGTCCATTCGCTCACGGTCGCGGGCCCGCACGGCCCGGCCATCAGGAATGCATGCTTGGCTTCTCTGGACAATGTGCTGGAGGCGGCGGGTGACGAGAAGCTCAAATTCGGCGTGCTTATAGAGGCGACGGACTTGGCGAGTGGACATGTCGGCTTTGCGGAGCAGCCTCCTACGCCCGGATCCCACAGTAGTAGACCATTTACTATGGTGGGAAGACCGGTCCTAGGAAGGTGGTATGGGGGAAAGGCTAGCTTGTGAAGAAGGGGCGTCGTCTGCGTGGGCAGGAGCACCTTTTTTGACGGTGCTTGGGATGGTAATCAACTGATCCATGTCTAGGTACAGTGGCATATCATATAGCTAATACAACGAATAATGTCAAACTGGTATAAGTACGCCTGTCTAGCAATGTCATATCCAAAACTCCAGTGCACGAGGCAAAGCATCCCCTGATCCGAGGCAGGTTGCTTGATCATCCAATAGCACCCAACGACTCACAACGGCACACTCTCACGCCCTGGCTCCAACCTCTTTTTCCGCCGCTGCTTCTTTTTGGCCGATATCTTTGCCTCTAAATTCTCCTTGTTGAATTCTTCTAGCTCTTCGACCGTTCGCGCTGGCGTTACGGCAGGGTCAAAATGGGATACGACGTTCCAGGTTCCATCGTACGCCTCGCAGATCGCACCGTCCGTGCTGGTCCCAAACTGCTCCAGCGCGTCAAAGCTCGCCATACTCACAAAGGCAGTCATTTCTCCATCACGGCAACAGCTTTTCCGACAGCCGTCGGGTTGTACCGTGCAAATAGTTTCATAAATTTCACTTGCTTCCACCTTACCCGACGGCGGCGAACCACCGCGCAAGCTGGGCTTGGCGGTCAAGGGAAACACCCCGGCCGGCCTGGGCGGCCCGTTCTTAAACAGCTTCCCAGTGCCCCTGCACTGCAAATGCAGCTTCGCAGGAGACCATTTTCGACGCCATGTAAAGGTAACTGGTGGCACCTCCTGCGCGGCCCCTCGCAGTGACAGACTCGCTAGTACTGCGGCGATGCGCAGTGTGTCCTTGCCTGCACTGTGTTTCTTCCACAGTGAGCCGACATCTGTGCCGACGGTTCCGAAACCGAAAGCCGTCAGTGAGTCGCGCAAGCTCGGAGACTTGTCGAGCTGGGCCGTTTCCTTGACTAGTTCCTGCAGGTCGACCCAAGATGTGAAGCAGTCCGCGATCTTGGGGTATGAGGCAGACAGCGAGCGATGCTCAAATGAAAGATCAAACCCGACCAGCACCAGCGGCGGCGCGTCAAACGCCCCTCATCTTTAGCGATGCTGGCAAGCCTCTCCCGAAAAGATACCAGGATTTGTTCCAGCATATTTTCGAGGCCTTTTGACTGCACCATCAGGGTCTTTTGTTCCAAGAATTGTTCTCGTTTGCCTTGCTCCCTGCCACAGATTTTGACGGAGTAAGTCTCGATCTCGAGATATTCTCGAAGCTCTCCAATCGTCTTGGGGGGGGTCGACCTCAGACAAGTCAAAGGGGCATATCAAAGATAATCCAAACCTTGGCATCGAGGCTGTTCGGTCCCCATGGTTCAGCATCCTGGTCACGAAACCCGCCTGTGACGTTTGAATGGCACCCAGATTTGAAAGATTACTTCGCCACAGGGCTGACCAATGTTTCGTTTTCAAGCTACCTGGATTCTGTGAATAACGCATTTTGATTTCCCAAGGTGGTTATGAATGAATAAGCGTCGCGGTGGAATGATGGATCAGGCAAAAGTATGGGATGGTCAATGTCAGGTTTTTTATGGCCCGCCAGCAATTCAAAAGCAAGTGCGAGCGATCACGGGACTCAAAGGGAAGAAAAAGGTGCGCCCACAACAGGGGCTAATTTTCCTAGCATAATTATGTCTTGAAATGAGGCAATTCGGCGATACAATTATCATTGATCTGATGGCTTAATTAAAGTCTGTGTGGAGGCTACATAGGAAGGCTTCTCTAGGTGGCTTAGTAACCGCCCGCCACAAGGCACTCAGCAGTGACCCATTCCCAGCACATTACTTATTACACTCAAATGTCTACTATCACCAACTTCACCAGTATCACTACCTTTAACTTCTCTTAGAGTGGAAACCACAGGCATGACTATTATCATCCGCCGCGAGGCGCCCGCGGACCACGGCGTCTTCCGCGCGATCACCAATGCCACATTCTCCAACTCCACTCATATCCTGACGGTTAACACTCGTGCAACAAATACAGAAAATGCTTGAGTACTTCAACTTTTCGGTTTTGTAACGGCACGCACAATGTGCTCGACAATTCTCCACCTCCTTGACGGTATGCGACCGCAATGCCAGCAATTTCTAAGTAAGACGGTCATCCTCACTTGGAGCTGGACGCTGGAACGGAACAAAACACTTTCAATTCTGTTTGATTCTCCTTGAGTCGATCTCTACAGCGGCTCCCTATGATACCCCCCTATTGTGTGTCTAAGTCGCTACCTTTTCAAGCTCGGACAGAGGATTAGTAGAGCTGCCGTATGTACCGCTCACGACCCATCTCTATATGACGGCACGTTCCCAAAGAGGCTTGTTTTCCTGGATGCGAGCATATGAAAGTGCGGACAAGTCCAACGAGCGAAAGCTTCCATACGTGATCAGTTCGGCCACACCCCTGCCGCATGCTGGAGCCTGCTGGCTCCCATGGCCGGAGAATCCCACACAAAACAGTAGATTCTTTATGTCTGTGTGAGGGCCAATAATGGCATTGTGGTCAAAAGTGTTGAATTCATAATGGCCCACCCACGAGTTTGTCACCTTGGCGGAGGCGAACTGTGGAACGCGCTTCGTAAGAACGGGAAGCACCTTCTGCGTCCACACACCTTCCTCGTAGCTGAAATCGTCCACAGCAATAGCCAAGTCCGGCCCGATTGGGGGACAACCCACAAGATAGTCCTTCTCTCCGTAAGAGCGCAAATGAACCCCTGTAGGGTCGATTGTGAGGGGAAGGTCTTGTGGGAGCGGCTCGTCCACCGAGAAGATAAAAGTGTACCGGCGACGGGCTTCGATGGGGAGGTCGACACCAGCTAGCCGAGAGACTTGGGCGGCACGAGTTCCCGCAGCGTTGACGACAGTGCCTACTCTGACAACCTCGCCCGTTTTCAAAGTGATGGAGTGGATTTTGTTGCCAGAATGGTTGAGCGCAACCACTTCATTGTGGACGTATTCCACACCGTGTTGTGTGGCTTTGTTTCGGAGGCTCTCAACCATTTGAAGAGCATCAAATGCACCCTCGTCGACAGTATTAAGGCTGCCCGCCTCTATATCGTCCAGTGCGAAGAATGGATACTGGGCAGCAATTTGTTCCGTTGAAAGCATATGCGTACCCGCGCCACAGGCAGCTTGCAATTCCTGGTCCTCCTGCAGGGTCGCAACAAACTCTGGATTGTCGGCAAGGTACAGATATCCAAAGTTGCGGATTGGAAGATCTGGTACTCCGTCGTCGTCTGAACTGGCGAGATTCTTTCGAAAGTTCTTGACAAACTCAGCGCCATACTGAGCGATTTTTATATTGATGTCGGTTGCAAATTGCTGACGCATGCAGTTGTTGCTTGCTTGCGTCGCCGAGTATTTCAGTGAAGGATCTCGCTCGACGACCAAGACCGTGCCGTGAAAATCCGCGTTCGAGGCAAGGAACCAAGCAATCGCGGAGCCGCTGGTGGCACCACCGACGATGGCAACATCGTAGGCCAGAGACTGGGGCTTACAATGAAAGGAGGGAGTAGCCATTGCTGGGCGGCGTAGCATCAATCAATAGCGAAACGAATGACGATAAGTTGATGGCCAAGCCGACATGGCGTGATTAATACCATCTTAAATACTGTCATGATCCTATGGAAAGCCGGAACTTGGCGCTGTTACTAGCATATTGTCGAAGTTGGAATTTCTAAGCATTGATTTGCCAAATTCGGAGTAGGTTTGAATGTGAAGGCAGGTTTCCCCGAGGTGGCGTCGCAGCCACACTGGGGCTTGGCTAACTCGCCTGCCTGGGTTGAAAGTCGTTGCCATCCACTACGCAGTTTTTTACACGAACCTTGTTATTCTACGATCCAGATTCAGTTTGGCAGGGTGAAAGCAGGACAATACGAGGTGCAAGTAAACAAGTGGATTGGAGTTCATCTGAGAGCCAAGTCTCCGCGAACATAACGTGGCGCTTAGCTTCTAATACCGACTAGTATTCAAGTTCAGTCCAAATCTGCAGTATTGCCGAGTATCGCTCAATTGCCGAGTATGAATATTTGTAATCCCAGTGAACCGTGCATGACTCTCTTGCCGCATGCCACGTTGAGTCTCGAATCAGTCAAGTTCAACTGGGTTCAGTAGCAGACTATTGAGGCAAGTCATCCCGGCGAGCACTGGGTAGTATTAGCATCCAAAAACGATCCAAAGCGGCTATGCTAGATTGAGGATGCAAGCCTAAAGCAATCACAATGTCTTTCTTGTTAGATCTAATAAAATGAAGACGGCTCGACTGATATCGCTCCGCTGGATATATATAAATGATGACACATCTCATTCGCGCCCTTGCTTTTCATCCAATAAAGATCAACAGCCGCTGCATTGACTTTGACAAAGAGCCTACTTCCAGACCTGGCATCTGAAAGTCTTCTCTTCTTCAACATTACTCTTTTTTCGAACTCGATTCTTCCTTGCCATCTTACTCCCATCAATTCAATACAAACACTACGTACTACCATGGGTGTACAAGGGATCAAGGGCATCTATGTCGCCCTCATCACACCGTTTACTCACGACCAGGGCTCCATTGACTTCCACGCGCTCGATGAGCACATCAATCGGCTCATCGATGCTGGTGTGCATGGGCTCGTTCCTGGCGGCAGCACCGGCGAGTTTACAGCTCTCAGCACCGAAGAGCGCAAACAGCTCCTGGAGGCGGTCGTCAAGTCAGCCAACGGTCGTGTCGGCATCATGGCCGGAATCGGTGATCTTTCCACCGCCAAGACCATTGACCTCGCCGAGCACGCTGCCAAGGTGGGCGCGGACTCGCTCATGGTCGCTCCCCCGTTTTATGACGCGCCGAGCTTGGACGAGCTGAGAGCGCATCTCTCCGACATCCACAAGGCCTCCGGCCTGCCCATTGTCTACTACAACATCCCCTCCGCCACTGGTGTGAGTCTCACAACCGCTGAGATTGCGTCTCTAAGCGAGGTCGGTGTGCAGTACCTCAAGGACACGTCTGGAAACGCACCTGCTCTCACAGATCTGATCTTCAACGACGAGCTCTCTTCCCGCGTCACTGTCTTCAACGGCTGGGATACTTTGACCTTTTACGGCCTTGCGGCTGGTGCGGAAGGCTCCGTCTGGGGAGCCACGAATATCGTCCCCGAACTATCCATGAAATTGTGGGAAGCTGTCGCCGTGCGTGGGGATCTCAAGGAAGGGCGTGAAATATGGAAGAAGATTTTCCCCATCTGCAAGCTGCTGGAATCAGGAAACTACGCCGCCTTTGTCAAGACCGGCATGGAGCTACGTGGGTGGAAGACTGGTGGTATGCGGAAGCCTTACAACATGACAAAGAGCGAGGGTCGGACGAAGCTTGCTACCGCCCTGAGGAATGCTGGAGTCAGCATCGATGATTAAGTAGCAACAGAATATGACAAGAAGTACATTACTAAATGCAAGCAATCATTACCAGCGTCTTTAGGGGCAGTTGTGGATTGATTCACCAGTGCGCCGCAACAAACGTTACAAATCAGAATTGGATTTTACATAGCCCAGATCCTTCCCTAACGGGCGCGGTGAGCCGAACCGGCCATTAATTCTGGCCATCCAAGTGTGAAGCTGTTTGTCCTTGCACGCTGTTCCCAAACAGCCTTTGCTATCATGCTCGGCTTTCCACATTTAACAAACATACCATGGTCGTCGACAGCTTCCAGGCACTTCAGCCCGAGTTCTTTAAGTTCGGCAGTCGTGGCCTCACAGGCAGCTATAAATATCAACCAAGCGATACTAACTGAGAAATCCGAGTCAAACCGTGCCATGTCAAGACAAGGCTGTACAAGTTCAAGTGATTTCCTGACGTGAGGCTGCACAATCATGGCGCTCACATTATGTACCCGGCGGTAAAAGTAGATGATTAGAGCTTGGTGCATTGCCAGGATCATAGACTCCATCCCAGGGCGATCATGGGCAGCGCTGTCCTCATTCAGCAGCGACAGTGGGAGTCGGGGCCCGCAAGCTATACTCGAGCCCTGTAGGCTCCACGACCATATTTGCTGCTCTAGTGTTCCGGTGTGTTCTGAAAGAGCTGCAGAGACTGCTGGGTCAACCATTCCCTTGGCTTCTAATCGAGGCTTTTCATTTGCCAGGCTGATCGTCTGAGACAAAAGTGTCATAAGTGACTCCGGCACACCAAATATCTCGGGATATAGTGTTGCGTGCCACTTGCCAGATATGTCAAGGTGGATGTCATTGTAGCCGATCACTTCTGACTTTTCGCGGGTCAAATCCAGATCCCCTAGACTTTGCGTGTCGATGCTGAAGCTGCGAGGCGTCTTGCCTTGGAGTGATCGGACCCCAGGGTTTGTTTCTTGACAAGTATCGTGACATATAAGCTTCGCTGAGACATTTGTGCTTTCGAGGATAACTCGCAAGTGTGTGTACAAATGGTGCAAGATCCGGTGTTGAAATGTCTTGACTGCAGGAAATCCTCGCGATCGGATGAGGCGCTCGGCGTCCAAGAGCAGTTTGCTCACAGCTTCTGTGCCATCATAATAAACCTACACAGCCCGCAATGAATTAACAACAAGTTTTGTAAGCTGGAGTGTGTTCCACTTACAGAGACGACTCCAACACTCAGAATTGCCATGAGCATTTCTATGTACTTCAGCTCGCCTTCAACTTCATTTCTCAAGGCTGTCTTTAAGAGCTCTTGTGCCGATTTTTGGTGGTCCTTGCCTATGTTGAGCCAAAATGAGGCTGCAGATTCGCCGTGCGGCGCCGCCTTGCTCAGGTGGAAGGCACTTTTGGCCAATAGTGTCGAGAGTGTGCTGCGACGGGCGAATGACGTTGTGTTCCAAAGTGAGATCTCGGCAATTGTCTCAAGCGCACACGGTAACAGCAGCAATTTCCAAGGGGACAACTCGCGACTTGATGTGGATGAGGTTGCCTCAAGTACTTCGGACTTGAGATACTGAAGCAAGACTGCGGCGTGGGCTGGTATGACGGACATCCTCCCTGCAAAAAAGCTATCTGAAGAATATAGCGTTTTCTTAAGCGCAGAGGAAGGGCTATAATAATCGTTCGAAATAGTTCGGCGTGATCTCAGATTCGGCCGCGAGCTGTCCAGTTCTATTTTCCGGGGTGAATCTTGCAATGTGTCTGTTGTCTCAACGGCCTCCAGCAAGGTGTCTTGTGGTGATGCTAAAAGCGGCTCAACAAGATTGGTATCGAAGTCATCGGGCAAAAGACTTTGAGGGACGCCATGCCAAGGTGATCCGACGTTCATGCCCACGGTCATCCAGTCGTCAGATCGTGCGGGATCTGCTGTGAAGAAGGACAAGTCCAGGTCCTGTAACGAGTCCGAAAAGGTGTTTGTTGAAAAAGCCGGCAAGCAATGGTCTTGTGCCTGATCAAGGATAAAGCCCCCAGCGTCCTCCTCCCTGCTGTCCTGGCTAGGAGGGCTGGTAGAGGAGTTTTGCAGAGGGAGATCCTGGAAAGCTCTGAAGACTGAAAAGGGTCCAAGAGCAAGAGGATCGCTGATTGAGACGGACTTGCAGTCCAAATCAAGCAGAACGTCGCAAGCAGATTGATCTCCAAGACTCTGGACCATGCTCTTGGACATGGAGATTCGGTGTCTCTCGGTGAAGAGTGGATATCGCCATGAGTTTCCCTCTAGTCTTCTTTCCCCTGCGTCTGCCCCAGATGATGACGCGGTGATCCAAAGTAGCTGAGGGGTGTACCCTAGACAATGCAGATTAAGACGACGACAAGAGGAGCACGTGGGCCTCGCTTCATCGCACTTGAGATGGCGACTTCTGCAGGTTCCGCAGCCAGTGAAGGTCCTCGACCGCGGCTCTAGTCGGGTTGCCTTGCTTGTCTTCGTTTTTGCTGCCCGTGTGCCTGCCATATGGACTGTTGGCGCAGAAGCAGGTGGGTAATTGCGTGCAGTGAACCTGACGGGTCAGAATGGGGAGAAGTATCGTATCGTGCGTCAGCTTTTTCGTTTCTTTGGTCGGTGCAATTGTTGTTCCGGAGCAACCTTCCCTGTAGCATGCATCATCTTGGTATTTACTAGGATGTCAAACTTTATGGCTCGACAACGCTTGTGCCAATTAGAAGTTGGCCGGTGGCGACTCGTTCTCAGTTCGGTCTTGGTGATTAGGCCGATTGGGCTCAACAGCAGGAAAATTGACACTGACACAGGAGATCGATAAAAAGGGAAGGTCATCCCGAGCTGTCCTCAGTGACACGGCTCTCCTACGCTAGGCCATTTAGTGGGCGAGCGAAATCGGCAACGACGCGACGCACTGTTGTCCCCCTCCAACAAGCCTGGATTCTGAATTGGCAGTCAATCATCGGCACATTACAGCCTAGTATTGCTTATTGCTCGAAAAAGATGCGTCTCATTTCGGAAGTGGGGTTGTCATGAAGCAGCACTCATGGCACGACAAGTGCCGCCTTAAAGTTCGACCAGCGACCTGATCCAAGTCTTAACATCAAGCCCCCTTCACACCAGATTCGTCCTCGGTAACTATCGTCCAAAAGAATGGCCAGCCAACTTTCCGTCAAGCTGAACGCACCCAATGGGCAGTCGTGGGATCAGCCCACTGGGCTCTTCATCGATAATGAATTCGTTGCCTCCTCGGGCGGCACTATCACATCTATCGACCCCGCGTAAGTGTGCAACTTACATGGGAGCGACTATTCTATGTATTAATCGCAGAATAGTACTGAGAGACTTATTACGACGGTTCACGCTGCCAGCGCTGAGGACATTGACAAGGCCGTCAAAGCTGCCCACGCGGCCTTCCGCTCCCCAAAGTGGAAGGACTTGGCTGCGACAGAGCGTGGCATCCTCATGAGCAATCTCGCAAATCTCATAGAGTCTAACAAGGAGCTTCTAGCTACCATCGACGCTTGGGATAACGGCAAGACCTATAACGAGGCCCTCACCAACGACCTGAATGAGGCTGTCGCCACAATCCGCTACTACAGTGGCTGGGCAGACAAAATCCACGGACAGACCATCTCTGTTCCGAATAAGTTTGTGTACACGCTCCGTCAGCCTGTTGGTGTCGTTGGACAGATCATCCCCTGGAACTATCCCTTGTCGATGGCGACTTGGAAGCTCGGCCCCGCGCTGGCCTGCGGAAACACCGTCGTTCTCAAGGCTGCCGAGCAGACTCCCCTGAGCATTCTGGTGCTTGCTCAACTTATCAAGGCAGCTGGTTTCCCACCTGGAGTTGTGAATATTGTCAATGGCCATGGCAAAGTGGCCGGATCAGCACTCGTGTCTCACCCTTTGGTGGACAAGATCGCATTCACAGGCTCGACTGCTACGGCCACTGCTATTATGAGTATGGCTGCTAGCACTCTAAAGAATATTACTTTAGAGACGGGTGGAAAGTCCCCTCTTATCGTTTTTAGTGACGCTGAGTTTGACGAGGCTGTTAAGTGGTCCCATATGGGAATCATGTCTAATCAGGGTCAAATCTGCACAGCGACGTCTCGCATTCTTGTGCAGCAGGATATTTATCAACGTTTCATTTCCAAGTATGTTGAGGAAGTTGAGAAAACCAGCAAGGTCGGTAATCAGTGGGATCCTGAGACATACCAAGGCCCCCAAGTCTCTAAGCAACAGTACGACCACATCAATTCATATCTCGAGGTTGGAAAGTCGGAGGCCAACGTCGCTATTGGCGGAGTGAAGCTTTCCATTGATGATGGCAAGGGCTTTTATATCGCCCCTACGGTCTTTACTGATATGAAGAGCGACTCAAGGATCTGGTGCGAGGAGATCTTCGGTCCAGTTGTGTGCATCAAGCCGTTCGAGGATGAGTCCGAGGCAATTTGGGAGTCCAACAACTCCAAGTACGGTCTTGGTGCTGCTATTTTCACAAAGGATCTAACAAAGGCCCACCGTGTGGCGGACAAAATTGAGTCGGGTACGGTATGGGTTAATAGTACGCAAGATTGCGACCCCCGTGTGCCGTTTGGTGGAGTGAAACAAAGCGGAATCGGCAGAGAGCTGGGCGAGGCTGGCTTAGAAGCTTATACGCAGGTCAAGGCTGTTCATGTCAACATGAACAACAGGCTATAGATTTAGTTGGACAAATAGTGACTGATTTCAAAAACCTTCATCCAATGGTCTATCATTCACAGAATAGTATGAGCTCACCACTACTTATTGTCATGTAGAGGTGTCACGGACTTTAAAGTTCATAGTGGATTTCAGGGATATTCGGCCTTGTCGGTTGCTATTGCTTGATCCTTTTAAGGTCTCTGTGGTCTAACGGTCTAACCTAGAAGCCGTCGTCGTTACAAGAGGCTCTAAAACCGCCCTCTATGCCGCCTCTTAACTACCCAGCGCCAGAAAAAGACTAGTTTCTAATGGCTATTCAGCTTTAAACAAGTTGTAATATTCTTCTGGCAGAGCAAAACATTGCATCATGTTTAAATCCTAGCTAGAATTGGAGTTGTCGGCGCATGACCAAGCAGACGTCCCTCCATTGGCAGCATGCGAGTCAATAATACCGACTATGGCGCCGTATGTACCCGCAATCATCAGGAAAGTACCGGAAACAATTACAAAGATGCTCCATCCCACCATCAGACGCCAGCGCAAGGTAGGGGCATCCTTGCCGCGGCTCCAATTGTCATATAACCACATACAACCCATAGGCTGGAAGCATAGCAGAGTACCAAAGAGCGCACCGGCTAGGGACACGATGCCGTTGAAAACTGGAATCGCACTGGCCAAGACATAAGCTACAAGGCAAACAGCGAATGTGCAGCCCAGCCATGTAACCCAGTGAGTGAACGAGTTCGAAGTCAGATGCGGTGACCCGCGCAGGATTCGAACGAAGACGTACTTGCTTGAGACCTGGTATGAGGTTAGTCAACGCCAACAGCAGACAAGGAGGGGGGGAAAGCACATGAGCCATTAGAATACCGCTAGCGAGTAGTCCTGGCAAAGCAATGCCGTATGCAATCTTCTTCATGGTTTTACCGGCGGATCCAAGGGCAGGTGAGGCAACATATGATCCACAGTAGTAGTAAACGACAATACCAACAACCAAGTAGACGACTGTGATGAGTGTTTGGCAGACTGCTAATGCTCGAGGGTAAAGACGGGGATCTCTCATCTCTGCGACGATTGGGAAGAAGGCACCCGTCCCAGCAAAGGCAAAGACGAGACTTGACACGGCGGAGATGCCCTGCGAAAAGGTCGGGTTCCCAAAGAGCTTGTAGTCCGATTTCCATTCGACGTCGTGGGGGGCGGACTCAGGCTGGGTTTGAACGCCTACGGCAATCGTTACGGTGAAGACTATGTAGGCGTCGCTTAATAAATCTAGCCGTGCCACAAAAGAAGAGCAGTAAAAGTTGTGCTTACCCGCAGTGATGATGCCGATGACGCCAATTAATGCGAGCCAACCGACTCGGTCAAGGGTGCGGACACTCGAAAGCACGAACACCAGAATGAAAGCGGCAGCGACGAAGACGGCAGTGCAAGCGCCGTGGTCAGAGATGGAGTTGAAGCATATCGACAGACTTAGCATGGCTGATCCGGCCGACATGACATACACTAGTATTGTTAGGCAACAGAATTCGGTCTTTGCGTCCAAAGGGCCTACTTACGACCCATGAAGGCGATGGCAAGGACTTCTTTCCCAACCCGCCCAAAAATCAGTTGGCCAACGTCGTCAACACCGTACACGGCGCGATGTTTCACTTTGAAAACGCCCACCATGTAGTCTGACCAAGTGGTGACGCCGGCGACTGCACAGAGCAGGATTACACCGGGGATCAAACCAACTGAGTCGAAGACTGATGGGAGTGCCAAGACACCCAGCCCAATCTGGGTCTTCATCATCAAGGCCGTGGTGCCAATCCAGCCAACCTGGAAGATCCGTCAGACAGTAGGCAAGGGTAGGAATGGGAGATGGGTGTCACATACGTTACGGAAGTTGGGTCCCTTCTCACCCATCTCTCCAAAGACAGCGTCGTTGAGTCTGGTTTCTATCATCTGCACAACTTGCATGTCTTCAGGGTCGACATTCATGTCGGAGGACGAGGATTTCGTATCTTTGGTCATTCTTTTCAATTTCGGATTTACCTGGGCAAATAGTTTGAGTAGCCACGAAAGCAATATGGTGATACATGCGCAGGGTTAAGTATCTGCTCGCTTCTGGCCCCTGACGTGGCGCAAAATGAGGCCTGGGACTAGGTATGGCTTTGGATAACAAATTCGCCCCCCGACTCATGAGGAGGGCGTGTCCCCAGCCAAAAGCTCAAAAAGCATTGGCCTCATCATGTCATTGAGAGTGTTTGCTGAATGCATTTCCCCGCAAAATTCGAATGCCCCGCAAGCTGGGGAAACGCGGGGAGAATTGCCAATTCCGTCGGAGGCTGAACGCGAGACTGTCCAATGGCTTGGGTTTCGCCAATCCCCGATGTCTCACTCTACAGGGAGCAGGGGACCAGCGAGGCCAGGGACACGTGGGCCAGAATTTTATCAGAATACTACAACTATGCAATGCGCAGTGGTAGCTCGAGAGTCTAAAGCTGTGTCATCATGAGCTCAGTTTGTGAAATATAATGCGGAAAACAGGCAAAGGGCAGAAAAGAACTGGCCCAAGAAAAAGGACTGAGAGATTGCCGTCGGACACGCGTTGCGCCAGGTTAGCTAACTTTTGGAGTCGGAAATGAACAGCTGGTTACATGAACCAGTTGCAGAGATGTTGACAGCTGCTGCCAAGATTGTTTGTTCTGCTTTCGTATCCTAATCTAGACTGACACGGGCGTTGACACGAGGCATTGATGCATATGGCGCAGAGGTGTTGGTCCCGCTTGACCCAAATTTCCAATTTCAGTACTGATTGGCATCAAACATGGAAGGTTATACCGACATCCGATCCCTGGCCATTCTACTACGTCTTTACAGCAGCAGTTGCGCGCAGGGACTAACTTGTCGGCCGTGCGCCCCATTCTCGGCCGTCGTTTGTTCATCTCACACATGCCGTGCCAGCATACTTCTATAGCGAGTTGTGAATATTTGCTATTCCTGTAAAAAGTAAGAGTGTCAGCGTTGTGCAAAACAAGCAGTATAGCATCATGTCATTCTGACACAACGCATTCAGCAGATGACCTTGGCATTATTAGACTTGCTTGGAATGGCATAAAAAAAAGTATATTTCATGTATCTTTAAACCTGGAAACCTTCTGGGAAAGGATCGTCCGGGTCAACATAAACCTGCTTCTGTCCGGTGATCCACGCTCTGCCTTCAATATTGGGTACAACCGCATCAAAAGACCCAACCCTCGCAGTCGTCTTAATACGCCCGATAAACATAGTATCAATGATACTTATGAACTTGATTTTCTGTCCCGGTTCTATTTGTTTTCGAGCGTGAAGAATTGCCAGGCGAGCCGAGCTCCCTGTTCCGCAAGGACTCCTGTCCAGTCTTCCGGGGGTAACGACGACGGTATGCTTGACCGAATAGCCGTCAGCGGTGGCTTCCAACGGCTCGCTGATAATCACATTGTTGATGCCTTTGATGGCCGGATTTTCTGGGTGTGTTGGCATGCACGTGTCAAGTACAGCCTTTTTCACTTGCTTTGCCAACTCTATGAGCCGGCCGCTGCAAGAAAGAGTGACCGCAACACCTAAAGCTTCTGCCGTAACCACCACGTACCACTGGCCACCATATGCGATGTCGACAAGTAGTCTGCCTACCCCTGGTACGTCGATTTGCATGTCTTGCGCCCACACGAATGCAGGGACGTTGTCAAAAGAGACAGATTTGCATGTTCCATTGCGGCATTCTGCAGTCGCCGTTACCAGCCCTGCTGCAGTGTCCAAATTGACAACGGTTATAGGCTCCGTCATGGGCACTATACCACACTCTAGGAGTACAGTAGTTGTGCATATCGTATTGGAGCCAGACATTGGCACCCACTCCCCAGGTCCCATGATCAAAAAGCCCACGTCCGCCCGTGGATCGCAAGGGGGAACAACAATTATGACACTCATCTCCAGCCGTCCTCTTGGCTCATGAAGCAACAGTCTGCGAAGACTATCGTGTCTGTCGACAAAGTGCAAGAGCTTTTCGTGCATGGAGCCGGCAGGGATATCAAGGACGCCACCGATAATGACATCTCCTACCTCGCCTTCCGCATGGCAGCATACGATGGAGATGGTGCGTCGCGATCGCATTGCCTGGTGGTTGCATCTCTCGGTCAGCCCAAAATAATCGCCAGTATGTGTTTTAAAGGATCTCCAAGAGTATACGTACGCTATCGTACTTTTCCAGAGAATGCTTGCTTCGGTTGGTGACTTTGAGTGAAGTTTTGGATGAGAGTGTGGCACTCCGACTTGGCTTCAAAGCCTAATAGTGACGGCTGCACAAAGAAAGATTGGGTGAGAATAGCAAATTCTCGAATAGCTTTGGATGGATGTTGCCGAAAGAGACTATCCGAGAGCGAGCACGCCGTCTCGAGAGCCCTAGAACAGCGCAACGGAGGCTTGCTAAGCTGGAGGAAGGCTTGTAAGCAAGCACCGCAGATATTCTTCCTCAAAAACACGTCGGCACGTCATCGCATAATGGCTGCCGTCCTCGGCGTCTTATGGAGAACTTTTTGAAGTTGCGGCAGTTTTTCTGACTACAGATAGTTCAACAGTAATGATAACGTCTCTTGATGAGTTCATGGACGCGCCGGGATAGCTTTCCTCTTCCAGGTTATAAGTGTGGAGGGGCAGGGGGAAAGTTTTATCTACCGCCGCCACATTTATTGGAGTAAATTGGAGAAACGTTCCGGTCAGAGAAGGCGTCAAGTTCCATGTCAAGTCCCGCATAACAATACTTAGTATGCGGAGTCGATGTTACTGATCAATATGACAGAATTGGAAGCCCTTGCCGGCAGCGCTTTAACTTTCACTTTTGTTGACTGGGTGTAATGAAGAGAACGAGTGCAAATCAATCAGTTTGGGAACACCGAATGCGATTTCGAGGTACTTGGTGCAGCCGTTGGGTAAACATAGCGAGGTACTGCATTGAGCGAGGCGGGTTAGCTTTCCAGAAACAGAACTCTGATAGCTATTTATTTATCGACCGATTGCTGGTGTTGCGCGCCTCGAACTCAGTAGAATCCAATTTTCCAGCGACACACGGCTGCCGATGGCGATCACCACGATGCCTGTCACCATCGTAGTACTTGGGTACCTCTTCTCTCCTTCGCTTTTTGCGTATACATGGTCTGACTTACCATCATAGGGCCGGTGTATCTGGCTTGACTGCGGCCTTGCAATTGGCTAAAGAGCCGGGGACTTCAATAACAGTGGTTGCAGGGCATATGCCCGGTGATTACAGTCCTGACTATGCTTCACCATGGGCAGGCGCTAATTTCCAGCCGTGAGTGCATATGGCCTAGAAGACATCTTCCAACATAGCCAAGACTAATCTTCTTGCCTTAGCTTTTCGGCGGAAACGGAACGTCGGTGGGAAGAACGTTCGTGGCCAGAAATGTCCCGGCTAGCCGCCGAGGTGCCGGAAGCTGGCATACATTTTCAAAGTACGTTGTCTCTCTCCTCAGCCAAAACTGGAATACACACTTACTAGTCCTCTAGAAAGTTTCATCTACCGCCGTCAAGAAGACGCCAAGAACGGCGTAACTTCCTTCGATTCCATGTTTATCCACAATCCATGGTATAGTCGTCTCTTCCCGGACTTTCGTGAACTCAGTGAGCATGAACTGCCCAAAGGGGTTAGTTCCGGCTGCCAATTTACCGGAATATGCATCAACACTGCTATTTACTTGCCGTGGCTCGTCGGGCAGTGCAGGAGGCTCGGTGTGGTGTTTCGACGGGGTAATGTATCAGACATCAACCACCTCAAAGGTATGCATCACACTGGAGGGAAGGTTGACGTCATAGTCAACGCGTCTGGGCTGGGCTCCAGGACCCTGGGCGGTGTGGAGGACGAAGATATGATTCCGATCCGCGGGCAAATTGTGCTCGTGGAGAATGAATCACCGTCCATGTACAACATTTCTGGAACCGATGATGGCGCTGGGGAGGTATCGTATGTCATGACAAGAGCTGCAGGAGGCGGCACAGTCCTTGGTGGGACCTATGAAAAGGGTAATTGGGATCCAAACCCTGACCCTAGAACAAGCGAGCGCATCATCAAAAGGTGCGTGGCCCTCCGTCCTAGCATGGTGGATGGAAGAGGGGAAGGCGGCATCAAGGTTATTCGCTCAAGTGTTGGTCGGCGGCCGTACCGGAAATCAGGTGTCCGATTGGAGGCAGACTTTGCGGCCTGTAGTGACGGGACACTTGTCGTTCACAACTATGGACATGCTGGGTGGGGTTATCAAGGCTCTTATGGCTGTGCAGAATATGTTGTCGAGATTGTAAAAGATTTTGTTAAACATGGTAGTAAGAGAAAGCAGCTAACGTTAGAGGCTAGACTCTAAGTTGTTATACAATGAATTAGAGTATAGTTTAAGAATAAATTATAAAATATAATAAATGACCATGATGAATTATAAATTATAATAAAAAGAAACATAAGCTTTTGTAGATTACCCTTGTGCAGTGTATAGCATGAGTGTCGCGTTGTCAAAACCTTCATACATCTATACTTCATAGACACGCAGCAAGCGCGATAGGCCATTTCCTAAAATGAAGCAATTCGTTGATGCAATTATTTTTGATCTGATGGCTTGATTGGAGATGATATAAAACTAAATCTAGTTATGTACATGGAGGCCCAGAAGCCTTCTTGGGCTCTTTGGGTGGCTTACATACATACAGTAGTAGCCACTCGCCCAAAGCCACTGAACAGTCCCCAGCTGCCCCCCTCTGGTCAACCAGCACTGTTGCAACTCGGGCGGGGGCAGCTTTATATTCAGCTCCAAGCCGGGTAGAGTCAAGGGGGGGCAACTATGTGGAACAAAACAAAACTTTGTCGCGTATGAGGTGGCCAATAGCGCGTGCACGATGAGCTCGCGCCCCCATACTCATCTGCAGCGTCCAAGGGGCTCGAAAAGGACGCTCTGAGTCAAGGTTGGCCATGACCCACGGGCATTTCTCCGAGATGTGAAAAGAGTCGCACCAGACGGTGTGATGGTGACTTGTGAGACTGGCGCGGGATACACAAGCGGCATCGACGGCCCGCGCGGAGGCTTCAGCCGAAGTCGCGGCTGCCACGAAGCTGTCATGGGTTGGATGGCATGATGCAGATCAAGATTTCAACGCCGAGTCGCTGAGTTGACCATGGGCAGCGGCCATTCTGAGACTCATTGCTGCGCCGGGACCAACAAGGAGTGATGGCTAGCACAACAAGCACACCACTTACAATGGAACGCACCAACAGTCTCACTTGCCGACCAGACAATCAAAGCCACACAATGTGACCTGGCTTCAGCTCGTGCCGTGACTCGGGCATTCATCCATACATGTCACACAGAGCGTTTATTGTCACTCGTCCAGTTGCACGATTGGTTGATGGAGGGGAAATCCAGTGGCCTTCGCTCATGTCGAACAAATAGTAGGCGCGTACATCGGCTTGAAAGAAGACAAGGCAAGTCAGCCATGGGAAAAACTATAAGAAGGACCCGTTGGTGTCCATTTTATCATCCCAAACACCAACAGTCGGCAACAATCCCTTCACGCCAGGAGCTTCATTGTCAACGGCTCGCCGCAATGAGCGAACCAGCAACAGAACCAGACCCTACCGAGCGCGCCTATTTAAAGCGAGGCCGCGGCAGAGCTACTTTCAACATGGACGCAACTCACATGCGGATGTTGCAGAAAGCAGTTGACGGGTGCTCTAAAAAACGTTGGCATAACGATCGCCAGTATCTCAATACCTCGCGCACTCACGATCATGTCCAGGCGGATATCAAGCTGCGGAAGCTGACTGCTAATGATTCCACTTCCATCTGTCTGGAAGTGTTTGAACGCCTCATTCCGTCATTCTACAAACTGGAGTCGTTTCTCCATGCCCAAGGGCTAGAAAACAAACATACCGGAATCATGTGGAGTATGTTGAGCCTCATGATGCAGGTACGTCATTCTCAGAGTCACCTTGAACGACCCAAAGACTAAAAGACCAAAATAAGAAATACACCAAAAGAAATGCCAAATTTTTTTCTCTTGCTTGCAGCTTCGAACAACTCAGTTGGAGTGTTTACGAATTCAATGGGTACTGCACCAGTGCCCCGAAGGCCGCGCAGCTCGCCCTCAACATATTTGCTGTTTTGATTCGCCTTCAGCGCTGCTGCATCGAGTGCCTGCCAGAAATGGCATCCTCTAGTATGTTAATCTCGCCTTGGCTCAAACGCAAAAATAGCTAACGAAATTCCACAGAGCCGCGGCGTCGGCGGGCGTTTCGTGGTCGCATTCCAACTGGTCAGCGAAACAAGGTTAAACAGAACTTCGACAAGCACAAGAAAAATGTCGCTGCATGCGTGAACCGCTCGGGGTCACCAGTTGAAGCTCGATGGAGGATCCTTGATATGCAGAAGATAAGGGCCCAATCCTCCATTAGCCACCTAGTTGACTTGGCGAAAAAGCAGGTCAAGCTTGGCAACCACCGTGACGAGCTGCAGCGACTGCAACAGCTTTTGTCTCTGACACGGGACCAGCCTGTTCCCCGGTTTACATCCCCGATTTCCTACCTCCCTGTAACGCGAAATGCACGCTACTTCGAGAGGGAATGGATCACGGAGAGGATCGATCATCATTTCAGCAGCCAGGCCCTTGCGGCCGCCGAAGGCGTCCGCACAGTCGCACTTCATGGACCCGTGGGCGTAGGAAAGAGTCAAGTCGCGCTTGAGTACGCCTACAAGAAGGCCAAATCTCTTGCAGTTTTTTGGATTAGAAGTGAAACGACAGAGTCCCTAGCATCGAGCTTTTTTGAGGTGGCAAACGCTTTAGGTCTTGAGGGCGCTGCGCCATCCAAATACGTTGAGAATCGCATCCTAGTTCTCAACTGGTTGCAGAAAACTGGCAAGTTCTCTCTCTCTCTCTCTTCATCTTATTTGGACGCTTGACTGACAACAGCAACAGAATATCAGTGGCTTTTGGTGTATGACAATGCGCAGAACTTCGATTCGCTGTTGCCGTATTGGCCTGTGGCTGACCGGGGCCGCGTTCTCCTCACCACACAAAATCACCACCTCGCTCACGAGCCCGCTGAAATCGGCATAGAGATGCGCCCATTCAACACACAGTTGGGGGCTAGCTTCATTCTTCACCTTATGTCCTTCGATCCTGTCGCAGGTATTAAGTTCGAGGATTTGATAGCATGGTCCCGTGAGCTGTCGGACAAATTACGCGGCCATGCACTTACCATCACCCTAGCGACGAGAGTAATGGCCATTGAATGTTACAGTATCCCGATGCTCATCGCACAATACGACGACCATGTCACGAACACACGAAGCACACACTTTCAAGACTGTTTTTCTGGCGTCTGCCAGCTCCTCTTCAAGTCTTTGACTGGCCACTTCGCTGACATGCTAGGCATCATGTGCTATCTATCGCCGAGCTCGATCCCGATATGCTTATTTCAGTCGCATCTATTCGGTGATTCTATGGAAACACTAAGCTCTTCTGAGAAGGACCTCTTGTAAGTCATCTAGAGGCCTTTCGCATCCTGTTCTTTGCTAATCTTGGTTTCTAGTATCAAAAACACGATTAAATATCTGGTAGAACGGAATCTCGTTCAACACAACGAGTCAACAGGCTCCCTCTCTGTGCACCGGCTTGTGCAGTGTCGCTATCGTGGATTCTCAGATCTGCAGAGCAATCGGCGATTCTTCGAAAAAGCAGCGCGCTTGCTTCTTGAGGCTGTTTCTCCGTCACAAGAGATCACGGCCTCGCCACACGAATGGAGGCCCATGTCTAATTCTCAGCTATACCTTGAGCACGTCCTCAACCTCAGGAACCAATACAATATTGACAGACGATCACTAGTTCCTACTTTGGACTTTGTCAAACTTCTTGGTAGCCTCGCAAGGTAGGTACTACAGCACTTCGAGCCTTGTCGATGCCCAGTTTCAGATGCTCACAGCTAGTAGATTTCTTCTCGACTCTGCCTTTTACAAGAAAGCGGAGAATACAGAACTCATTGCAAGGGAGGCTTTCCAGGAGCTTTGCGAAGAAGATGAGAGGGTATCGGCGGACCTCAATATCTTGCAAGCTTTGTCACTGGCGCACCAGGGTTCCTTTTCCCGTGCCAAGGGTCTCCTTGATGAGACGTATCTCTATACGCTGGCCAATGCTTTCCCTCCCGCCGAACTCCAACTAAGCCGGGCATTCACCATTATGGGAAACGTGGAAGCATCGTTGGGTAACATTGTTTCGATGCGTTGGCATGCAAAGGCAATCAAGCAAAGGCTGGATGGTTACAGAAGGGAACCGCCTAAGCGAGATGACGAACACGCTGCAATCCCGTTATTGGAAAAGGTCCAGGCTAACTTGGGAAGATTCTTTTTCGGTGACTCGGATGACTTGGATGACCGGGATGAAGTTGGCCTCTCGCCTGTTGTCGCATTGGCTTATGCCTCTGACTCTCGTTACTGGGTCATGCGTGCATAGTGAGTACACTTCTCGTTCGGACTGCAAGGAGCAGAGCTGACAGAATTGGTCCCAGCGAACACTTCAGGCTCGGAAATCTTGCCCGCAGAGTGGAGGAGTTCGAAAAGGCTCATGAGGAGTATGCAAACGCGCGACAACTATGGCGTCATGGGACCAGGTTGGACACGCACCATTTCCATGGCGCGTGCTTGTACAAGCTCGGCTGTGTCGCATGCGATCGATGTGAATTTGAGTCTGCCAGGTTTGTGATTTTCGACACCGACGCGCAAAACGCATACAAGATCTAATGTATCCGCACAGTGTTTTTTTGCGGGCATCTCTGACCATTGCAAAACTGCACAAGGAAGCCCTCGCAGGAGACTATGCGAGGGTGCTGTACAAGCTCTCTGTCGTCTTACGACTCCAACCAGGCAACGAATTCGAAGCTGAGGGAATGGCAGAGGAAGCAAGGGTGATAGTAACATGCCGTCTTGGGGGCAGCCAGTGGAAAGACAGCGAGGCGGTGTACGACAAGCTGGTATACATACTATGGCGCTAGAATGTGACGTGCAATGGCCGGTTCTGGTCGTCTGTGCCAGAGCTAGCACCCGGCTTCTCATTTTCTATGTTTATTGATATTGAATTAGAGCTCTTTGATCAAGGCAAAGTATAGCTTGTTTACCGGGTGTTTGCGGCATATGCTCCCGCAGAACGGCTGGTTGGCATGTCGAGACTGACTGATATAAGCTAGAGTTACCCTGTAGCCGTCATCGATGAGCGTCACAATTATTTCCAAGCTCAGGCCCGCGACTTGTAAAGCTCATTCAAATACTCAATGCGCTTCAATTGCCAATTTATTGACGACGTCCTCTTCTATAGTAGGCACCATCGACTGGGAAAGGAGCGGCACCGTGCCCGTACTCTTTCTTCTGCGCCTCATGATCCAAAATTTCCATCTGCAGCTCTGCTATTCTCAGTTCAAATTGCTGGATCTGGGTGGCAATACTGCTTCAGTTCCTCAGAGAGGTTCAGGGTCTTGATATTCCGACGCTCTTGCGCCACGGAGCCAGTCCTCGCGACTAGACTGAGTAAACTTTGCTCCAGGCCGTCCACGATATCGACCATTTCCTGAAGTTTATCCCTCACTCGAGTCAGCTCAGCGGTGAGTCTATGCAGGTGCTCCTGTAGTACTGTTATGATAGCTACCATTGTATACAACGTCAGGGCGGCAAGGCTGGAACTTGTTAACAGGGAGACCGCTGGACGTCCCGATGCGGCACATCTACATACCTCGGCTCGCTCTTTAATGGATCAGGGCATGAGTGGTTACGGCGAGCTGGTTGCTGTGTCTGAAAGAGAATTAGAAGAAGAGAGAAGGAGAAATGAAGATGCGAGCAAGAGAGGAGGAATCGGCATTTATCGAGATGCGTGAGAGCAACAAGCGACATCGCACATCACAGCGAGGGTACAGTGTGCAATTGCATAAAACACCGACTCAATTTTGCTCGGCTGTCGAGGATCCTGAATATAGGTGCAAAGGACTCACGTGTGACGCTGGAGGCTGCTGGTTCCTGATGAGTGGCTAACTAACGAACGAGGATGCGAGCATGCAGTGCCACGTAACAAATGGACGTACAAAAGAGCGATGCAAGAGCAATAAAAGAATGGAGACTGAGTGATGCAAATAAGCAAGCTAGATTATCTATCTTTCTAAATTACGCCAACACTTATGTCTTCCCACAGTAGTACAGGGTATGGGCACCGCACTGTACTGACCTACAGCGCTACACCCACTACACGATAAGACCCCGCCCGCGGTTTGCAAACGCCTGCCTTTTTGTTTCCTCAACCAAACAGTCTTCATCTCTCGAGCATCAAAGAACTGGGCTTCTACGACTCTCATAATTTTGACGCGTTTATACCTGCCCCCCTCCCCCACCGCCAATTACCAGTGTGGAACGTAACATACGACGATGATATGCGTGTCGCCCTCTTGGTAGCGTGCAAAGTTTGTCCCAGGCTACGAGTCGACAGGATGATTGGCATGCCTGAGTGAGTACCAAGGCTGCGTACGTAGTCGTCATGAGTGTCGCTGTATGCGTCTGTCGCGTGTACTATGATGTATGTACTAACAATTGCCAAAATATTGGATAGAATCGATGGAGCTGGACCGTTTCAACCGATCTCAACCCTCGACTGCCAGTGTCGAGCTTCGAGCAACCCGCCCGAGTCCAGAACCATAGGCCAGTGCCACCTGGAGTCTGAGGAACAGCGCAAATTGAGAGACGATTTCGAAGTCAGAACAAGACTCTGGAATTTCGCAGCGTCCGCTCACTAGTAGCGGCCGCCTCACCGTTGGCCCTTGGCTAAGAAGGGCTATTCCAGCCGGCGAGGCGCCCAAGTCGGAGAACCCTGTGACTATTCGTATCCGTCGAGCGCAATAGTTCGCCATATTTAAGAGACCGAAATTACGCCAATCTTGTTCGCCCCTATCGCGATACAAAGATGCTGGAGCGCACGAGGGGGGGCCGCCCCAAGATACGCTCGTGGATACCGCGGCGAAGCAAGTCCTCCGATACAGGCCACTCCGCATTAGCCCTGCTGATCTGTCTAAGCCGGATGTAACTGCCGTCTACAGCGGCTCGCGAATCAAAAAGTGGGCAGGCTGTGTCTGGATCGCAGCTCCATCAAACGGCACCGCTCCGATTGGCCGTCCGCCGATGCGGGTCGGACTGGACGGCACGATGGATACCAGCTGGACGAGCTACCGGGGAACCAGTTATTATTAGTGAGGCTACGGCGACGCAGCTTACTTGCTACGGGGATTTGACGTCAGCACCGTGTGTACAGAATTGGGGGCCGGTGACATGCCCAGCCAGAAAAACACTTGCCGCCGTCTTGGTGGGCTGCGGTACAAGCCGTCGTTATGACTTACCCGTGCTGGGTCTGGCATGCGTCAAGTTGCAGGCACGACGCAGCTGAGTCTACCCCTCAGCGCCGTGGCGTCTTTGTTTCTCGCAAATACATAAACCGGTCGGGTCTGCCCTCGTGCCAAGTTTCCCTCTCCCCTACTCTTCTTTCTTCCGCTTGTTTATCTCCCCACACAGCCATGGCAGCCATCAGCATCGCCGACCGCCAAGCCGCTTCGGCGCCGGCTCCCGATACCATCACCACCGCCGACTTCAACGTTGCCGACATGGCCCTATACGGACTAAAGCGCGCCCGCGCCCGCCTCACTGCCCTAGATGCCAAGCCGGTATGGGATGCCGCCGACACAGCCTCCTTCGACTGCATGCACTACCTCGGCGACACCGCCCTGCACGCGGCCGCCCGAGCCCTCCGCCTGCAACCTGGCGCGCGCGTCGTTGACGTCGGCGCCGGTTTCGGCGCCACCGGCCGCTTCCTCCATCGCCACTACGGCGCCGACGTCACCGGCATCGAGCTGCAGTCCGCCATCCACGACCTCGCCGAGACCATCACCGCGCGCAACCGGCTTTCCGCCCACGCGCGCTCCCTCAACGCCGACTTCACCACCCTCGCGCCTGCCGCCGTCGGCGCGCCCGTCGACCACGTCGTATCGTTCCTCTGCATCTTGCACATCCCCGACCGTGCCGCCGTCTTCTCCAAGACGGCGTCGTTGCTGCGGAGAGACGGCGGCATCTATGTGGAGGACTTCTTCGCGCGGAAAGAGCTGGACGCGGAGATGGTGCGAAAGCTGCGCGACGTGGTGTCGTGCCCGTACCTGCCGAGCCGCGAGCGGTACGTGGCGGACCTGGAGGGCGCGGGCTTCGGGGACGTGGTGTTTGAGGAGGTGACGGACGCTTGGGCGGACTACGTGCATGCGCGCGCGATCGAGTACAGGCGGTCGTCGGAGCCTGAGCCGTTTCTGATGACGTTTTACGATACCATTGATGAGTTATTCCAAGGGGGGAAGCTAGGAGGTGCTCGGATCATGGCGAGAAAAATAGAGTAGATGGGGATTAACGGGGGCTTAATAGAGGCGGCTGGATGCCAAGAATGGTTTCCAACTGAGGTCGAACTTTAACACTGAAAGATTTCGTCTGCAAAAAGTGTGGGTGACCCAAACATCATAATAGACTCGTCGAAATTGTGAAAGTATTAGATGCTTTTAGTCATCATTTCATCTTCAAAACGATACTGTCAAGACATGCATCACTATTTGCTTTCCTGCGACACCTCCTCATCCCCTCTCCCATCCTACTCATCCTCATCCTCCTCCGAGTCGCTGCGTACGTCCTCCGCCCTGTGACCCTGTACAATCTTGACGATGATCCTGACGATGAACGTGAACCACACCATCATCATCGCCTGCAGAGCCAGCAACAACACCAAGAACGCGTTGCCCACGTCTCTGCCGAAGCACACCCGCCCAGTCGGGTCCGCGAACGGCTCCCAGAAGCGCCGCCAACCTTCCGCCTCTGCTGCCCGCAGGCTGCCCGCCGACCCGCGGAAGCACGCGTCGGGCGTGAGCCGCGGCAAGTCCGCATACACGCTCCAGCAGGTGACCAGGAAGAGCACGTGGCGGGCTCCAACCCACGACAGCACGAAGAAGCCAAAGAGCACATCGCAGATCCAGGTGAAGCCGAGGTACTTGAGGCACTTGGCCAGCTGCGAACATCCCATGTTAGCGAGACGGCCAGAGAGGGGTGGGATGGAGGACGGACACACCGGGAGGAAGAGGTCGATGACGTCCATCAGGACCATGATCAGGTTGCCGACTTTGGTCTGGTGGTACGCGTACGCAGCCGTGATGAGGGCGACGGTGACGAGGTGGTGGCCCAGCATCTGCGCGTGGTCCTTGCGCCGCCGCTCCAGGTGAATCACCAGCACCTGCTGCGCCCAGAACGCGAGCTGCGCGAGCGTGTACGCCTTCATCGGGCCGGCAATCTCGCGCCGCGGCCAGTCCGTCCACAGCGCCTCCATGTCGAGGAAGTAGCCCGAGCCGCAATACAAGTACTGTTACACCCGCGTCAGCAAGAGGCAGACGGGGGAGAGGGCGGAGGGGGAGGAGGTACGCACCATCCCAAAGGGCCAGAAAATGTTGTAGTAGAGGAGCATCCACGCCTGCTCGGCGAACCGCGTCGCGTCGGCGGGCCGGGCGACGCCCCAGCGGGCGGCCAGCGGCGAGAGAACCAGCTTCATGGCGGCGGCGCGCAGGCCGGTGAGCAGCAGCACGACGAGGAGCACGAGGAGCAGGTCGCCGGGGCCGACGGCGTACAGGCCCGTCCGCGGGTTATGCGACGCAAGCGCGCGGAGCCGGGCTTTAAGCGAGGAGGAGGCTGCGGCGCTGACGCCGTCCGCCACCGCCGGCTCCGGGGCGTACACGTGGGTTGCTGCCAATAAGGCGGCAATGAGGCCGAATGAGAGCGCTTGGGGGGGCGCGTGTCGGTCAGTTTCGGGGGGTCTTTCGGCTAACAGCGCTGGGTTGCCGCTTACATATTTGCCGTTCTTCCAGCCATTGTGCCCATTCAGATAGCTTCCTCGAACGGTTGGCCGCCGCGGGCTTGAGCTGCTTGTCGGCTTCGACTCTCATCGCTGCAGGGACAAGTAACAGGGAATTTTTTCTGCAACGAAGAAAAAAAGAAGGAAAAAGGAAGAAAAATCTCACTCTGGTATAAACAAGGCTCTAGGCAACCACAATAAATAAAAGGGGACGAACCACACAGAGGCTGGGGGGCATGAGGGGCGGCCGCTCCATAGTGGAGAGATTGCTGCAAGCCATTCGTCAAATTGTCTTGTCAATAGCTGCAGCCTCGGGCCATTTCGAGGGCAGATCCGACTGAGATCGTAAATCTTGAATCCAACGGCAACCAATGCATTGTATGCAGATTCAGACTGTCTGTTTGGCTAGCTTGCCAAGACGCTGCTGCTGAGACCAGCCCTATCGCGAAGCTTGCCTGTTTCAGCCTGGCGGGCAGAGCTGAAGTGGCAGAGCTGAAGAGGAGCTGCAGATCTCTCCAAGGCTCAAGATAAACTATATAACTAGTGTATAACGCCGCGAGCCGACCCAAGCTCAAGACTTGTCAATTATATCCCATCTCAACCCACAAAGCAGCCTCGCCATGGTCACGCAACCCGCACCCGTGGACAAGGGCCTCACCGTCCACCGCGAGGCCACGCTGCGGCAGCTCGCCGAGTACGCGGCCCGGCTGCTCGACGACATCGAGACGCCGCACGCCGACGAGCACGCCTACGCCGCCCTGCTCGCCGACAACGTGCGCCGCGTCGCCGCCCGAGCCTGCTGGATCGTCCGCTCCGCCGTCAACCCGTGCGAACAGGAGCGCATCCTCGCGCTCGCGAACCCCTGGCTGCACGAGATCCGCGACCGCCTTGAGTCCCGCGCCCGCACTAGAACCGACGACGCCGACGGCACGGCCCGAACCGTCGTCACCGAGTGGGTGTTTGACGACGCCGACCTCACGAGGCTCACGCTGCAGGCGGACAGGATCGTCGCTGAGGGCGTCGCCATTGACGAGTGAGTTTTGCTTGCCTCGCCGTTTCTTTGCCTCGGTGCTGTTGAATTGTTAACGCCCCCCCGCTCTCAGCGCGCGTCGTGCGCACAACCCGCCCAAGGCCCCGGCCATCCTCTATGAGGACAAGCTCGAGGACCTCCGCGATAGGCTCATGCCGGAGCGCTACCTCGGCCCGTGGATCAAATTCGCCGGCATCCGGCAGTGGCTCGACCACTGCGACGTCGAGCACACCGCCCACTGCCAACTCTCGGCCCGCAGCCGCGACATCTTCGCCCACCACCCAAAATGGCTCGTCGACGTCGAGCGCCGCTGTCTGGTCCCGGCCCGGCCCGGTCAGCGTTACCTCGCGCTCAGCTACGTATGGGGTCCGAACGCCTCGTTCCAGACACTGACGAGCAACGTCGAGGCACTCCAGCACGAGGGCGCCCTGGTTCCGTTCCCGCCAGGCGCCGCCGACGATCGTGAGGAGCTCGGGGCGAAGAAGCGACATAGCATCGCAGGCCTAGACAGCTTAGCCCGCACAGTCTCGGACGTCATCGAATTTGTCGACCGTCTCGACGAGCCGTATCTTTGGGTCGACGCCCTCTGCATCGTCCAGGACGACGAGGCGCACAAGCAGGAGCACCTCGCTCACATGGGGAGCATCTACGCCAATGCCTACGCCACCATCGTTGTCGCTAACGGTGCCGCGCACCACGGCCTCTGCGGCATCCAAGACATTACGCTGCCGATGCGCCGCACCCGGGGCAGCACGCCGTACACGCCGTCGTATGTGCGCCGGCCAGGCTCCCTGGCGGCGGCGGTGCAGCGACACATGGGCACGATGCAACGCTCCGTGTGGAACAAGCGCGCGTGGACGTTCCAGGAGCAAATCTTTTCGCGGCGGCTCATCATCCTCGACGACAGCGACGTCACCTGGGAGTGCCACTGCAGCGTGTGGCTCGAGGGCGTCAAGGCTGTTGAGGCCCAGTGCGCCCGCAACACCGCCGTCGTCGCCGAGGGCTTCTCCTTCCACATGAATCCCAAGTTCCGCGACTATGCGGACCATGTGCGGCAGTACAACCGACGACTGCTCAGCTATCCGGAGGATTCGATGGATGCGTTCGCGGGCATCCTCACTGTGCTGCAGACTACGTTTCTCGGGGGGTTCCTGTGCTGTCTACCAGTCATGTTCTTCGATACAGCTCTGCTATGGTACAATGAGGGCGTGGTGGACGAGCGCGTGCCAAGGCACCGCCGCCACGGGGACGGGCTGGCTCCAACGTGGTCGTGGGCTGCGTACAGTGGCAATGTTGCGTTTCCCGACTTCTCCACGGCTAAGGAAGGGGTCCGACCTCTCGTGCGGTGGAAATACTGTCGCGGTGACGTGAAGAGGTGGTTACCGGTGCTCTCGCTGGAGAGGCAGCAGCCCGAGAAAAGGTTTCCAACGGCGGCAGAATTACAGGAGCTTGTCCAAGCCATGACTCTGGAAGACGGCGGCCCGGCGCCTGCAGGCGAGCCCTCTTTCCCTCAAGGCACCGGCATCACGCACCACAATATTCTGCATGCGCGGCCCGAACGAGCCGTGTTCAATGTCTTGGAGTTCTATGGCGACGCAGGTGTTCCGCTGGTGGGTGCATCTGGAGAGTGCGTGGGCGTGCTTACGCCGTGCAAGAAGCTAGGCAGCCATGCCGTAGATGCCAAGACAGTGATTTCGTGCGAGCTGGTAGCCGTTTCCGAGTCGTTTATCAACGGCATGGAAACGTACAACGTGCTCTGGATCGAAAAGAAGGGCAACGTATACGTACGCAAGGGCGTGGGCCGGATCCTCAAATCCGACTGGGTGAGCCAGAAGCCAGGACGACTAGACTTGCTGCTAGTATAGCAGGCGTGGTGATTGCAATCACTCTCTATAGATTCGAATTGTTGTCGACCCAAATGCAAATCGAAACTCGAGCCTCCCGGCCATGGGTGCGGACCTCCACGCAGCAGAGATGGAGCGTATGAAAGGGTTACGCGCGGCTCGATCCACGTCATCCACCATTTCAATTACTGTCCCTTCATAGCGAGTACGAGAGTCCGGAAGCAGGTAGTCCTTTTCTGCAAACATCAAGTGCGTGGGGGACGCACAGGCTCTAACGCTGTCAACGCCAATTCGGCATTCCCCGACCGCTCGTCTCTTGCCACAGTCGTAATAAAACATGATACCTCTGCAGCATTGCGTCTTTGGGTCGTTGTAGACCTCCGCAAGTCGGACCATTTCTAGGCGGGTGGTGGAGTAAACCTGGTACCGGGGAAAACGCACAACACCATCCAGACGCGCCTGCGCGGCCGGCTGGGACATTTTATCCTGATGGTATCCTGGATAGGTGGCAACAACGGAAATTCCGGACAGTTGCTCTTGCTGAATCATCTGCGGGTGAGGAATCAGGTGTCCGGTACGTACGTTATGGATCAAGAATGGCCTCTTTCTAGTGCGACAGATGGTGTACTCATCGGCCAAGGGGTGTCTGTATCCAATCTCAATGATGCCCTGCTGCTTCATATAGAGCTGGAATTCCCGAGTCAGTCAGCCGGTTTGTAACCTCAGGGACGAATACATACGGCAAGACAAGGACCGATGGCTTGATCTTCTTCTCTGGTTTTGCGATTCCGTAAGCAGTAACCTCTCATTTCTTCTCCTTCGGGGAAGGGAACGTAGATCCATAGCACAGCCTTTTGGTGTGTTAGAGGAAGGCTCTCGAATGTCCGCCGTGCATCACTATCCCAGGGTGTATTTAGATGAGGATGCACCGCAACGATGTGACCGACATGGAAGAAGAATGTGAGGCCAAAACAGCTGCTAGTGTCGACTGAGGAAAACCTAGTTAATTCGTGATCTGGAGGGAGATGCAATGGAGCATAGAGTTTCAAGGGCATGGGATTATCCCACAAAACGAGATTCACTCCGTCAGCTATAGTCAGACGACAGTGACCACCCTACTCAAGTCAGTAAACTTGGTTGGTTAGGATGACCAAGCTTGACTTACAACTAACGACGCCTTGACCGATGTGAACTTGTGTGATTCTTCGACTACAAAGAGCTTGCGGAGGTAGGTGGAGTGCATAGGCTCTCTGATTTTATCAAGGCGCTCAATCTGCTGAATACCGCTCGAGTCGATAGTGACACGGACAAGGTCATCCTCGGTTCCTTGCGGGACCTGCAACGGCCAAGCCATGCCGCGACCCCAGTACTTGATATCGGTAAGGGCCATGGATACAGGCGGTTGGCTCGGTGCCGTGGCATGGGTGAGCTCTCGGGCGCGGCTCATGACAGCAATGTACCGAGTGGAGAGGGTGTTGCGCGTTTGGGCGACGATCATCAGGCAAATCTCGAGTGGTAGCCGCGCGACCGCAGGCAAGTTCCACGCGCGAGCGGCATCCTGGCTGGACATGCGCTCTTGAAAGCTGTACGGCAGGCCGGTGTCCTGGCATTGCAGCCAGGGATCCATGACGACCGAGGCCAGCCAGAGGCGGTGGATCTTGTCCGGGGCCGCGCACTCGCGGACGAAGAGCTTGAAGCAGTCGACGTGGACGGTAGCGCTCTCATCGCTGTTCTGGCAGGTGGTGCAGCCGAGGAGCTTGCAAAAGGTGGCCTGGACCTTGTACCACTGCTTTGCGAAGGGGCGGGCGGTGGCGGTTTGGGCATCATAGATTTGAAGACGGCCGCCTCGCCTCGTGACTTTGTTTCCGACATGTAAGCATACACTTGAAGTAGTGTGGGAGCTTTTATTTGGCTTGTATAGACTTACTTGCTAGCATGCGGTCGTATTGGTGAAAGGGCATCTGGCAGGCGCCGCAACGGCGATGGATCTGGGTATGGGGACGCAGAACGGCGTGGCCGGCACCCCAGGTGCTGTCGGAGGCGGCGACGGGAAGCTCGCGGGCGGGCGAGCCTTGGCGGACGGCTGAGGCGTTGTTGGCGTTGTCGTCCCCGGACAGGTAGCCGTCGCTGTGATCATGGTAACCCATGATAATGGCTAGAGGGGAGGCCATTGTGGATTTGTGGAGGGACGAGACCGGTGGGCTGGTGGGAGGCAGGGAGACCCAGCGCCCAGTGGCTGGTTTCCCAGAGTCGACAACAATGAACTGTTGCGGGATGGGTCACGATAGTTGGTTAACGGGCGTTGAGAAAGGGGTGTGCGGGGGAGGCGGAAGCCACGGCGGGTTTGGCGATGCGATGTGGTGGGTTGGGTGTCTGAGAGGAGGGCCAACGGGCCACAGCGGTGGATGCACGCTGAGCAACAGGGCTTCAGCGCAGGTCAGGGCTCGTGGGGTGGGCCTGCGCAAGCCTCATCTGGGTGGCGCCACCCAAGCTCCTTATTACATAGCACTTGCATCAATCACAGAATGCACTGGGCATTAACTAGCGGCAAGTACCTTTTTTGTCTGCGAAAGTCTAAACCGCTTGAAGCCTTCTTGCTAAAATTCCATGATTATCTATTCAAGTCAAGAGAAATGTATACAAGATATACATACATGCTCAACTGCTCAAGCAGTTCTCTGCCACAGTTTGTGAATGGTCAATGTGATTACTTAAGCACACCGTTTCTGTCGGCTGCAATGTAATGATTATAGCCTTTTCCCCCGCAGACTATGCCCCCTAGGACAGTAATTATCTAAGAGCTTTGATATTGAGAATCAAAATGCCATATTTCCATTCAGGCTACGGCTTTGTGGCTAGTTCCGGCCGGGTACCTGGCGTCACATCCAGAGTAAAGTCTTGCCTATCAATAATCAGAACGCTGCAGCCGTTGACAGCGGCCGCTGCAACGTCTTGTCACGATGAATGCTAATAAATCCTAGATCCGTCCCTAGATCCGTGACCACTGTTCATCCCTTGATCACTCCAAGAAGCTGTGATCAAAATGGCTTCCTGGTAGAAACGCCGAGCTGTCCCCGAAAGCCGCTACCGGGGGCTTCCAAACCCGGATGTGGAGCACAAAAAAAAAGAAAGACGTTTTAACTTATAAAAGACGAGTCGTCCGCTCCCGGAAGACAAAAGAGTCATGCAAAACTTGCAACCTATATCACCCTCAACCCCTCCTCGTTCCTCTGTTGCAATCGATCGCGTCCCATTCTTCTTTCTATTCTTTCTTTCCCCTTCGTAGGCCATTACTTGGACAAAAACGTGCTTTGTGTCACACATTTCTCCGCAGATTTGCTAGCTTCGAGGCTCAACGCTCATTAATATACCACCGTTGTTGACCTACCAAGCTCTTGCACTCTTGCTGCTTTTTCCCTCTCGTTTCCTAACCCCCTTCAAGGTGAAAATTCAGGACAATAAACTCACTCAACAACAAATCCCTCAATACGACAACGCAATGGCCGCCAACGACCACGTCCTCACGCTGTCCTGCCCTGACCGGCCCGGCATCGTCCACGCCGTTACCGGCGTCTTCGCCTCGCGCGGGCACAACATCCTGGACCTGCAGCAGTTCAGCGACCCCATCTCGGAGCGCTTCTTCATGCGCGTGCACTTTGGCCCCGCGCCGGCTGCCGAGGGCATCGACGCCTCCTCGACGTCGCACCTCGAGCCCGCGTTCGCCGCGCTCGCCGCCGAGTACTCGATGGAGCTCGACGTACGGCCGGCGGCTCGCAAGACTCGCGTGCTGCTCATGGTGTCCAAGATCGGCCACTGCCTCAACGACCTCCTCTTCCGCATGAAGACTGGCCAGTTGCAAATCGAGGTAAGCCTAATTCAGGTTAAAAAGGAAAGAAAAAGGCAGGCCCCGCTGACAGAGACCCCTAGGTCCCCCTCATCGTCTCCAACCACCCCGAGTTCGCCGCGCTCGCCAAGAGCTACGACGTGCCGTTCCTGCACCTCCCCGTGACCAAGGACACCAAGGCGCAGCAGGAGGCGCGCGTGCTCGAGCTCGTGCTACAGCACGAAATCGAGCTCATCGTGCTCGCGCGGTACATGCAGGTGCTGTCGCCGACGCTGTGCGCGGCCATGAGCGGGCGCATCATCAACATCCACCACTCGTTCCTGCCGAGCTTCAAGGGCGCGCGGCCGTACCACCAGGCGTACGAGCGCGGCGTCAAGATTATCGGCGCGACGGCGCACTTCGTCACGGCGGACCTCGACGAGGGCCCCATCATCGAGCAGCGCGTCACCCGCGTCGACCACGTCATGGGCCCCAAGCAGCTGACCGAGGAAGGGTCCAACATGGAGAGCCAGGTGCTGGCGGCGGCGGTCAAGTGGTACGCGGACCGGCGCGTGTTTCTCAACGGGTCCAAGACCGTTGTCTTTGATTAGAGCGGGCGGCGAATGCAATGCTCGGGAAAGGTCCCTGGAGTCTCGGGACATCACCGGGGTCTCGGGCTATATGGAGCTCGCTGAGCAGGGGTGTCGGGGTGTGGGAGTAAGCGGAGCGGCGTATGAGGACAATGCACGGATGCAGGCGGATTAGAAAAGGCACAGGGACAGATAGACGACAGACCAAAAAAAGAAAAAAATGGACGATTATGCTGATGAGTGTGAGATGAGCTCAGTGGAGCATCGATGAAGGTGATGCGGAATATTCTGTCCAACTAAGAAGGTCTGTCTCGGCTCCGATCCCCTCAGTTGACAGTCAGCCGCACAGTGGACTCCGATACCCCGGTAATTCAGGGTCAGCCGAAGAGATTGGTCCGGAAGCAGTCACGTCGAGCTGGGCCGTGATGTTGTGTTTTAGTTCGAGCCGTACATTTTCCAATTGGCCATAGAAATGTCGTGATTCGCACTGACATCAACAGGCCGCGCTTTGGAAAGCTTGGGTCCTTGTTTGTGACATCTACGGATTAGTCAAAATAAGCTACCTTTAACCTGTCTCCAGTAAACGGCCGCAGGCTAAAATAGTCTAGCGACGGGCGTAGGTCTTGATTATTTATTTGAGCATTGACTCTAGAATTGCGAAGAATGAAAACCAGCGGTTTCGAGGGCCGCGGTGCTACATTCCAGAAGAAGCAACCCAAACCAACCCCATCGCCGCGCATCCCTATCCCTGCAAGCTGGACGCCTCATTCGACTGACTGCCGACAGCCCTGTCGCGGCGCAGATACTCTGTAACTGAGACAATCCTCAGCCTCCTGCCTACCCAGATTCTTTGGTACAAAGGAAGCGCTTGGCACATGAAATCCGTGCAGCTTCGGATGCGAGTTATTATAGCTCAGCAACCGTTATTGGCTAGGTCAACAGCCCAGTTCCGCGGGGGCATTCAAGACAAATCATGACCCCGAGAAACTGGGTCCTGCGAATGACGTGGGATCCCGCCAACACTAAAAAATGAGCCAGGGTCCAAGAGAAACAAAAAGGACCGAGTGTTTTTCGTTTGTCAAATGTCCAAACGCCTTGTTCCTTCAACGTTTCATCGATACCACACGTTGCTTGATGACAGCCATCTCATTGAGACGTACACAGGCTTGCAGGCAACAGTCTCGTGGGCTCGAAAACCATCGCGAGACCACCATCCTTTGGCACTTGTAACATCGTCTCTAGACAGATAATCTCGAGCATCTACACACAACATCGCAGACATGGGCGGCGTCCCGTCAGTCCCCCGGGACAAGTCCCGCAGCATCCAGGTCATCGCCGCCGGCTACTCCCGCACCGGCACCACGTCCATCTCCATCGCCCTCGAGCGGCTCCTCGACGGGCCCGTCTTCCACGGCGGCAACCAAATCTTTCAACGCGAGGATGGTACGGCCACCTAGTGACCCTTTCACCTTTGCTCAAAAGCAGAGCCCGCCGAGAGTGCTTCCCGACTGACTGACTGCTGCCAGCCTTCATGCGCGAGTGGTGCCGCATGATCGACGCCGACGGCGACGCCCCGGAGATGCGCGCCCGCCTGCGCCGCATCACCGCCGGCTACGCCGCCATCGCCGACGCCCCCGCCTACCTGCTCCTGCCGGAGCTGCTCGCGCTCTACCCGGACGCCCGCGTCGTCCTCGTCACGCGCGACCGCGCCCGCTGGTACCGCAGCATGGCGCCCATCATGCGCAGCGTCTCCGCGCCGCCCATGCGCCTCCTCGAGGTGCTTCTCTGGCCGTGCCCGGGCTGGCGCTGGCTGCCGCACTATCTGCAGTGGGCTGGAAGAAGGTTCGTCTTCACCACCTTGCAGCTAAAAAGACATCGCCCACGATCCACGCTAGAGTAAGCTGACAGAGACACAGAGAAGAAAAGAGAATCGGGATAGAGTTTACCCCAGGTAACCGTCTTCCGCGCGTTGGGAAGATGAATCATCGTTCTAACATCATGGCAGACATGCTCGACAAGCACAACGACTGGGTCCGCCGCAACGTGCCCCCGGACCGCTTCCTCGAGATGGACCTCAGCGAGGGCTGGAGCCCGCTCGCCGACTTCCTGGGCGTGCCCGTGCCCGACGAGCCGTTCCCGCGCGCCAACGACGCCGCCGAGGCCGACGCCGTCACGCGGCGCATCCTCACCACCGCCGCGCTGACGTGGACAGGCATCCTCGCCACTACCGCCGCGGTTGCCTGGCAGGCCCGTCATCTCTGGAGAACGCGGTGAGGGCAGGGCTGGGTCTGTTGAGACTTCAAAAAGATGGACTTGATGTTTTTTTTTTCCAGGGGTTTTCATTTTTTGGGTTCATTATCCCACACGTTACAAAACAACGGCCGTGGCGGTTCTTCTCAAACGGCCATGCATGTCTCATCAGCAGCGTTGGCGTTAATATCATCATCCTTTTTTCCCAGGCTTTCCGAGCACTTTTCGCTGTGAGGCAAAAATTCTAGACACCTCGCCCCTTTTCCTCACAGTAGTCCCATTTCGCGTTAGGTGCACGCAACAGGAACGATGGATGGCTTTCTCGCCACCTTGATCGCAGAAGCCCCCAACGGTGAAGAGGCGAACATGGCCGCTACGCCGCAAAAAGTAACGGTCACGCGCACAACCATGCACCCTAATTCATTCACCTACATCCGAAAGAGCGGGATACCGAGGACGAAAAAAAAAAGCAAGGACCAGTTCTCAGAGGACGGAGTCGAACCGCCGACATTCCGATGACAATGTTTTTCAATTACAGTCGGACGCCATGAACCAACTAGACCACTCCGAGTTTCCTGATCGACACCCAGTCGTGCTAGAGTAGATTATAACCTTTTGCTCCTTGGCTCCAACCGACACACCGCATCTCCTGCGCTCTTCGTACATGCAATGAAAATTCAATATTTATGTCCCATGCTCTAATTCATCATATCGTCTATATACAGGTGCGTTTTTTCATCCCTCATCACCATCGTGCCCTCACACTATCCCGTACCCTTCCCTCACTTCCCCCTCCTCCCCCGATCCTCGCCACTTCTCACAACAACACCCTCCTCTGCCCCTTCACATCTTCCACCACGCGCCAGACCTTCTCCGCGACCTCCTCCACCGTCCCCCCCGCGTCCACCAGCACCAGGTCCCCCTTCTCCCTCAACCACTCCTCCCCCCCCGTCAGCCCCTGCTCCTTCCACACCTCCCCCTCCTCCTCCCCCGCCTTCCCAGCCAGCGCGCCAAACAGCCGCCGCACCTCGCGCTGCATCGCCGCTTTCTCGTACACCTCCTCGCCCCAGCCGCCGCGCGCCCGTGCCGCCTCCTCGTCCAGGTCCAGGAACACGACGCGGTCCGGCCGCGGCAAGCCCGCATCCGGCGCGCGCGCCCACCCCAGCCGCAGCGCCGGCGAGCGCTTCGCCGCCGAGTAGACCATGCCCGAGTGCGCGTACCGGTCGCACACGACGGTCGTGCCCGCGTCGAGGAGCTCGTTTATCGTTTCTCTGCGTCGTGTGCATTAGTAGTCTACGGGTGCATTTTGGGGGAGGGGGTGGAGGCGCAAAGATCGATACGTACGCGGCCTCCCAGCGGTTGGCGCTGAAGAGGAGGTGAATCGCGTGGTCGTCCATGCGTACCGCGCTCTTCAGGTAAGAATCGATCGTTTTGCCAATCGGCGTCGTGCGATCTGCATGTTGTTTTTCAACGTTCAGTCCAAACCGTTCCGTAAGCTTCTACAACCAGAGGCGCGCGATGAGAGCCGCGTTGAGTGTAGCGCGAATCTTCGCCAAGGAAGGGGCTGGGAGGACGAACCCGGAAATCTCATCAGCTTGACCGACTTCCTCTGCTCCAAGAGCCGCTGCTCCAGGAGCTTCACCTGCGTCGTCTTGCCGCTGCGGTCCAGGCCCTCGAGGACGATGAACGCGCCCCGCTCCGGCTTCGCGGTTGTGGCCTTTTCTTCAGCAACTGACATTTTGTCTGCCTATCGTAAAAGAAAAAAAAAGAACTCAGCTGCTGCGAGGACTTGAGAGAAACAAGACCGTGCTGGAGGCTCTGCGGACGTATTGTGAATTATTACAAGTTCGGTTGAAGAATTCTACGTGCAGAGACCCCGTCTAAGCTGTGCAAGACAGAACGGGACGTGTAAAGTGGAGCGGGGCCACACGCGTAAATTGCTTGTTGTTGGGCGCCGTGTCTTACTATCAAGTAGAGAGCGACCACCATGTTCGAACTCCTGGCTCAAGAATAAGCTTACAAAGGTGCTGCAAAGGTACTGCTACATGATCACCATGTTACGGTTCGAACCAAGAGGTGTAGAAAGACATTCAATTATTAAGCGAAGCTGGTATCCGAGACAAGGCATGCTATCCCATATAATAACGCCCTGGCAAGTATCAATGTCTTTGCCAGTACAAAAGGATTCCCAACAAAACACCATGCTTCCCATACAAAGATCTCAATTCCTCGTGCAGTCATCTCCATTCTTCATGCACGCTCGCTCCCAAGCCCTGTCGGGGTCTCTCCCAAGCGGCCTCCAGCCCCATCTCCGTCCGCGCGTCGGCGAGTGCAGGTGAGTGCGGGTAGACTTCGCGTTTTGGTACCTTACCTCTTTACCTAGAGTCAGTACCTTACCTTCCCTTTTCCCTAAAGTTAGTACCCTACCTTTTTATCACCTGCTTGTGCCGTTGCGCGTGGTCGGGATGGTAGCCTTTGGCCGCTGAGAAGCCCGATCTTGGCTTGATTCCAGTGCGGCGCTGCCTATTTTTTTTTTCTTGCTCCTGTGTTCAGTGCTGCTGCCAGGAAGAACCAAGCCAGCAAAAGAGCTTCAAGCCCTTCACCGGTTGTCGGTTTCTGGCGCACTGAACTGGTCATCTCAGCACTGCCTACCCAAGACCTCAAGACTTGGGACAGGCGACGGGTGCTTCGATGCCCATAGGAAACAGAATGTAGTGGGAGTCGGCGTTCAAGTACCCCCGTTCAGAATGTCCATTGCTTTTCTGTGGTGCAAGCAAGAATATGTCAAAAGACACGATGCAGGCAAGCACTACAGTAACAAATGGCATCCCCGTAGGGCGGCTTGCCGCCTAGGTGTTCGGGCCATCCCCGTTCAGAATGTCTATTGACTCCCGTGGTGCAAGCGAGTACATGTCTCAAAAGACATGATGCAAGCGAGCACTACAGCGACAAACTGGACGTTCCTAGGGCCGGCCTTTCCCACCTAATCCTTGGAGTCCTTGGTAGTTGGGCTCAAGCACTGCGATTGTTGCAGCGCAACTTGGCATCCAGGCTCCGCTGCAATGTGCGTTTAGTCGCCCGTGGTGCAAAGACAGCTCATACCTTCAAGACACGAGGCAGTCCAAGCACTACGGCGACCAAAAAAGACGTTCACACACTTTTCGACGGAGGCCTCATGCCTCATCCTTTGCGCTGCCGCTTTCCCAGAGCTCGAAGCTCTCCTCTGCGCCCTCGATGGGCGCGAGGACTGCGGCAGCCTTTTTGGTGGTGCCCTCAGCGGGCTTCTCCACCAGCTCGTCTAGGCTCTCGAACACTGTTTCGAGAGCCGTCTCGCCGAGTTTCGGCGCAAACTGGAAGCCCGCTAGGGCCGAGTCGTTGTCTTCGACCTCTGTCTCCTCGTCCTCGTCGATGAGGAAGACAGAGATCTCGTCGCAACCCTCCGCGTAGAAGTCCCGAGGGTTGAGCTCGCCTAGCGGGCTGCGCTCCTCGAGCCCGGTCGCGCTGGGGGGGCTGGATGGGGGCGCCTGGGCGGCGATGTGCCCGGCTGGCGCCACGTTCTCTTTGTCGCAACCGGCTTCACGGTCGCGCTCTGCCTTGGCTCCCGTCTCCTCATCTGAGGAGATGTCGAGCACGCAGGTGCTGTGCTGGAGCAGGTTGGTCATTTCCTGCTCCGGGGAGTCCTCGTGGATCTCAAAGAACCACGATGCTGCCTTGGAGCCGATGTTGTTGGAGCCACGGCTGAGACGGCTCTTGTTCTTGCCGTGGCGGGGGGCCGGCTTGATGGTGCTCTTCAGGGCACCATCGACGGTCCAGGGCTTTGCCGACTTGGCGGAACCAGCAGCAGAGTTGACCAGGCGGTCCAGGCGAGCGGCCAGAGGACCGCTGGCGGCGGGGTGTTGGCGGCGGCTGCTGGAGAGCAGCCCGCCGCGCTTTCCAGCGGGCGATCGGCCCGCCGGAGGGTTGGCCACGAGGGCCGGCTTGGGGGCAGCGGTGCTGCCGCGGAGCCTCGCCAGCTGCGATTTCGGCTGCAGCGTTTGGCGGGGGTTGGAGACCTTGGCAGGTCTCGACGTGGACAGAACGTCGGGCAATGCGGCCGACGAGAAGTGTGCATCGAATGCGAAGCCCGAAGGCTTCGCAATGCTCCCCGAAGAGGAGGCGCCCTTGGCGCGCTTGACAAAAACGACTGGGGTGACGTTTTCCCAGTCGCTTTTCTCGAGCAAGTCGGCCTTGCGCTTGCCGACGGAGGAGGAAACTGCTTTGGTACGTGTCAGCTCAGGTTCGAATAAGAGATACTTCTACAGTGCAGGTTTTCTCCACGAATGGAGCTTTGTGATCTTTGTCACAAGCTTTTGTGAACTTTCTCACAAGTTTTTGTGAACATTGTCACAAGTTGGTGCGCCGGAGCGCTTGGGGGGTTTGGATTGAGGGGGCCAGCCACACGTACCATTCTGGCAGTTCTTGGAGCTGGCAAGACTCAGCAGGCGAGCACCATCGAGAGGGGCAAAAGGCTGTCTGGCGATGGCGGCCATTTCGCTGTATATATATATTTTTTTTTGTAAATTGAAAAAAAAAAGAGAACAAAAAAGAAAAGAAGAGGGACTCCAAATGGAGGGAAAAGGGAAGAGTGAAAAGCGAAAGCGAGAAGCTAAGCTTTAAAAAAGTTGAAGATGTCCCAAAAGCTCTTAGGAAGAGAGCAAGGGAGCAGCTATTGTTGAAGCTTTGAAACTTCGGAGCTTTGGAGCTTTGGAGCTTTGGAGCTTTGGAGCTTTGGAGCTTTGGAGCTTTGTTGTGGATAGCTATTCTATGCGTGTTGTGTAATTTGTGGTTCGAAGCAATTCGTCGACTTTGGGGCGGGAAATCCGTCGATTTATATATTCGATTGAGGTTGCACAGTCTCTCTCATCCTTGGCCGTCCAAAGTCGTTATTTCGCCACAGAATCAGGGTCGTCGGACCATGCGTGAAGAAGCGAGAGGAGGAAGCAAGAGGCGAGAGATCGAGAGACGGAGGGGGACGGGCGAAACGGGGGCTTAAGTGTAGCGTGGGGACGGAGGCAGTACAAGGCGTAGGACGCGCCGCAACGGTGGAACGGCGCTAGCCCGATGCTGGCGTGCCACGGCCTTTTGGGGAGGGACACGCTAAAACGCAGTGCTAGAGCGTTGGATTACAGTGGGTGGGCCGCCTGCAACAGGTCGCAGGATAGGCAGCCAGCGAGCGAGGCGGTGCAAGGCCCAGGCAGGTAGGCTTTTCGAGTTAGGAGGCAGTTTCTACAGTCCGGCAAGATGGGAAAAGAAGACTGAGGTAGAACTGTAGGTGACGAGAACGAGGGTAACAAACTCTCTGGTGGTTAACAAACGGATACGCAGACATGCTACGAGATTAGATTGAATAGTTTGTCTGTTTGCTGGCCCGTGGGGGGCGGACGGACAGTGAGCTGGCAAGCTGGAAAGCCTGGTGTGGGTGGGGAAGCAAGCTGCCCACTTTGCCCGTCGCGCTCCCTTGCTGGCCAGGCGCGTTTTTACCTACTAAATTGTAATTAATGCACGTCCTTTGCCCTTCATTTACCTATGCAAGTCCTTCGACGCCCGTTGAACTAACTGCTCATCATTACCCTTATCTTCGCTTCATCACCTGTCTTTGTGCAGCTTCGTATTCTTTGCGCAGAACATCTTGTGCATTGAGTGCGTCATCCATTGCACTTATTCACCAGGATACTACAGTAAGTCCTCTCTCGCCATTCATCAGTAAGTAATCCACCCAGTTTGCCAACCCGTACAACTTATTATTATCTATTACACCACATCCCCCAGCAACAATTCGCCTCATCATCGAAGAACAATCACCGCTGATTCACTTTTGTCCTCCCCTCTCTCGCTTCTTGCGGTCTCGTATATGCTGTGGACTTGTGCACAAAACTAAGCCACAAACCCCCTGCATAATTCATAAAAAAGCAAAAAAACGCGAATCCAACACGACATGATGCACGTTCCGTTTTTTCTTCCCAAGCGCCCAGCTGCAACCACAGGCTCATCGATCATAGGTAGAAACTTGATGCAGCTAATATTCCGTACTCCTCCGCTCCTCCAACCAATTACTCCTCGTCTACACGCTCTCCGAGCTCATCTTGCTGCACAGCCAGAATAGCACCGACATGGGGCGAGCGCCGCCCTCCCCCCTCGCCCTCCCAGGGCATCTCCACGTTCCACGGCATCGAGCAAGCAAACAGGAACTCAGGAGCCACAGCGGTTACTCGAAACTGCGCCTTCCTCGAGAAAACGGTTCATCTCGCATCGCTTGACCTCATCGCTGCAACAAGTATTCGCTCTCATGCTCCGCTCGCGGAAACGACCACCTTTTCCTTGTCTCAAGAGTTTAAGCCCCTCGCGGCCAATGTCTCTCCTCCCTAGTCATCGCCCCTCATCCAATCAAGATTATTATCCCGTCTCTTTATTACGCGGGGAGGCGATCCACTTCGCACTGTACGTCACATCACACATCACGCATCGTCCTGCCGCATTCCACGCCGTGGCAGCTTTATCGACCAAAAGTCGACAGACGACAGCCTCTTGTTCCCAACCCCTCGTCATCATCACTAGCCTATACGTAGAAAGAAAAGAAAAGACCGGCTTCGTAAACTTGGAAAATCTGCACCGGTTTGCAGCTTGCTTCACTCGTACCGAAAGCCAAGCAGCCCTTTTTTCTTCGTCCCTGTGCAGCCTCCCTCCCCCTAGTGTCACCATTGCTGAATTCGGATCCCAACGCGTCCTTGCTCTCGACCAATTTATTCCCTCCTGTCGACGACGACTATTTGCAGAAACTATCGCCATTCACACGGCCATGGTCCAATAAAATCGGTCTCTCACCGCCCGTGTAACGCCCCTACCAGGACACCTCACCCCACGGCCACTGCCCACCAGCAAGCCAGCGTAAGCTACTAAAACCTGCCCGACTTACATGGCCAACTTGGCAGCGAAACACCCCGCCCCGGCAGCAGCAGCAGCGCCAGACCTCATCAAAATGCACCGTTTTCGCCATCTACGAAACATTAGTAGCAAGCCTATGCGGTAGCCTGCAACTGCGCAGCTAAAAAGAACCCCGCTCATGTCCGTCCGTCATGCAACGGCCATCGTCCTTGCCCTCCTCTGCCCCCACCCGGCCAGATATCGCGACCTCCCTCCTCCTTCCCCTCGGTGCGCACAAGTTTCAAGAGGCCCAGCCAAGAAAACCCTTTCCTCTTATTCCTCAGGCTATTACACTCGCCTCCTCGTCGCGTCCTGCTGTCCCAGGAGAAAAAACGCGTAAATGCAACCGGCTCTTTAGGGTCAGTCGTTACTTGTTAGAGATGCGCCCACGAGGAACGCCCCGTATCCAATCCTTCCTCTAGCTACAGTGCATGCAGGGAACATGTGCTCCTGTGACCTTTCCCTCCCAGCCTCCTCACTTTCTAGTGAGTAGCAATCTTTGTATGACAGTTTTGTCGCCTGCCCTTCTCGCTGGCCAGTCGGCCACCCAAACATCCCCCCCTCCGTCGATTCTCTCCCACAGGGTCCGTGGCAAAAGGGCCTCAAGCCACGGACATCTAGCTAACACAAAGCCTTTCTCTGAGCTAGGAATCCCCCGTGGCAAAGGTCAGCAACAGCTCCTCGCCTCTTCTGTTTCTGTCAGTATGACTGCATTCCAGTCGTTGTCTTGGAAACAGGCCAGCCTTGCGCTGAGCCACCTCACAATACTCGCCGCAAACCCAGTATTTTCGTAGTTTTGTCTCTTCTAATAAAGTGAGAAGCGCTACGGAGTAGTAAGTCTGAGGCTTCCGTAACTGGTAAAAGGTAACTGGTCCTTCATGCTGTCGCTGCGCGGCCTGGACATCATAAGAGGTCGATCATAAGGTTAGGTAGATGTGAATTTACGACATTTTGCTAGTGAGCTGTGATATCTCATTTCTTATCCAGGTACTGCAGCTATCGTCCCCTTAGCCCGGAGCTTAAGCTTGGACTTTAACTTCAGCTCCTACCATCGTAATTCCGATGCTTGACACTGGCTCCCAGAGCTCGGCTCAAGTGGTGCCGATTTCACGTCCTATATGTTCCTGGCAATAACATTTAGCCAAGATATATTTTATCAATATGTTTTTTACCAGCATAGTATAGGGTATCACTATACTCACATGCCCGCGACATGGAAGACTTCCTGTAGTAGGCGTAATACGGTCTTCGTTTAAGTCTCATTTACATCATTGTTGGCCTATCCTTTCGGTTTAATATAATATGTATTTCTATTCTCTATTTTCAATAATACAGGTCTATTCTATCTACTTGGTCAGCGTATTGTCACGCAGCTATCTCACAGCTCTTCTCGGCGTTTTATCATGGCGAACAGCAGCTGGCAAATGTGAACTTGTCGTCGCAGAAGGCGGCTTGGCCGCCTTTTTGTCGGTTGCGAATGATTCAATTTCGATGCTTCTATGCTCAGAGGCCTCTTTCACGGACAACAAGGTCGACTTAGCCTGAGCGGAACCTAGAGGCGGCGAAGCGGTCCCATCAATACACTCAACAATGCTATGCTCAGCACTTGGCTTTGGTTGTTTTTGGCTTATGTCTTCTTTTATGCGGTGCTCTTTAGCTTTCGGTGGCAATGCCGTATCGGTGGCAGCGTCCTGATTAAGCAAATGCTCCTTGAACTTTCCCCGCACAACGACAGTTGTTGGGTCGTCCTCGAGACCATGCTCTGGTTGAATAATGACGCCCGATGCAACTTGCGGGTCCGCAACACAAACCACAGAGTGTGACGGAGATTTTGTTTCAATGACAACTTGAGGAGAGGTGATGTTGATGATGGGTATGTTTCCCTCGATCGGGTGGCTTTTGGAGCGTGAGTAGAAATCTAGGTGGAAATAAGGTGGAATGGCACCTACCGCGGCATAGAATCTACAGCCGTATCAATTATGATGGCTGGAACTGCGCTTTTAGGTTCTTCGCCAGACTTTTCTTGGTGCTGATTGCTCGTTGATGGGGTACCAGTGTGAGATGCAGAGTACACCATTGAGCCATGGCTCAGATAGGATGAGATCTGGGCAGAGTTGTCACCTGGAAATTTGCATCGCCGATGATGCTTTTCTCGAATCATGATCTCGTACTCGTTCCGCTGAAGCGTTTGGCAGGGGCAGAAGCATGCGTCTAGGCAGTCGGCAGCTTCATCGCCTTTGATGCCGTAGAACGAGCGAACGCTGGCTTGCAATCGATAGATGAAGATAGAGTAAACTTGAGAATTTAGCCAAGATCTCACATGTTATTATGCTAGACTTACCCGGAAAGCAAACCAACATCTCACAGCAGTCGATATTGAGAGTGTCAAGGTTTGGGTCTCGCTGGGCATCTTCGCCTGCGAATGCAGCCTTCAGGCGTGCCCAACTCCGACTGTATACGTTACAGGGGCAAAAGCAGGTCTCGGCAAAAGATGGAGCTATCGGGCCACTCTCTTCGTAGAATCCAGACCAGTGCCACTGACCCTTGCGTTCCTCGTTCATCTTCTTCTCCATGCGAGCAGATGTTGATGGTGTGTAGAACTTGAACGAGTTTTGATGATGCCAGGCGGGAATGCGGCGAAGGTGACTATATCTCGAATGATTTGCCTGGTGAACCGAACGAGACATACTCGACGGAGACGAGCTCGTGCGACAGGGTCAAGAGTTAGGAGAAAATGAAAGCAAAAGGTTCTCAAATTGCCGCGGTGGCAGCCAGCAGTAGTAGAGATGATGAACGAAAGCAGAGGCAAGAAGCCGAGCATATGACGCATAAGAAATATGTGCTGATTGACGATGGATGATGGACATTTTAAAATCGAGGTTGATAGAAGTGCAGGCACTGGCCGAATGCAAGGAATGATCAAGTGCGTTTGCAACGGAAGGTGCCGCCTTACGGGTTGTCACTCGCCAAGTGCTGACGCCAGACACGGGCTGTCGAAGCAATTGGCCAGCTTAAATACGCAGTTACGAAGTGATGAATCAAAATTCATGGATCAAAAACATAGAATATTCAAGTTCAAATTACAAAACGAATAGATTGCTTGTGCTGTTGGTTGAAACTGTTCGTGTATGACAGCCCCTGTCTGGTCAAGGCAGGACCACCTGCCTGCCTACATACAATAGCACATGAACGAAAACGGGCAGTCAGAATACCCACTATCAAATCCTGCTTACAGTAGAATAAGAGGACGAATGGAAAATGACAATTTCTTAAAGGAAATTTTGAACCCAGCCACCAAGTCTGAATGGAAATCTCTGGGGACTATTGCTCTCTACTTGCTGAAACTTAGCTGGTGATCACCCACGTTCAAGGACTGAAGCTTGCAGAACCTGCAGCGCTCAACCCTCCAGTACAATTGACATTGGCAATGTGTGGCATTCGGTGTTACTTCTGAACGGAGGAGGCGACCTGCAATGCAACATCCGGTAAAGACCGATCAACATACGCAGAAAAGGTGGCGGCTGCAGACTGGCTGCAAGTGACTTGCAGAGGGAAGCCCGGGTTGCAAATTGCGGTTGTCTCGTAGCGAGATGAAAACCTGTCAAACCTCGAGTAAAGTCTTATATCCGAGGAAGAGGGACTAGTTATTTTTATTAGTAGAAACGAGAAACCTTAGGAGTGTGAAGTAGATTGCAACGTCGTTGACGGTGGATCTCGCAAAATGTCAGTCTTGTCGCTGCCAATGGGCGTGGCAATTTTAAAATTTGCCGATCGCGGCTCGCCAGTCCATGATGAGCACCGGCACCTCGTTTTCGGGTTGTCCGTGTTCTGTTGCCTTTTATTGTTCGAGGGGGTGAAAAGAGCTGGTGGCCCGTCCGTCCATGGTCACCCGTCCGCGATTCAGCAGGGAACGCACGGTGGAGGTCGTGATCCAGTCTCGTGCGTCAATCTTTGGCATCCTTGGCCTGGCCCTATCGTTGTCTAATAATAATAATACGCGAGGGGCGGCAGAACTGTCATGCGAGCCCTTGGCGACAATTTATTCGTCAAATACCGGCGCATGCCATCGTGGCGGAAAGCAGTCATACTTCAGGCCCTCGGAAATCCAGTTTTCCAGAAGCCAGAGAAGGGGCAAGTGCACAGGCCCAGAGATCTGCCCGCCGAACTTGGTCGACCCAAGACATGACGCAAGTATGTGGACGGAGGATGGCCGGACTGGCGTTCGGCGTTCGAATAGTGCCTCCCCGCAGTCGAAAGAGACGGGCAAGGTGGACATCACGGCAGCGCCAGAGCTTTTTTGCATCTGGCCAAGAGTGCTGGCGAGTTAGGCGAGACGAATCCACAGCGAACTAGTCCGTCCAGAGAAAAGTTGGGCTCGTTGTCCATTTGTTGGTTTCTGCATCGAATCAGCCCTGAGTGGGTGCCAGCTGGGAAGATGCAGATGCGCTGGAGCTCATTGCTAGCGACCCCGGTCGGAGGGGGAGGCTACGAGAGGTTAGATTCGGGGCGAGTGGTGGATGCAAGATAGGGAACCAAGCCACGAGATGAAGGATGCGTGAGAACATGGGTTGAGATGGGGAGTTCGTTGGCGTTTGGTTGGGAGAGGCGAAAAAGCAACATGGACCAGAGGACCAGACCAAAGAAAAGGGCCGCTAAAAATTCCACTACTTGAAAGCCGGGCGTGGCCCGCTCCAAACCTTACCTTGGTTGGCTAGCAACCCCACTGCAGCCGCCACTAGAGGACCTGCGAGAGGCCACACAAGACTGCTTCTCGGTGGCGCTGGTTGCCTCTCTAGGTATTCTCTATAGCGCTAGCTTCAGCGAGTGGCTCCAGTGCTCCTGTGCCTGGCATCTTGTACCTAGTCGGTCCCAAGGTTAAATTGTTTATTTAGCGCAAGTTGTTCAGCGCACCAGGTCCCTGTGAGGAGAATCGATAGAGCCGTGCCTTTATACCTGCGTCTGTGGACGAGTTCAGATGTTGCCAAGGCCTATACAGAACGGCACAAACCAGCTTACCATCGACGATGGTATGTAATCCCCGTACTTGGCACGGTAATCTCTGTCATGTGCAGCTTAGGTCACGGGTATGCCGTGCTTGTCCAACGCGGCTACGAACATGCACCAACCAATAGGCAAAACAAATCACAGCGTAGACGGGCGGTACATTGGGCGGCATGCTCTATTCTATGTGCTGGCCGCAAGGAAATGATCAAGTGGCCATTCCGGCGTAATGCAACATCTAACTGCCTCACAATATGACTTGTAGCTGTTCCATATTGGACATGATGTGAAAGGAAACTCCCAAACGCCAAACTCTGCTGATACCCATGACGGGCCGGATAAATCTTATCTGTATGTACAGAAGCGGAATTATGCGACGCCTGACCCCGCTTCCCGGCCAGAGTCGCCTGATATCAAGGTGTGTCCCATTTTCCTCGGTTCGATGTAGGCAAATGATCGGTGGTCGCACGCTTGCGTGTGTATAATAGGTATATAGGTAGAGGTCGTAGGATCGCAACCTCTGCGGCCGGTGCTTAGTTGCCCGGCTTGTTGCCCCAGATCGGGGCACCGAGAGGCTTGCTGACGCCAAAGCCGACGCCGACAGCGATGCCGACAATCAGGACAATGAGAAGGATTTTGGCTGCAATCTTCTGGCGATGGTTGAGCCGCGACATGTAGGTGCAGCTGCGCTTCATCTTTGCATCCTTGGCCTTGTCCTTCCAGTGTTGCTTGCCGGGCCAAACCTGGCACTCGTTGTTTCTAGGGATGTTGCAGCTCTTGCGGGTTGTAGATTGGGAGATTAAGGCGGCCTCGACGTCGGTGTCAAAGGGGTTGCTGCTGCGCTCGGAGCGAGGTGTTGAGACTTCGACGGGCATAACGCAGACAGTAGTGGCTGTCGAGAGGGTGGCCTTTTCAGGAACTGCGACCTCTGCGGGCTGTGCTTGCGAGTTTTTGTTGTCGTTGGCCATTTTATCGAGAGCCGAAGAGCGCGATGGTGGTAGAGTGACGAAGGGACCACGCGTCAACGGATGGTCAAGGTTGGGAGACTGCAGCAACCAGAATTAACACCACTTGAACAGCTTGGCGAATAATAAACAGCAGACTTGTAAGGCCCTAGCCAAAGTATTACAAGCGTAGATGCTTGAAACACGGGCACAATGGCTAGAGGAAGGCGACGGCGGCTCAAAGGAAGGACAAGGAACTTACACTTTGTTGAGGCGGGCGCTAATTGAAGAGCCAGAGCAACGCCGCAAAGGACGAACAATGCAGAGTAGGGGGAATGACCAGAGCAAGCGGAATGCCGAGCGAGACAGGTTGTTAGGGTTGAAGTTGGAGTAAAGGAAGAGGGGATGAAGAAGGGAATATAGAAGGAGTGTGGAATTATTGAAAGAGAGCAGAGCAAAGAGCAGAGGTAGGCAGAACGGAGAGCAGAGGGGAGTGGTGCGAGGCGGCCCAGCCACTCAGTACCAAATTCGGGGGGGAAAGGTGGTGCCAGGTACTTTATGGTGGCACAGTGCCACAGATTGCGGCGAGAACCCTGCAAGTGTAGGTAGCGTCGACAAAACGAATGTCTTGGCGCAAGAGGATGTGGTCGATAGGGGGTCGACAAAAGAAAAGTCGGAGATGGAAGCAGGGAGAGGTTTGAATATTATGTTTTTTTGTTTTGGTAAGGTGACAGAGGAAGAATAAGAGGCAGAATTAAGGTTGAGGTGAAAAGGGAGATTGGCCTTGTTTGGCAGGAATTTTGTTTTGGATGGCAACTGGTCGCTTGCAGTCAACAGCAAGCAACAATGGGGAGGAGGCCCCCACAACAAGGCAGGTACCATTTCCATACTAGCGCGCGGGGAGAGGTACAGCCACCCATGACATGTCGAGCAAAATGGTGGTGTCTACGAATATTGGCGGGAGGAGCCGGCGCATAAAAGGTCTCATGATGGACGAATTCGAGGCCCTTGCCTTGGATGTGACAAGTAGAGTTATGCCGTAATAGACTGATGAAGCATTATCACAGAGACAGATTGAGCCTAGACGGGGGGACAGACGACTGCAAGGTGTGGGGAGGCGGACGGGCGCTACTGTGATGTGACTGAAGTTTCGTTTCATCTTGTGTCTGCAATTGATCTTGAAAAAGGGTACCTATGTACCCTTTCGAGGATGATAGTCATGTCAGTGGCGACGAGTCGACGGCTTAGCATGATGACGATGCTACGCGCCAACCGCGCCAGATGCTTCTGCAGCCACTCCTCATGACGGCTCCCACGCACAGGTCAAAGAAGACGAGGACCTAGGTATCTGACCGCCGTTCTTTTTTTCGCTTCCAACTTATTCTCTTCTCTTGTTTTCATTTTCTTTTGCGTCCTTTCCTTCATTTGCCCTTTCGTTCTGGTTTCGTGAAGTTTGTTGTCTAGGAGCGTCGCCGTCGTCGTCCAGGCTATGTTAGCCAGCACGGAGCAAGGCAAAAAAAAAAAAAGAGAGAGATCTTCGTGCATTTTAAGGTACAGTCAGAACTGCCCAAGCTTACCTACGAAGTGCTGTTGTTGTAGAGTAACTGCCTCGGCATCGTGATCCAAGTCAGCCGCCGCCTTTGACGTTGAAACCTCCTTTTCAACTTTCTTCCTCTACAACATCCTTCACAATTCGAAGACTTTTTTTAGGCTGTTCATGAGCACAGCCCGGCACCTTGGTCAGCATTGTTGGCCTTCTTTACGCTCGGTTGAGGGCAAAGCGGCTGCGCCTCTACCAGCGCTTTGTAGTCATGGACTCATATACAGATTCAGTCGCTGTTGGCTCAAGTCCGTGTTCCCCAACACCCGTGTCGCCCGACATAAAAGGAAACAGAGACCATTTTTCACATGGTAAATCTATCCATGCGTTATCCAGCCAACCCCCAAATCCGTGCGCTTCGAGGCTTCCCCTGGCCCGCCGCGCCGGACGCACATTCCCTCACTCTGCTCGCCGAGAAGGAGGACACCGGTGTGTCTCGATCATGCGGCCGCTCATCGTAGCCTGTACGACCATAACCCTATAATCCTTACCATATCCATCCCGAGCCCGATCTCTCCCCCTTTGCCCCTTCTCCCCACACCGGCGCAGTGCCTGACAGCACACACACGCCGACGGCCGTCTCGCAGGTGAGTACGCTCGTCTCAACCCCCAGCAGGTTGTCCAGCCGTGCGGCATATCCAAGCCCCCGCCCCCCGTCACGGAATGGTCGTTTGACCTCGCCGCCGGCGCGTTCCACCACCGTAGTTCAGTCCCCCCAAGACAGCGATTCGATGGCCACCGGCTGTGACGACGTTGACTGCGGCGGCGCTCAGCGCCACGGGCAGTGAATTCATGGGGCACACTTGCCCTCCGGCGGCAGGCACTCATCTAATAGAGAAGAGAAAGAGTCTCTCGGCCTGCTCCCCAGAAAGCTGAGCTCCGAGATGTCGGTGCTGCGGCGGGCATGGCCGCCCTAGGCCGCCGGGATGACAGTGAGCGTGTCGCCGGCGGCCTGACAGACACCGCTGGGAGACCATGGACTCGTGGACTGCAGCTGTGCGCATCCTCAGTCCACTATCGAATCAGCTTCATGCAGAGGTACATGTTGCTTATTTGGGCTACACTTAACCTATCTATGTCCAAGAACGCAAACCCGGTTGTCTTCCTCGCCCATGTTACGCAGCATTAACATGGCTGACAAGTATGGCGAATCACGCTTCAATTTGGAGATCTGTAGCCTTGACTGTTCAGATTTATTACAGTTTGCTTTTTTGTATTTCTGCTCTGTTGCGGCACATCTAATGCAGAGTGGTCCTCTCAGATACATACTCATCTCATCGTCTCCTGACTTCACTAACTCCCCATATGCAGCCTCGGCGAGTCGATTAATGCGCATCTTGCATCCCCCGCGGTCTTGCTCTCTATTCCAACTCTCACAACAGGGGGCCTCGGTAGTCTCTCCGGCTGTGGCCCACGACGATGCAAGCAGCCGAGACATGTGCGCTGCCGCCTCTGCGCATCTCAACAAGCCGTCAAACGATTTGAAAAGAGTAAAAAAAGAAAAAGTGCTTTGTGTCCCTTCCGGAGGAACATGTTGGAGGGCCCACCAGTGAGAACGCTCCTTTAATATACAGTATCCTCTATAAACCCCAATTCAATGACTCTGCGGAACGGGATCGACATTAACGGAAAAAAGAGTGTCGGGTTTGCCAAGGCAGATTTGGGCGTGACATTACGTCACGCAAGGTTCGTGCTAGAACGGCGGCGTACAAGCTGCAGATTTCATCTGTGTTGTGGAATGTCCTTGCGTTCCATCCAACACACCAATGGATCAGACAGATTGGTATAGGAGTAGCGGCTCGCCGACGTTTTCGATTTCGGGAATCGTGCATTTAAGATCAAAGGCTTTGGATAGGACAATCTTGAAAATCTAACAATATCGAGTTAGTCACGATATTAAAGCTTAAAAGGTAGCTTGCCAAGATCAACAAAGTACCTTTTGCACGTTGATACTATGGCTAGTACTGGAAAAGATGAGAGCGGCCCGCATCGCCTTTGCAAAACGTCGCGCCTGCAAATAGTCAGCCATCTACACATATACACCATGGAAAGAGCTGCAGCCTACCTGGTTGGAGATTTCTTCTTGGTCTTGAATCGGAAAGTTGACAAAGTGGTCGTACTTGGTGCCGACTAGGATCGGGATGGCCGTCTTGTTGAAGCCGCGGCCCTGCCTGTACCACTCCTTGATGCTGTTGAGGGTGCTCTTGCGTGTGAGGTCGAACATGAAAAGAATAGCGACAGCATCATTGCAAACGAGCGGTAGCATGTTGACAAACTCGCGCTGGCCGCCGAGGTCCCAAATGGAAAAGGTAATCTCCGTGTTGCGGATAGAGATTGTCTTTTCCATGAAGTTGACGCCGAGCGTCTGGATATAGTCCTCGTCCCAGCTGCCCTCGACGTACTTGACCATCAGCGAGGTCTTGCCGATCTGGGCGTCGCCGACCATGCCGACCTTGATGACGACGTGGTTGCGTCCGTTGGGCGCCGCCGGCTCGCCCGAACCTTGGCGGCTGCTAGCGTACTCGCCGTATGCCTGGTGCTGCTGCTGCGACGACGACGGGTTGGACATTTCGCTGCCGGCCCGCGACCCGGGCGCCGCTGACGCCGGCGCGCTGCTACCGGGCGCGGGCGGCGTGTATCGCGTGCATGGCGGGTCCTCATCGTGGTGCTGCTGTTGGTGATGTGATGGGCCGCCGCCCGGCGATTGCGGCTCGTGCTCGTGTGTGTCGTTGTTGCTGTGGTGAGGATTCTGGTATTGATGGTCGTGGTGGTGATTGCTGTAGTGTGACGATGAGGGGACCTGCGGCGAGCCGTCGAGTCCTCCGAGAGTATCGTCGAGGTTGTCGTGCAGCGTCGCGGCCGGTACGTCGTCAGTCTCCATGGCGAAAGGGATGGTCCCGTGCGGTGTTTAGGCGGTAACGGGCTCCCTTCCAAAAGCGAAAGCGGAGAGAGGAGAAACGAAGGCGGGGAGGCTTTGTGCGAGGGCTGTTGGGTAGCCGCGCGGGCTGGCAGCCGAAAGGGAGGGGGGATGGTTGGACCGAAACGTGGGAGGGGCGCGATCCAGACAGGTAGCGATGATGAATGCTGTGCAGCTAATGTGATTGACGGTAGAAATGCAAAGAAGGGTGAAGGCTGCAACAGTAATGAATATTGCCGGCGGGTTTCTTTGATTGCTTGTGATGCAAGACCATGGTTCGGGCGGTGGCCTGGCGCGCGCGACCTGAAGAGGACCCGGAATTTTAGAGGGGCCGGACCCGTCAGCGCAGGGAGTCGCATCGTTTCTGAGATGACGAAATGCAGCCCAGCCAGGATGCCTTTCTTCTACGAAGCAAAGACATGTTGCTGGATGTTGTCAGATTTGGCAGCTTGGAGTTGAATCGGTTCCCAAGATCGCCTTTGGTCTTTGAACTGTTGTGTTTGATGGCCCCAATGCCCCCGCCTCTGGGGCATGGACGACGCCAAGCGCAGCGCCGCCAGTGAGCATGAATCGGAACAGGTGAGTTGTGATATTACAAGCCATTATTCTACTCTGGCATGACGCGGAATAGTGACTACGACCAAACAAACTGTAATTGCCTACACAACTGATGATGCCCCCAGCTGACCAAGGATGTCCTCGACTAACGCAACTCTGCCTACTTCATTTTCCACTTTATGCGCTCTTTTTAGGTTCGCGTATCAATCTAATAGATGCAATCTACCGCTCTTCGATGTTTTTTTTCTTTCTGGTTTACAGGTGACAAATAGCTTGTTTTGTCACACCTACGACCGACAAGGTCCAACCCTGTTTATTGGGCAACAGAAATCTAGTTGGAAGCTTGTCTATCGGCACTCATCACTGCCTGCCTCACTCCCAAGCAGGTTGGCATACTGGACGGAGCGTTGCTGTTGTCCCTGACGTCGGCCTCGTCGGTGTATTTAGCAGCACTATCCAACCAATAGGCGTATCCAACGGCAGCGACTGCCTCTGGAGCGTACGTAGCATTACCGTGCTTGGTCACGAGCTCCATATCAAGCAAATCGGGATCGGTGCGAAACAGCCGAGATGCGGAGATTTCTGGGGGTTTCTTCTCCCTTACATTCTCAAATACGTCCTGGTCATGCCAGTCGCACGTATGAAACTCGCTGTCTACCGTTTCTTACGTTCGGCTAACGGCAGGGGCGCCGTTTTGGCACTTCAAAATCTTGTACGTAACGGCGCCCAGGCTTTGACAGGCCGAAATTAGCCTGGCTTCCGACGTCGCAACAGCTGGTCATTCACGCCTTGGTCTTGCAACGGTTTTTCCCCAAGGTGTTGTGATGCAAGGCACCGAAAAACAGCCATTGAACCTACCACCAACGTTTAAACGTACCAGAGAGTATTTATCCTACATCTTGGCCAATCTCGTGATCTATTCGGATTTTTTTCAGCGTTTTCCTCCGCTTTGTCGAAGAATTTGCTTCCCATTTACCCAATTGTTTGTAGTAAAACTATGTGTAAAAAGAACCACAAGTTGCAGCACTCTACCGCGGGGCTATTATGTTTCTGAATGTTTGATTGGCCACAGCTCCCTTGGCCACCCGCTTTTTGCTGCTCATGCGCTGTGGCCCTCTACTGTCGCACTCCGCCTACAGCGCTCTCTCAGCGCGGTCCCAGCCAGACAGCGCCCAGTTGTGCACCAGGCCAGTTGAGCACCGGAGGGGACCGGCTTCAGTTGGCAGGCTGCTCCCGCGCGCCCTACTGACAGCTTCCGGGGCCGACCTACAGCCACCAAGAAAGTCAATTGGCAGAAGCTTGTCTGTTGCCGCACGCGATTCTGGCCGCCCCAAACCCGCAACAGGCCATTCTCCATCGTCCTCTTTCTCCTCCTCCAAACTTTGTCTTTCCACACAACTCATCACCGTCGTCTCTATTCCTGCCGCTCCCATCTCCTCTCAATCCTTTTGGTTCGGCTCGCTCTGCTCTTCTCTTCCGACTCTCCTCCCACGACCTCCACACAACATCCACAATGGCCTCTGTCCTCCGCCTCGCTCGTCCCGCGGCTATGCGCCTTGCTGCCCGCTCGACTCCCATGGCTGCCCGCACGCCCGTCCGCAGCTTCACCACCTCGCGTCTAGGTATGTCGCCTCCATTAAATCCTCCGAGGTTGCACAAACTCGCGTCCCTTCTTCCATCCTCCTCATTGTCCAACGCGCTGACCAGGTCCGTTCCTGCTCGATTGCTAACCATGATCTGCTCTCCCAGGCCTCGCCAAAATGTACACCAAGGACCACGAATGGATTGACCTGTCTGCTGACCGCAAGTCTGGCGTTATTGGCATCTCCGAGTACGCTGCCGAGCAGCTTGGTGACGTCGTCTACGTCGAGCTTCCCGAGAGCGCCGACGATTTTGTCGACCAGGGCGACGCTATCGGTGCCGTTGAGTCGGTCAAGTCGGCCAGCGACATCAATGCTCCCGTCCGCTGCAAGGTCACCTCCGCCAACTCCCTGCTTGAGGAGAAGCCCGCCACCATCAACCAGGTCCCCGAGGACGATAGCAACGGCGGCGGCTGGATCGTCAAGGTCGAGATTGACGAGGAGGGCGCCAAGCAGGTCGACCAGCTCATGGACGCCGAGGCCTACAAGGCCTTCATCTCCGAGTAAGGGAGACAAAAAGGTCAAGAAGAACTTCAACTGGGAGGGTTCGACTTTTTTCATTTGTTTGAGTGCGGTGACGATGCACGAAGCGGAGGGGATCAAGGTGCTGTCTGGTCGCGCTGTGTGACGATTGTGCCACAGCCGGAGGTTTGGCTATTGCTCAACAAATACAACACTGAGCGGTGCCGCCACCAACCGCAGCATTTTGACATTTGTTTTTCTGCTTAACACGGAATTGATTTTATAAAAATATGTTGGGACAGTTCAACCTGGCAGGGTCACTCTACCAAAAGACTACAAGTGGTGTACCATAACGTGATTTTTTTTACTCTAGATTTTTGGGTTCTTATATACATCCTCGCAGGAGAGGACTATCGAGCAGCAATTGCCGAGTCATGAACGGCGTTTTTCTTTTTTCTCATCCACCTTGGAGTTTTATTCCTCGGAGCGTCATGTTGATCATTGTTTCCATCTAGCCATCAAATTTGCCTCATTGCATCATCCAGCAAACCGTCCAAACTGTTTTGTATGTTTCCAGAGTCGTACTCTACTGAGAAGGTTGCCCAGCTTGCGCGGCCTGCTCCGCTTGCTCTGCCTGCACGGCCTTGTCGGCGTTGATTGCGTCGAGGATCGCGTCGGCGCCACGCGCCACGAGGTCGCTCGCAATCCGTTTGCCAAACTCGTCCGCCTCGGCCTCACTCGCCACCACCTCTGTCTCGTCCGCGTCGACCGCCTTGTCGCCCTTGACAGCCACCACCGTAGCGCGCATCCGCAGCCGGCGGCTGCCATCCTCCCCCTCCAACCACGCCGTCTCGACGCCGATGGGCACGCTGCAGCCGCCCTCGAGCGCGCGCATCAGGCTGCGCTCCGCGGTGCACGCCAGCGCCGTGGGCTCGTGCCTCAGCTTCGCGAGCGCCGCGAGCACGCGCGCGTCGCCGGCGCGGCACTCCACGCCGAGCGCGCCCTGGCCGACGGCGTGCAGGACGCCGGCGCCGTCGGCGTCGAGGAACTGGGAGATGCGGTGGCCAAAGTCCATGCGCTGCAGGCCGGCGGCGGCGAGGATGATGGCAGCCAGCGGCGAGTCCTCGGCGTCGAGCTTGGCCAGCCGCGTGTTGATGTTGCCGCGGTGGTCGCGGAAGGCGAGGTGCGGGTAGCGCCGGGCGAGCTGGGCGATGCGGCGCACGCTCGAGGTGCCGACGACGCTGCCGGGCGGCAGGTCGGCCAGCGTGCGCCAGCCGTGGCGGTCGGCCAGGGACTGCTTGATGACGAGCGTGTCGCGCGGGTCGTGGCGCTCGGTGACGCACCCGAGGACGAGTCCGTCGGGCAGCGTGGTGGGCATGTCCTTGAGCGAGTGGACGACGACGTCGACCTCGTCGGCGACGAGCTTGTCCTCGAGCTGCGTGGTCCACAGGCCCTTGCCGCCAAAGTTGTACAGCGCGGTCGTCTGGTCCCGGTCGCCGGTCGTGGTCATGCTGTCGATGGGGAAGCGGTGCGTGGGCAGCGCGGCCTGCAGCGCGGCGACGACGATGTGTGCCTGCGCCATGGCGAGCGGCGACTTGCGCGTGCCGACGCGGATGACGTTGTCGTCGGCAGCGGCTGGTTGCAAGTCCGACATGATTGTTGTGACGTGTGGTGGGAGTTGTTGCTGCTTGCTGTTTGGCAGTTGTGAAATGGAAATCGGATTTTTTTTGGGGCCTTCGGAATCTCGGCCAACACTGCTCGCGGGGCTGCTCGTCTTTCCTTTGGCGGGGTACGGAGCTCCGACAGCGCGGGGCAATTTCACCCAACCAAGGTTGCTACCCGGAAGGGCATGGAATCAGGGACTTCCCACACTAATTTTATTACCGGAAGGACTCATGGTAAGCTTCAATCAGATGAATAATGGCCAGGATAGCAATTTATAAATTGTGACTTTAAACATCCTCGCTGTGCTACTTGGTGGAAACGAATTTTCATAACTAAGTCAGTGCCTCATCAAGTCCATGGCAGCTTTACCATGCTTTGCTTCCACAAATGATGTGTTCTGTGTTTTGCGAATTTTTCTCATGCCTGGCCTTACTTATGACACGGCATATTCGGCTTTTATTTTGCTTCAATGTTCAGCCTGACAGAAATGTTTGTCACTTATTTGTCGTGGAGTTTGCGATACTCAGTTTCGGTGGACTGCTCGTCATCAAACATGACAGCTTCGGGGAAGACGAATGACATGCGGGCTATGCTTCTAGGGTTGTGCAATTAATCTGTACATAATAGTATCATGAATGAGTATATAAAGATGAGCAAGAACTCCTTTGAGAGAAATTTGGGTTCAAGATCAGCCAGGCTAGCATCCCAACTTACACTTCATCAACTTGACACACGCGCAACCATGCAGATCTGGCACGTCACCCCCTTTGCCCTCCTCGTCCTGGGTAAGCCGCAGGCACCGGCGCCGCCTCCTAAAAACTCGTCGTCGCCGTCTGCCCCTCCAGGTGCACCACCCGTGCCGCCACCGTCAACGCCTCCGGCAACCCCCACTCCGTCTGGCAGCCCGACCCCGGCGCCCAAGGGCCCCATCTGCGAATGCGGCTACACTTATTGCGCCTCTGTGTTGAAGGCTATGAGTAAGTGTTTCCATTTGCCATTTTATTCAATAGAAATAGAAACAAGTAAAGAAACAGCTAACACGACGCTACAGAGGCACCTTGGTCTAACAAGGAACTCGCCGAAGCTTACTGCAAGACCCCGAACGCGTCGTGCCCCAACGGCAAGCCCAGCACCAACGTGGACAATGCCTTGTACGTTTGCCTCTGCGAGAAGGCGGACCAGAAGACGGGCACGCACCTGGACCTCCTGTGTGGGTGTGACAAGTGCCTGGTTGTCGGGCCGGACTTTCGAGGACGGTGTGAGACGCCGTGCTCTCCAGGCAGTCACAAGTAGTCGCCCGGCAAGACGCCACTTTCAACCTCGCAAAAGATCATCAAGAGTTGAAAGATGAAAGAACTAAGCCAAGACAAAAAATGACAAGAAAACGCAAGACCATGACTGTAGCATTGCGACACTGAGCGGACACTGCTTCTCACCTTACCCTTCTCTACACTCGTTGGCCCACCTGGCTGGGCATTTTACCATTTCTTTATCAAATTATATTAATACAGAAATATTAAGAATGGTCACCTAACCCAACCACACTTTTCCATTGACTGCCATTACGTGCATGGGGGTGCAGGAGCCACAGCGTTGGATTGCCGAAGGGGTCTATGTAATAAGTGACGGACAGACCCTCGCCGATGGCATCTGTCAATTCTATTAATAACAGGAATTGAAATTACCCCGCGCCGCAAGTATACGCCAATGGGGACATGGATTGTTTTAGGCTTGAATATACCAGTGCGGAGAGTTATTATAGCGCGGGCGGCGGTGTTGGTGCTTCTGGTATAAGTTGACGGAAGGCTGGACATTGCTGCCTGATGGGAGCTTCTAGATGAGACACTTTGAGCCTCCGAGGCATATCTACCTCAACAGCATAACACAGAACTTGGAAGCTTTCTTACGAAGCCCTCTTGTCCTGCACCAAAGACGAGGGCTGCTCCGCAGGCACTGCGATAATGCTGTCATGACCTTTCAGGCAGAGTGTCCGTCCGTCGAGGAGGGGTTCAGGCGTCCCACCCCCAGATTTTAGCGCTGCAGCTCCCCCACTCGCCGTGCCTCCAGCGATGATGGCAGCGCATCAAGGTACCTGCAAGGAGGCCAAGACAACACACTCCCTTCTGGATGGTTACAGCCTCGACGCCTCAGAAAAGGCCTACTAGGCTACCTGGTACCATAAAGGATCATGTTACCTCGTTTTCTGGAGCTGCAGCTGCAGTAGCGCTGCGTCATTGGTCTCTCTGTGTGGAGTGAGTTCTCGGCGGAGGAAGCTTGGAAGAGAAGCCATGGAAGCATCAAGTTTTGGCGAGGGTGGGTGGTACATGCATAGTTTCGGTACCTTTAAGGCCTTTAAGGCGAGCAGCAACTGCGTGGAAGACCACCAAGTTGGGTGGGTTAGCCCGTCCCGTGCCTGTACTGGTACCTTCACCAGTACCTCCTGTACCTGTGCCGTGACCTCACACGCTGGCGTCTGCCCTAGCTCCCTTCAAGTAGATCGTCAACAAGACACCTCGCCGCCCTGGACTGGCCAACTTCCCCTCCTTCACGCATTTTTTTTTTTGCTTCCCTTTGTTTTTTTTCTTGGTGTTTTTTCCTGCCTCGACTGCATCCGTTTTGTTCCCGCGTTGCTCGCACTTCCCCTTCTCGCGCCCTCTCTACCTCGCATCTCCGGCCCTGTCCACCTCGGAGATCGCATCCACAGTAGCAGCTCCGCCATCGGTGACTCAAATACGCCCATCGGCTACCTCGCTACCACGAACCGCAAACACCACACAATAGCTCGCGAGCTTCGAGTCCTCCCTCACTCCAGAGATTTAGGCGAGCCGTCGCAGATGAGTGACGTCTAAAGCAATGGCGTCCCATTTTCTGCGCCCATTGGCGTCCGAGCTCTCCTCCTCGTCTGTCGCCGTCGCGCCGGCTCGACTCGCTCGCATCAGCTTCCAAGGTATGACAAGATCGATAATTGGCTTGGCCCTCTCACGGCAATTGCACGAGGGCAGTGTGCTCGCGCGACCCGTAAAAGACAAACCAAGAAAAGCCATGTCTCGGGTATGAAATATTCCCTTGACAAATGCTAACGCTCAATTCCCCAGATGGAGGTAGATTGCTCGTGAGCGGCCGTCGTCGCTGGCTCACCACCCTCAAAGCGGCCACCGCCTCCGTGCCCGCCGCCGCGAAGCCGCTCGCCCTAGTCCGCCATGCCTCCGTGCTCTCCTCCCTGCCACCGGCACCCAAGAAGTACTCCACGGTCGTACTCCCCCAGACCACGCCCTACGCCCAGCTCAGCGTCGGCGTCCCCAAGGAGACCTTTGACGGTGAGCGTCGTGTCGCCGTCACCCCTGCCAACGTCGCCGTCCTGCTCAAGAAGGGCTACGCCAAGGTCCTCGTCCAGCGCGGCGCCGGCGCCGGCGCCGACTTCCTCGACTCCGCTTATGAAAAAGCCGGCGCGACCCTCGTCGACGATGCCGCCGCCATCTGGTCACAGTCCAATATTGTCCTCAAGGTCCGCGGCCCGTCTCTGCAAGAGGTCGACTCCGTCCAAGAGAATCAAACTATTATCTCGCTGCTGCAGCCCGCACAGAACAAGGAACTCGTCGAAAAGATTGCGAGCCGCAACGCCACCTGCTTCGCCATGGATATGATCCCCCGCATCTCTCGCGCCCAGGTCTTTGACGCTCTCAGCAGCATGGCCAACATTGCCGGCTACAAGGCCGTCCTCGAAGCCTCCAACGTCTTCGGCCGCTTCCTCACTGGCCAGGTCACCGCCGCCGGCAAGATCCCGCCCTGCAAGGTCCTCATCATCGGCGCCGGCGTCGCTGGTCTCAGCGCCATCGCTACGGCCCGTCGCATGGGCGCGATCGTCCGCGGCTTCGACACCAGGCCCGCCGCCCGCGAGCAGGTGCAGTCGCTCGGCGCGGAGTTCATCGAGGTGGAAATCGAAGAAGACGGCTCCGGCGCAGGCGGCTATGCTAAAGAGATGAGCAAGGAATTCATCGAAGCCGAGATGAAGCTCTTCAAGGAACAGGCCCAGGAGGTGGACATTATCATCACTACCGCCCTCATCCCTGGGAAGCCCGCCCCGAAGCTGATCAAGATGGACATGCTCGACGTTATGAAACCTGGCAGTGTCATTGTTGATCTTGCTGCCGAAGCCGGTGGCAACTGCGAGGCCACCCAGAAGGGTGAGCTTGTGACTTACAACGACGTCAAGGTGATTGGTACGTAAAAGAGAGCCCTCACTCACACATTCATTCACTGACAGATAAACTCAGGTTATACCGATCTTCCGTCACGTCTGCCCACCCAGTCCTCTACACTGTACTCAAACAACATCACCAAGTTCCTGCTCTCCATGACCCCGCAGGACAAGGAGTTCGGCATCGATCTCTCCGACGAGGTCGTACGCGGCGCCATCGTCACCCTCAAGGGCGACATCCTGCCCCCTGCCCCACGTCCCGCGCCTCCCCCGAGCCCCGCGAAGCCCGCCGCCGCCGCCGCCGAGGCCACCCCCGAGCCCGTCGCCCTCACGCCCTGGCAGGAGAAGTCGCGCGAGGTCGGCTTCGTCACCGGCGGCATGGCCTCGGTGCTGGCGCTTGGCAAGTTCACCGGCCCGCTCTTCATGTCCAACGCCTTCACCTTTGCCCTGGCGAGCCTCATCGGCTACCGGGTCGTCTGGGGCGTGGCCCCCGCGCTGCACTCGCCGCTGATGAGCGTCACCAACGCCATCTCCGGCATGGTGGGCGTCGGCGGCCTGTTCATCCTCGGCGGAGGGTACCTCCCCGGGACGATCCCCCAGACGCTGGGTGCTCTGAGTGTCTTGCTCGCATTCGTCAACGTGGGTGGCGGCTTTGTCATCACCAAGCGCATGCTCGACATGTTTAAACGTGAGTACATCTGATTTACGTCAGTTTTGCAATGTCTAACCTGATGGCTAGGCCCTACCGATCCTCCCGAGTATCCATGGCTTTACGCTCTTCCCGCTGCCGTGTTTGGCGGAGGCTTCATCGCTGCGGCGTCTACCGGTGCTGCCGGACTCGTCCAAGCCGGCTACCTTGCTTCTTCCGTTCTTTGCATTGGCTCCATTTCCGGTCTGGCTTCGCAGGCTACTGCCCGCATGGGCAACATGCTCGGCATGCTTGGCGTTTCTTCCGGTGTTCTTGCTAGCTTGCTTGCTGCCGGCTTCTCCCCCGAGGTTTTGACTCAGTTTGGCGGTCTTGCTTCCATTGGTATTCTTGCTGGTCAGTCTGCGGTAAACCTTTGCAAAACGGTTGCCCACACATTAACACTCCCTAGGCGCCTTGATCGGAAAGCGCATCACGCCCACTGATCTTCCTCAAACCGTTGCTGCTCTGCACTCCGTTGTTGGTCTTGCTGCTGTTCTGACCAGCATTGGCAGTGTCATGGCTGGCATTCAAGATATCTCCACCCTGCATATGGTGACTGGTTACCTAGGCGTTTTGATTGGTATGTACTGCTTTCCTTCGATCCTCGCTGTCTTGCTAACAGTTACTAGGTGGCATTACATTTACTGGCTCTATTGTTGCATTTATGAAACTTGCTGGCAGAATGTCCTCGAAGCCCAAGATTCTGCCTGGACGGCACATTATTAACGGTGGCCTCTTGGCCACCAACATTGCCACCATGGGCGCCTTTGTCACTATGGCCCCTGGCGCTCCGCTGATTGCCGCTGGCGCCCTGACTGCCAACACAGTCATGAGCTTCATCAAAGGTTACACCACCACATCCGCCATTGGTGGTGCCGACATGCCTGTCGTCATCACCGTGCTCAACGCCTACTCTGGCTTCGCCCTCGTGGCCGAAGGCTTCATGCTGGACAACCCGCTGTTAACGACCGTCGGCGCGCTGATTGGCGTGTCCGGCTCCATCCTGTCCTACGTCATGTGCGTCGCCATGAACCGCTCGCTGACCAACGTGCTCTTCGGCGGCCTCTCCACGCCGACTGAAGTGCAGGAGTACAAGCCGCAGGGCGAGGTGACGACGACGTCGAGCGAGGAGCTCGCCGACGCGCTGCTCAACTCGGAGTCGGTCATCCTGGTGGTCGGCTACGGTATGGCCGTGGCCAAGGCGCAGTACGCCATCTCGGAGATCGTGGCGGCGCTGCGCGCGCGCGGCGTCACCGTGCGCTTCGCCATCCACCCGGTCGCCGGCCGCATGCCCGGCCAGTGCAACGTGCTGCTCGCCGAGGCCAGCGTGCCCTACGACATCGTCCTCGAGATGGACGAGATCAACGACGACTTCCCGGACACGGATCTGACGGTGGTGATTGGCGCCAACGACACGGTCAACCCGATCGCGATGGAGAAGGGCAGCGCCATCGAGGGCATGCCCGTCCTGCACGCGTGGAAGAGCAAGCAGGTCGTCGTGATGAAGCGCGGCATGGCCAGCGGATACGGTGAGTTTGACGATGACCGCTGATATTGCAAGGAAGACGTGTGTGCTAACGTGGTTGTGTGTATAGCGGATGTGCCGAATCCCATGTTTTACATGCCCAACACCAAGATGCTGTTTGGCGACGCCAAGGATTCCTGTGAAGGTGCGTTTTTCATCCCTGGAATCTGTCTGCACCGCGTAACACAATGCTAACAACCTGCGCAGCTATCAAGGTGGCTCTCCAGTCTAAACAGTAGTAGACCTTTTGTCGATATAGATGTGCCATCTCTTTGTTTTCCCACGAGCTAGAGCGTTTTTTTGTCATGGTCTGAATCTTGGGTAAACTGTGGTAGATGAGATGTTCTGTTTTTTGATCGGAACAGTTGTACTCAGCTGTCCGAGTTGCAATGCTTGTGTGGGTTTCCCCAAATCTTGGTTACGTTTTGACTTTGGATCACAAGAGTTTCCAAGGAGCAGATGGTGAATACATTTCCGTTTTTTTGTTACTTGTAACAAAGTAAATTGATTTCTCTCTAAATATGTACACACGCCCCCAGTCTAGCAAAAAAAATACAACAAAGCCCTTCGCTGGGTCACCACCTATGACCTCGGCGCGGCGACGGGCTCCCAAGCGGTCAGCTTGCTCTTCGTCCTGTAGAGTAAGTTAGCATTTGCATCCTTGCTCCATAAACCTCTTCCCTCCACAGCAAGCTCCCCAAAAAGAGAAATAAAACGCACGTGTTGTAGGTCTTGAACGCGCCGCGGGTCTGCGTGTAGTTGGGCTTGGGCAGGGCGGGCTCGAACTTGCGGGTGCCGGCGGTGAGCAGGTGGTCCTCGCCCGGGATGGTGTCGACGGCGTAGCTCATCCACGCGTGCCAGCCGGGCTCGATGTGGGCGGCGTCGAAGTCGTGCTTGGCGTACTCGACCCAGCGCGTGCGGAGCGGCAGCTCCTCGCCGTTCTCAAAGTACTTGTTGCCCGCGCGGTCCTTGCCCATGTATGTGCCGGCCTTGGTGTCACCTGTTATAAAGAAACCCGTGTTAGCCGGTGCGGTGCGGTGTTTCTCGGTTCATGATGCCTGGGTTTTGTCTCTCTCGAGAGAGAGGGTCAAATTGCGCGAGGGCAGCGACGTCGGATCGGGGAAGGGGGTGGGATCGTACCGATGTACTAAATGTCGAGAAGAAGCAGACGTCAAGGTTAGCATTCGGTCTCAAGCTTCCATCTAGGTCTCGTCGTTGTATCGTAGGGTTGCCGTCGAATTACATACCCACATCTGAACCAAGTAGTCCTGTTCCAAAGTCAGCATCCTGTTCAGATCAATGATACCCTGGGCGCGGCGGCCGGATAGCGCTCATACCTTGATTCCAACTTTGCGGATGTTGCGCAGCGTACGCGGAATGGTCGACATGGCTGTGGTGTTGTGGTCGAAGCAATTGAACGGCTCGTTGCGAGATCTTCAAGGTTCGAGTCGGGATGATGCTGTTGGAGTTGGAAGTGGGCGGCTCAACTTCGGTGGCGGATGCTCCACTTTACAGAGCCACAGAGCCAATAAAAGCTCCGCTATAGCTAAGGTACAAGTTTCAGTGGACTTTACCCTTTCTGGCACCGTCATGAACAGGTTTCATCGCCAAAAGTCGTTGCTGTTGCGTTGCAACTCCTGAATGGCGCATCGGTTTATTTCTTTCTCACTTTGCCACTATTTTTCCATAAGCTGCGCGCAATATGTTTGCGCGTAGCTGCTGCCGATGCGTCGCTCGCGCGCGCCTACAATCTCGACCCGCCCAGCTCTCCGCTGCTCGAGCGCAAGTCCGGCATTATTCGACGCCGCCCGGAGGCGCACCCGCGGCCACTGCGGCGGCCAGCAAGGCCGGCATGCTGGCGCCGTTTGTCAACGAGCTCGACAAGCTGGCACCGAGCATCGACCTGCGCGGTGACCAGATCCAAATCCTCAAGACGCCCAGCGAATTCTACGAGACGCTCAAAGTACGGCCACCCACCGTCCCCCCCCCCCCTTGCCCGGGTTCCACTGACATAGACGTTCATATAGGAGCGCATACGTAATGCCAAGAGCCGCATCTTCCTGTCGACACTGTACATTGGCAAGTCGGAGCGCGAACTCATCGATGCCCTGCGCGATGCGCTCCGGTGCAACCCGGACCTTACGCTGAGCATCCTGACCGACTGCCTCCGAGGCACGCGCGAGGCGCCCGACCCGTCATGCGCGTCACTGCTCGCCCCGCTGGTCGCTGAGTTTGGAGCCGATCGTGTCGAGGTTCGCATGTACCACACGCCGAACTTGACGGGCCTGCGGAAGAAGTACATCCCGAAGCGCATCAACGAGGGCTGGGGCCTACAGCACATGAAGCTGTACGGCGTGGACGACGAGATTATCCTGTCAGGGTACGTTGCCCTTCTTTGAGAAATGTCGAATCGACTTTGCAGCTTTCGTTGCTGATGTGCATAACTGCAGGGCCAACCTTTCCACCGACTACTTCACCAACCGCCAGGACCGATACCACCTGTTCAAGTCCAAGCAAGTCACCGACCATTTCTTCAACATTCACCACGGCGTGTCCTCCTTTAGCTTCCTAGTCACGCCTTCCGACCAGCCCGCCGGCTTCGCGCTCACTTGGCCGGCCACCAACTCTGCGCCGTCGCCGCTCGACGACCCGCGCGGCTTCATCCGCGGCGCCACCACCGTCCTCCGACCTCTCCTCACCGCATCAGCCGGGGGCCACACGTCAGCACCAGCACCCTCCGCCCTCGAGGACACCCGCGTATACCTCCTCGGGCAGATGTCGCAGGTCACCGCCGCACCGGACCCGTCCACCGAGCTGCCCGTGCTCACCAGCGTGCTCACCCGCCTCACCTCGCCCGCGTACCGCGGCGCCTCGTGGACCTTCACCGCCGGCTACTTCAACCCCGCACCCTCGCTCACCCGCCTGCTCCTCGACACCACCGCGGCACCCGCCCGCGGCGTCGTCATCGCCGCGGCGCCCGAGGCCAACGGCTTCTACCGCTCGCCCGGCGTTTCCGGCCTGCTGCCGGACGCCTACACGCTGCTCGCCAAGCGCTTCGTGCACGCCGCGCACCACCACCCCGGCGGTGGCGAGAACGCTGTCGTCCTCAAGGAGTGGCGCCGCGGCACCGTAGGCCACCCCGGCGGCTGGACGTACCATGCCAAGGGCCTCTGGGTGGCCATGCCCGGTGAGGAGGAGGCCGGCCCGTCGCTGAGCGTCGTGGGCAGCTCCAACTACACGCGGCGCAGCTACTCGCACGACCTCGAGGTCGGCGCGCTCATCGTAACGCGCGACGCGGCGCTCAAGGCGCGGCTGAGGGACGAGCAGGCGTGGCTGCAGGAGCACGCGCGGCCGATGACGAGGGAGGACTACTCGACCAACGAGCGTAGGGTTGGGTTGAAAGTGCGCATTGCCATGTGGATCGTGTCGCTTGTCGGAGGTGCGTTGTAAAAAAGAGACCATCCTCTTCTGGAGTTGCATAGCGGACTACAGCAAGCCATGTTATAATAAGCAAGATACCCAACTTAGAAATAGAATAGACACATATCCATATGGAAAGAGATGCCAGCATTGTCTAGTATACAGATTGGCATGGAATAGTACACTCTACGTGAGGTTTAGTATAGTACAGTGCGCGTCGCCTTACACGCAACGACTTTCGCTTGTCCTTTGCTTCTTCCTCCTTACTTATCCCTATAGAACCTTCTCACCGGCTTGCGACCCCGTTGACGGCAGGCCACCCACCGCAATGCGTGTGACCAGATCACTCTGATGCTGCTCAATCATCTCCTTAAGCACGCTCCTCTCCAGGACGATCCTGCCCGTCTCGAGGAGGTCCTTGACATCCACGTCCGGTAGGTCCAGCGCACGCCCCTCCGTAGGGAGCTGCTCCATCGCCGCGTGCAGCCAGTCCCGGCGGCCGCCCGTCACGAACAGCGTGCGGCCGTCCGCGCGGCCGAGCCCCAGCGCGCCGAGCACGCCGCGCATGTACTTCTCCAGGTACGCCTCGCGCAGGCCGTCCTTGAAGTGGTGCGCGACGCGCGCAAAGTCCTCCGGCACCGCGAGCTCCATGCCGTCCTCACAAACGAGCAGCTCGCCGCGGCGGTAGCGGTAGCTGAGCGCGGTGCGCCAGGCCTTGTCGTAGACCTTGCGGTTGAGGCGGGTGCCGAAGTCGCGCGGGTGCGGGCCGAAGACCTTGCCGCCGCCCTTGATCGACGGGCTCTGGCGGGTGCCGAGGCGCGCGCGGCCGGAGCCCTTTTGCGGCCGGATCTTGCGGTGCGAGCCGTGCACGTCGTAGCGCGTCTTGCTCGAGGCCGTGCCCTGCCGCGTGTTGTCGCCCTCGAAGACGACAGCGCTGTGCAGCAGGTCCCGCCGCAGCGGCAGGTACAGATGGTTGACGGACCACTGCTCGAGTGCCGTCGGCTCGAGCTCGGGGAAGCTGTGGATGGTGACAGGGACGGTGGCAACTGCGGCGGCGTGTGGGTTAGTAGGCTCGACTTCCTGGGGGATGTTCTGCATTGAGGTCGTGGTGTCTGCGTACTTGGGTTCCAAGATTGGATGATTGTCTGGGGTGTCGAGGCCGACTTCGTGATACTCGAGGCTGGCGACTCGGTAGCCATGGATCGAGCAAAAATCTTGCTAACGGTGGCAGGCTGCTGCATGGTTAGACGGGTTGCAAGACGGCGAATAGGAGTATCCTTCAGAGTAGCAGACGCACCTTGGTCGCTGATATTCTCAGCGCTGCCAACGCCTCGGAGAGGCAGCCTGTAGTTCTGGCAGCCATTGTAAAACAAGCTGGACAATGGCCCGACACGCAACGGATGCCGATTCGATGCTTGGCTTGGAGAATTGATGTCGTCTTGTCCTCGTCGCAATTGGGAGCGAAGCACTCGAAAATCGTGACACTAAGAAAAAACCGGGCCGGCCTGATTCCGCCTACGAGTAAATTTCGGTGGGTCGCTGGCCGCCAGCAGCTTTTTTGGCAAGACCTCACGCCCGACTCCGACGATTCAACACTCATTTCATTTAAAAGCCGACAAACTTGATCACACAGTCCTTGACAGTCACAATGTCAGGGTGTCGTGCGGTCTCACGGCCGCTGACGAGGCAATTGAGACCACAATGCGTCATCCGGACACTTACCAGCAGCGCCGTCCGCGCCTCCGAGACGACAACCTCGACTCAGGAGCCGACCGCATCGACATCGGCGGCGCCCCTGGACCTCGACCCCAACACCGTGCCGCGTGAGCTCGAACAGGAGCTCATGGACCAGGGCACGATGCCGATCGGCTCGCGCCGCCGCCGCGAGGCCATCCGCACGACCGGCGGCCTGCCCTTTGAGCAGCTGCCGTACCAGGCGTTCCAGGAGGCGCGCAAGATTCTCGCCGCCGACCGTGCGACCAAGGTGGCGAGCCTGCAGGCGACCGTTGACAAGATCACCGCCCTCGAGGCCGCCGACGCGGTCACCATCAAAGGCGGTGAGACCATGAAGCAGATCCGGCTGCGCAGCCTGCGCAAGGAGGCGCACCGCCTGACGATCCTGGCGGACATTAACGACCCGCTCGTCAAGCGACGCTTTGAAGATGGACTGGGTGCGTTCTTTCTTTTAGTCTCTCGCTACATCGCTTTTTGTCATTTGCCGTGACTTTCAACTAATACGTGAGCCAGGTGACATGACCAAGCCCATCTACCGGCACCTGGCCGAGAAAAAGTGGCGCGCGTACGACTACAAGCTCATTGCGCAGCGCATCGAGCAATTCTCTATCGTGCCCGACATCCTACCCAAGCTCGACCCCGTTGTGGACGTGCGGCTGTACTTTGACGGCGCCAAGGTGCCGCCCGGCGCCGTCGTCCCCAGCGACGTCTCCGAGCGCGCGCCGCCGCGCCTCCGCGTGCAGGCCTTTGACGACCGCGGTGAGCGCCTCGTCACCGTCGTCGTCGTCGACGCCGACGTCCCCGACCTCGCCGCCGACGGCTTCCTCAAGCGCTGCCACTACGTCGCCGCCAACATCCCCGTCAGCCCATCCCTACCCGGCGTCGCTCTGCCCCTCCTCACCGAGAGCGGCAGCAGCGACGGCACCGCCGGCGGCCAGGTCGCCGTATCGTGGCTCCCGCCACACGCCACCAAGGGCTCGCCCTACCACCGCATGGGCGTCTTCGTCCTCGAGCAGGGCGCCGCCGTCGACGTCGCCAAGCTCAAGGAGCTGTACGCGCACAACCGCGACGGCTTCTCGCTCAAGTCGTTCCGCGATAAGTTCTCGCTGTCGCCCGTCGGCTTCGGCATGTTCCGCAGCGAGTGGGACGAGCACACGGCGAACGTCATGGCGCGCCACGAGCTCGAGGGCGCCGACATGGAGCTCCGCCCGCGCCGCGTCTACAGCCTCAAGCCACCCGTGCGGCCGCGCGGCTGGGAGGCCAAGCACCAGAGCGGCAAGTACCGCCACCTCGACAAGTACACGAAGCGCATCAAGGGCATCTCCAACGCGCGGGGGTGGACGAAGCGTCGCTGATGAGGGTATGCGAGAGGATGAAAGCATTACAGTTATTCATGCATACGACTCAACGGCCTCTTTGCAGGTCGTTGTATCCATGTCATTGTACCTAATGGGAAGACGAGACGCAAAAGTGTCAACTTGTATGATTTAGTTGTTGATAAAGATAGGGAGTGAGAGAGAGATAGGAAGAGTAGTTGCAGCCCTTGCTGCAGCTGAATCATATTGTACTATATATAAAAATCCCGAGAGGTCAATAGAAAATATGTGTGTAAAAAACAGAACCCATATAAAACGCCCTTCGAGATTTCCGGTGATCTGAAAGAGCAAGAAGAAAAACAATTCAACTGAAGTGTCTGAAGAACAGAATTTTAAAACCCGCCGGTCCCTTACGCCAGTCGCCCTTCCAGAGTCGTAGGTAGTTGGCGTTTTTGTGGTCATGTCGTGGTCGCGTACAAAAAAGCAGATAAAACAAAGGTACCAACACCAGAGAATAATTACATGAGAAAAGAACAAGATATCATGAAAAGAGGTGCAAAATGTTGGTACAAGATGAGCGAAAAATGAAGAACAAGAGCATGTCATTATTATGCCTGCATGGAAGACACCATGAGCAAATCTTGATCGAAAATGTTGGTCTGGTCGGAGGTGTCTGCGATGGCCGTGTCAAACGGTCCCTTGGAGCCCGGGGGAGCAAACATGCTGTTCAGGGTATCTGTCTTTGGTCAGCAGGTGTTCATTCAATGCGCATCTCACATGCATTGGTCAACCCGACGTACCATTCATCGGCGGTGTTGCCGTCAGCGCGCTCTGGGTGGGAGACTGCAGCTGGGCCATGGACCCGACAGCTTGCGAGCCAGGCGGGAGCTGGATAGCCTGCTGCATCTGTGTACTGCTCATGCGGCGGACATATTTGTCTGCCTCGTTGCGGATCCAGTCGTCAATGTTGGCGTCGTTGCAGGCGGCGTGGGCCATGACAAAGTTTTTGAGCTGCGCGACCTCCTCCGTGAGCTCCGCGCACTCGCTGTGCAGCGACTTGTAGCGGCTCTCCAGCTCCATCTTGCGGCGCTCGAGACCATCCTGCCATTGCTTCTTGCGCTGGCGACACTTGGAGGCGGCCGCGCGGTTTCTCTCGAGGTTGCGCTTCCGCCGCTTGTCCGCAGCGCCGGCGGCGGTACTTGCCCGTTTCGACTTGGTGGACGATGGTTTTAATGTGGTGGTTGTGGTTGTCCTTGACTTTGTGGATGCGGCGGGCTTTTTGGTCTTGCTTCTTGTGTTGGGCTTGCGTGGTATCTCGTCTAGGTCCTCCTCAAAATCGTCGTCGTCGTTTTCCGTGTCTGGGGTATCTGGGGTGGACACTCGCGGGATGGATGAGGTGGATGTGGTGCGGGAAGAGGCTGTGTCGGCTTCAAACAGCGTTTGCTGATGCTGGTCCTGGAGGAGGGCGTTTGGATCGATGGACAGGTTGGTCCCCGCGAGCATGGCGGATAGGCCGGGATCTAGCTGTGTATTGTTCATGACACGGGCCGAGCGAGTGTACGTGTGGTTTTGCGTATTGTGTGAGTCCAAGTGGCGTGAGCTTTGCAGTTGCTGGTCGGTGTAAGAGGCGAAGCTGGTGAGAGTGTGGGAGAGAGGTGAAGGGCGTTTCGGCGATAGTTTTTGCAACGATGGGAGCGTTTCTGATGGAAATCAAAACTTTGAGGTGGAAAGGGTCGATTTAGTGTTGTAGGGTCAATAGTGTTTGGTGGTTGTGGCGAAATGCAGATGCTGCTGAGTGATGGATGCAGTGGACAAGGTGAATGACGGTGGTAGCTTAATGGTGGTGGTAGCAGGAATCACACAGCCACACTTCTTGGGGCGTACAATATATATGACATTTTACGAATTGGCGCAAAACAAAGAAACGGCGCACAAGTGAGAAGAAAAACTGGGAATGGGAAATGGACATTCTCCTCCTGCCGGCTGAGCCACTGGCATCATGGGGGGGAGGGAAGGGAGAAGGCGGGAACCACTCAGTAAAAACGGTTGCGACTTGTTAACCCAGATCGGCGATCCAAGCTCTCATCGAAGTCTTTTAACATGGAGCATGAATTGTGGCTCAGTCCGGCACCGACGAGATAGCGAAAGCTTGGCCGCAACCAGGCTGGCTGGTTGTGGTAGCTGTTTTGAAGCAAAAAAGAGGAGACAGCTTGCTTTGCTTGCTTGGTTGTTGCAGCTGCAGGATGAGGCTTATTACTAAAACGATTTCAATTATAAGAAAAAAGTAGGTCGAAACCCAAAATCCGGGAGGTTTCGCCCGTTAGGCAGCATGGGGCACTGGAATACAGAATGTAGCCGCATCGGAAGAGAACCAAAAAACAATTAACATAATAAAACCATCAAGAGGAATGATGGCACAGTTTTAATAAGGCTAAAAAAAATCATCAGACAGCTGGTGCGGCAAATGTCATTGGGGGCTTGTGGCTGAAGCTCTGCGCAGGCTCCGTACCTACCTAGGTAGGTACGTACATAGGTGCCTCGTGAGGAGAAAACCCGCCCCCTCATTGGCCATCACTCGTGCCCAGATAATAACACATGCGCGCGGGCTCGGTATTAAGCTGCCAGGGGGGGCAGTTGAGTAGGACGAAGAGACGCGCGTTGATGGGCTTGCTTGCTACATTCGCGTTGTGCCGTTCAGCCATGATGAGTGACACGATTAGTGACTCGATGGTTGCTGTGGCTGGTGCACACTGTTTGATCAGTGAGGGGAAGGACTGGCATTTGGTTGGCTCCCCTCCCGCATTGGGTAGGCGATCGCCGTAGGTTCCGGGCACTTTGCTCCGGCTAAACTGCTGCCTTGATTTCCTACCTTGTAAACTTGCTTACATTACGTAGCCAGATATTTATTCACAGGCAAAATACCGTGAACCCCAGGTTACTCGAACCTCCCACCTCTAATAACCAGCTTCGGCCTCGTCCCCGTCCTGTCTTCTCATTGGACAAGCTACATCAGCCGTCTATTGCTCATGCACTGAACGCGTGCCAGCAAACTCCCCCGCAACAACTGCTCCTAGCTACTAACACAGCTACTCGTCGGATCTCTTCTTGTGAGAACTGCCATGATCCCGGTAGGCATCCGCCGAAACAGCCAATGAACGGGCAAGCGCACACATGGACAAAACGCTCCGACGCCGTTTCCCTGTTTCACCATTTCCCCATATCACATTATTTTCTCAGCGGACAAGAATTTCCGCCAGCCAATGGGCGAAACCCAATAATATAAATGGAAATAGGCGCCAAAGAAAAAGGCACAGGGCATGCCACAACCAGGCACATCGACGTCATTGAAGCGAACAAACCTGTTACCAGCCACATGTACCGGTTTTCGCCCTTGTCGTAGCACAACGGTCCCCAACAACGCTCGAATACGATGACAATTAGCTGCATTCTCTAGTTCAGGCACTTGGCCTTTCCCATCGTCTTTTTTTATTTTCCCATGATTGACTCCTAAACCGCCCTCTCCTCTAGGGCCGGGTCAAACGCGTAGTCACCTGACATCGCGCCAGTGCACGTCACAACTCTCCCCCCCACAGCGCGCTTCCCCGCCAGCGTGATTCACGCCCGTCAATTGTCAATTCATCCAACTTCTTCAATTCAGCTTGTTCTTCATCCAAAACGTACCAATTCCAGCCCCCTCCCCTCTAGGCCACCATGTCGGAACACATCGCCGCCCCGCGCATCACCGCCGCCAGCCTCGACACCTTTGTCAACAAACACGTCAGCATCGTCGGCAAGGTCACCCAGCTGCGCGGCGACCAGGCTACCATCGACGCCGACGGCGCCGTCACAGTCCTGCTCAACCGGGTACGCACGCCTCCTCCCCCCCGCAAAAAACTGTAGGAAGCCCACCTCACCAACGGCAACGCCGCGCTCTTCATCGGCAAGGTCAACCCCGACCTTTCCATCAAGGCCCTGAGCTCCCGTGACGTCGGCACCGGTGTTGGTATGTACCCATCCGCTGGTATTTTAAAAAAAAAAAAAAAAAAAAAAAAAAAAGGAACGTCCTTTTTTTCTAACATGTTGTAAAGACATGGGCCTGTGTACGCAAGTCGCCGAGGTCACCCAGCGGCACAAGGCCATCTTTGGCGGCGCTGACAACTGAAGGCGTCCCGCCGCGCCGCCGCCACCGCCCGCATCACCATATACGTTTGATGCACCAGCGACGGTTGTCGCTCCTTTCTGGACGCAAGACTCTTTCTCCACGGCGGCGACGGACTACGACGACCACAATGATGATGACGATGACCACGACGATGATGATGATGGTGGCGTGTGGAGCCAGCCCCCGTCTCCCTCGTGGGAGGTCGACGTCAATTCTACCGCGTCACCATGGATTCCCTCTGCGCAGCCTGTGTTTTATCCCTTCTCGCTTCCCGCATCGGGCATTCGCCCTCTCACGCCGCCCTCGCCTGTTAAGCGACACACGGACTTCGATGACGACTCCTGGGCCTCTGACCTCGATTTCGATTCGGAAGTACAAGACATGCTCAACAATGCCTGGCAACGCGTTTCTGGTATGACCATGTGAAATAGACAGCGTCATTTTGACAGTCAATGGCAATCGATACTTCTATTCGGTGCTTCCAAACTCTGCTATGTCCCTTACAGTAATCTCTACCTTTTACACTGTGAAACCCTGCTCAAAGAACGCATACAGTCTTACACCTCGCCCTGCACTCACTAATCGTCTGTATTAGCCTGCCACCCACCTCAGACGTCCTTGTTCTTATCCATGTCAAGTAGCTCCTTAGCTGCCATCCACAGCTCCGCTACTTCGTCGATGCTGGCCGGCCTCGGACGCAGCCCCCTCTCTTCCCGGCGGTTTCCAGATGCTTGCCTATTCAAATTCTGCCCCTCGCAACACTCGGCACAAGATTTACTTTGACTGCTTTCCGCACTTGTTCGATGTCCAGAATTTGACTCTCCCAAAGTATTGGCCTGTTCTTCATTGCCATCGACCTCGGCGAACCGGACTCGAGCAGCTGCAGCCACATAATCATTATCCAACTTGAGACAGCCCGCTGATTCATCGCCCTGCTGCTCTCGCTCTGGCGACTCAAGTTGCTCCGATGCTATCGCCGCATCACGGATGCCCTTCAGCCGCTCGGTGAACCTCTCGAATACGTGAACTCTTTTCTCAGCAGATTCAGCCCTGCGCCGCCACATGCCAACATCTTGTCTTAATTTCACTGCTTCCTGTTGCTGCTTATCGTCCCACCCCATTTCCAGTAGATTCGACTCCCACTCCTGCTTGACTATTTTGTCATGGAGAGATATGATAACCTGATACAGCGCCATCATCGCTTCGGAATCTTGGAGCGACGCGGGCGGCAGATTGTAGCCATGAAACCTATTCAGATGGCGAATAATGGATCCTGGCTTCTCATATACAGGCAAACCTTCTTGTGAGCATTTGGCCCATGAATCGGGGTCTTCTTCGTCGTTGTAAGGGCCTCTCTTCTTCTCATTACTGATAGTCGAGTTTTTGATACGATTTCTGCCTGCATTGATCAAGCTCCGAATCGCAGAAGCTCTCAGCGACACCCCATCGCTGACAGAGGAGCGTAACACTTTGGCCGCAGGGCTCTTTTGCGGAACGCCATTTTTCCATACTCCCATGGGGGCATACTGACTCGGCCTAAACACATCGTCCTCTTTTTGTATAGCCGAGTTCGTCAGGGGGCCACTCTTTGCCCGTCTCAGCTTTTTCGGATTGTCCTTGACTGGACTGCCTGGATGGCAGTCTTTGGCAGGCTTGGGCAGCCTTTTTTTTCCAGTATCGCTCGGGGTACTGGGGATCCCAGGCGTCTGCGCGCAAATCTTCCCAGGGCTTCGCAGACTTTGGCCCTTTTCCGGACTACCAGTCAGAGGCTCGCAAGCTTTTCGCTTGTTTCGTTTCAGTTGGTATTTCGAATCCGTGGCTGGAGATTGTGTTCCGTTTCTCCTAGGCACGGCCTGGGTTCGCAGAGCACTACCAGGAAACACATCAGAAGTCTCTTCCCTCTCCTTTCCAGGAATCTCTTTAGGCAATTCATTTGGAGAAGTTGTCGACGATGTGGGGGGTGAATAAAACTGAGGTGGTGTGCCGCGTCCCGAAATTACACGTGTATTGGGCTCTTGACTAGTATGTTCCTTGTTTTCGCCTTTTCCTGTCACATTTTCTTCGCCACTCAGTTGAGTCTGGCCGCTGTCACCGGTTTCCGGTCGAGGCTGGCTTAGCGAATCAATCGACGAGAGTCTGGGCGGGACTGTGAACCTCTTTTTCTTTGCCAAAAAATCCATCTCCATCTGAGTCCCCTCAGCCATGCTCAACCGGCCGGGTTTGGGTTGGTTTCCGTTGTCCAACGGCTTGAAAAGCTTCCCGAATTCTGTTTCTTCCTCAATCACGGCATCGCTCCTTGGACGTACGTCTTTGGGGCTTTCCTCAATAGTAGGGCTCAGAGTGTTAACGCTGGCCTTTTGCCTCAGAAAGCCTGAAGCGCGCTTAGGTGCGTTTGCTGGTTTCGTCAGAGTGGTAAGATTCGAGTCCACATCCTCGGTTGTGCTTCTGGTGACAATCGCCGAGTTCGGCCGTATTTGTGAGAAATCTTTTGGGGCCCTGGTCAAAAAGGTTTCCGACGCGGATGGCCGAAGCGGTGGCCTGCCGAAGCTGCCACCGGCGATGTGTCTCCTTCTGTGCGTACCCAGGGACTTCATCTGCCGAACAATATCTCTCCAGTTCGAAATCAGCATTTCGGTGACTCTGTTTGCGACGAGAACCTTGTCAACGGCCGGTTGAACGTTCTTGGTGCTGCTTCCAGGTCTGTTCTTTCGCGTTTCCTTGCGCATCTGTTGTGTCACTGGCAGGACGACTAAACCAGAATCTGGAGCGGCAATGTTCAAGGTATATGATGCAAGCAAATCGCCAACCAGCAATGGTCCAAAACAAATGCTCAGCGCACCATAGCCCATCAAGTCTATTGTTGGCAATGGCAAGCCAGCGTCATCTTCTCTTGGGGCCACTTCGGCAATGCGTCCAATCATGCTGAGTAGTCCGAATATGGCGCAGATTAGCTCTCTTCGGTATTGCGACTCGATCGTTCCAATAGCCAGCGCGATCAATCTCGCCCGGACTTTAGTCTGGTTAGTTCGTGGGAATTCCGGCTCTGCATTCAACTGTGACTGAATAGCTATGAGTGAATCGAGAAGGAGTAGAGACCCCAGTATCCCACCTGGCAATGTCGATAAAAGCCTTTTTAGTGTCGATGCGATATCATGAACAGAGTATTGGATATGGAGTGGCAACGTCGCTGAACGTACAGTTCCCGAAATGTCGCCACCACCTTTATTCATGTGGCAGTAATAGTCGAATAGGGCTCCAACAACTTTCATAGAGCCGGGAATTCGAAATAGGCCACGTGTGTTGGGATGCTGTGCCACGTATTGAGCAGTCGCTCGTATGCATGTGGGTAGAATCAGAGCACAGGGTGCATATTCCGGTGGCAGGTAGAGAGAGCTCTTGCCGCTGAGGCGCACCATGGACTGGAGATCTAAAACACTTGGAGCCTCCCTTCTGCTGTGAATTAGATGGGCCAAGTCAGATGCACTTCGTCGATGTCGGGATCTCAGGGGGTCGCGATCTCTAGACTCTGACGGCGGCCGGGAGCCGGACGTGAACATGCGACGAAACCATCCGATCTTTGGTTTTTCGTTGTCATCCTATTGTTGTTAGGTATCTGTGTGGTGAGGCCGAGCTGGACCACGCTCACTGGTTTATTTAGGTCGAAATCATCGAGTATTAACGGCCGGAGTCCATGCTATCATCAATTAGCTTCTAGTCAACTTGATTGACGCTGATTCGTACCTTTTTCGCCAAGCGATTGTATTCCTGCACAAAGATGGCCCGATCTTCAACCTCGTCGGCGTCTTTGAGGAGTCCGAGATCGCCGCTGGTAGAGGTCCACGTGTGGCTGCTGAATAGAGGTCGGTCATTTTGCAGCAAGCTGTGGAATGTCGAGCTCCCCGGAAGAGGCTTGTCAAATGCGCTCTCGGGGAGCACCAGAAGCGGCGCGCTGAGGGACATGGGTTGCTGGGATGTTTTTCCTTTGGATGCCATGACTGAACCTAACGAGTCGGATCAGCCACGCATTTTATTGCAAGACCAGATATAAATGGAATACGAATGTGAATGGGAGATATGAACTAAGCCGTTGGCAGTTGACATTTGGCAGTTGACAGTTGGCAGTTGTGTGGTGCCGAGTGTTAGCAGTCGAGACCTGCCAAACGCGCGTGGCAGGCCAAACAAAGTGCTGCGCCGTGGAACAAGAAACATGCCGTTGACAGGTCAACCTGGCTGGGAAAGTACCCAATGACGGCAATTGTGCTGGGCAATGCACTTGAACAACTCTTGATGTATGTTTCCCTAAAGAGTAATTATTGAGCTTCTGATTCGAAATCAAAATCCATTTGCCGTGGTGTTGACAAACGCGGCTCTACATCCCGTCTATAAATCATAGGAATAGTTGCAGCATAGTATGCCAAAAGAAAACAAGCATCTTGTCATCAGTCCCGTCCCGTACGCCGAAGATAATGCAATGCGCCTTGTCCCAAGATCCCATCTTTTAACCGGTATCGTATCCAGCTTCCACTCGGGAAGGCTTATTACTCCTAGGCCCCATCTTCGCCCTCTTCATCTAGCACGTATTTCAAGATGTCCGAAAGGGAAATGACGCCCTTGAGCTTGTTATCGTCATCAATGACAATGAGCCTGTGAACTCTGCTCTTTCGGACGGCGTCAAAGATGGCGTCGAGTCGGTCGTCTTCGCTGCAGGTGTAGATGCCGGGGGCGTCGTCGGGGCGTTTGCAAAGGGCCTCGCCGACAGAGCCGCCGAGATCCTCGTACACGCCACCCTTGATGCACGGGATAATGTCGACTGCTTCGAATGCGTTTAGGACTCGGCCGTCGCTGTCGAGTATGGGGATGCAGCTGATGTTGCTGTCCACCATGAGGCGGATCACATCCAGAACTGTGGCGTCCATTGTCGAGGTGATAAGGTTGTTGTAGGAGCCCAAGTTAATTTCTCGCACCGTCTTCTTAAGCATGACGGTGTAATCCGCATTGTTGACGGCAATGAACTTGAGGATGCGGTATTGGGTGATGACGGAGATGAGGGTTTCGCGCCCCGTCTCGTCGTCAACATCGACGAGAGGGATTCTGCGCGCTCGGGTCTTGAGCATCTGCTTGCATGCTTCAAACAGAGGCCGCGACGGGTGCACGGAGAGTGTTTCGATCGGGACGGCGCCGATTGCCTTTTCAATGTCTTGGGCACATGTTAACTTGGCGCCTGAGCGGGGTAGGAGAATGAGGGGTTCGGGCGGCTTTTCTTACCACGTAGACTGCGCAGACGGAACTGATCGAGCTTGCTTATCTCGTCGGGATACTGGATATGGTATTGGATGACGTTGATGTAGTCAGTGCTGGTCAAGAGACCAGCAAATCGCGATGTTTGAGAGTCCCATAGCGGGGCAGAGACGATGGCTAGATGAACAGTTGTCAATAGAGTTATCTTGGCATTAGGGGTGTTTAAGACGGGCGCACAATTTTGAATCAGGATATTGAGGCTTTTCTTGATGAGCAGGTCGGTGTCGAGGACGATAAGGCGGAAGGACAGAGGCAGCACGTCGTAGCTGGTGCGCACTTTGAGAAACTCGCGAATGGCCTCCTGCAGGTCGGGACGGTTAGTAGGAGTTACAACATGGCGACACATGAGCGCAACGATTTGGAGGTATCGTGACATACCAGGCCTTCGCTCTGCTCGCGGTCGAGAGGGCTCTGCGTCTTGGTCTCGAGCGGGGAGGGCATGACGGTCGGGGTGGACGGGGACGGCTTCTTGACGCGCAGGTAGGATGAGGGGGCCACAATGGGAGGGAGCGTCAACTCTGGCAGAGCTGCCTGATCGTCGGCGGCAGCGACAGGCCTAGACTCTCGCAGAGGTATGCCAGTGCCGGTCCCGGGGGTGGCAGCTGGTTCAGACGTCGAGTCGGCTGTGGCATGTGCGGGGGCAGAGGCCATGTGAGCGCTAGAGGAGGAATTATCTGCGCCGCCCTCCATCGTGGGCAACGTGTGACGGGTGGCAAGGGTGAACGGGGGAGAACGCCGAAGGTGGCGTTGAGGGCGGGCTGAGAGGGCTGCAGGGAGTCGAGACGATGGGCTCGAGGGCGGCTCGAGGAACTGTACGGCAGAAGTAAGGTTATGCTATCGTGAGTTGAATGTCGACGGATGAGGAGGGGGTGGGGTTGCGATTAGCGGAGAAGGCTGTAGGGTAATTGTATGTGGGATCAATACGTCCAGAGAGACGGATACATGGCAAACGCGCTGGAAGAAGCGGATGTGGAAGTGGAAACTGGGATTATTAACAATTCAGTGGTGATGTCAATAATCAAGTGACAAGTTGCAGTCTTTGCTGCAAATCAAGGCTCGTTGGCTCTGCCTACTACATGTCTCTTAATAGGTATCTCCCAGCAAGGCCGGGGCCACTACTGAAGCTTCCGCGCCATCGCAGTTATTTGGTAGAAGCGGTTTAAGAGAGTTCATTAATACAGCTCCGTGATTGGCTTAAAGCAGCTTTTAGTGGACTCAACACCATCGGCCGACTGTGTATTGCGGTCGCCATTTCCCTCAACACCACAAATCTCGTCGTCGCGGTATGGCAATTACAACACCAACAATATAGGCCAAATTTATTTATGATAATCCTCAGCCCAGCTATTCTCCAGGCTCTAGCTTCCTTTTCTTAATTGTAAGTATAATTCTCGTTTCTCATTTCTTTTCTCTTTTGACATCGCCTTACCGTTGTAACAGCTCTCTGCCTCCAACCCCATCACCACACCATCACCACTAACAACTAGGGTCGGCTCGAAGATAAACCCCTGGTGCAACTTGAACCGCCAACATCTCCTCATCGCTTCATGGCTGCTGTGCCATGTACCCCGTGATTAGAACTAGGTAGGTAACCAGAATTTGACAAGTAAAAGTGATCGTACTCCGCCTGGGACGGAAGCTGGTCCCCGGTCAAGGGGAAGTCAGTCCCCATTGCCCATTTTGGCATCATTACCCGTGAAGATGGCTCAGTGGGCCGAAGATGCAGGTCCGAGCTTATTAGTCACTCCCCAGACTCGCTATGGCGGTGGTTTGAAAGCACGATTTCGAACATTATTAATAGCTTAATAATTTAAGTTGGTATTCTTCTTGTTCATTATTCGATTTACTCAAGCTTTCCAGCTATTAAAGCCGACAATCTGCCCGAAATCATCAATCATCATATTCGCCAACTCAGCAGCTACATCCATTATCAGCCAAAATGGCATCCGTCAACGTTACTTTTATCGGGACTGCCACGGCAATCCTTGAAATCAATGGCATCAATTTCATCACCGACCCGTTCTTTTCCCCTGCCAATTCTGAATGGGACGTCGGCATTACTGTCCTCAAGAACGCGACAACTCCCGCTCTCGGCCTTGCCGACCTGCCTGCCATCGACGCCGTGCTTCTAAGCCATGAGGACCACGCTGACAATCTCGACGAGCTCGGCCGCAAGCTTCTAGATGGTCGGCGTGTCTTCACTACCCGCGACGGCGCGAGCAAGCTGGGACCGCGTCCAGCCGTCCGTGGCATGGCTCCCTGGGAGACGGTCTCCTTCAGCGTCGGCAAGGTGCAGTTTGACCTCACAGCGACGCCCTGCCAGCACCTTCCGGGCGGTGAATGTGTCGGCTTCGTCATCTCGGGCCCCGATTTCGGCGCGATGGACGGGAAACCGAACGGGATCTACTTTTCGGGCGACACCGTATATTTCGAGGAGCTTGCAACCATCAGAGACAAGTTCAACATCCAAGCAGCCTTGATCAATCTTGGCGCGGCAACAGTCCCTGCCGGCGACCCGCCCTTGAAGATTACCATGGACAGCGCCGATGCTGTCCAGCTTCTTCAAAGTATTGGCGCCAACATCGCGATCCCAATGCACTGTGATGGCTGGAGCCACTTTGCGGAGAACGGCGCTCAGGCGGCCAAAGTGTTTGAAGAAAAGGGTGTGAATGAAATCATTCGCTGGTTGAAGCCTGGAGAAAGGACTCAGATAATCCGCAACGGTAGAATCGAGTAAGACGCCGGAACGTGTATCCAGTGGGTTTGTGTGTGCGTAATCGCGGTGTATTAGAGGTACGCGCTAGGTAGACTGTCCCAACTTAGTTTTGATCACTTGCCGCGGCTGTATGTCCCTAAAATACTGTCGGAAAGTAGAAAATTGATGAGGTAGAAATGACGCCGGGCTTTGATATCGTCCACGACTCTCTTGCATAAAGCTTGATGATCCGGTCCCCCATACCGCTCCAGATATTCATGAGAAACCTTGAACGGGAGTAGGGCAGACATGCCGCCGTATAGCCGCATTTGTTCCTGTGTTAGGTACCCCACGCTCTGCATGATTGATGCGGCGTTCTCCGTGAGGGTAGATTCGGGGATCGCAAGCTCTATGGGCAGCGGCTGGGCATCGGCCAACTTCTCGTGGAGGGAGCGAGCATGCACAGCGCATATGATGCGGAAGGTCAGGTAGTGCATAACAGAGTTGGCTTCGGTGACGTCGTGGTAGAGGATATCGTGCATCGATACAGACTCGTCGTCCAAATCGCCGCCTTGTTGCAGTAATGTGCCTGCTGAATGCAAACTCTTCCAGTCGCCTAAGCTATTCATGACGTCTTTCAACAAGTCGAGACATTCCCAAGCCTTTTCGGGATCGATCGATTCATTCATCTTATCGATTGTCTCCAGTATAGATGGTATGCGGGCTCCAACTGTCACGAGCGCTTGTAGAGGCTCTGCCGGCCTCTCCTGGAACGGAATTGTTGACCATTCCGGTGATCCGAGGAAGATAGCTTTGTGAGCTGCTATGGACCAGACAATCTATCTGAATTAGCATCGTTGGGATGCATTCACTTCGTGAAGAACTCACCATTCCAGTTCGGAAGCCAAGGAACAATTCGTGGGGTAGCCCGCGACTGTAGTAGTTCGGTCCTTGACCAACCATGAGTTGGGATAGTCCGAAGGCGTGAAATCGAGCGCTGCTGGCAGAGGGTAGAAGAAACTATATTTCACAACTCGTGAGTCACAACGGGCGGAAGTAGAAAAACAGCTAGGCGCACCTCTGATAGAAAGAGAAACATCATGGCAGAGGATAATTCGTTTGGTCTTGACGTTTGACAGCGGCGGAGAGCACGATGTATAGAGCTGAGGGCGGTTCCGTGGGCATCCAAAGCATCAGCGGCCGAGGCAACTTCCGGTGCCGTCTGCGATACAATCGCAACGCCAAAGGCCTCGATGGCGTCTCGTAGAGCCTTGCCCTCGTCACCCGTTGCATCCAGTTCCAGCACTTTGTCCATCCAAGCGCCGCATACCCGGGATGTGGACCGAAGCTTCATTGGACATTCATTGGTAGCCGGCCATGCCGGTATAAAGCTTTGCGATACCAACAATAACAGGTCGTCCTCCTGCCAGGAGAGGCCGCCGGCGATGGTCGCGTTGGGGGTCGTGCGCGCATCTGGCTCCTTAGACCGTTGCCGAATACGACATCGATTCTGTTTTGGTTTTGGCTTTGTCGGCAGACTCGGGCCAACGAAGATGAGATCGTACTGGTATCCGCCACACGAGCGGCCGGTACGAAGGCACTGGGAGCAAGCCGGGACTTGCCCGTCGCACTGTGTTTGCGGGTGAGTCGCCTGTGAACTTGATCAAGCGTGATGGGCAAGAGGGTATCATACACCAAGCTTACGGCCCCTGCATGTGTGGCAGACGGTTCGCTGTCGGATCTTCATCGATTTTGATTCTGAGGCGGTGACGGGAGTGTGATGTTCTGTCGATATTTTCAAACGGCCTTTTTGTCCGAATGATGACTACGTGGAGCTGGCTTTAAAGTTCAACACTAGGTTAGTCCGGCCTTGGTGCGTGATGGTAGTCGCCACCCCGACGGATGGCGGGCGGGGATGCCGTGATAAAAATAAACCGCCAATAATGTTGTTTTGAGAAAACAAAAAGAGATTATGGATTGATAGGTCAGATGAAGTGAATCGAGGAATGATGAAAGAAAAGTGTATGGTTGGGAAAGAGTATTCTCGGACAGAAGAGAAAGACGCTTTTATAATCACCAAGACCAAGGGTAAGATGGGTAAGATGTCTCCATACCACCATCAAGCCAACAGTTCGGTAGCTCTGTCTCCGAGCGGGTGAAAAAGACGCCAACAGCACGCTAACCAAGGACATCGCCGAGGCTTCGGTCAAGTGATCGATTGAGACAGGTGGCAAATTTTATACAGAACAGACTCGTGTATATAACTCTATACTCTAGTCTACTTATTGTTCCTGTATCCTTGGTCCTTACCCTCTCTTTCCCGGACCGATGTTCTCCCCAGCCTTATCCTCCAAGTAGTTATGCGGTCGCTCTCTTACTGTTGCTCTAATAAAAGCAAGCTTACTACTGTACCCATGTCTTGGGCGGCAAAAAGAACCGTAGCAGAGTAGTCTTACTTCTGTAAGTACATGGAAACGGCATGTGACTCATGTTTCTTCAACACATGTGAATTTAAGTCCTTTAGTACATACCTTCACACCATGTCAAGGAAGTTGTGGCATCTTGACCGAAGGTAAAGGGTAGCATCATAGTATTCGCGATAAGCTGATGAACAAAGCAGGCTCCTAATAGGGCAGGAAAGAATTGAAACGATCAACCCTCATGTTTGACTCCAACGGCACTGAACAATTGGGCTTTGCGGACCGTAGGCAAGATGGGCTGCCGAGCCGGGTGTTCAGCTGACACACTAGGTGGCATCACATGGCACATAGGTAGTAGGCAACGGGAAATGCAACGCGGCACGCTTGCGTGGGACGTGGGACGCGCACTGCGAGAGGAACTTGAGACGAAGAAGAAGCGCCCTTGAAGTAGCACAAGCCGCACTGTGTCATACCCTAGAGATGGCTTGAATCGAGTGATGGCGGCATCGGCAATGGGGAGGTCGACGGCGAGATACGAGCCTAGGAGTGCATAGCGACGCGACGGCGAGAATGTTGTGGCGCATTGTTCTGTAAATAGTGTCAATAGCGCTAACAGGGAGGAAGGTTTGGGGTGGGTAGGTTGTCGACGGAGTGCATGTATCTGTACGAAGCGATGCGTATCTTTCTTTACATTCCATGAGGGCGATTAATTACCAGAGCAAGCTCATTCCAGGTGACGCAGCTGTCGATGCGTTTGGTGAACAAAGTCGTTAATCAGGCGGGCGGTTATTTGTCTTCTTTGGAGAGGCTGTTAGCGCCTTGGCGAGGCATTCCCCCCACGCTACAGCGCTCGCAGCGAGAGATGTGCCTCTACAACTGCTGTACGTCCTGCTGCAAGACCCCTGGTCCGGGCTGCTCGGGCGGCCCCACGTCCACTAAAAGCCCCCCAGCGATTCGACTTGATTATCGTGCAGTAAGCCACTGACCCCAGGCCTATGTACCATACATTAACATGCGCCGTCCATTAGCGTGCATATCTCTCTCAACTGGACTGTGCAACCCATTCTCCCCACCCCCTCTACCGAAACGCTCTCACCTCGTCTCTTCACTTTCATCATCCCCCCTACTCCCATCCGGGCTTTGACAACTTACCACTTCATCTCTCCTCGTCCTGCCCGTCTGGCCTGGCTTCCGCACCTTCCCAGCGGCAGCAGGAACGAGACGCCGCGCCACCCCAACCCGGATTGCGCCACCACTTCAACTCGCCCCGGCTCCTCTTTCTGAGCCTTCCCGGTAGAGAGGTCCTGCTAGCTTCGCCTGCCTTCCCGCACCCGAGCTCGTTCTCCACCCACTGCCAACCCAGCGCCGGCCCAGACCAAAACGTCAACAAAACAATTTCCATCGTCGACGACTCCATCACTGCCAACACCACCTGCCTCCTGTCATCGACAATCCCGTACTCCCCTTCGCCGCCACGGCCGTCGCGCCAGCCATGGGTATCTGTAGTTCAACATGCTGTGGAGGTCCGTTCATCCCCCGACCTGACCCCGAGTCCTCGCAGTCCCCCGTCCCCCCCTCCCGCCTTCTGACCCGTTTCATCCCCAGGCCGATCCCGAGATAGTCTCTACGAGCCTGTCCTCGCCGACAGCGAACGTGAGGCTGTTGCCGACCTTTTGCAGTTCCTCGAAAACGTCAGTAGAACGGGCTCGTCGCTGCCCGCCCCAGTCTACCAACCCACCCGGCCCTGCTAACCCATCCCAAATAGCGTGGCGAGACAGACTTCTTCTCCGGCGAACCCCTCCGAGCACTCAGCACCTTAGTCTTTTCTGAAAACATAGATCTTCAACGCAGCGCAAGCTTAACCTTCGCCGAAATTACCGAGCGCGGTACGCCTCCCCTTCCACGATGCGTACACTTACGGATCCTTCTGACTGGCTTCCAGATGTCCGTGAGGTCGACCGTGATACCCTCGAACCTATCCTATTTCTCTTGCAGAGCTCTGATGTCGAGGTCCAAAGAGCCGCCAGTGCTGCACTGGGAAACCTTGCTGTCAACAGTAAGACCCGGCTCTGCGCCAAGGTCAAGGACCCAAAAACATGCTAACCATAGATGCAGCTGAGAACAAGGTCCTCATCGTCCAGCTCGGCGGCCTTACCCCCTTGATTAGACAGATGCTGTCACCAAATGTTGAAGTCCAATGCAATGCCGTCGGGTGCATCACCAACCTCGCTACACACGAGGAAAACAAGGCTAAGATTGCTCGCTCCGGCGCTCTGGGACCGCTTACCAGGCTTGCCAAGTCAAGAGATATGCGTGTCCAGCGTAACGCTACAGGAGCTCTGCTCAACATGACTCACTCTGGTATGCTGCTCACGAAGAAGCTATGTCCTCCGCCTTCTACATTACTGACCTTCGTGCCAGATGAAAACCGCCAACAACTCGTCAATGCTGGTGCTATCCCAATTCTCGTACAGCTCCTCGCTTCGCCCGATGTCGACGTTCAATACTACTGCACCACTGCTCTTAGCAACATTGCCGTTGATGCCAATAACCGCAGAAAGCTGGCCTCGTCAGAAGCTAAGCTTGTGCAAGCCTTGGTCGCTCTCATGGAGTCTTCCTCTCCCAAGGTCCAATGTCAGGCAGCTCTCGCTCTCCGGAATCTGGCTTCCGACGAAAAGTACCAACTCGACATTGTCCGAGCCAATGGTCTGACGCCTCTACACCGTCTCATCCAATCTTCATACCTTCCATTGATTCTATCCGCGGTCGCTTGCATTCGCAACATTTCTATCCACCCTTTGAACGAGTCTCCCATCATCGAAGCAAACTTCCTCAAACCTCTTGTCGATCTGCTCGGCTCTACTGAGAACGAAGAAATCCAATGTCATGCCATCTCGACTCTGCGGAACCTCGCCGCTAGCTCCGACAGAAACAAGGCCTTGGTTGTTGATGCCGGTGCCGTGCAAAAATGCAAGCAGCTCGTGCTCGATGTTCCTGTCACCGTTCAGTCTGAAATGACTGCCGCTATTGCTGTGCTGGCTCTCAGCGATGATCTCAAGTCTCACCTGCTCAACCTCGGCGTCTGTGACATTTTGATCCCCTTGACTCACTCGCCAAGCATCGAGGTACAGGGCAACAGTGCTGCTGCCCTCGGAAACCTCTCATCCAAAGGCATGTACCCTCCTGACAAACGTCGTAATATGAACTAACCCGTTCCCAGTTGGCGATTACTCAATTTTTGTCCAAAACTGGACCGAACCCGATGGCGGCATTCATGGCTACCTGTGTCGCTTCCTTCAGTCAGGCGATGCCACTTTCCAACATATTGCTGTCTGGACCTTGCTTCAACTATTCGAATCGGAAGACAAGTCACTGATTGGTCTCATTGGTAAGGCCAATGAGATCATCGAACACATTCGAAATATTGCGAACCGCCAAATCGATACAGAGCCCGAGCTTGAGGAAGAAGATGAGGGTGAAGCTGTGAATCTGGCTCAACGTTGCCTGGAGCTCCTTGGACAGAGCATGTCCAAGGCCCACATCGAAGGTTGATTGGTTTTTAATGCCGTACCGCCGTGAAACTTGCGGTTTGGCAGACGGGCATTTGTGCCGCTTCCGTGTTTCCAAGTCGAGGCACAAGTATCGGAGCAAAGCAAATAGCTTTGGCCGCTTTTTTGAAGTGTGCTGTTTAACTTTCTGTACCCGGAGTTCTCTGTTTGGTTTGTGGCTTATGCTGGCGCCCTGTGAACCACTGTTGAGCTTGAGTGGCAGGCAGAGGTTGTGAGCCTTGACAGTCTCAGCTCAGCTCTTTTTCTTCATCTTGTACAAAGCATATGCAGCGCATTATTGCTGCTAGCACAGCATCCTATATTTTTGATTTTATGAGGCCGCCAAGTATGCGAGGGCCAAGTTGAGGTGGTTTAATTAGACAACGCGATGTTACTATGGAATACCCGGATACGCTTGCTTCTACCTCAACCCATGTGACTATTATACAGTGATATACATGCTAGACGCCAATGACTACTGCTCAACCCGTTGTAGGGGATTCTCGAACCATTGACGTTCGCTCCAGGGCAAGACTTTTGCCACAACCTTGCCCTGTAAGAGTGCGAGGGGTAATGGACCAAACGTTCTCGAGTCTCTTGACGCTACTAAGTTGTCTCCAACAATCCAACAGTGGCCGTCTGGAATCTGCGCAAGGTCAGCACCGTTTGCCATTGTTGCTGGCTCTAGGTAGCCTAGCAAAGAAGAAGAACAAAAGGAGACAACAACGGCATACCTGAATCATGTTCTCCTCCCCCGGCTGCCCAGGAGTTCCGATAGAGACGTAGTCGCCCGGCAGGCCGACGACGCGCTTGACGCCCATGTCGTGGGCGGCAAAGGGCATCTTGTAGAGGACGAGGTCGCCGACGCGGACGCCGCGGCCGCGGCGGAAGCGCTTGTCGGTGCCGATCCAGTCGCCGTACGTGGAAAATGTGGGCAGCATTGAGGGCCCGTCGGCCGGGCCGACCTGAAACCCGTGCGTGGCGAACAGGTGCCAGGCGCAGCAGAGCTTGGTGAGGCCGACAGTGAGGCGGACGCCCGGCCGGTGGAGGATGCCGGACATGGATGGGATTGGGGGTGTGGTGGAGTGGTGTTTGGAGGGCAACGTCAGGTTTTTTTCTGAGTCTGTACTATGAAGTCGCCAAGGGGAAGCGCATTGTGGTTTGGAAGAGAGAAATGGGGTTGTTTATTGTAGCTCAAGATCGGAGGTTGGGGATGTTTAAAGTTGGTGACAAGGGCTGCAGGGGTTTGGAGAGAAATTGCGGGGCGAGGACAGCTGCTCGAAGCTAGCCCAGGCTCAAACAGCCTCCTCTTCTCCTCCACAATTCAACGAGATCACACTCACAATTACGCAACTTTTCCCGTTCCCGAGCTGCGCCGCAACGACAATGGCCGCACTGAGCAGTCCCCGATGCCTGTTCAACTCACGCGCCGCCCTTAAGCGGGTGTTTTCCCTCTCCGCGGCCCCAGTACCGGCACGACACCTCCCTCCGGCCGGCCACGTGCTGTCACCGAGCCAGACGCGCGAATACGCCGCCGCCCCTCCGCGACGCGGCCCTCGCGGGCACCGCTCGATCGACCAGGCCGACGGCGGCGCCGCGGCGGACGACCGGGGTTTCAGCCCGCTGTTCACGACGGCGAAGGACATTGAGCGGTCGCAGAAGGACCGGATGCCGCAGGACTTTGAGATCAAGGACCCCAAGATCATGGTGCTCGAGAACGGGTCCATCGCGGGCCCGCTATCGACCAAGTACGTCCTGAGCAAGCTCGACGAGAAGACGGAGTCGCTGCGGATGATCCGGCCCTACGTCCCCAGAGGCGCGCCCCTCCCGCGCAAGGGCAAGGTAGAGGAGGGGAGTGCGATCGCCGCCGCAGACTCCGCCGCCGCCGCGGTGACGCAGCAGGAGCAGTTTGCGCTGTGCGAGATTGTCAACAAGCTCGAGGCCTTGAAGCGCGAGCGCGAGCGCAAGGAGCGCAAGAAGGCGGCGACGGCGGCGAGGCCGAAGACCAAGGAGATGGAGCTGACGTGGTCGATCAGCGAGCACGACTTGCAGACGAAGCTGCGGCAGCTGGGCGGGTTCCTGGAGAAGGGGTGCAAGGTGCAGCTGGTGCTGGGGAGCAAGCGCGGGAGCAAGAGGGTGGAGGAGGCGGCGATGCGCGCGCTGGTGAGGAGGGTGCAGGAGGAGGCGAAGGGGCTGGGCGCGAGGGAGGGGGGGGAGGCGAAGGGCGAGCTGGGCAGGACGATGAGGATGCAGTTTGAGGGCGTGGTGAAGAAGCAGACGTAGGGGGGTTGGTTGTGGGTGCTATGGGCAATGGGTTCTGTGGCACAAGTGTATATTATCATGTCAAATACATCCATCATCATCGAGAGAAACACTTTTTAAAAATCCCTAAAAACTCCCTAAACGCCAACGTTGTTTCAACATAGAGCAATGCAGTTGATGATGTTCACATGATCTCGTCCAAGCCATCATCCACAGGTCCATCCAGGGCCTTGCTGTCACCATTCTCATCCGTCTCCCAGCCCTCATCATCCTGCCCCTTCTTCCCCTTCTTCCCCTTTTTACTCTCCTTCTCCTTCTTCTCCTTCTTCTCCTTCTCGTCCATCTCCACATCGTCGTCGTCGTCGTCGTCCTCACCCGCCGCCGCATTCATATCCTTGTTGATCGCGTCCCACCCCTGCCGCCGGCCATCTACCGCCCGCTGTCGGTCCCAGCTGCGCTTCACCTTGCTCGACGTGCGCTCCACGACCGCCTCCGCCATCTCGATGCCCTTCTCCCGGCGACGGCGCGCCTTGGCCGACACGCGCGCCTTGCGCTGGCTCCCCTTCTTCTGCACGCCGGCCGAGTGGTGCACGGCGAGCACGGACGGGCGCTCGGCGGGCTTGTGGTGGGCATCACGGGGAGGCTGCGCGGTCTTGAGGGACTTGTCGGTGTCGATGCTGGGCGAGGTCGCGCGGCGGGCGGCGCGGGACCGCTTGGAGGGTTGCGCTGCGGGAGGTGGTGGTCAGTGACTATTTTGTGGAAAGCGGTGGAACTGTTGCACATACCTTTCGCCTTGGCCATTGTTATTGTGTGTGTGTGTGTTTGTGGTTTGGTTTAGAATTTCCCCGTTCTGGGCTGTTCGCGATGGTGGGGGAATTGTCGGTCTACGAACTTTTTTTTATCTGCAGCCGCTATCGATAGCATTTGTGGTGGTGAGTGTGGGGTGCGAAACTGCACCAGCAGTCAACCGTACAGATAGAGAAGCATTACTGAATTATAAAACAAAAAAGAAAAGAAAAAGGGAACCCATTGATACAGTATCAATGCATTTCTCCTCATCCACCCTGAATATGCATTACATTTCCACGAAGCTGGTGTGCAGAGTAGCTCAGCAATGTACTCTACCTTCGATGTATGATCCCAGACGCCGGTTCTTGCATCCGACAAGATTTTAATGTTGCTGATTGTTGCTTTCCCAATTCTATGCAGCGACTAAACTGATTTCTGAGATAAGAAGCTGAGCAAGTGTTATGAGATTCACACATCGCCAAAAGATCCGCGCCTGAAAATATGACTTTATATTCCGTAAATCTCATCTATCATCCGTCTTAACGCCATGTCAGGTCCGCGCCAAAAGCATGACGCGGATAATATCATTTTGATCCCAAGCGGTGAGGTATTACTCCAACTCAATGGTACCTATCGGCTTCTAGTTAGTCACGGCCCTGCAAAAGAGGACACGCACGTAGGAGGCTGTCTCACCTGGAGGCTTCGCCGTGGTGTCGTACACCACTCTCGCGATGCCATCGACCTCGTTCACGATGCGTCTGCTGATGGCCTTGATGAGACTCCACTTGAACTCGTACGGCTCGGCACTCATCATGTCCAAGCTCGTCACGGCGCGCAGAACGCAAATGTACCCGTAGACTCTGGCATCACCCTGCACACCGACGGCTGTTGAACATAATAAAGTCAGATATGCTATACACCTTGTGAAATGCAGAAAGGGGCGAACGTACCTCTGTTTGTGTCAAGTGCGGCGTAGGCTTGGGTAACCTAGATAATCTCGTTAGCGAACTTTCTCTCCCTTGGATAGAGACGTTGCGTCGAACCTCGTCGTAAATTCCAGCCTCTCGGATCATCGAGATGAAGATGTGGTCAGCCTTGCGCACGATGTCGACGCGCTCCTGGGTGACCTCGCCGATGATTCTGATGCCCAGACCCGGGCCGGGGAAGGGGTGTCTCCCGATAAGCTCTTCGTGGATCTTGAGTTGACGTCCGAACGCCCGCACCTCGTCCTTGAACAGCTCTCGGAGCGGCTCAAGAAGCTTGAGCTGCGCCTCGCCGTTTTGCATGCGAGCAGGAAGTCCTCCGGCATTGTGGTGAGACTTGATCGTAGAGCTCGCGGCTCCTTTGAAGCTCAGGCTTTCCACAATATCCGCATATAGCGTTCCCTGGAGGAACCATTCGACCTTTCCGGCACGCGCTGTGTTCTCTGCTTCCTTCTCTATGCGGAGAGCCTCGATTTCAAAGAGGTCAATGAAAGTCCCTCCAATGATCTTCCTCTTGGCTTCAGGCTCCGTAACACCGGCAAGGCGGCCAAGGAACAGTTCCGATCCGTCCACTACCGTAAGGTTGATTCCCAGATGCTTATCCAGAGTCTCCTTAACTTGCTCGCATTCGTTGAGACGCATCAAACCCGTGTCGACGAGAATTGCGTGGAATCGGTCCCCGATGGCGTCCTTCATCAGCTTGGCAGCTACAGTGCTGTCGACGCCACCGCTTACTGCTCCGATTACCTGGGCGTTGTCGCCAACTAGTTTCCGAATGCGAACGATTTCCCTCTCGAGGAAGTTGTCCATCTTCCAGTCGGCCTTGGCACCGCAGATCTTGAGAGCAAAGTTGGCGAGAATGTCTGTGCCCCGCTCCGTGTGCGAGATCTCAGGGTGGAATTGGATGCCGAAGATGGGCAAAGACTCGTGGGCAATGCTAGCAAACTCGCTGTTCTGAGTGGTGGCAATGGTCTTGAAGCCTTCAGGCAGATGAACGAGCTTGTCAAAGTGGCTCATGACAACGTTCAAAGAGTCACCCAGGCCCTCGAAAAGCCGATCGGCATGGCCACCCACCTTGCGGATGGCCAGCGAGGTCTCACCGTACTCGCGGTTTACGCCAGGTGCCACGTTGCTTGGGCTTACTCGCCACGCAATCAGTTGATTGCCATAGCAAACGCCCAGGATGGGAACGCCAAGCTCGAACACCAGCGGATCCACGCCTGCAGCATCGGGGGCATACACGCTCGATGGACCACCGCTAAGAATAACACCGACGGGTTTCCAAGTTAGATCTTTAAGCTTCTGAGTACAGGGAAGCATCTCAGAGTAGACACCAAGCGATCTGAGACGTCGCAGAATGAGCTTTGGTCTTGTTAGTACTTGTTACCCGCGTATGAAGGGTAGCAGGGCAGAACGAACATGGCTGGTCTGAGACCCCATATCCAGAACGAGCACGGTCTTGAAGCAATGGTCAGCTCAGAGAGTATTGAAGTTAGAGTTGGAAGACTTCGTCCTTACGTCGAAGGTGGCGTGCGGCGGAGCCGCTTCAGTGAAATCGCTCATTGTGTAAAATATCTAGAGCTAAATATTCGAGGCGTGATAATTGTGAATGTGGTGATGTTGGAGACAAGGGCCCATGCAAAAAATGCTCAGACCAACCCCAAAAAAAAAAAAATCATTGCAGGTTGAGTGACTCGCTGACTCATCCGCCCAATCCCCAACTTCCATGCGGGGTACAAGAGTTCGGCCCCACTAATGTTAGGACACCCAGCTTTCAGCGGTGGTTCTGCGCCTTGCACTATCAACAAGCTAATGAAAATGAGTCCTTGCGATACCTACCTCGAAGACACAGCCGTACTGGGTATATAGTACAGGTGAGGAGGTGCTGCATTCCTCGGAGGGTAAACAAGAAGACCTTTAATTCTATCATCTGTACGGAGTAATAGATCAATACTCCTTTTACCGCGCCTCTCATCATCGTCTTGTCAGACTTGCAGATTCCCGGACGGAAGCACATCCCGGCTGCCTGCCGCTGTTGGAATTGTGCAGGATTGGGCTGGCTGCTGCCCCCATGCACGTCCAAGATTATAATGCAACCCTCCCCTCTCGTTTCCATCTTGTCTCACTCTTCGCTTCATCCGTTCTTTGGCAACTGCAGTCAACATGAAACCGCTCTTCACTGCCGTCATTGCAGGGGTCAACTACCTCCTTCACCCTGATGTGCTGGTACGCTCGTCTCCCTCGTGGCCCGTTGGACATTTCCCAGAAACCCTACTCCGTAGGCTAACCCATTTCTATTTCTTCTTCTTCGCAGGGTATGATTCAAGAGGACATCAATCCGGATGCCGTTCTCCCCGTCACGCTCATCAGCACAGAGGAGCTCAACAGTCCCAACCTCGATGCCTTTCTCAAGGGGCTCGAACTCTATGACGACGTCTACTCGAGCGAGTTCGCCTTTGCACTGGTAGAGAAGCCCGGTGCCAATGAAACGACGCGTAGTAGGAGCAAACGGACCGCCGACGTACCCGGCAGGCAGACCTTCACCGTGCAGGTCACTGACACTCGCCCCGATGAGGCCGCCAAGCCGTCGCCTTTTTCTACCCTACCCACGGGCCCGTACATCCTACATGGCAAGGAGCTTCACCAAGCGTACAGGATCTACGAGGATGAGCTCGGGGCTTTCTCAGCAGGCCTCGTGCCCGAAAAGCACAACAGCAGTGACCAGTGCGCTGCCCGTTCCGTATGCGAGACAATTGGCTAACTCCATCGCAAGGTTTGTTGATTTGGGCGATCGCCTGCCCAACGGTACCTACCGTTCCGTAGCTGTGCCGTCCCGGCTGTACTTTCCTGGCCCGTCTATCCGCAAACCGCTCTCCGGCCTGCGCTACGCCGTCCCCGAGGACTTTGACGTGCGTGGCCTGCCCACCACCCTGTCCAGCCACAACTGGACGGCCCTGCACCCCAACGCCGCCGCCCAGCACGCGGCGCACGTGCAGCTACTACTGGATCACGGCGCGGTCCTCGTCGGAAAGACAAAAGATGCGCAGTTTGCAGCCGGCACATCGTGGATAGACGTGGCGCCACCGCTTAACCCGCGCGGCGATGGTAAGCAGCCGCCGGGCGGAGCCGCCGCCGGCGCACTGTCTGCACTCAGCAACTATACCTGGTTGGGCAATTCAATCAGTCAAGGCGGTAAGACGAACATCTCAGGTTCCAATGATTTTGGAAATTGTCGAAACTGACTTGCAGCAGCACTTGACGGGACGCTGTCCCAAGCCGCCGCTTACGGGTTGTTCGCACTGCGGGCCACCGCCAGAACAGTCTCCCAAAGGGGAGTCCGCACGAGTTCTCCGTAAGTCAAGCTTTCAATTGCTACACCCGCATTATACTAACAATGTCCCTTAGCAAATTACAGTCCACCGGGCTTTCCGGCCGGAGCCTCGAAGACCTCGTGCACCTGATTGCGCCTTCACTTAAGCTCAACCGGCAAGCAACCCAGCCAAGGCGCATCATCTACCCTACAGATTTCGCGCAATGGCTATCTGCGAAGCAGAGGGCTCTCATGGACGAGTTCTTGGTCGCCTGGGAGAAGACCCTCGGCGTCAAGGCAGAGAGGATGAGTCTTGCGGATGTCTGGGCCAAAAGCCTGCCTAATGGAGCGGATAATCAGACGCTACATGATTACCTGGGTAATGTGAGTAAGGTACGGAAGCGTCTGAAGTGATGTGGCTGACATGAGAAAAGGCGGCGTACTATGCTTTTTGCTATGACTTTTATCATAACTATGACGACTTCCGGTCCGCCTTTAAGGCCAAGTTTGGCCAGGCGCCCTACACAGAGCCGAACGTGGCAGAACAGTGGTATGTTTCGCTGGAAACAGAATTGGGCATTTCTCGTAGCTAACAGAGGTAGGTCTGTCGGCGCAAAGACAGACGGCAGGGCGGCGAAGAAGAAGCTCGAGGTATTCACTACGTGGTTTAGCAGCAACGTTGCATCCGCCGCGAACGGTGCGCCAGAAAAGGCCGCCGTTATCGTGCCAGTTCTTGCCCAAAACGACATGTAAGATGGCCCCCCGTTGAAGCTGAAATTGGGTGTTTTTAACATCTAGCAGGAAGTACAACCCGAGTAAAGGTCTTCATCCTAACATCCTCGCTCCCGTCCTCGGCAGGCCGCAGATGTCGGCTCCCTGTAAGTCACGATATCGGCCCCGCTCTGGCAGCAAGTTCGCTTTTTGCTAACATCTATCAACAGTTGCCCAGATCGCGATGGAGGGCGACGGCAATTCCTACGTGCCCTTCTCCGCCAGTGTCATGGGCGCCAAGGGCGACGACATCATGCTCGTCCAGATCATGAAGCGCGCCTTTGACATCGCTGATTGGCGCGTCCGCGTTGACCCGGGACGGTTGACGTTTCCTGTGGGCAACAACTCCCGCGGCGTGGATGATCACCACCAGGATCCGTATCCCCCGCCTATCACAGGCGGCATCTCGTTTGTGGTGGATGACAGAGAGCTGTAGAGACGAAGGAACCCTCGCGGTAGCAAGATTGACTTGCGAGAGTAGAAGCTATCATTTATCGAAATTAATGGAGATTTCTCTCAATTGTTGTCCAATTACTAGATTCTTTGCTCAATACTTCCAAAATGCTACATGCTCTGGAGACCGAATACGTAGCATATAGGAGCATCCACGTCAGGTTCGAATGGCCACCACCACTTGCCTCATCATCATCGCAACCTAAAAAGCCTGCAGAATTAATTCAAGAAACGATTTTAATTCAAGCAGCTATCTTTTTGCCACCAGCAGCCTTTCAGGAACTCCCGACGGCTTATTATTACCAACTATTCTCCCCCGCCCACCCCCGCAATCGACGGGCTGCAGTGCAACATTGTCAGGAACCCAAGCAATACAGTAGCATCGAGGCATTCTACCATCCTCGAACCCCGCATCGGTGTACATGGGGTCAGGCATCTTCATCTCATTGCCGGAGGCCTGAACCTGGGACGGTATTTAGTACTACTAGCCTTGCTGATCAACCTGGGGTCTCCGGGAATTGGAAAAGCCGTCAACTTTATAAAAACCCGACACCGATCCCATCGAAAACGACGTCGCAAACAAAACACCAAGATTCCTTAGACATCGGCGAGCAAGATGAAGGTCTTCGCGTCTCTGTCAACCTGCATTGCTGCGCTAGCGGCGAGCGCAAGGGGTATAAAGACACGGTCTCTGGGTGCAGAAACCTGGACTGTTACCAATGAGCATGGGAATATCACCGTTCCTGGAAACTTTCCATCTCACGTCCATCTTGATCTCTATGCTGCCCGAGTTATCGGTAAGTTGATAATAATGGCCGAAACTTTGCACGCTTGCATTGCTAACCTAGAGCAGACGACCCGTGAGCCACCCCACCCCCTACCATGGTCTCAATGATTTGAACCTGCGGTGGATTGCTGCGCAGAATTGGACCTATACGTCCAACCCCATCTCTGGATTGTAGGCTCTCCGACAGCCGCGCAAGCAGACCATACTGACTGTCTGCAGGACCAAGGACGAGAGCCTGTCTACTTGGCTCGTCTTCGACGGCCTCGACACCTACAGCACTATCAAGCTTTGCGACAAAACTGTGGCGACTACGGATAATCAGTTTAAACAGTGGTTGTTCGATGTGACATCAGTTGTCAATGACTGCGACGGCGAGGGCGTGCTCAGCATCAACTTTGGAGCTGTGCCAGCCATCATCAACAAACTAAATGGCAGTGGCATTGAAAGTAGGATGTGCCAAGTCCTTTAAATACTACCCAATGAACTAACTTGGATACAGCCTGGCCACAGGAAGTCGTTCCTCCTTTCGAGTATCCCAATCGACAATGGGTGCGCAAAGAGCAGTCCGACTTTGGCTGGGACTGGGGTCCAGCCTTTGTCCCGACCGGTCCTTGGCGGGACGGTCGCATTGTCCGGCTCAAGAATGAAGAAGCGTACTCTCTCAATACTAACATTGATATTTATCGCAAGGGGCAGGTGAACAACTTTGCGCCAGACCAGAGCCAGCCATGGGTTGTCAATGCCAGTCTCGATTACATTGGCAATCTGCCCAAGCAGAGCTCCATGCATGCCGTTATCACCGACGCGGATGACAAGAATAAGGTTCTCTTCTCTGGCGCGCTGGATAATGTCACCAGATCCAACACAACGATCACAGGTTCGGTCGTCATTGACGCTGACAAGCCCCAGCTCTGGTGGCCTCACGGGATGGGCAAGCAATCGCTGAATTCGATTACAGTTTCGGTCTCCGGCTGCGAAGGTGGCAATCCCGCTCTGTCGTCAGAGAGAAGGGTCGGATTCAGGACCATCCTACTCAGTACGGGAAACGTAACAGATGCGCAAATCGCCCGCGGGTATCAACCGGGCAACAACTGGCACTTTCAAATCAACGGTCACGAGTTTTACGCCAAAGGCGCCAACATGATCCCGCCAGATGCATTCTGGCCGCGTGTCACAAACGAAAGGATGACTCGCATGTTTGACTCTGTCCAGGCACAGAACTTCAATATGCTGCGAATCTGGTCGTCCGGCGCGTACCTGCCCGATTTTATTTACGATCTTGCTGATGAGCGCGGCATCTTGCTTTGGAGTGAATTCGAATTCAGTGACAGCTTGTACCCCGATTACCCCGAGTTTGCCCAGAGTGTCAGCGATGAGATTTACTACAATGTCCGGCGCATTAACCATCACCCATCCCTGGCCTGCTGGGCGGGCGGAAACGAATTCGAGAATCTTCTTTTACCCCAAGCGAAATCCGCTGACCCAGAGCGCTATCCGTACTATTTAGGCCAGTATGAGCATCTGTTCATCACTGTCATATTCACTCTTGTCGCCGAGAACAGTCACTCCATCTCGTACACCCCGAGCAGTGCCAACAACGGGTGGACAAAAATCGACTTTTCCCTGCCAGTGCCTATGATTGAGCGCTACAACAATGAGACAAAGGGCGAGCTTTATAGCAACACTGACTATTACAACTATGACACCAGTCTCTCGTTCGAATCTAGCAGATATCCTGTAGGTCGCTTTGCCGTCGAGTTTGGCTTCACCAGCATGCCCAGCCTGGCAACTTGGAAAGAAGCGCTGGAAGAGGAAGACTTGCACTTCAACTCGTCCATGATTACAGTTCGAAACCATCACTACCCTGCAGGTGGCTTAGAGACAAACTACACCAAGGGCGCTCGAGGATTGGCCGAGATGACTCTTGCCGTCGAGAGATACTACCCTACACCAAACAAGAAGGACGCCATGGCCAACTTTAGCTCCTGGTGTCATGCTACACAGCTCTTCCAGGCTGATTTTTACAAGTCTCAGATACAATTCTATCGTCGTGGAAGTGGCATGCCAGAACGCCAGATGGGGTCATTGTACTGGCAACTGAACGATATCTGGCAAGCACCTACATGGGCGGCAATCGAATACAGCGGTCGCTGGAAGGCTTTACCTTACGTGACGAGGCACCTCTACAAGAATGTCATTTCAGCACCGCACTTTAACCACACATCCGGCGATTTGGAGGTTTGGGTCACTTCGGACCTGTGGGAGTCTGTGTCGGGTAGCGTGTCGCTCAGCTGGGTCGATCTCGGGGGGAAGCCCATGGTCGACAACGCGGGAATGCCCAAGACTGTCAACTTCACCGTTCCCGCCATCAACAGCACATGTTTGCTAAATACAAATATTGCGGACGTCAAACTGTCAGACCGAAGTGATGCGATTCTACTCATATCCCTCGAGGCGGATGGCCGTCTCCCCAACGGCAAATCCACGACATGTTTCACACACAATGACCACTTCTTGCCCGTGTGGCCCAAGGACATCAAACTTGTCGATCCTGGTCTCAAGTTGACCAAGTGTAACTCGACTGGTGACTTTATCGTCGAGGCAACAAAAGGCGTTTCGCTGTACACGTGGCTGACGCACCCGGCGGAGGTTGTGGGCTTTTTCGACGACAATCTCTTCGTGCTGCTTCCAGGGGAGAAGAAGCATGTTGGATTCAAGCTGCAAGAAGACACTTCTAGCGGCGAGTGGATGGACAAGGTGTCGGTGGAGAGCCTATGGGACATGACGACACATAACTAACATGGCGTACGCAACGCATACGCAATTAATAGCTATTAAAGCAGTCTTGGTGATTAATCATGTAAGTCACTTAATAAACTTAAGCCCAAATCACATTTTTTGCCTTGATCTTGTATTGCTTGCGCGTAGCCGCGTAACGGCCAACGGCTACGAGATCCGGTTCTATTGCTAAATCGGGCAAGCCCGAGGCCGACCAGCCTCACGTCATTGGATAGATGTTGAACATTTGAGTGAGTCATGTCGCCGAGTCTTTGAGCTGACATGTCGCCAAAATCCTTATTCATTCATCTACACTCATTCGTATTCCACCATACATCATCGTCCAAGACTTGCGCTCCTCCTCATAAACCAACACAATCCACTACACCACACCCACACCACGGACAAAATGGCCATTGACAAACCAACCCGCCACGACATTGAGCGGCAGATGAACGTCTGGGCCGCGATCCGCGAGTACGTCGTCGAGGTGCTGCCCTCCGGCCTCCCCGGTGTGCTGCGCACCGACATGCCCGCCGGCACCTGGGAGTACGTCCTCTTCGAGCCCACCACCACCGCCCTGCACGCCGCCGCCGCCATCACCCTGCAGGACAAGCAGCGCTTCCTCACCGTCATCGCGGCCGACACGGCGCCGTACAAGGCCGTGGCCACCGCCGAGCACGACTTTGACGTGCTCGCCGAGGAGGTGCTCATGACCCTGGACCTGACTGCGGAGCCTGAGCCTGCTGCTGCGGAAGGCGGTGGTTTTGTGGCGGCGATGGAGACGAAGGAGACGGGCACGGCGACGCGCTGTAGGCTGGCGGTGACGGAGGGGAAGGGAGGGGAGAGGGCGGCGGGGGGGCAGGTCGGGGTGGATGGGGATATGGCGGTGTATGATAGGATCAAGACGGAGGAGGGCATGCGGAGGAAGGGGCTGGGGAGGATGGTGATGGGTAGGTTGGGGGAGGAGGCGCGCAAGAGGGGGGCGAGGATGGGTTGGCTGATTGCGTCGCCGGAAGGACAGAAGCTGTATACGACGCTGGGGTGGGATGTGAGATGCCAGGTGCTCATTTTGGGTAACAAGGACATAATCAAGAACCCATAGATCAGGGGAGGCAGATGAAGAGCACGATGAGTATACGACTACGAATCTTGGGGAGCTACGTAGATAGACTGACGAGGCAGACGATACGAGCAATATGATGAATATACGACTACGAATCTTGGCTTATCGGTACATCCCCTGAATGTTCTCAACACTGACACCCTCCACGGCCACATTATCCGTCCACTGACTGACACTCCCAATCAACGCCCTCTCCGCCAACGCCTTGACCTCCTCGTCCTCAATCTCCGCCACCAGCGCCTCCGCGAACCGCTCCCCGTGAATGACATCCCACGGCCTATCATGAAACCTCGCCACCCTCTCCGGCATCACCCCCCTCGTCAGCCGCCGCTCGTTGTGCATCCTCGCCAGCACCTCACACGCCCTCCCCAGCGCCTCGTGCCTCTCCTCCCACCCCCCTCCCCCGAGCACCGCCCGCGCCAGCAGCGGCTCCAGCTCCGCCGCGCACGCGAGCTGACTGAACGCCGCGCCCAGCCACTTGGCGTATGGCGCGTACCGCCGCTCCGAGCCGGCGGCGCAGCGCCGCCAGCTCCCCGGTGTCGTCGTCGCGGTACACGGCGCCGGCGAGGACCTCGGCCAGCGCGGGGGTCGGGATGCTGAGCCACTGCGTCGGCGACAGCGCTTGGTCGCAGGGGACGCCAAGCTGCTGCAGGCAGAAGCGCCGGACGGTGGTGGGCACGACGTGGTGCTGGACGGGCCCGTCCATGGCGGCGGCGGCGGCGGCGGCGGCGCGCTCCATGCGGCGCGCGCGGGAGGTGCTGGTCAGCGTGGCGATGGCGACGGGCTGGCCCCAAAAGGTCGGGGGGAGGTGGTGGCTGAGGAGGCTGGCGATGCGCGCGGAGATGGTGTCGAAGGCGAGGTCGTCGCGCAGGAAGAGGAACACGCGCAGGCCCCAGTCGTGGTCCGCGGACATGGGCGTGTCGAAGCCGAGGACCTCGCTGCCGGGGCCGAGGAGCGCCGCGCCGTAGGAGAGGTCGGGGAAGTGGGCGGCGAGGATGGGTCGCACGGCCTCGGCGAAGAAGGCGCCGGAGAGGGTGATGCCGGGCACAAAGGCTGCTGCCATGTGAACGTTTAGTAACTGCTGGTTGTTTTTTTTTTTTTTTTTTTTATTTTAATTTGCAGTAGAATAGATCTGCGAGCTAGAATGCTCTTGAGGATTTGAAAGCCCGCGGAGAGAGAGAGAGAGAGAGAGAGAGTTGAAGCGCCACGCAATGTTAAAAGCCCAGCAGCAGGTTCGTGAGTCATTCGGCCAGTAGCATCGCGACCGAGCCTGTGGCAGAGGCGGTTGAAATCAGATCGATTAGCAACTTGGGCTCCATCTCTTGGAAACTTCAGCTCTCGGGCGCCTAAAGCAACAAACCTGTGGGAGAGCTACGATGATGCTTTGTTTAGAAACAGGCCCGCCGTGGCCCGCGACGCTGCCCGCTTGGTTGAGGCCAGCTTATTAGTGTGGTAAGCGCTGCTGAAGCCTTTTGTAAGCGTCGAATAACCAGAATCCAGAATCCAGGAATGTCCGTTACACCATACACCATCAGCATCACACCACCCGCCTTCGTTCAATGCTCAACCACGCTAACATAAAGCATAAAACCGCATAAAACCGTTGACGACGAAATAGACATATCTTAAGTTCAATTCATTAGACAGATACATGATGGCGAGTTTTAAAGCTATTCTAGGTCAAAGCTTTAGGGAAGGATTACGTCCTAAAAGTAGCAAGTTATCCTACGGCTGAGTTTTTAGCTCGCCCCTTCATACTTACGCACAAACAAACTAACTATCATAGTATCACAGACACAGTAAAGTATACTAGGAGCCTGTTAAATCTAAGTTGTTCAGGTGGGAATCTTCTACATACTGTCGCTTTAAAGCGATGGGCCTCTGCTAACGCGGCATCGTGCCCGACTTCTACGGTACCATCACCACAATCAACCCTAAACGATGGCCAGAGCTAAGGGGATTCCGCAATGACCCCCTACCGCCCAAAGCAGTCCTAATGGAATACATTCCGACCCTAGAGTGAATCTGTTTACGAAACTATACCCGAGAGCGCGTCGCTAAGCTGGTCGACTTGCTGGACGACCTTCACGCCGTACGTGTCGCACATGGCGATACATACCCAAGAAATATCTCTCTAGCTTCGGAAGAGACTGGCGAGAGACTGCTCTGGATAGATTTTGACAGGGTGTCTACGTTTCCTTTGGATAGAGATCTGACGCAGAAGGAAACGAAGGAACTCGAGCACGACACGGCGCTTGCGAGAGAGTTCATTGTCCGTCCTGTAAGCTGCGGCCTCCCCAAATGCTTCGTAGCAGTTCTAATCCTCGGACAGACAGAAAACGACGACCCAGCTGTTGTGATGGTATGGACGGGGTTTATGACGCCATCTTCTCTCCATCGTCGTCATAACACTCGCCATACGTTGTTTCTAGACAGAGACGCTGTCGCGCGATTTCCGTCATCTCTTCGAGCGCTGAATTGCTTCCGCCGAGTTACGAAGGCCATTCTTTTTCTACACATCATGGTAGTTGCTATATAATAGAGAAAGCTTGAGCAAAAACCGCCCGCCTGTCATCCAGTACCGAATCCCCTTTTTGCAACTTTGGTCGGAATTGTTTGGGTAGGCTAGGGCGAACTGCCTCGGTATAGCCCGGAGCCGCCCACCACTTTGGGACCCGGAGCCAGCTAGAGACAATGAAGGCCCGCGATCACTGTCCACCTTGTCAGGGATCATTTGCATTCTACGCGCCGTGGCTGCAGCAACTCTACAGAACCTGGGCGGCGGCCGAGCCACACCCTATTGGGAGTTGGTTGAGCTGGCTTACTGCTCAAACAGATGCCTACTGTGGCCTACAGCATGCCCTTGGACCATTGGGTCGTGAGATACCTAACTTGGCGGCCTTTTTCTCGTGTCTCTACGGAGTACGTCTCTTTGCATCATGCGTTGGAAACTCACCCTTTCTGTCGTTCACCCATCCGTGTTGCTGCCGAAAATGCTCCTGCATACCTTTGACGGTGCGCACTACGTACGGGCACGCGTCGCATCGCAGCCCATCTGTCGCCGGTGCTTGGATATATGGAATGGGCGGCCGCCGATCTGGTAACTCGTACTCGACCAGCTCGGGCCTGTGTGTCGATGATGTCTGGCACATCTACTACGGCCTTGATAATGGCCTCACGTTTGTTGGCGTTGTTGTCGTTGTGATGCCTTGATAAATGCGTGGTCACCTCGGCACGGGGTACTGCCCATCGACATGTGGCGTAAAAAGAAAAGGTGGATTGACTATCGTGAATGAAGTGGACGCGTAGTATCTGACTATATGATTGTATATGTTTTACGTTTCTATCCTGTCCTGTCGCTGGCTGCGTGTTGCCTGGCCTTGTCCCTCACTGACAAATCGAATTGGGGGCCAATCCTCTCCAGCATAATTGATAGGGGCTGGAGGAGGGAGCCTTGGCTGGGGCGCAATATATTCTGTATGCCAACAGAAGCGCGACCGAGTTCAAAAAGCGGACGGCCCAGATGGACATCTTCTTTCAGCGGTCGAAACGAAGGAAGGGCCGATTTGAGTATAAACACGTCCTGGTCGCTGGGGAGCACAAAAGGTCCTTTGCCACCGCCGACTTTAAAGCATGCGTGTTACAACTGGAGTAACCAACTAATGCGCCGGTTGCGTCCCGTTACAGAGTGGCACGCATAATTCCTCTCTGTTGAGCAGTGTAGTTGTCAATCGTAATGATGGACATGCGAAACGGCAAGACAATTATGGAGATGAACATGAAGAACAATGGCCAAGTGCTTACATGTCTCAACCTTCGCACGGAAACAAGAGGGAAAATTAGAGGCTTTGGTGAGGAGCAGGATGGAGGGCAGGATGGAGGGCAGGATGGAGGGCAGGATGGAGGGCAGGATGGAGGACGTGATGTTGAAACAGGTCATCATCCTGTCGACTTTAGAGCCTGACATGTTATCGTCAAGTGGCATCCTGTGACCCCGATCATTGCTTGAAGCCGATTTTATTAGGGAAATGCGTCGCGGCACTCCCTCCATCCTGTCGTCACAATTGAGCCGCAAAGGGTCCCCAGCTTTTCGCCAAAATTTCCCTTCCTGGATTGTAGGTAAAACGCAGCTCATAATCTCGACATCGGCCAGCCGTTGAGTGTGGAGTTAGATTATGCTGGGCTCCTTGGTTCAGACCTGGGGTTGCTCCGTCGCGATGGCCGTTAGCTAAGCTGTTGCCCTTCGGATCGGGACGTGTTGCCAAAGTGCGAGTCAAGCGGCCCGATTGACTTGTTTGACATTTCAAGTCAGGCTGTCCCGTATTACCGGTCTGTGTATGGCGACGATGACACACGGTCGGACGAAGAGGTGCCTGAAGAAAAGGAAGCGGGCGGTAAGACCTATGGCAAGCGGGCCGACCTACTGTACATACATAGCACGAAATATGCGCGCGGCATCTGCCAAGTACTTGGAAACGGCGCTGGCCGCAGATGTCAACTCTTTCTGCAATGCCGTTCTTCAGGGATGACGTAGCCGAATGACAAGTCTGTAACGGGCGCTTATGTACAACGTACGGCAGGTCCGCGATACGATCGCAGGCATACTCCGGCTCGCGTGCGCCCGCCACACACAGTAGCTAGGTAATTCTGATACATACCAATGTAGGAATTGCATAATTTTCAAGCGACACATAAATTTTATGCGGGCATTCGTGCTGACTCGATACTCATCATGCACGTGAGCGAGGGTGTGTTAGGGCTATCGCTAGCATAAATCCTCGTAGTAAGAGGGAGACCAAGGTGCGACTGGCACAGATATTTGGTCCCTGGTGATGTTCATCGTTGTTGAGTATATATAGCCGCTTTTGCCTGTGTCTGTAATTAGTTGCAATAATAAACAACACTCATCTACATTCCTATTCCGCATCCTGTTTTTATACTTACTCTAAAATGAAGTTCTCAGTTGCTCTTACTACTGCTTTTGTTGGATTCGTCGCGGCTGGTCCCGTGGCGAAGAGAGACCCTGCGCAACCTGTCGGGGGCGTCCCTGAGTCCAAAATAAAGCGAGCCTTCGGCGACGACCCGGATCGCTTCGGTGGACTGATCGATCCTAGCACCTTCGCCCCGGTGAACCCCCCCTCCCAGCCGCCTTCGGGATTCAACGATAATGGAGTTATCAACCCTGCCGACTTTGGTATCGGACCCCCTCCGGGGAAGACTAAGAGAGCCTTCGGCGACGACCCGGATCGCTTTGGTGGACTGATCGATCCTAGCACCTTTGCCCCGGTGAACCCCCCTTCCCAGCCGCCTTCCTCAGGATTTAACGATAATGGAGTTATCAACCCCGCCGACTTCGGTATCGGACCCCCTCCGGGGAAGACTAAGAGAGCCTTCGGCGACGACCCAGATCGGTTTGGTGGACTGATCGATCCTAGCACCTTCGCCCCGGTGAACCCCCCCTCCCAGCCGCCTTCGGGATTCAACGATAATGGAGTTATCAACCCTGCCGACTTTGGTATCGGACCCCCTCCGGGGAAGACTAAGAGAGCCTTCGGCGACGACCCAGATCGGTTTGGTGGACTGATCGATCCTAGCACCTTCGCCCCGGTGAACCCCCCCTCCCAGCCGCCTTCGGGATTCAACGATAATGGAGTTATCAACCCCGCCGACTTCGGTATCGGTCCTCCGGGGAAGGCACGCCGTTAGAGTGAGCCGCAACTAATGGACCGCCGGCTTTGCATCGGGCTTGGCTGTCGGCTGAATGCTGTCGAATCATGGCTCGAAGTTTAGGAGTTCCGTGGAACAGCTGGCTGTGTAATGGCTAATACGGCGGTTGAGAAGAGAGCTCAATAGACCAGATTGTGGTGGCCTGCTAGGGGTCCGTTTTCGTCTGATTGTTACTAACGACTAGCCGCTGTTCGGAACAAGGTCAACTGGAAGCAGGATTGCTGGGTTACAGGTTTATCCAGGCTTTTATGTATGCAGCTAGAAGTCGCGAATAGATGCTTTATTATTGCAACGTGATGCTGAATTTGAAGTACACTAGAGACAACGTAGGGCATTCTAAAGCTATTTTGAAAAAAGTAGAGACTCTTTGATCCTGGGCGGCGAGGGATGGTCAAGACATCTCGACTGTTAGAGGGGAGGGATAACAGGATAGTTGTATAAGATTTAGTGCAAGGGATATTATTCAGATTTGCACTAATGCGTTAATCTAGCCTACAGACACATTGGCCGAGAAGTGGTGAACTCTAGATTTATAAGCCCTCCCCTCATTCCCAGTGGGATATAGGCAAGAGAGGCCAGCTTTCTAAAAGTGCATGTGCCCACCCGGATGTCGCTTACAAGAAAGCCCACCAGCAGCACATGGCAAAAGCCCCAGATGAGAGGGTTAGCCGTATAGGCAGTGCTCATACTAACACTCTTCTACGGAGTCCAAAATGACTCGTGAGTGGACAGTGCTTCATTGTAAATCCAGTGTTCAGCATTAATACTCGTAAAGCTTCGATATAGACATGACTTTCGTAATTATATACCCAGAAGAAAAGATATTAGATCAAGCCTGTTCGGCTTCAGCCCGTATAACGACCGATGTTTGCCCCGGGATTCCAGCCCCCCTCAAACTTGCCCTCGGCGCCAATCTTGGTGCCATCGCCGAGGCGCAACGCCGTCGTGGTATCCTTGGAGCACAGGCCATACAGCTGCAGGTTCTTTGGCGTCTTTTCGATCCAGTGCTGCACTTTTTGGCACTGAAAGCGGCCGGCGCAGTCCTGGTATCCCGGGCCGCTGAAGAACGCCCACGACGCGGAGCCGTAGTATGAGATATCAGAGCCACCGTGGATGAAGTTTGCAAAGCCCATGCGGCACCGCGCATCGTCATGCTTGCACCATGAAAAGTCGGGATCTCCCCAGCCGTCCACGTCGGGCTTCCACGGGGCCGGCACGAGCTTCTTCGCATTGTCTCCCTGTTCGTAGTTGGTCTCGCTTTGCAGGAGCGTCACGACAACGTTCTCGGCGGATCGCAGGTTAAGCTGGTAGAGCCACCAGTGCTCGCTTCCGAGTGCGTGGAGCCACGTGCCCTTGGTCGATTCAACGAGCGCGCCACCCTTGCCCGAGATGCTGGAGCCTCCGTCAAAGTCCTCCGTGATGTGGTCAGCCACCCAGTTCCAAACATTCTCGACATAGGCCGACGAAGATTTCGTGAAATGCAAGCCTAGGTATGCGCCTTGGCAGGGGTTGCTGGGATCTTTGCAAGAGTCGGTAAGTCCGGGAGCGCCTCTGGTGCCGCCGACGGTAATGAGAGAGTTGAAGAGCGCGACATCGCCCGGGGCGGATCCGGCAGCCTGGAACTGGACAATGATGGCACCAGGGAGCACCTCTGAGACGGTGAAGCGCATATCTTGGATTTGCGCAACGCCAACGTCACCCTCTTTGCCCACCTGGACAATGGGCTTTGGGTTGGAAGCATCCTTGAAAAACTTTCCACCACCAGAGATGGTAGACCATGCCTCGCCGACGATCTGTGAGCCAACAGGAATAACGAGAGTAGACTCTACACGGTAGTCGCCATACGGAAAGTAGGCAATCTTCTTCTTGGAGGCTGCGTATGCGAGGACTTTGTTGAGAGTATCAGCCTCGTCGAGCGTCCCGTCACCCTTGACAGTGTAACCTCCATTCTGCTTGGGGTCCTTGACATTGATAAAGTCTGAGACCGTATTGTTGGCGAAATTGGGCACTGTGATAGAGGGGATACGACCGCCAGGAGCTGCGACACTGGAAAGCTTGTTGGCGCCAGCCGTCGCACCGTAGATGGGATCGCGGTCGACCGTGTTTCCGTAGGAAAAGTTATCGATGTGGCTGGCAGCCGTGAGCTCAGTGCCCTCAGGAAGCTTCACGATATCGGCCTTGTTGTCGGTCTCGAGGTTTTGTATGAGGATGGACGGGTGGACGGTCGAGGAAAATGTCACGCCGGAGTTGATCGATTTGCCGTCGATGATGCCGACGAATGGGCTTCCGCCGGTATTTTCAATACCAGTCTTGACATTGTCGAAGATTGGCGCCAATAGGCTGATGGTGTTGCCGCCGGAGATAAGCATGCCGACCTCATTTTGGTAGAAGTGAATATTCTTGTACAGCGCCTGCTGATGGCTATCGTGCCAGATGCCATTCTATTGCATATTAGCAGATGAAAACGATTTGAGAAAGCTGATAGACTTGCCTGGCCGTTTTCGATGCGGACATCGGCAAGTGCCAGGGTAGAGCCTCGGCCGAGCCTGATACCGCTGTGACCCTGGCCATTGTTTGGACTGGGCATCTGGATCTTGACGTTTTGAAGCTGAGAGACTTGCGCCACTCCCCAGTACAGAGCTGTAAAGTTTTGACCTCCATCGACAGCTGTGGTATCCAAGATGAGGTTCTTCAAGCTGATGGCGAAGGAATTTTCGCCTTTTTCTTTGGTGGAAGGGTCCTGTGCTGTGCCATGTGATAAGCATCGTATCGTTTAGACAAGTAGAGCGACAAGCTTTACCATTGACCAAAACTCCGTCGCTGAATCCTTTTGCAGCCTTGATAATTGGAGGCTATAGCGAGTCAGTGGGCGCTTCGCACACAATAATGCCGAGCTCGTGACCTTACGGCTATCGCGTCTCCCATGAGAACAGTGTCGGTTTCCATGAAAAGAGTCTTGCTAATCTCGTAGGTTCCAGGAGGAATGTATACAACCTAGGCGTCGGTTAGTCGCGGCGGCGGGTGTTATAAGTCGCGTGATATAGGTAGGTACCCGAGGTTGAGAGGCCAGCCATTGCTTGTTGCGCTGACCGCCGGGCGCAGAGGTAATGGCGTCCTGGATACCGGCGCCGTCACCAGGCTTGACAGCGACGTAGACATTGTACTTGCCGGCATCCTCGATATTCGGGGCATAGCCTCGCGGTGCTCCGACGTGATCCATCATGGAGTACCAGAAGCCGGAAATAGAGCCACCCTGCGGCCCAGCAATGGCCAGCATGGCCAGCGCGACCGTTTTGAACATGTTGAAGAGCTGCGACGGCGAACTTGGTACGCAGTGGTGTAATCAACCGGTCGGGTCGGCGCGCACCGAAGAAGAGGGCCACCGAAGCAGCAGCGAGAAATCGTGTCGAAGCAAGAAAGCTCTGCAGGCACAACGGTTCGGAGAGTTGTACTCAAAAGGAACAAAAGTCCCTCCATTAGGGCCGGAGTGGCGATCTGCAAGGAGCGGCGAAGCGGAATACCCCTGCATTAATCCTGGTAGCTGCGGGTTATAGTTCAACGCTCTGTCTTTCTGTGACAATACACACTTGCTTGTGATTGGATTGCCCTAAGCTTCCGCGTGCAACAGCGAAAGCAGCTATTTCGTCTCTTTTGTCTCGGATCAAGTACCAATAACGCGTTTTCGTAAACAGCTCTTCCTGTCTGAAAGCGAAGGACGTGAAGGACTGGAATGCAACAGGCTCTCAGGTACCTACCAATAAGGTTGGTGCTCGGGGGGGGTCAAGGCGACGATCGGGCGTTTTTAGTGCAGAATGGCCCTGACTAGAGAACGCGCCATGGGCTCAGAAAACCGGGTATTGTTGTGTTATTTTAGGAGGCTCGCTTGGCATGGGAATACTCCGGGGAATGCCGGGGAACAGCGGTTGTCAGAGAAAATCAATCGGCGAGGCGTTGTTCAAGGGCGAAGAGGCCAGGGCGCGACATCCAAGGTCCGCAGCGCGCGGCCCCTCCCCGGAGCAAGGATACTGCAGATACGATGTCGTATTATCTCGATCAGTAAGACATGTCATACGGATAGCATCGGCAAGGTAGAGCTGTAAGAATGGTTGAGCTACGAAGAATGTTATGCAGTGTGATGCCGAAGCGAAGACAGATGTAAAGTTGTGCCATCAATGTCCAGTTGGCATAAAAGCGGCAGGCACAATCTCAATTCGCATTGTGTCTATGCCTTGACAATTTTCCGACCCCTGCATATTTTATGCATGCGTAGTGTGGATAATTGATACAGGCGCTAGGGATAAATACCAGTACAAATAGCAAGTTCGATCTCGTAAAGGTTATAGGTAGAATAATAGAGAAAATAGGAGAGGGGGTTAATTACTTATTATTTTAGTTTCTGCTTGTATTTATTCCACTACTACTAAGGCCGCATGAGCTGAAAACAACACTGGCCTTCAACCCCCATGTAGAAAGGGTGCATGTGGTGTGCGGCGCGAGCCACCCAGCTTTATTAATATCCTTGGTCCGAACCCATTATTAGGACTAATGACACAAATTGCTGGACATATTCAGTGGATAGTATGTTGGTTGGGGTTCTTTTTATCTACATTTTTGCCTACAGTATCGGCATCTGGGTTGTTCGCTAGCTTCCAGCCGCTATGCTGCGCATTCGAAATTCATCTTGTCCATACGCCGTAGTGCCTACAATGCATCTAGCATAGACTGTATGCTTTGCTAAAATACTGTCAGGTTCCAGAGCAAAATAACAGAGCAAGGGGTTTTTCTGGAGAAAAGTGGTATTTATTGTAGCGAAAGGTATCCTAAAGTCACCAGCAAGCATCACCTGTTTAGTCCGCTCGCACCTGCCTGGCAGTACAAGGCCGCGAACAAACATCAACACAGCCGTCACCACAACTCACCAACCTTGACAGACACACAAAAGAAAGGCTCACCTATCGACCTACATCCTCGCAATATCTTACTAAATTGTAGGATTACGATGGTGCTCAAAGCAATTCTCTTCACCTTCCTCCAGCCTCTTCTGGTCTATGCCGTCCATCATGATCCGTTTCCGCGGTGCTCTGGTTGTCTTTCAGTCGCCCAGCACGACGCACCGGGCATAGGATTCGGACTTTCTCCAGCCACTGGGTGGGTATAAGTCACAGAACCTTTGCACTGGGCCGAGCTGACATACAGAAAGAACCGTTTCTGCGCACCTCTACAACGGTACCGTTCTGGATATTGCCGAAATCGCAACGGAGCCGGAATACAGCTCCCTGATGTTGAGTAAAGCTGACGGCCCCTACCCGCCGCCTCTTACTCGCATGGAAAGGATGCGCCGAAACATGAATAAGCGCTTCGGTCGACCGGCCACTCCCGAGGTTGGCATTATCGCCCGCCATCTTGCCCAGCTTCGGCGCGCCACACAGAAACGCCTGCCAGGACAGGACACCAGCTTTGTTGCCATCTCCCTGGCCCCGATCCTCGGCCTGCGACTAGAAGATCTGGAAGATGCTCTCATCCATATTGGCCTTGAATCTTGGACAAGGAGCGACAATGTGGAAGCTGGGTTGTACCCTCCTCTTCTCATGGATCCCTATGCAGCATACGCGGCTCGCGGCCGGGGCTTGTGCCGTCACTACAAGGACCTTTTTCAGTGCTGGGAAGAAGAGAAGACGTTTCCCGAGGAGACTTTGCTCACCGTTCGACTTGCATCCACGGACCTTAGCCTTCAGATTGCTGATGTGCGGGGGTCGTTCGACTGGGAGCAGTCAATCCAAGGCCACACCCTCGACCCGCACGCCGGAATTGACTCGCTTCACTTTTCCGAGTCACCAGACGACTTTTGGAGATATGTCCAAGAGGTTTTGATAGACTTTGTCCACAAGAACCGGTTCTCCCTGCCGACCAGCGTCTTTCTATTGAGTGAGGATTCCACGCGACCGGAGTTTATGCACGCCCTGCGGAAGGCACTGACACATTACGGTGACTTCTTCATGGCCGACAATCTCACGGTGCTGATTCCTGGAGCCTTTCCCATTCAATATGCGGTGTCGAGAGGCGCGGCTCAATATGCGCGCTGGAGAAGGGAGGCGCCGATGGGCTGCAAGGAGGACAGAGTCTGTGGTGATGAAAGAGAGAAGAAACGGCGTGGTGTTGCGCATGAGCAACCGATTACGGAGGCTGATTTTGACGATGAGTATGAGCTTAAATAAATAATTACCTATAAACTTGTGGCTTGGACGAGAAGGGATGGTCAGCTTTTGTGTGCCATGACGAAGCAAGGGAGCCCTACCGCTTTGTGGCTGCAAAGGACAGCACTATTGCTTCAATAGTACCCTTAGACAGTTGAGTATTATTACACTATCATTTTTTAAGAAAAGCTCAAAATTTCAACCACTTCATCTAAATCGTGACAAGCACCTTAATGTCATTAGGCACGGAGGATCTGGTACTGACGACTGACTGGCAGCGGAATGAGGGGTGCTCAGCCAGCGTCGCATCGTCTCAAATCCGACATGCTTCTGACCAAGCCATCACCAACAAGCATGGTATTTTAATTTCAGCCTTGCCCCTGCGAGAATGGCATCTTTTCTCGCAGGCGCGTCTTTTCCAGGAACAGGGAATTTCCCCAAAGGCCAAAATAGCCGAGAAAGCCTGTATGTAGCCCGCACCGTTTAAAGTCGTGATCCGGCTCTAGCCCGATCCGGCGGCCACCAACACAACGGGAAGGGGACCAGAAGATACGAAGCTTGCTGTAGAAGTGAGGATCTAGCAAGCTTGTTTGTTTTTAGGCATCTTAGCTTTTGCCTTGATGAACCCGTCCAGCTTCGGCCGAATCGGTCAGTCTGGGTTGAGGCTGCCACTCTCCCTTCATCAACTCCCTTCATCACCCATCATGTTTCCGGGATGGCCAGTCCGTCTACAAACTTACAATGATTCAGTGCAAAGCCACCGAGCCATCCGTTTTCAGGCTGTCATGACTTATCATGTCACATCTCCCGCTACAGGGATGAATCACAGACAAGGACCCCGAGCGAGCCGCCTGAAATACCACCTGAAATACCGCCTGATGCTTGCAGCCCACACTTGTCAAGGGCGGCCCGTTGTGAAGCTGAGAGGAGAGGAATGGCCTAACCTTGCCCGGTGAAAGTCTCCTAGCGCTAGTCTGTTTGAGCTGTGGAAAACGAGGCTACGGGAAACTCTGAATCAGCCTAGATGAACGGCATCCCCCATAAACTAGCGAAATCGGTAGGAATGTCGCCCCGGGTCAGCCGTCTTCAGGTCTTGACTCTTGTACCAAATAACTCACCCACGTAGGGCGCCTCTCACGCGTCAAAGTAGAATGGATACCTTTTCAATCTTGATTCCTCTTAGTCTGTCGACCCTGTAAACTAGAGTCTACTCTTCAACCTTCCGTCTGATCCCCGCGATGCCCTCACTCCACTAACACATCATCCCGTCATCATGAGCAGCCTCATCTTCGTCTACCAGCGGGTAAGGCGGTCAATCTACATACCGCTCGCCGTCTTCGTCTTCTTCTGCGTCCTCCTCGCGTCGACATACCTCGACCCGGGTGCCGCCGTGCGGAGACTCGCCAGCGGCCACCGCTCGGGGCCGGCGACAGAGGCGAATCATCTCCTCGGCGACCTCATCGAGGCCCTGTACAGGCCGTACGTGCACCCGATCACGGCGGAGAACTTCACCGACGAGACGGGCGAGGTCTTCCGCACGACCGGCGAGCCGTTCTACAAGAAGAGCCTCGGCCGGCGCGTGCTGATCCTCGACGCGGACACGCGGCCCTTCACCAACGACGGCGAGCTCCTCAGCGAGTCCGGCGTCAAGTGGCCGCACCCCGACGCCATGTCCTCCGGCATGCTCAGCCACTACCTCTACTGTGCGTCCCCCCGTTCCCGTCAGAAAAACGTGCTTTACCTCTCTAACATGCCGCAGCCCGCATCCACGGCTACGACTACCAGCTGCTCCGCGTCGCGCCCGTCGCCGACTGGTCGCACACCTGGAGCAAGGTCCCCGCCATCAAGCACGCCCTCCTCTCCCACGACCTCGTCGTCTTCCTCGATCAGGACGCCGTCTTCCGGTACCCCGCCCTCCCGCTCGAGTGGCTCCTCAACCACTGGCAGCACGACGCCGCCACCTGCCTGCTCCTCGCCGCCGACCCGGACAAGCCCTTCAACACGGACCCGGACGGCGCGCGCTACCTCAACACGGGCTTCGTCGTCGCCCAGAACAGCACCCGCACCCACGACCTCCTCGACGCCTGGCTGCGCTGCCCGACGGGGGAGGAGTTTGAGGGGTGTCGGCGCTTCGCGTATGAATGGCCGCACGAGCAGGCGGCGCTGGTCAGCTTCGTGGGAAGGTACCAGTTTGCGAGGGAGGGGGATGTGAGGGCGGTGCCGTGCGCGGAGGCGAACGGGTCGCCGTGGACGAAGGAGGAGCACGGGTGCAGGGGCGCGCTGGTGAGGCACCTGTGGATGGAGGGCAAAGGCAGGCAGGTGGAGGAGCTGGCGGACGGGGTGCTGAGGTATGTGATGCCGGCGCTGTCCGGGGACTTTCGGGTGAGGCACGCGGAGGCGTTGGCAGAGGAGATGGCCAGGGCTGGGGTGCGAGACCGCAGGAGGGAGAGCTTTACGGGTGACAGGGCCGTGGCGCCGATTGCTAAATGAGAGAGCTTGCATTAGTAGGGGGGCTGAAGATGAGCATTAATTAGCATTTTTAAACTTGCAAATAAGTAGTTGAATCACGAAAAGGTTCCCCAACATGTTGTCTAGCGTATAAGTGGCATGACGAGGACCGGCCAGACAACGATGATGTCAAACCACAGCGACCAAATTACCTCCTCCACCAACAAGATTCAGCGAGACGAGCAAAATATTGGTCATCTTGCGAAAGTCTAGACAGAGCGTGTTCAAGGATATTGTGTACCGTTTCATGCTCTCCTCAAGAGTCACCTTCACGGAAGCAGTCATGAAGCAACGTATCTCTTTTCACTACTTACCACATTATCAGATTGTAAAATACTTTTGTCTATTCCAAAATTCATTCCATTGGCACAGGCCGTTAGATCTAAAAGTCAATACAAAATCGTCCCCAGTCACCTAGCGGCCATACATCGTGATATAGAGATTACATACCCCATTTACTTGCCTTTTTGTCCTCCAAGATCCATGCAAAATGTTGTACAAGATTCGACGCCTTCCCGACAAACACATTAAGCGCCTCACAGCTTGGTCCACCGCGCCGTCAGGTGCTCCTTTTCGTTCCTCACCACGCGCAGGGCGAAACCCCCCCGGACGTCCGCCACCTCGAGCGCCAGCCGCGCTGGCAGGACCATCGGCCGCAGGAAGCGCACCTCGAGCGCGCTCGGCGTCTCCCTGCCCTCGTCATCCTCCGACGGCGCCAACAGCAGCGCCGCCTTGTCCGCCGTCGCCGCACCGCCCGGGCCAGCGCGTGGTTGCCGTGCGCGATCTTGCCCGGGAAGCCGAACGCGCGCGCCAGCAGGCTCGACATGTGAATCGGATTGTAGTCTCTGCACACCGCCGCCCACTTCTTCGGCGCGCGCATGCCGAGCTCCACAATCTCCCCGTCCGCCGACGTCCACGCCGGCTCCTCCTCCTTCTCGTCAGCGGTGGCGCTCACGTAGAGCGGCTTGGTGTCGCGCGGCAGGTGGGCGAGGACGGCGCCGACCTGCCGGAAGATGACGGTCGGGGAGGTGTCGCCCCGGCGCAGGGCGGCGACCTCGAAGAGCACCTCAAACTCGACGCCGCGCTTGACGCGGCGGCCGGGGTTGCCGGGCCCGCCGAGGGAGGCGGAGACGGTGACGCCGCGCGTGGCGTCGAGCACGCGCGTCGGGTGCCGGCAGGCCTCCGGATCGAGGAACGTGAAGGTGTTGCGGGTGTTGACCGCGCCGAACGGGTGCACGGGGAGGTTGCGGTTGGCGAGGAGGATGGCCATGAGGGGGTTGATCAGGCCAGGGATGAGGAGTGAGCGGTTGTTCTCCGGGGGGGTGGGCGCGGTCGTTGATGACGGTTCGGCTCGGGCGGCGGTCGTCGTCCCCTTCTTAGCGCGCGGGGCCGTCGCGGCGTCGAAGCGGAGGAGGTCATCGTCGTCGATGGCGAGGGTGCTGGTGACGGACAGCGCGGGGAGGTCGAAGCCGCGGCCGTCGGAGGAGGGTGCGAGCGGCGGGGCGAGGCCGAGGAGGCGCTGCAGCAGCTTGTCGAGGATGAGGAGGATGATGACGAGGATGTCGCGGCCGTCGAGTCGCGAGACGGGCTTCGGCAGCACGGCGTGGCGCGCGCCGGTAGCTCGGAAGAGGCCAAGCCGGGGCACAAGGATGAGGAGGGCGGTGAGGAGCGGGACGCCGATTGCGGCGAAGGCAAAGGCGCCCGCGGCCATGGGCGTGGCCATTATGGCGAGCGTGTCCGATGCCAGTGTGTGGTGCGTGCAGTGGTACGTGGGGATTTCAAGGCGTTAGAAAAAGGATGTCAGGGGACAGGTTTCAATCTTGAGACAAACGGTGTGCTAAAGTAGCGAAGAACGGTTGCAGATCTCGTTGAGGTTGAGCTGTTCAAGAACCGGTGGATCGGCCCCACTCTCCCGAGTTCCGTTTGCCGCGGATATGTTGGGGAAGTTTGCCTCGTTGCATAGTATGAATATTTGGACAGGAAATATATTTGTATGTTCAAAGTCTCATATACAGCTCTATCGGATACCATGTAAAAATCGGGCTATATATCATACCGAGAACGAAAACGTCACCTACTCGAGGAGGGGGCCACAACGATGCAGAACCCCCACTACAAGAGCTTGTCGGCGGTGGACTGGAGAACTTCGACAAGCCCAACGACTTGATCCTTTTGGTTGTCGCAGCTGGTCGACTCCAGCCTGTCCTTGCCCGCCACCAGGCAAAACTTGCCGCCGTCCGAGGCGGGCTGCAGGACAATCGTGCTGTTGTTGCTACCGTCAAACGGGAACAGCTGAGACGTGGCTGTTTGGCCCTCTTTTTTTCCGAGTCAGCATCCATCACAAATCAAAATCTACAAAAAGAGAAAAAGACGAAAAAGAGAATCATACCTCCATCTGCACGACCACCGCACGAAAACATCGTCACCGTGTCGCCCTGCTGCCGCCGGCTGTCGAAGCTCAAGCACCCATTCGTCAGAACGCTCACCAGCAGCGCCTTGCCCGCCTCCTTGCCGTCGTCGTGCCTGCCGCGCGTCACCACGTCGAACTTTTGCCCCAGGTCCTCGGTGCAGTTGGCCAGCCCGACCGGGATCAGGTTCTGGCGGAAGTCGCCCGCGGTCGGGTCGACCGCCAGGCAGCGGCCGTCGGCGACGCGCAGGTTGACGCTCTCGAGGGCGCGCTCGGCGGTCGCGTCGAACTGATTGGCGGCAGCGGCGGCGGTAGCGTTGAGGGTACCCCCGGCGCGCGAGACGGGCACCGCGGCGGTCGGGTTGGCCGTGTGCTGGCCGTTGGGGTAGCGGGTGACTGTGGCGTTCGGGCTGCCGGTCGGGAGGGCGCTACCACCCTGGTTGCAGCCGATGGTCTTGCTGGCGGTGTCGGTGCTGTTGCTGCTAAGATTTTTGTCGATTTGGGGAGCTTTTTTGCTCCCGGTGGACGTTCCGGTGGCAAAGACTCCGGTGGGAAGCGCTCCGGTGGGAAGCGCTCCAGTGAGGGACAATTTGGTAGGGTTGAGAGAGCCGCTGGCGACGCCCGGACCCATGATAGGCAGCATGGTGACGGTGACTGTGTTGACGACAGTGACGATTCTTTGACTGCACGTTTCATTACCCGGAGCGGAAGATGGCAAAGTGGCCGGTACGGTGACATTCACAGGCTTGTTGGAGGGCTTCGGGGTGCTCGACGGTTCGACGGCAGTGGCGTTCAAGGTAGTCCCCTTAACAGCCGCCGTCGCGCTGGGCACGAGCTGCGTGCTCTCCGTGGCGTTTCCATCCTTGCCGGCATCCCCGCCAAACGTGAACTGCTGCGCCTCGTCGCCCTCGTCGCACTCGGCGATGACCACCCTATCGCCAGCCGCCACCAGGCACCTCCCCGGCCCGTTCTGCGGCGTCAGCACGACCGTCACCTGGCCGCCGACGAACGCGAACAGCTGCGAATTCGCCACGCTCCCGCCGCCGTCCGCGCGCCCGCCGCACGAGAACAGATGCACCTGCCCGTCCGCCGGCCGGCGCGGGTCGAAGCTCAGGCACGCCTGCGTCAGGGTACTGACGACCAGCGCAGCGCCCTGCCGGTCGTTGTGCTTGCCGCTGGTGATGACGTCGAAGCCCCGGCCACCGGCGGCGCCCGCGCAGTCGGCAATTTGCAGCGGGGTCAGGTTGGCGCGGAAGTCTCCGGAGAGGGCGTCGACGAAGAGGCAGCGGCCGTCGGCGGCCTTGATCTGCACGTTGGCGAGGGCGCGCTTGGCGGCGTCGTCGCGCTGCTGGGCTTGCTGGAAGGCGGCGTCGTCGAGCTTGGCGACGCCGCGCGGGGCGAGCACGGGGTTGCCGGCGGCGAGGGCCGCGGCGAGCAAGGGGGTGTAGAGAGCGGACGCGTGAACCATAATTGTGGTTGTGTGTAAGTGTTGGTAGAAGGAGTGTGGCGGTCACTGGTCAAGCAAGGTAAGAAGAAGGAGTGGAAAGTCTGCGCAGCAGAAGGACCTGATCAAAGGTCAAGGAATGGAAGCTTTTCAAAAGCGAAAAGGGAAAGAAAAAGAAGGTATGAAAGGAGCGAACAACAAGCATGCAATTCACCTCATGACATGGGACGGCTGGAGGACATGAAGGGGCAGAGAGCAGCTGGACAGGCGGCTACTTATATCCAGAGAAGCAAGGTAAATTACGGAGTCGGTCAACGAGGGCTCTTCCCTCCTTGATTACAACTATTGGGCACGAGGGACTCGGCCTACGACGCGAGGTGTGCATCGCGAAGCGCCGGCGTACCGAAGTTGTTGTAGTGGTGACAGGGGGCACCTAGGGTCCCATTCGCAGAATCCGGCGGAAATGAAAGGGAATCGACAAGCTCTCACCCGGCAAGCTAACCCGTTCCTTGTGAAAGGTGGTGCGGGGATTGTTCGGGCAAGCGAAGAGCATTGCTTCGTAGGTTTGTCAGGCAAGGACTACAGTAGCAGTGCGTGGTGTTGGGAGAGGCGACCAAGAGGGCTTGCAGGAGGAAGCCCGACCTGGAGACGCAACGCGGCAGGTTTCACCGCGGCCAAAACATGAGACGGGATGGCGGGCTTTTTAGCTGAGAACTACGGGGTAATTAATTAGTGTGTTGTGATGGTTGGTTGGTGATGCGCGGTGGTGAGGCTTCAAAGGTGCATGTGGCTGAATCGCCAATGCTGTGATGAGAGGACCAGAGGATGAGATGGCCTGTCGTGACGGTGGAGACATTGATACCTCTCTACAGAAGAAATAAAGAGAAATTCAAAGTAAGTTGGAATTTTTAAAAAAAAAAAAAAAACATCATAGAGAATTTATTCTTCAGCAACCTTACCCCTCCACCGCAGAGTCGTATTGACGGGGATGAGCTCGAGGCTTAGCACATACCAACCAACGTATCGTCAATTCTCGCCATTATTAACAAACCAAAGAGGGTTCCTGTCCCTTCGCGTCCTTTACTTCTCCGGGTTGGCCTCTCATGGTGGCTGGCCCTTGCAGTAGTGGCTGGTTTCGACTTGGCATAATCCGAAACGACGGGTTCGGCTCGACTTGGGACAGAGGTAGTTTCAGATGAAGGGAAGCGAGCAGTAAGTCGGTGTGATGATCCAAACAGAGGGAAATGAATCAAAGCAACCAGTTCATATCAACCATGATTATTTCTTCAATTATTATTCTCACCTTTATATTTCCTTCCTTTTTTCCCCCTTCTTCGTAGAACATAGGTGCCCACAACCACATCGTTCTCATCGCCTTGGCGAGCAAGGAAAAAATTCTTCGCCTTTTCAAAGTAAATATTTCCAAAAATTTCACACATTCAATTTCATGTGATCAATCTTCATCCCAACCCGGTACCACATACCCGCGGTCGCCGCCCCTAGCATGGCCGGCATTCCGGCATCACGGTCCGGCGCTCGCTAGTTCATCCGCTAGCAAACACCAACACCCGCCTCGGCTCCAGCCGGTCCATACCGGTCAAGATCTAGACAAGAGTCTCGACGCCAAACACTCAATCCATTGTGCCCTGGAGCTTTAAATTATAAAGTACAACATGCCGCTTCAAAGTAGTAGCAACATAGCAGTAGTAAAAGCCATTTTCATACTTTCCCAGGTCACGGTGCAGCTTCTACCTCTCTTCCTGGAGTCGGCGTCCTTGGCCGCGGCCAACCAACAATTAGCGACGTTTCCTATGACCAACTATCTTCCGTTTGATCAGCACCCGTGTTATAAGTACATGATGCTGGGAGGCGATGGGCATGCTCCTTCTGGGGCCTGACAGCCCCGAGCTTGCTGCATCGGTGTCAAGGAGATCAGCCCCGAAACGGATCACGGCGATAACAATGTCGGTCCCGATGAGCATCCCAAGACTCCCGGCTCTAATTTTCCCAGCGGTGAGCATTTGACAAGTGGCGGTCGTTTTCCCAGCGGCAGCCGTTTTCCAAGCGGTGATCATCTGACCATCTGCGACGACAGCACCAAGGGCGTCTGGATCCCCGGAGCCGAAGCTCAAAGTGCATGCCCACCTCCGTTGTGACCAAAGTGTCGTCCGACGGCTCCGTCACTCTCACTCTCATTAAGATTATCACCAACAATCGCACATTTACCGAGGAGGTCACCGCCACCACCGTCGAGACCCTTCCCGAGACGTCGCGCGAGACCGAGGTCATCACTACCACCGTGCCAAGGTTCGTCACCTTCACCACCACGTCCAGCGGTACGCCTGTCGTTGAGACCAGCACGTCTAAGCTTCTCACCACCGAGACCATCACCACCGACGTCCCCATCCTCACCACCGAGACGGAGCTCATCACCGACGACAACGTCGACGGCAGCGGCTTCAACCCGCTCTTCCGTAACGCCGCTGCCGGCTTCCTGTTCGCCTGCCAGGCCGGCCGCTACCGCTTCAACTCGCCGTACGCTAACGACATCACGCTATTGTGGTTCAGCGACGCCGCGCACAGCGGGTACGAGCGCGCCGACACGGACACTGTGCGGGTGTACTACGGGGATAATGAGGAAAGGGACGTATACAGGGACTTGGAGGCGGGCACGTACTACCTGATCAGGGTGCTCTGGGAGAATGCGGGGGGCGCGTTGGACCTCTCGATGAGGATCTACGGGCCGGATGGCGGGATGTGAGTGGCGCGGACCATGCGGGTGAGCACTACCTGACGACGGAGGCGTGCGACGGCTCGTGGGCGCCGTTTCCGCCATGGGCAGGGCATCATCGTCAACCGAGCTTCTACCTACGCAGTGGGTGTCCAAAGCAGCTTTATTATCAATCTCAGCGGCCGGAAAATGCACACCTAACGTTCTCATTCTCGTGCTCAAGTATGTGAAGTATGTCAAGTATGGAAATCGGGTGGCGTGACTACGGCAGCGCCACACATTGTCTTCGTCGGGAGGCGAGACACCGGAATCCGGGCGGCTCGAGTTGCCGCCGAATGGTACACTTGGAATGCAATCATGAATTACTTGATTAGTATGTAGTTGGAGACGTTGTAATTATTGGCATCCATCTGACCCCCACCGTAGATCCAATCAATGCCTTGCCAAAACCCCACGCTACCGATCGGAATCGGAATCTAGTAATTGTCTCCAGGCATCGGTTGGCTCGTCGCCGCCGGGGTTCCGCTGTCAGCACTCTCAGCAGCTATCCGTCTTACATGCACAGAAAAAAGGCAGAGTAACCTGGATCAAACCATGTTGGCGATGGCTTCACCTTACGAGCCCTTGCATCATCTTATGCAGCGTCCACGGCCTTTTTCTTTCTTTCTCGGCACTTGGTCTGGCTGCCCGTTTCGTTGAGAGGTCAATGCGCCCCCGACTGAATCAGGCCAGATCAATGAGGGGAGGAACCATTTTACACTTTACGCCAACCACTCGCCACGCAACTTCTACGCCCAAGGCCAGCCAGCCTTGCTCGCTCGTGCCCATGCCATCATCACTCATGTGCCTCTGCATCGATCCATCTCCAGTTCATCGACCCGACTGATCCCTCCATCCAGAACAACTCACAGCCCTGGTCTCCGCCACCCGCGACCATGGATACGGACGCTGAGGCGCCCGTCTTCCGATCCAACCTGATCCCCGGGCCACCCGCCACCACCACCAACGGCTACACATCACCTCCTCCCTCGCCGCGACTACATCCTCACGAGAAGCCTATTGTCCAGACTAGTGCGCTTCTTCTTTTACCAGCCGAAATCAGGATCCTCATCCTCGTCGCCGCCTTTGGCGACCGCACCATCCACGTCGACCTCGAGCCAGTCTTCCTCTCAGACACAGCCACCACCACCACCACTAGCACCACCAGCCGCTCACGGCCCAGCACGCCGCCGGACGGCCCGGAAGGAGGACCGCAGCGGCATTGGGATCTCGTCGACCTGTCCAGCCCCCAGATCCAGTGGAAGCCCAGCGGCCACCTGTGCCACCGGCGGTGCTTCGAGTCGCGCCACGCGCCGCCACCCATCTTCGTCATCGACCGCGACCGCTGCTTCACCGGCAGCGCCGCCCGCTGCGGTCTCCCCGCTTACGGTCTCGCCTCGTGCCGCGTCGGCGCCCTCGGGTGGCTCCTCACCTGCCGACAGGCCCACGCCGAGAGCCTCGCCGTGCTCTACCGGCGCAACACCTTTCGCCTCAACGAGTCCCTCGCGCTCGAGAACGTCCCCCGCATCCTCCCCCACCACCGCGACATCACCCGCCTGTCGCTCTCCCTGACCATGGGCCGGCCGCCGCCCCGCGCCGACCGCGTCGCCTACCCGCGGCCGCGCGACGCCGTCGAGCACCACCTCGTGCCGCTGCTCGCGCCGCTGCCGGAGGCGTTCCCCGCGCTCACGCACCTGCACGTCGTGCTCGCGGGGGAGCTGTGGCCCGAGGCGCAGATCGCGGCGTACTGCGCGCCGTCGGCGGCGCTTCACGCCCGCGTCGAGGCGGTCCTAGCGTGGGTGGAGCGGTGCGTGGTGCGGCGATGCGCGGTGCTGCGGAGGTGCGAGGTCGCGTTCGACAGCAGCGTCTACTTTCCCTGGCTGCAGGTCGAGAGGGGCCTGGAGATTGACTTTAAGGACTACGCGGACTTTGAGCAGTGCCCGTACGCCGTCTGGCGCCCGCTGGCGGCGGCCGAGGTTGGCGACGGCGGCGACGACGGGACGATTAAGAGCGTGACGGACAGGAGCCGGTTGTCTGGGTACTGGGTGTGCTTGGATGCCTGGGACGCTATTCCCTGGTCCGTCATGACGGATTTATATGGGACAGGGCCGTGGTGAACTAACGCAGGCAGCCTGACTACGGATATGGGAAAGAAATTGTACACTGACAAGGGTTGATGTAAGATTTATTGATGGTGTTTTTTTTTTCTTTTTTGCTGTGCTTTTTATTCCCAGATATTTTTTTCCTTTCTTCTTTTTTTCTTCTCTTTTCTGTTCTTACCTGTACTTAGCATAGCATAGCAAGCAAGCCCATGGACGAAATACATCTGCCCCAACAAGTCATCCGCCTATCGAGGCCTCCGTCAAATGACTCGGCCTCGTGAGCTCATGGTCCACGGCTGAAATGCGACAAGTCTCGCATCGTCCCCTGCAGCGCCCAGCCTAATTAATTTTAAGCCGTTTTAATAGGCCAGCCTGGCTGAGACGCCGCTTGAAATGGCCCGTGGCGTCACGCACCTCCCGCATGACCCCACCACACTCTTCGTCACTCGTGCCTGGGCCGCTAACTAACAACCTATTTTTACTATGGGATATTAACCACCAAACTCCCACCATCAATCTATCTGGCCCCGGCTTCTTATCTTCCTCTCACTTCACTCGGAACGTCGGTCATCTTTCCAGCTACATCTGCGCAAAGATGGTACGTCCCTCTTAACCACCCCTTCCTCTGTATGCCACCACGATCCCAGCTAACCACTTCACCGCTATCCACTCCAGGCTTCCGAACAAACGCCCCTGCTCGATGAGAGCTCCGATGGCGGCGACCGCCAGCGCACCGCCAAACGCCAGCGCACCAACAAGATCCGCGACGTCGCCATCTTCAGCTGGGCGCTGGTCGCCACCGCCGCCTTCATCATCCTCGCCGTGTGGGTGCAGCACCGGGAGCAGACGCGGCCCGTGTCCTCGCCGCCCTCCGCACCCGCCACCAAGCGCAACCTCGTCTTCATGGTCTCCGACGGCATGGGCCCGGCCTCGCTCGCGCTGACCCGCGGCTACCGGCAGCACGTCGAGCACCTGCCGCGCGACGACGTGCTCACGCTAGATCGGCACTTCTGGGGCAGCAGCCGGACGCGGTCGTCGAGCTCGCTCGTCACCGACAGCGCCGCGGGAGCGACCGCCTTCTCGTGCGCGCAAAAGAGCTACAACGGCGCCATCTCCGTGCTGCCCGACGGCCGGCCGTGCGGATCGGTACTCGAGGCGGCCAAGCGCGCCGGCTACGCGACGGGGCTCGTCGCCACCACGTACGTCACCGACGCGACCCCGGCGTGCTTCGCCGCCCACGCTGCTCGCCGAGAGATGATGGACGCCATCGCCCTGCAGGAGGTCGGCGAGGGCCCGCTCGGCCGCTCCGTCGACCTCCTCCTCGGCGGCGGCCGCTGCTACTTCCTACCCAACTCGAGCTCCGGCGGCTGCCGGCACGACGACATCGACGTCACCCGCGTGGCCCGTGAGCGCCATGGCTGGAACTACGTCGACTCGCGCGCCGGCTTCGACGCCCTCGCCGGCGGCGACCGCGCCACCCTGCCGCTGCTCGGCCTCGTCGCCCACGGCAACGTCCCCTTCGAGCTCGACCGCCGCACCATGAACGACACCTACCCGAGCCTGGCCGAGATGACCACCACGGCGCTGCGCGCGCTCGAGCGCGCCACCGCCGACAGCGACAAGGGCTTCTTCGTCATGATCGAGGGCAGCCGGATCGACCACGCGGGCCACATCAACGACCCGGCCGCGCAGGTGCACGAGGTGCTCGCCTACGACGCCGCCTTCCGCGCCGTCCTCGACTTCATCCGCGACAGCGACACCGAGACCGTGCTCGTCGCCACCTCGGACCACGAGACCGGCGGCCTCGCCACCGCCCTGCAGGCGCCCGACGAGGACGAGGCCACGTACGACTGGTACCCCGCCGTGCTGGCCCGCGCCACCGCCTCCTGCGAGCGCCTCGCCAGCCTCCTCAAAGCGCGGCACACCAGCGAACACTCTGACCCGGCTGCGCTCCGGACGTACGTCAAGGACGAGCTCGTCGTCAAGGGCCTCGGAATCTCCGCCGGGGACGTCGCCGACGCCGAGGTGGACGCCCTCGCCGCGGCCGCCGACGATACCGAGCGCGCGCGCACGTTACTCACGCGCATCATCTCGCGCCGCGCGCGCATCGGCTGGAGCACCCACGGACACTCGGCCGTGGACGTCAACGTGTACTCGTCCGGCGGGCGCGGCACCGAGGCGCTGCACGGCAACGTGGAGAACACCGAGGTGGGCGACTTCCTCCGGCGGTACCTGGACGTGGACGTCGAGGCCGTCACCAGGGAGCTGCAGGCGAGCAGCGGTAGCAGAAGCCGCAGCGACGAGATCGCCGAGGTGATGGGGGCGAGGCGCGGCGGCGCGTGGGACGAGTACCACGGTCGCTTGAAGGACTGAGAGGAGGGAGTCGAAGAGACGGACGCGTGCATATACATGACATTTACTACAAGCTCGGGCGTTAGATTCTTTCTTTTTTTGTTTCCTTTTCTTATACAATATCATTTTTACAAGGTGGTGCTTAGATTTATCTTTACTGTCACTGGCCTAGAGCTAGACTAGAGTATCTCGCGAGCCCTTATCCAGACTACTTTGTATAGACTGGAACAACTCAATTATTATAGCATTGCAAGGCTAGCACAAGACGAGAACAATCGCATATCAACACCAAAGCATGAAGCAGAGAAAAAGCCGGCTCTATAATACCAAAGCCTAAAGCAGCAAGCGCCGCGCTGTGCATCATATCTCACGCGAATCCCCCCAGCGCAGCATTAATTACCAGTCTCCTTTGCGTCCAAGTCATATCGCACGTAGAGCTTGTCCAAAAAGTGCGAGTGACGAATCCCGTTCGGTTTTGCCTTTTTGAACGCGGCGATAGCGTCCTGCACAGGCACGCCGCAGCGCTCGACCAAGTAGCAGACGACCAGGAATCCCGTGCGGTTGTAGCCATAGTGGCAGTGGACGCCGACGACCACGCGCCGACGCCAGTCAGGCGCCCATCCCTCCGCGATTGCGCGGTCGGCCTGGCGCGCGCGAATGCTGTCGACGAGCCGGATGAAGGCGGCGACCTCGTCGGCGGCGGGCGGCACCTTGGAGACGGTTGGAAACTTGTGATAGTGCACGCCAGCGCGCTCAAGTCCGCGCGCATCGTACACGGGCTGATCGCGCGAGATGTCGACCACATCCTTGACGATTTCACCCCAGCGGGCGGTGAAGGCGGCGGGGCTGTGCACATCGTCGGCCTCGCGGAGCGTCTTGAGCGCGCGGAAGATGGGAACGACGCCGTCGTCCGAGTCGTCGGGGTCGCTGCTGGGCGGGCCGATGGGTGCCGAAACGGGCAGAACGGATTGCCACTTGGCGAGGTTCTTGACGTCCCACTTGCCTTCCTGGCTTAGATATTGCAGCTGCCAGGCGAGTGAGAGCCGGCCGGTGATGTGGGTGGCGAGGAAGTCGGCGATGAGGCCGGCGAGGATACGCGAGCCGCGCGGGGCGTATAGGAGCGTGTGGTTAGCTGGCGCGGGGATGATGATGGACTGCACCACCATGGCCGGGTGCTCAGGCTGCGCCGGGATCGCCGTGGGGGACTCCAGCGGGGTCGACAGGTAGTCATCGTTGGGCGATTCGTCAGAGTCGATCCCGGATCTGGCAGCTTCAAAGTCTTCCTCCGTAATGTTGACAATGGACCGCGAGAGGTCGTGGTCGTCTGGCTGCAGGCGTGCGCCCACCGGCTCGGCGGCCTTGCTGACGTGCTCGATCGGCGTGTCGGCGCCGTCCTGGGCGGCCTGCTTTGTCTTAATGGCGTTGACTATCTTGTCCACGTTCGCCGTCGGGGTGACCTTGTCAGCCTCGCCTCCAATCAGGTACAGCGGAATGTCAAGCTCGCCCCAGATGTCCGTCGTAGGGAGGCCGCCTTGCGGTTTGCCGTTCCGATACGGCGGGGCGGCGGCGCCAGCCATGCGTCGGAAGACGGGGGTTCGACTCTGCTGATTGAAACGGTACTGGAGCAACCGCAGCTCTGGCGACGCCTTGGCTCCCGCGAACCGCGCAATTGAGACGCTGTTCGGGCCACCTCTGCTGTCCCAGAGACGCCACAGGCTAAAGACCCAGCCAGGGACCCAAAGCAGCGCGCGCAACCCTCGCGAGGAGGACTCCCCCAGAGGGCCGGCGGAGGGGCAAATGGCTATGAGGCCGACAATGTGGCTCACAAGATCCGTGGTGTGCGTCGTCTTCTTGCTCGCCAGCAAGGCGGAGAGTCCAGTGCCAAGGCTGTGGCCGATCAGGACCACCTTTTGCCCGGCGTCCTTGTCGCGGTGATCTTCGATGATTGTTTCCAGGAGCTCGGCGAGAGCCTCCATCGTGTACGCGCCCCAGCGCGTCTGCGAGTAGGCAGATCGTCCTCCACCCGGATGGTCAATGGCCAGACACGGCGCCATGTCGACGAGGCTGCTCAACAGCGGGTGAAACTGCGCGACCGAGCCGCCCAGGCCGGGGATGCACACCAGCAAGGGCAGCGGCCCGGGGTCTTTGGGCAGCTGGGCCGCCTTGACGTGCTGTCGGAAGAAGACGCGGACGTCCTTGTACTCGCAGCGGCTGGTGGTGTATGTCTTGAAGGTAGAGTTCTCTTTGAGTAGCGTCGGGTCCGTTTCGTGGGCATCCACCGGGATGGCCGGCGGGCCAAAAAGCCATTTGTAAATATTGGACATGGTTTCTCTTACAAGCCAAAAATGTTCATCCAAGGCTGTTGGTGATGGCGTCTGATGTCGCGATAGCTGCAGTGGTGAGTCAAGAGCTAGTGTGGGGCTCTTGCTCAATCGCAAACCGTTGCGGCTTCAACGGTAAACAGTCTGCGCCGTTCCATGCGCTCTTGTAGTGGTAGGACCGGCGGCAGCTTCAGGCAGCCGGGGGCATCGAGAAAAAAGCCAGTGAAGCGGCGGCAGCGGTCGTGGGAGGTGTTGTCATACCTTAGCCTTTGGAGCGACAATGGCGAGGCTTGAAGAATTGTGTGTTGAAGGGAGGCGAATGAAAAAAAAATAGGCGGTTGCCGAGGCCAGCGGAAAGGCAAGGGTCTTTATTGTCCGGGACAACCCCTGGTCGACAACTTGATAAAATCGCTCAGTTTTGTGATGAGATATATTCGGATATTCGGGGGCGCAGCTGCCAGTACGGTTAGTCTGTTGATGCTGGATGCGGCTGCTTCTTTCTCAGCCCGTGGAGTCGCACCCGTGGTAAGTAAAATGGTGATGGAGCGAAACAGAACGCTTTCGTCCTGGTCCTGGTGGAGCTATCGATTTCTTTTTCCAGGCGCGCAGACCACAGCGCGCCACACAGGTACCCTGGAGCACGGCAAATTTTGCTCACAAGACACCTATCCTCGATTAGGCGGCAATTCTCGTGTAATCAATAAATTACTTCGTACTTTGTGACTTTTATGCCCTTTCTAAAGTTGTAAGAGGTCTTACAAAGTGCCGTGGTGGGAAATCGTTCCATTACTATGATTCTATATCCCACCTTGTTAAACCTGCCAGGGCAGTCACAGCCCAACATGCAGCCTAAGATCCTACCCAACACAGTCGCATCATGGCCAAGACCCTATATGAGATCATTACAGTGGTATATATTGTACAATAATTTACATAGGTTACACCTTTACTCGGAAGCACCGATACCCTCACGCCACCCGATGGGTATCAACACTGCGGCCACGTCCGTCACCCCACGTTCCGTAGCAAGTAGATTAAACTGTGATGCTGCATTTCTCGTGTCCAAGACCTCCAAGCGCATCCCCAGCGACGAGATGTGCCTCTTCAGTTCCGGACTGAGCGGCGCTATGCTCTTTCCCGTGCCAACGATGAGTAAATCTACACAACCAGATGGGTTAGCAAAAAGTTCGGACCGCCCTGGGCTGCTGGGAGAGGGTATAAAGCCGCAGCCCCCAGTGCCGCCACCCCCAAGGATCAAAAACAAGATTTCTGCAAAGCTTACCTGGTCGCGGCCACAGCATGTCAAACACATCAAACGCCTCCGCCGGCACGTCAAACTGCCCCTTGTCGTTGAGCAGGCGCATCCGGCCGTCCATCGCCTCCCACGGCCGCCACGCGAACGCCTCACCGTCGACCAGCAGCGCGCCGTCGCCGTCGGTGATGGTGATGCCGCTGTTGAGGCCGAACCCGTCGTCCATGCAGACGTCGACCGACGTCGACGGCACCGGCGCGCTGCCGAGCACGTCCAGGTCCTGGAAGCTGGTCGGCACATGCTCCTGCGTCTTCTGGCGCTTGCAGAGCCCGGGCGTGGTGTGTAGGGCTCGCGCGGAGAGGAGCCGCTGCTGCCGGCATCGCAGCGTCGTCGCGGTCGTCGTTCGAGGCCGGCAGGAGGCAATTAGCGGTTGGGTGGGCGGGTTTGCGCGGGGCATGACGGATGCCCTATGTAAAGGCGCGGCCTCTCGTAACCGGCGTGTGAATGCGCGCATCGTAGATATTGTCGGATATGATTTGGGAGACTGGTGGGTGTCTTGATGAGATGGAAATATTTCTGCAAGAAGCTATCGTCTGCACTTGTATGTGGGGCTACGCAGGATTACCAACTCTGACGTCTGCATTTCGAAATCCTTCATCCTCAAAATGGCCGACAAGCTAATCACTTTTGGATTTGACGGATAGATTGACACGGCATATTTACAGTTTCAAAACTGACCCCGTACCAGTAGTCCGTAGTGGCGTGCTTAAAACCTCCAATAGCGACCTCAAGCCATCGTAGCTGTCGCAAGTCGACAATGCATATACACATAGCCGTCGATCCATCTCGGATGGCTGGTTTCTCAAATAATCTTCACGCGGTGCAATCAGCCCTACATCCCGTAGAGGGCCAACGTTCAACATGTATGTGCTTGACTCTCGTTTCATTTCAGATCATCAAGTTAGGTTTAGCAGTCCTAAAGACAGCAGCAGACCAGCCGTCATCTTTTGTAACAGCCCTGGTCCATATGTATCATGCAGTCCCTTTTTGTCCTAATGAACACCAAAGCAATGAACCCATTTCACCACCATTCGTTCCGCCGAAAAAGAAACAAGGAATAAATTTTTGTTGTCGACAGTTTGTTTTTCAAAAGTGTAATTTGATTCCCATTTATTTCTTCTTGCCCTGCTCCTGCTCCTTCAGGACCTTCTTGACGATCTTCTGCTCCTCGATCAGGAACGCACGGACGATGCGGTCGCGGACGCAGTTACCACATCGCGAACCACCGTAGGCGCGCTGGACGGTCTTCTGGGGCTTGGAGATGGTAGCGTACTCGCGGGGACGGAGAGCGGGGATCTGTGAGGAAACAAGTCAGTCGGTGCTTCTCGGCAGGTCGTGGTCATGGTGACTCGAGTGGCATTCGCAAGTCTTCGGCGCAACTTCGTCTTCGTGGAGAGGTTTGACTGGTCCCATGCCCCCCACAGGCCAACGCAAATTTGGCAGCAATTCCGTATGGATGCCCTGCTTCTTTTGCGGGCAGAGAGAACCAATCTCAATATTCCTCGTCTTGCTAGCCTCTTTGCCGTCCTGAATGCCATTCGAGTCGTCGTTGTCGTCGGGTTGACTTACGCCAGAGAGCTTGGAGCCGCAGTCGCCGCACTTGGGGACGGTGCCGCGCTTCTTCAGGTGCAGCACGCGGAGCTTACCACCGGGAGTCTTGGAGACTCGGGTGATGTTGGAGGTGGTGTTGTAGCTGTAGCGCCATCATCGTTAGCCCTCAATGTTCCTGCGTTGCGTGCCAAAGTGCCCGGGGGTTTGTCGCGAAGGGGGGAGAAGATGAATTCGAGGCATTGTATTTTCGAATGGATGCTTCTTTCGCGACGGAGAGGATAAGCACTCACGGGGTGCGGCGGCGGTAGGTGACGCGGTGGTTGACCATTTTGGCGGTATTTGCTGGGTTGGATTGCAAATTGAGGGAATCACGGACAAGGACCAGAAGCGAAGAATTTCGAGATTTGGTGGAAAATTTGTGTGGGTGGTGCTTGAGAATGTGCCCGCTAAGCTGGCGAATCAGAGAGCGCAGTGAGCCTGGGACGTCCCACCATTGCACGTGATTTGTCGCGATGCCAGGCCTTGCCAAACGGGCGGCGACCTCTGATGTGGAGTCAACTTGCTTGCGTTATCATTAGCCAGATGTGCCCTGCAACAGAAATCCCTTTGTTTTTACAATTGGAAAAGATGAGGCCGTAAACAAGCAGATGTGAACTTTATCAACATGCACAAATCTGTGTGCATTTTTTGCCTGACTACTTGACACTGTCGCGATGCGGGGCAGTGACGCCTCGGGAGGTGTATTTCCATACCTCCCTCCTCTAGATTAAACTGAGCTTGATAACTGGTGTATTTCATTCCCCTACATTCATTCTTCGATATTCCATCGTCTGACATGGTATGTATTGTCCAAACGCCTGTACACCACGCCATATTGAAAACCAAGCACCGCATGTCGCCTGAAACGCCGTTTGAAAAGTCATAAATAATAGCCGGTCGGGATGCAAGTCCGACGTGCAAACCTGCATTTGAAATGCTTGCTCCCATGATCAACAGACATTATCAGACCACTAGTCGTCTTTGTCCAAGTTGAACCAGTTGGGATGGTCCTGGTGGCGCCAGGGCTTGATGTCGAACGGATCTTCCTCCTTGCTCTTGCTGGTCATGGCGAAGACCTCCTTGCTCTTTTCGCTGCGCATGAGCTCGGTGAATTCCGTAATGTTTGCCTGAGCTTCTTCGAGGGACTTGGTGAAGGCTGCATACATGACTTCAGCTGCGGGGTTGTTTAGCATGGTTGCCGCAACTACGGGCAGATGTGATCGTGCTTACGAGATGGCTGCTTCTGCATAATAGGCTCTATCATCTTCGGGATAGTGCTCCTCAGAAGGCGAGACTGATAAAAGAGCAACAGTCAGCGATGGTGAAGTGGTGTACGGCGACGTTGGGTGGATGGGCTGACCTTGATGTGGAGGAGCTTGAGATGTTTCATCGCTTCGCGAAGGCGAGCCTCCTTGTCGGAGACATCAGCGCCAGCGCCGACCCCAGAATTGCCCTGGGCTTGTTGAGTGTCCATAGTCAATGCATATGCCGCCCAGCGCAGATGAATTTCTGTTGTTGGATAAGGGTAGATGTCAATAGGCAGGAACCAGGAAGGAGTTCGGGATGATGTGGGTCGCGTCCGTCGGCAACGGTGCCAATGCACTAGTTACCTGGATATTGGGGATTGTAGCAGGGATACCAGAGAATTGCCAAAGCAAAGATTGTATGTATATTGTCGCAGCGATTCTAACTGTGTGCACCAAGTGTGAGGAATTCCCCTAGAGCTTAAAAAAACGACTGAGGTAGGGAAGGAGTCTGGCATGGCTTTACGTCACGTGCAAAGTGAGTTTGTGCCACGAGGCCGCTGGCGTGCTCGACATTGCACAAACTCTTCATGACGCACAGATGAAAAGACTCGCAGTGTCATCCTTAGCCAGCCCGATTTGCCACGCCGACGCAAATCGCCCAACATTTCTCGGCCCTCATCTGCGGGATCCATCGGTGCATATCTCAGAAAGCCAGAAAAAGACTTGAGCGCAGTGAGAGTTCAAACGACGGCTTTACGCGCTAAGTGCTCATCCCAGTCAACCCACGCGCCTCTCTGCGCTGTGATTGGCTGGTCGCGCCCGGACCGGATCAACACCAAACCTAATGGGCTCGCTGACAGTGCGGATTGGAAAAATCCTCACACTCCCGCCTCCTGCATCATACTGTACGGCGCAAGTGAAGGGAACCAACAGCAAGCTGGACGGCACACGATCTACTATCCTTTGCGTCACGAATTGATTTTTGAATTTCTGTGAGAAGTGGACTCGAGGGGCCTTCCTTTCCTCCGGCCGCCTTTTCAGGCACTTTCGTCGGCCTTTCTGCCTGACACTCGTTCGCCTCTATTGGCCCAGACCCGCGTTTCTCGCACTGTCGCGTACCTACGTCACCCAAGCGCCCACGCACCACCGCGAAGAAAACGAGAAGGACGAAGTCAGCCGACCGCCCGCCATGTCGAGTCCTCCCGATCCCGGCACGACGCCGCCGCCGGCACTGCTGCCGCCGCCGGAGGGCATCTTCCGGTCGTTTGACGACCTGATGGCATCGGTGCAGCGCGTCGCCAAGGACCAGGGCTACGGCATCGTGAAGCTGCGGGCGTCCAACTACCGCGAGGGCAAGCCGACGCGCTACGACCTGGTCTGCGACCGTGGCGGCGTCAAGTACAACAGCACGGCCAAGAAGCGCAACCCGTCGACGCGCAAGATCGACTGCCCCTTCCGCGCCAAGGCCGTCTGCGAGGTGCAGCTGGGCAACCAGTGGCGCTTCGCGCTGCAGGAGCCGCGGCACAACCACGAGCCCCGGGTGCCGTCGAGCACGCCGGGCGCCGAGGCGCCGCCGCTGGCCACGTCGCTACGCTCCTTCACTAACAAGCTCGACCGGCTGAGCCACGACATCGCGCAGGGCTTCATGCGGCTCGAGCAGCGGTTGGACAACATCGAGAAGCGCATCGAGGGCATCGAGGCCCGAGCGTCGACGTACGAGCCGCGCTTCCAGTCGGTCGAGAACCGCCTCCTCAGCATCGAGGGCATAGAGGGGGCACGCATGGATAGCATGGGAATGGACGACCCCGAATCGCGGCTGCTGGCCTCGGCTGTTATGTAGAGCGCCGGCCCCGGCAACGGTCCGCACAATTCGGGTGGTGAATGACTCCAACACGGAATCTAGGCGCCAGCTTGTCATGCACTTTTGGGATTGGAGCGTCAATCGCGTTCCGGCTCTGTTCCTTTAGATATGCTGTTGGCGGCTCACTTCTCACATTACCGAGCCATGGCAATGACGCCGAACGATACCGCGTGGGGATGACTGAGCGCTTACGGAAAGCGTTCTATGACGTGGATGTGCAGTCTGCGACGCGCATTTGATATTTTACGATATGATTTCTGAGTTTGGTTTCGGTTCGGGGGCTCTGCACGTTTTCTTTCGCTTGCGGGTCATGATGTTTTAGTTCTTTTTATGAGGTGCGTGTGGTGGCTTCTATGGAGGACAGGGACAGAGCAATTCTATCAGCTGTTGGCGTTTGGGATACTCAGAAACAAATGGGCTACCAGGACAGAGTTTGGAGCTCTGGGTTACGGGGATATATCGATCTGCCCCTTTGCTTCTCTTCTTCATTTTCTTGCTCTTCTGCTTTTTTCTTTCGGCTTTGTGCTATTTTCGTTTGGAGAAGTGACCGCGCGCAAAATCCGTCTGTTGCGTTAAGATGCGTGCTTCTGAATTTATACTTGCTTTCTGCTCATGGCCCAGTGTCGCGAGTGTCTCGTGGTACTTGGTTGGAGGAGTGCTGAACAAAGGGCGCTGGTTTATCCTTTTGTAGTGCCCAAGACGAAGTTGAATTATACACATTTTTCTGTCGCGTCGTTGTGAACCGCTTTAGGCGGCCATGTCTCAATACCACGACATCTATCTCTGAGTTTCAGATGCGAATGCTGGTAGCCTTGTCAGGATGATCTCCCGTACGCTGCAAGAAGCATTCTGCATGTCTTGGAGAATGAGGACGCAAGTTTCATTCACACGCAAACTCGTGGTTTCATGACAACCCCCCTGGCATGCTACAGACGCCTCGACCGAACAACGGAGCGCGGACAAAAACTACGAAATAAAAGGCCCGAAGAGCTTTTCAGGTCGACAGCGCCACTTCTCTCTCGGCCAGCAAGGTAGATCGTGGTAGACGTCTTGGGTGCGTGGTCGTAAGTAATGCCGCCGACATGGTAGGTGGAGGTGAAAATGGCCTCGAGGCGGGATTTCGCAATGTCCGAAAAGACGTACGCGAAAACATGACCTTAGCTGAAGGAGCGAAGCTAGGCTGGGATTTGTATTTCTTACTGTGTTACTGCAGACTTGCACCGGGTGACGAGATGGGCTCTCGCTACGAGCATGGTTGTGCAGAGGTGTTCGGAGACGGGCGTACTCCGCGGAGTTTTCACACAGTCTCCCGAGAAGAAATACCAAGGTAGGCAATAATGTGTCAGGCGGCTGAATGGCTTGTCTCTTTCACGTCGGTACCTATTTTGGAGGAGGCGTTGGGTAGTTGTTGCGGCAGCTGCAGTCGGGTTGGCGCGCTCGCAGATTCAAAGGGAGGGGAGGAGGAGGGGGTGGTGTGGTTGGAGGGGGCTTGGCTCGAAGGCTTATTTATAGGGCTTGTAGGGCAGTCGTGGGGGCCAAGAGCGGTGCCGCAGCGGGAGGCTGGCGGATGCTGGCACTATCAGGTACGCGACTTTTAAAATGGGGAAGCGACCGGTGCTATGCACATAAACGCTGAAAATAGCCAGAGATGGACAAGTTAGTAATGAAGAGAATAATTTGAGAAGCAGTGCATCGCCTCTTTGTGCTCGGCGATGACCTATTTTCAACAATGTACAGCCACAGTGCACCTGCTCGTTGGGCTTATTGCTGTTACATTGGCGCCAGATGCAACGGCCCACACCACACACCACATGCGCTTCATCCTGCACGGGGCGTAGGTAGGAAAGAGAGGTACGTCAGTAAAGGTCCTCAGGAGATTTACCTCCTTTTGTCACCATCAGCAACTTGACATCTCCTCCTTCGTCGCGACCGGCTCCTTTCCGCTAACGTCACACCATCAGAGACGGAATCTCGCCTACCCATCCGTCGATGGGACCCACAGCTCGTCTGCCTCCATCCACCAGCGAAAAAACATTCATCTTGGGGAGATCCCTTGACGGCGTCGAGACTCGCCCCCGACGAGACCAACCCCACCCTCAAACTACCGGAGAAGGGAGGCTGCGCTTGTTGGACGCACCACACCCAGAGTTGAGCGCCAGCTCGGCAAATCTGGTTGGCTCCGCCGCGACGGATGCTCACGCCACTGCCATCGGCCGCCTCTCCCCTCCATCCCGCGGCCGCCCCCCTCCTCTCAAGGCCTGTGTACGAGGGGTTCTCTTCCTCTTGACGACGCACTAGCCCCCCCCCCCGAGGAGAGCAGATCCTACTTCATTCATCAACCCAGCTCTCCATTTACTCGAATGCAGCACCTCACTCACGAACTCTGCAGCATCACCTGTGTATAATAGCACCCGGCCGCCCGCCGTTCAAACCCGTTTCTGAGCCATCACCACCCACCCTCCTCACGTTTCCGTCTACTTATCCTAATCTTCACTCTTCATTATGCCTGGCGTACCTACTTTTCGTGGCTGCGACGCTTGTTACAAGCAAAAGAAAAAGGTAGGCTGCACTCCCATGCACCTAATTAATGGAAGCCTCAGCAACTAACACGGCCAAGTGTGATCAAGCGACACCAAAGTGCGCCAGATGTGCCCGCCTCCAGATTCCTTGCCAAGGAGTAGGACAACTCAGATACAAGTTCAAGGAACAAAGTTTCGCCTTTGTTCCCGCCAAGACGCCCCGGTCCAAGAAACTTCCCCCAAGGCCAAGGTTGCTGTCACCCCCAGCCTCACCCAACAACCAAATCACCAGACTATCGGGTCGTTTCGTCTCTGCCCTGCAGATTGATGACCCCCAGTTTGACTTGAAGTGTTTCGGAGACTGGTTCGCTCGCATCCCTGCTCGGATGGGCACCTGTGAGCTTCTAGACTATGCCACGGAGGGGTTTCTCGCTGCCCATGATGATCTGCGCAGCGGTCAAAAATCTCGAAGGACGATTGAGAAATGCGGCAAGGTCCTCAATTTACTCCACAATGCTCTCAAAGACTCACGACAATTAAAATCTCCGTACACACTGTGTGCCATCTTTATGCTCATGATTGCTGAAGTTAGTGCTCCTTCAACTGGTGGTGTGCTTCCCTAAACCTCTAACATATTGGGTAGATGTGGGTGTCCGAGTCGGCACAAAGTTACATGAGCCACATGCAAGGCATCTGCACTTTGCTACACCATACCATTGACGAGCCATGGCACGATTCCTTTGGTCAAGACCTGCGCTACCACCTCATAGTACCTGCTGTATGCTCTCCCCCCCCTGCCCCTCCACGTTGCTCCTGCTAACGTGCCAAAAGTGCATCGAAGCTATTATAAATCCCAACATCCCCCAAATTGATTTACGATATCTCCATATTCTAAACACGCGTCTCGGGTGCTACCGACCGTTGGATAAGGAAGAGGGCCAGGCGATCGAGAGTCTAGACTTGCCATATCTGATGCGCTTCTCGTGTTTCACCCGCCAGCCAGAGCTGCACGAAAAGGAGATGGTCAGGGAATACAAGCGGATGCAGATTGAGTGTCCGTTTGTGCGCCGGCGGCTGATGGATCTCACCAACATGGCCAAAGCGACGAGGAAGACAAACACCGCTCTCGTCAGGGCACAGATACAGATGGGCGTGGCCTACACAATGATACTAAGCTTTACGCTTATGATCAATGCCTTCATCTCAGCCATGGACCCGACAAGCAAAAGGCTTCAAGAAGAGGCCTTGCTCTATGCGCGGGAAGCCATCTGGATTACACGCATATTGAGCAAACAGCTGCCTGTTGGGGCTGGCTTTATGCCCGCAGCATTATTCGCGGCATGGGTCGCCACAGACGACGACGAGGTTATTGAAGGCATTGAATCGACCATTAAGCAGCATAAAAGCTACTGGGCGGAGCCGCAGTATGTGGAGCACTTCACGACGTTGAAGAAGCGTGTCGGCATTATACGCAACAGAAGGCTGGTAGAGCTTCGCGCTGGTGGGCTGCGAGGTATGGACGTAACGGCTTTTACAACGGCGAACGGCCCGGAATACAATCCATGGGGCCGGGACGCGCCATTCGTAGACACGATGTCGCTACACAACGGCAACCCTCGGATGATGATCTCGGGGGCGAGCTGTGTGCCGGAACCGGAATCGGGGGCCCTTTACAATTGGGACTTCAACTTCGCTGCCCTTGCTTTTAATCATGTATAAGAAAAGATATAGTCTGCTTGGACAGTCCATGTACACACGTCACATACGCCACGACCTTAGCAATTATATTGAGAGCCGTTGCGAAATTGTTAGATCCCCTGGTACGATGTAGGGCGGCAGCTCCCCGTTCCTGTGGCTCCCGGCAGTTATCACGGAAGAGGTAAGCCTCCCCCGCGTTTCGCCGTGGTCCCGGCCGAGTGTAGGGCGGAACAGACGGGAAGGAGTGGCAAAAAAGACAGCGATGCATGAAGCCGCAACGTAAGAAGCGGTCGCCGCCCTGAGCTTGGCGCGCGGGTTGCGGCAGACGACAAAATACAAGGAGGCGCAGGACATTCGCGGGAGAGGGTCCCTTTGTTGACACTGCCCGCTATGCAACCGCCTTCGACCACAAAGGGGGAGGCACAGCTTGATTGGCAGGCGGCGCATCGCGAACCTTTCGGGAAGTGTCCTGCATGGGGATATGTAGCCGATTGTAACGTATCATGAATGGGATCTCAAAAAGCAAGGCCAAGGGCAGTCGTGAGATGAATCCGACTGGAAGAGATGGAATCTTGCCATGGACGTATTTCTTAACGGGCAGGCTGATTGGACGGATTAGGCGAGAGGGATTTGGATGAGGTTGCGTCGGCTTACGATTTACCGTGGGGGTAGGGGGGGGTGGCAGCCTGAGCTGAGACGAGGCTGGCCACTTGTAGTGATATTGTCCGAATGTTTACTCGCTACGGGCATATCTGCACTGCCTTGGACAATTTGTCATAGCCACTGGAAGTGGCGCTTGCTAATTTTTACAAAAAATTCTAAAGCTCAATGAACTGCCGGCAGTTGGGCCGGCCAACCCAATCAACATCTGATGGTAGATTATTCTACCTTATTGGCCACCTGCCAACACCATACCAGCCAACACCTCATACTACTATGGACCAACACCTGAGACCACCACCAATGCGACAAAGTGCTGCTCCAGCCCGCCTGCCTACCACCACCCAACACCACAAGCGCCTCACACAGGATGCCCGCCAAACTTTGCGACGGCTGCGCCCAGGTCCGCGGCGACAAGACCGACGAGCAGCTCATCAAGGGCATGAAGAAGCTGTGGTGCCAGGGCTGCCTGGCGCCGCACACCTCGATGCACTTCTCGCTGCTGCAGTGTCCAGAGCGCATGGACAGGCCGCACCTGCATCGGCCGCGAGGGCTACTGTACGTCAAGCTGGGCTCGCACTGCAGCGCCAGCTGGACGCAGGTGTGCCGAATGGCCCGCCACACCAGCCACGGCCTACCGGATCAACATCCGGACCTTTGCGGCACATCCCGTTCGCCGCGCCGGCGGGGGGCGGGAAGGAAGCCCCCCCCCCCCGGGGCTCCGCGGTGCTCACGGCGGTGCTCAAGGCCGCGCAGTTCCCCCGGGGCGGCTATTTGTTCAGCCCGGCGCGGCGCTTCGCCGACTGCCGGGCGGTGAAGGTGTTTGACCCGCGACACTGCGACTGCCTCGACTGGAAGGGGGCTGCCGTGTCGTGGTGCGACAAGGCTGGCTGTGCGGTCAAGGAGAGGAATAGGTCGGGTAAGTCGCTAGCGCACGTCGAGGGCTACAAGCACTATAAAAACAGTGGGCAGTGAGAGAGAGAGAGAGGCGGCGGGAGGCTGAGTATGGGGGGTTTGGGAGGGTTGTTTCTATCTTTCGTATCTTCTTTATCTTCTTTATCTTTCTCATCTATCTTTCTTATTTTTCTTGTCCTTCTTATTTTTCTTGTCCTTCTTATTTTTCTTGTCCTTTTTATTTTTTTTCTTCTCACCTCCATCTTTCATTCCTACCCTACATCTGTTTATAGGTATTGACTACTGTGTGTGTATAGGTAGTACGTATCTAGGTACGAATTTTGAAAGCGACCTTGGATTTTCCGAAAATGTCATAACAGCGCATATAAATCAGACGAAGAAGGAAAAAAAAGGGAGGAAAAAACACCAAAAAGGGACAAGCAGGCAGTGGTTAAAGAACTGCTAAAAATTAAGCGAAATTGTTTTGGTCAATACACGGATACAGATTTCTTGATAAAAATACTGAGGCCTTCTCCAACAACCCCATCTCATCAATCCCATGGTTCGACTTCCTCAGCATTCAAGCTTGAAATAGACCGTGTGCTACGCGGCCCGTCGTATACCTGCTCGGATTCTGACCCCAGCTGCTCCATCACGAGTCGTCATGACGCACCGCCCCCCTTTTCCGAGCCCTTTTTAATCTGTGCCTGTGTGAAACTGTCAGGGGTCCGTCCGTCCCATGCTCGGTTCAAAGAGGGAAGATGCGCCCAGCCTTACCGTGTGGGCCGACGCAGAATGGGCTTTCCTCCAATACCGGCGTGGGAACAAGGTCTTGGCGGTTCCGTTTTGTTTGAATGCGGTATTTGCATAGCTTGCGCAATGCCGAGAGGGTCTTGAGAATACGGGATACTTGCCTTTCTAGCTGTTGGCTTAGACGGGCAAGTTGTCTACTTTGACAACGATTTTGACAACACAACTTCCAAGTCAGCACAACTTCCAAGTCAGACAAGAACTGGAAATATATTACCAAAGAAGACTGGACTAAAAATAAAGTTTACCTGGTCTCTTCGCTAGCGTCCAAATATCTGCCACACGCTTCCTTCTTGGCCATTTCTGGAAATGACCCCTGGGCGGTTAGATGTCGGCGGGCCTTTGTTCCGCCCTGTGGGCCAACCGACTTGGCGACTCGAGCAAACTGATTATGGTCAAGAAACGCAGCCCAAGAGATGTACTCTCATATGCGACGAAAGCGACGATTGCGTGTCCGGTCTCCAGCATGCTCAACTCTGGGGGGGAGGTGGGGGCTAGGGTGTTTGATGAAGCCTGCGGTTGTTGCTGCAGCGGCAATGCCACCACCGGCAAGCGCCGCGTTGGCCGGAGATGTATTTTTAGCATGAAAGGGGGAGGGAGGGATCAAGTAATTGTCAACATCGTTTTGATAATTCGCTCTTTGTTATAAGAGAACTTTGATAAGTTGTCTATGAAATACTTGAATCACTACACTCCTCTCCCCCCCCTTCTCCTTGCTAGGCAACAATTCAACCAACAGCCCCCCGATGCTCTGCTGCTTATACCATGACGTCCGAGTCTTTTCCCGACTACACCCGCCTGCTGGCGACGGCCGGCCTCACCATCACCCACTACATCGTCGGCTCCGTCCTCTTCGACCTCGTCCACTGGCAAGCGCACCAGAAGTCGCGCAGCCCCCTCGTCCGCTGGCTCTCCCGCACGCACGCCGCCCACCACCAGTACTTTGACCGCCGCCTGCGCTTCCAGCCGCGCTTCCGCGCCGCCAACCTCGCCTCCCACATGCCCCTCGAGTTCGCCTGCCAGGCGCTCGGCAGCACCGCCAGCTGGCTGCTCCTCCGCCGCCTCTACCCGGCCGCCGCCGCCTACGACCTGCTCATCGTCATGGTCGTGCAGGTCATCCGGACGAGCGTGGTGGCCTGGAACATGGGCCACGACTCGAACCACATCCCGTACGAGGTGGTACCCAAGGATAGGAACCACATGATTGTCGGGCCAGAGTACCATGTGCTGCACCATATTGATCCGCAAAACTACTTTGGCTCCATGGTGCGCGTGGTTGACGTGCTCTTTGGCACCGCGACGACGCTCCGAGGGCGCCGCGTGGCGATGACGGGCTCGCAGGGCGCGCTGGGCAAGGCGCTGACGGAGGTGCTCCGGAAGCAGGAGCGCGTCGCCTCCGTGACCCCCCTCCGGCACGGCATCGAGTGGACCCCCGACGACCTCGGCAAGCTCGCACCGCTCCTCGCGGAGACGGACGTGCTGGTGCTGTGCCACGGGACCAAGGACGCGGCCTCCGCGCACGCGGTCAACTGCGCGGCCACGGTGGCCATCGTCGAGCTGTTCAGGCGCGTGCGGACGCGTGCCGGCGCGGAGCTCATCCCGGAGGTGTGGTACGTGGGCAGCGAGGCGGAGCTGCACGGCGCGATGCCGGGCGACGGCGAGGCCATGAAGGCGTACGCGGCGTCGAAGCGCGCCTTCGTGCCGTTCGCGCGCGCGTATTACGATGATGAGGATTTCTTGTACAGGCACGTGGTGCCGGCGGCGTTTCAGTCAAAGATGGGCTCGGCGGTGGTCGGCGCGGACTGGGCGGCCCGGGTCGCGGTGTGGTGGATCCGGAGGGGAGCGCAGTACGTGCCGGTGACGTACACGGGGCTCGCCTTTGTAAACTACTTTCGTTTCATGTACTGGGTCGCGGCGACGCCGGCCGGCTCTCCGAAGACGCACAAGTTGACCCAGTGAGCGAGCTGAGGGTGTGTCTTTGTTCATTATTCCTATTCGTCCATAGCGTTTGGCGGCGTTGCGTGTCCTTTTTCTTCTGTACAAAATAGACACAACGAATTGATGGCTTCTCTTTTTGACCTTTAACTAGAAGCCCGGAGTTCATGCTCAATGGCCGAGTACATATCAAACACTGCAAAGCTTAGCGTCGCTTACCACGGGGCCTGACACGAGTCAAGGCTGAATTCCGAGCTATGATCGGCAAGGAGGTCTACGCCGTTGAGATCGCCGAAGACAAAACATACTTCTGCGCCGACGAATGCATCCACCAGAACATCTACTTTTCCCACTCCCGCGGCATTTGTCGCTAGTCCGAGATGGTCCGCCCCGTTGACGACAACGACAAGGTGAACCTCGAGTTTCCATTTGCCTGCGCCGGCGAGCGGCCGATTAAGGGCTTTCACATGCGCCTTATCGAAGAGAGTGAAAAGAAGGACTTTTACCCGTGCGACGTCCAAGACGGCAAGGGTTTGAAGGTGGACAAGAACGGCTTCAAAAACTACGCATGCCTCGCCGACAAATAGTTGGGCCCCGCACAATGCGGGCCGCCGAAGCTCGAGGAGGACTTGACCTGGGAGGAGATCAAGGCGCTGGTCGACGCGTCTCCCGTGCTGACGGATCTGCTCGCGGCCACTCCCCCCGAACCCGCTAGCAAGTGTGTGCCGCCGCCCGTTGCCACCTCGAAGCCGGGGACCGACGTCGACGCGAACAAGCCGGCCAACGACGGCTCGGACGGGCTGGAGGAAGACGGTGACTCAGATGAGCCGGAGAAGGACGTTGACTCGGAAGAGCCGACCGATGGCGACTCGGAGGAGCCGGTTAATCCGAGCTTCGTCTTTCCGGGGCCAACCAACGGAGAGTAAGGCTGATGTAGGATATATCGTCTTTCGGGAGGACCAAAGATGACGAAGTCTGAGTGCGTACGCTTGAGTGAAGGGCCAACGCTGCATGCCATGTAGAGTCGATTGACCGGTGCAGACCGAATGCAATGCAATACACATACAGGGCCACCTACAATTTTAGAATATACTGAAGAATTGTCAGCTTTCCTCTACTTCTGACTGTAAATAGGCCAATGGCACTATTGCATCAGGCAATTCCAGTACCGTTAAGTCGATACGTAGAGCGTTAGTTCAGACGAATAGATCATCAGGGAAGAAGCTCGTAGCCATCTCAAAATAGTGTAATGCGGACACTCGGTACTTGCATCTGGATGCCTCCTTCATAACTTCCCTTTGCTATCATAATAATGCCCTGGGTTCCTCGTTTAGCTGCTTGCGTCTTGTCTGTAATGCCCTGGCCGCAGCATTGCGCCACTGGATTCTGCCTTGTCAGTCCCCTCTCTCCCCCATCCCGGCCCGCTCGCGCTTCTAATTATACTCTTCACAAGTTGATAGTAGTTCCGCTTGTTCCCGCTTCTTGGCCATGCAATGTCTTGACCACTATACTTGCTGGGTGTATGCGCCCAAAGAGCCAAAAGTTTACCAGCGCAATGCTCATGCTAAAGCTTTATCAGCAGACATTTCACGCCATTTGTATCGATGCGCTAAAGAGGATGAAACATCTCGTTTCTCCTCTTATATATGCAAAGTTGTTTGATCGCCCGTTTTTGAGTCATTGGTGAAGATCAGGTCAAGCTACCCAACTACACGTGCTCTTGGCCCTGCTATTCAGCGACAGGTTCTCTTAACCTATTCCGCGACACGCTCTGTTGGCTCCCTCGCTCATGTATTTACGTATATAAAGTCCCGAGAATCACGTAGACATCTAAGTACTTCACCAGCTTCTTCACCAACTAGATAGCGGACAACAAGCTTTCCTTCTACACACGTCCCACTGTATACTTCTTCTCAACTCGCTTCACACCTCCCAATTCCACCACCACCATGCTCCCCAGAGTATCTGTCCTGCTCGGCGCCGCCGTCGCCGTCCGCGCCGCCAACCACGGCAGCAACATCGCCGGCGCCAAGGTCAACGCGACCTCCTTCGCCTGCGGCGACGACTGCGCCCACGACGGCGTCTACTTCTCCGCGACCGGAAGCTTCTGCTCCCTCTCCGAAGTCGTCGTTGAGAAGGCCGCCGGCGACCAGGAGCCGCGACTCGTCTGCGAGTCCAAGTCGTCGAGCGGCGTCACGAGTCAGCCCCTCGCCGCCAGCGGAGAGACGGCGCCGGTCTGCGACGTCTGGGAGAACAACAAGGACAAGGTTAACTTGTGCATTTACTCCAGAGACATCAACGTCAACCCGACGAAGATTGTAGAGTTCGCGGAGATTCAGCGCGAGCTCGGGACCAAGTCGGCTGGCCAGAAGAGCGAGTCGGATCCGAACGCCCCCGACGCTGGCCTTCCCAGTGGTGATGATGGCAACGGCAGTGGTCCCGACGGTGATCTCGACGGCGGTCAAGAGTTTGAACCTGCCCCGGAAGAGCCTAGCCAACCTAGTCAGCCCGATGGTCCCGGTGGTCCCGATGGTCCCGGCGGCCCCGGCGGCCCCGGCGGCCCCGAAGGTCCAGGGGGTCCCAGTGACGGCGGTTGTGATAAAGGTCCCGGCGGTCCCGGTGGTCCCGGTGGTCCCGGTGGTCCCAGTGGTCCCGATGGTCCCGGTAGTCCCAGTGGTCCTGGCGGTCCCGGCGGTCCCGGTGGTCCCAGTGGTCCCGGTGGTCCCGGCGGTCCCGGTGGTCCCGGTGGTCCCAGCGGTCCGGGTGGTCCGGGTGGTCCGGGTGGTCCGGGTGGTCCCGGTGGTCCGGATGGTCCCGGCGGTGGTCTCAACAGTGGCCAAGAGTTTGAATCTGGTTCCGAGGGTCTCAATGGTCTGGGAGGCATTTTCCGCAGATGGCGAGGTCGTTTCTACGGAGCATAAACATTCACTCGATTAGTACGACAAGAACGGTGCAGCCGACGTCGAGAGCTGCTAGCAGATGTCGAAACACTGTGCCATGAACAGGGAGCTTGATGTGTGCTCGTTGGATTTATGAGCTGGACACGCCCAAGTATCACTTCCTCTACTTGTGATGCAACAGGGTGCAATAGCTATTTCTGTGTATTTCTGGCGAGTGCGTATATAGGAAATCAAGCGACTTTTCATGACGAATCAATGATGGGTCTCATCGGGGCCGCCTTTGTCCGTGAGTTGCGTAGGAGTCTTTAATTTCGAGGAAAATAAAGGTTTCGAGTCGTACGGTTTTTCAAGCTGATACGGATATGTTATTCAGAATCTTAGTGCGTAGCAGATAATACAGTGATGGACTAAGAAGGAGCCATTGCCAAGGATGACATGTTGCTGTCAAACAGCTTACATATGGATAAAACAAATGCGGGATAAGTGAAAAAAAAAACATCTTTTGATGATACAATAGAATTAGAATCAATGTAAAGAAAATACCCATGGTCGCGACAAAACCGTCCAGCGCATACACCACCTATACCACCTGCTTCTCTAGCGCTCTGCAGACGCCCTTGAGCGCTGTAACGACTCCACGCCGCCAACTTGACGCGCCAGAGGCACTCAGCTTCCTTCTTCGACCCCACCATCATCATCCACTATCCTGGGTCAACGTGAATTCTGCCTACACATCTTGTTGCCATACCAGCGCCAATCATCGGTCGGGACATTGCTCCAAGACCAAGCTTTCGCTGGCGGCCTTCATACCGTAATGGCAGTGCTCAATTTCACCCTCAGCGAAGAGGGCGTCTCGGGCTTTCGAGATGCCCTCATCTGCCTCAACAAGTTTAGCGACGATGTGTCCCTCGAGGCACGCAAGGAGTCTGTGAGTCTGCTGGCTACGCAGCATCACAGTTCTATCAAGAATTCAAGCTGACTCTCCGCCACCAGTTTACCCTGAGCACGCTCAACAGCTCCAAGTCGGCCTATGCGAGCTTCAAGTTTGCCACCAACCGCTTCTTCTCACGCTACAACTACCAAGGCACCGGCCAGTCCAGGGAGCGCTTCCACTGCAACATGTACATTCGGGCAAGTTCACTCCGGCCTCGCGAAGCCCCCTCCCCTTTTTTACCCGTGCTTCCTCCCCGCGCGGCTCTTGCTGACCTGAAATCGCTCCGCAGTCGCTCACCTCGCTATTCCGCAGCCGCTCGGCTGCCGACAGCCAAAGGGACCGCGACGCTGAGAGGCAGACCCTGATTGATCGCTGCGACGTCGCCATCGAGGACGGCCAGGGCGTCAAGAGCCGCTTCATCGCGCGCATCGTCTTCCGGACGGGCCTCACGTCCACCCACCGCCTCCCCTTTGAGACGGGCGTCCCGGTGCACGCCAAGTTTAGCAAACATGACGCGCCGCACCACTGGTCCATCTCCTCCCGCACCCTACGACAGCTCATGGACCATTTTGGTCCAGGAATTGACTACCTGGACATCAATACTCATGGTGATCATGTAAATTTTACGTGTTTCAGTGAAAAGACAGTGAGCGAAGACGGTACGAGATCTGCTCCTTGTTCTTTGCAGCCTACGACTAACCAATACCCAGCCGTCCTGAAAAAGCCCCTCCAGACCTCGGTTGCAGTCGAAGCAGATGAATTTGACGATATCGAAGTCGAGGATAAGCTCCACATTGTCATCTCGGTTAAGGACTTCCGTGCCATTATCCATCACGCCGGTATTAGCGGTTCTGCCCTCTCCGCTCGATACTCCCTCCCTGCCCGCCCGATCCAGTTTTCCTATGCTGCTGATGCGCTATCCTGTGAATTTCTCATAATGACAGTCGGAGAGCGAGGAAGCAACCCTGCCCAGAAGACGAAAAAGGGACGCAAATCCGCCCCGGCAGCCAATGCACCGCGCCTCGACGCCGGGTCTCGTAAGACGAGCGTCGCGCCGTCCGAAGCACCAGCACCACCCCCAGAAACGACACAGCCGCCGACACAGGCCTCGGCAAGGATACCGCCGCCATCTAGTGTCCGGCCTGTTGGCACTATTAGAGCCAGTGTCTCGCGCATGTCCGCCTTTGACCTCCGTCCTTCGCAAAAGCCGCCGCCGCCGACCTTGCGCTCCGAGAGCCTGTTTGTCGACGACGAGGGCTGGGAGCCGGTCAGGGATGAAGACGAGGATGCAGAAGAGAATGCACAGCTTGGGTGGGATCATAGTGCTGACCCCGACCCAATCTCGGTGAGTTGCAGAATGCGGCTAGGCATCACTCAAAGGCTGACTCGTAGACAGACGCATTCATTTATGCACACGAGCAGGCCAGAGCCGGCTCCTCCTGCAGCCGACGATGACCAGGCCGATCCTCCCGCAGAAACTTCTACTGTTCTTGAACCTACTCAGAAGCTGTCCGACGTACAAAACCTTGCTCTATTCCCCGACTGAGAAGGTCGTAGCGCGTGCGGATGTGCAGACGCCCTCACCGCGGCGTTATGCAGACCCAGCTGGTTGCGCAGCCAGCACCGATACTTGCTATTTGCGAGTCTGATGGGATATATTTGGACGAGGCAATGACATTCCAGCGGCCCTTTACATCATTATTCTCAACTTGCGGTCCGCAGTTGCCGTGCTCGCCCCAGCCCCAGGAGAGGACGTCGCCGCCCTCCGCATACGCAACCACGTGCTCACTGCCGATCGCGATTTTAGTGAGCTTGGGCAGGTTGGCCGGTGGCAGCTGGCCGTGGTCGTCGCGGCCCCAACCGAGAAGAGTGCCGTCGGTGCCGAGAATGTATATATTTCCCCAGCTAGCTCCCACGTCGGCCCAGGGCGGCACCTGCGCCGGCTTGCCCGAAGACAAGTTCCACTTGTCGAGGCCGAGCACGGCGAGGTTGCCGCTGCCGGGCTCGCCGAAGAATGCAGTCAATTCCTTTGCGCACACAGCGCGGGTGGCCTTGAACCCCAGACCCTCGACCTTTCGCGGTGAATAGATGACCTGCTCAGGCGCGCCGGCCTGTCCCTTGCGGCAGTTGCCCCAGCCGTAGGCGTCGCCGTTGCTCAGCACCACGACGACGTGGCCCATCCCGGCAGACATGTCCACAATTGAAGCGCCCGCCGGGGGGAAGTCCTTGAACCTCGTCGCCGACGGTGTCCGCACCATCAGCTCCCCCTGGCCCAGCTCCCCCTTCGCGCCGACCCCGAGGCTGTAGAGCTTCGTGTTCCTGCCCTGCGCATCCCTCGCCACGACGAACGAGGCCTCCCACGTGCACGCGATCAGGGAGACACTGACAATCTCTTCGCTCCCGTCCCGCACCAAGCGCAGCTCCTGGAATGCGGGCACATCGGTGACCGGCCCGAGGCCGCACGCCCCCGTCGCCGGGTCGCCGCTCCAGTAGACCCGGCCGGCCGCGCTGAGCAGCAGGGTGTGGTTGCCGCCGGCGGCCACCTTGACGATGGGCGGCGCGTCGGGCTGCGTAGGGTGGAAGTGCGCGGGCTTCGGGACAGACACATCCTCGCGGTGGCCAATCCCGAGCTGTCCGGAGCCGTTAGAGCCCAAGGCGAAGAGTGCGTTCATTTTAATGTGCCCGGCCCGCCTGATAATTCGTTGTTTTGGAGCTTCAACTGACAAGGGTTCCCTCTCCCGCCGGCCCCATTGAAGCTACAAGAGTCAGGGCCTGGCTACCTAAGAACATTGCTGAGGTAATCAAGTGCCCCACGCTAGCACTTTTCTTCCCTCGTCTCGATTTTTTTTCCTTCCTCTCAACATTCTCCATCACCCTTCATTCACCTTGCAAGCAAAAAGAAAGGTCCTTTTTCTTTTTGCCCAGGGGCTGAACTTTTTTACTCTGCAGCTGGTCTGCAGTGCGGGAATGTGATACATTCTACTCTTTGATTACCTTTCGCACCTTCTGCGTCTCGCCTCAACACACCTCAGAACTGGCTATGGCTGCGCCGCGAGACGTCCCTCCGGGGATGGAAAACTTTGTCGTCGGCTTGATTGGCATGGGCGACATGGGACGAATGTACGCCGAGAGGTTGTCTGAAGCTGGCTGGAGGTGAGTCTTCGCTCCGTGACAATTGTGTAGCTTCTGCTCGCATCACGTTCCATTATGGTAAGCATTTTCCTTTTTTTACCTACCAGTCTCACCACATCTCCCCCACGCCAGTGATCTTTTTTTCAATGATGACTAGAGCGCATTTGGCTCGAGTATTGTCCGGGAAGAGCCCTAGCACCGTTCCGGTGAGAGGGAAGGACTTGGCAGTCACTGATGTAAACGCTAGCTACCTTATTATAACTACTGTCTGATGAAAAAAGAACACCTGGCGTGGTTGCCTTCGCCGGCAGCCGCTCCCCCCCCCCCTCTTACGAAGAGGCAACTCGCTAACCATGCGACAGATATTTCCCGTAAACCGCACAAATGATACCCCTCATGACTTCCCGTCCGGGCGCACAAATGCCAGTAGCATGCTTCGGCTGACCACCACTGCTCGCGTATTATAGAATCATGGCATGCGACAGAGAAGATAGATATGATAGCCTGAAAGAAAAATATTCCGCCAATGTACGAACCTCCATCTCGTGTATTCTTGCTGCTTGTTTTCTTGCGCCCCTTTCGCGTTGTTCTGGATGCTGAAGAGGTCCTTGCGTGTATAGAAGAACATTGAAATCTGCCGCAACGGGCATCTCGTCTCTCGCGCGAGCGACTACATCATCTACAGCGTCGAAGCTGCCGTAATCGACAGCGTCATTGCCAGCTACGGACCCTGTACGTCTCCAGCCCCCCTCCCTCGCTTCCCTCTCTCTTCCACATCTAACACGAAGCGCCAGCCACCAAAATGGGCGCCATCGTCGGCGGCCAGACCTCGTGCAAGTCGCCCGAGATCGCCGCCTTCGAGCGCCACCTCCCCGCCGACGTGGACATCGTCTCGTGCCACTCGCTGCACGGTCCCGGCGTGGACCCCACGAACCAGCCGCTCGTGCTCATCCAGCACCGCGCGCCCGACGCCTCCCTGCGCAAGGTCGAGGCCGTCCTCGGTTGCCTGCGCTCCAAGTTCGTGCACCTCTCCGCGCACGAGCACGACCGTATCACCGCCGACACGCAGGCCGTCACCCACGCCGCCTTCCTCTCCATGGGCAAGGCCTGGCACGCCAACCGCCAGTTCCCCTGGACCATGAGCCGCTACGTCGGCGGCATCGAGAACGTAAAGGTTAACCTGATGCTCCGCATCTACAGCCAAAAGTGGCACGTCTACGCGGGGCTCGCCATCCTCAACCCCGAGGCCCGCGAGCAGGTCGCGCAGTACGCCCGCAGCGTCACGGATCTCTACAAGCTCATGCTCATCGGCGACCTGGAAGGCTTGCGGACGCGCCTCTACGCGGCGCGTGACAAGGTCTTTGGCACGGCAGCCTGGGGCGGCGACGAGCATGGCAAGCTGCTCATCGAGCCGTCGGTGCTGTCGAGTTTCGCGCTCGGCCAGCCGTCCGACGACGATCCGGCGACGCGTCGCGCAAACAACCACCTGTCGCTACTCGCCATGGTCGACTGCTGGGCGGAGCTGGGAATTGTGCCGTACGACCACATGCTGTGTAGCACGCCGCTGTTCCGTTTGCGACTCGGTGTCACCGAGTACCTCTTCCGCACCCCGGCCCTACTCGATGCCGCGCTCGTCACCGCCGTTGAGGACCAGACGTACCGCAGCGATGACCTCGAGTTCACCTTTGCCGCGCGCGCCTGGGCAGAGTGCGTTAGCCTTGGCCACTTCGAGACTTGGCGCAAGCGTTTCGAGAGCACCCAAGAGTTCTTTGAGCCGCGCTTCGCCGAGGCCAAGGTTGTCGGCGACCAGATGATGAAGAAGGTGTTTGAGAGCAGCAGCAAGCCGTAAGAGAAGCGGGCCTCATGATAGTCTGTAATGAGTTTAATGAGATGTGAAAGGCAAAAGCCTAATCAAGTGGATGTGACGTCGTTTACTGTATTGCCATATGGTTATAATGTGCTATGTATACAAAACTCGGACAAGAGGTGTGGGTCACCTGGCGTTTATTCCCGCGAGGATGGCTCTAGGCTGCCGTGATCATGTCGGAAATGCCGCGCTCGAAGCCACTGCCCGCACCGAGTCTCAGGTTTGTGGTGTAGCTCGACTCCGTGTCACCGCGTGTGTGTACGGCGAGCGTTGGTCGTCTAGTCTAATGTCAGTACTACGGCTCAGCTGCTTTCCAAGCATGAAGACAAACGTACACGGCGAAAATGGGTGAGCTCTCGCACTGAAACGTCGGCTCCGCCTCCACGCACACTGACGAGCTTTCTTTGGGCATCAGCCGCGAAATGTCCTCCAAGTTGTTACACGGAGGCGAGCGCGTCAGCGTCCCTGGGCACGGGGGTGGCTCAGTGACGGAGCAGGGCGCGTCGTGGACCGGGCTATCTTTGGCTATCGGTGGACGGCCACCGCAGGCAATCTGCCGTTCCAGAAGGTCCATGAGGCTGAGGCTCGAATTGAGCCACGAGAGGCGCGGCGAGCTGTCGGGTGTGGACTGGAGAAAATTATGTTAGCGGCTACTGCGACGGGAACAGAGGCGGGAAAAGACTAACATTGGGGACCGAACGTTGACCGATGGCTTTCACAAGGCGTGCGTCCGTCACTGGGCGCCCGGAAATGGCCTGAAAGCCGAAGCCGGTGGCGGCGGAGGGCGGGACGTGGTCCTTGGCGATGGCGTCGAGGCTGAGGTAGGCGCGGTCAACGCAGGTCGGCCGGCAGCGAGCGCAGACGCGGTAGAGGCATTCCTTGCGAGCGGTGCTGCCCTACAGCTTCCGGTACTCGTATGGATTGGGTAGGGGCTCTGTGAGGTCAAAGAGGCCGTCGTGGGCAAAGAGCGAGGTGCCGTTTTGGGTCATGCGGTCCCGTTGGATCATGGCTTGGACCTAATGGGAGTTTGCGTGAGTAAGGCTGTCTCTTTTATGGGAACTCCAGTATTTTCTGACCTTTTCTCTTTGCCGCAACAGCGTGGCAATTTGATCGGGGCGGTAACGTGCCATCTGTTCGTGGCTGATTTGGTCAAGAAAGCTAAACTTGTCGTGGCAGTCGGGGATACTGGTCCGTCGGGCATTTATCTCCGCAACCAGGGAGAGACCAACTTTATCAGAGCAGTTCTAGCGAGAGATAGTGTTAGAATTCATAGGAATTGTTTTAGTGGCGGTTGTGCTTACAAGATCTCCTTGGGCGAGGGCGTCGTCAATGATGCCCTCCTTGTCCTGGGTGCACTGGTATACCCAGCCGAAGCTCCCTGGTCGGTGGCAAGCGTTGCAGAGTTGTGTTGCCCCATATACGCGTGTCATTGTGATATGCGTGCACTGCGCTTCGAGACAAGCCGGTCGAGCCACGGACTTGATGGCTTTTCGTAGAGGCATCGTGTCGGGATGCGAGAGTTTGGTTCTAGGGAGGAGCTTGCAATAGAAGGAACCAAGCTTCAATCAGGAAGCGAGCTGGGAAAAGGCGAGAGGCGAAAAAGAAATAATTGCTGAATAATCTTTGTAGTAATGGAGAAGAAAAAAATGCAAGAGTAATTGTGATGTGGTAGGCGGGGAGCAACAGCAGCGCCTGTGGTGGCAGAAGCTATTTACACGAGGCTAGGCGAGAGAGAGAGCGTTGACTTGGGAAGTCCGGCCGGAATAATGGCGGTAACGGGTTTGTTATTGACGCTTTGGAGGAGGTTCTGACGCGTTCCCTAAAGAGGATTGACTTGCGAATCAAAGATGGAAGTAAACAACACGGGCGTTTGCCAGGTGGCAGGCGGCAGCTGCCAAGTCGTTGTATGGGAGGCAAAGAGAGAGTGTGTCTATGGGCAGCAGTGAGTTTATGCAAACGCTGTCGAAGGAAACGGCAAGCCGCGTGGATCATAGTAGTTACAGCTACATGGAAATAAAAGTAGGCATGTACACATGTGTTTGTGGTGCAAAGCTGTTGTCGTTGCATCTTGAGAGCGAGCTTGTTTCGTTTCCTTGCCGTTTTTGAGTTGGCCAACAACCCACTGTTAATTCGTACCAAGTCTGGAGTTGGGCAGGCCACGCCACCCGTTTGCAGTTTCGTCTGTCGGCAGCCGCAGTTCAAATACCTCGGTAAATACCCATGCAAGGCTATCACTTAACAGATCTGGGAACGATTTTTTTCCCTTTCCTTTTCCCCATTGCCCTTGATTGACTGCACGCACGGGCTACCGCCGATCAATTAACGCGCCAAACCAATGTCAACAAAGACCATTGTGGCTAGTGGTTGCCAGGGGCGCGAAAGAGCCTCGGAACGAGTAGCGCAAAGGGGTAGCAGCCAATGGAGAGCCTCCCTTTGGCCCACTACAGCTGCATTGACGGTGTCCCACCAAAAAGGCCTCCCCCGTCCAACCCCCGTCGCGACTCGCCGAGCTCCATGTCCAGCAATTGTGGCAGTAGCACTACGTTATTATAGAGGTACAGATAGGCGTCGAGTAGCAGCCTCAGGGTGTCTCCGCCGGATGCAGTGAGTGTCGTAGTGCAGTCTCGGTAATGCTGTTTGCTGCTGCTGCTCCTGCATGACAACTCCTTGTACCGTATTTTTTTTTAGTGGCGTCAAACCGGCTGGCTCGTCGCTGCCAAACTTACCTATCCTTCCCCCTCCCCCGGTCGTCATCTCCCAAAGCTCTCTCTTTTCCTAACAGGAATTATTTCCCACCATCGCGACCAATCCCGTTCAATCGCTCTTGGACGCCCTGTTCATCGCTGCATCTCGTCTGCTCTGTACGTCAGTCCTCAAGGCACTGCGCCCTTCCCCCCTTCGTCGTCGTCGCGGCTCTGCTTCTGGGCCTGGGGCACCAGCCTACCAGCGTACAGGGAGTGTCGCTCCACGCAACAAAACGCTCCGTCCCCGGTGCGTGGCTCATTGTAAACAAACCCAGTTGGGTCGCTACAGCACGCACAAGGCACCACCGCCGCGCCTCGCATTGAAGCCCAAGACCCAGCGACGACGACAACGAGAGGAGGGAAAAACAAGGGCGCGGGAAAAAAATATTGGTCCTGTGCATTTATCCATCTAACAATTCCAGCAGACGCCTATTTTTAGGCTCCCTCCGCCCGTTTTCCGGCCGATTTTGCAAAGAACCGCCACGCCCGAGAGACAGCGCTTTCCGCATTCCTCGCTGAACATCCACCCGCAACTCCCGTCTTTCCCACCCATCATCATGTCGGTCAAGTTCGAAAGGGACACATTCCAGCAGACGGCGCAAAGCGTCGCCGGCAGCGCGGCCAACGCGGCCAAGAGCGGCCAGATCCCCGGCACCAGCGGCAAGCACCCGCTCGCTGAGAAGCTCGGCACCGCTCTGACGGGCGGTATCGAGAATGCCGGAACCAAGGGCTACCTCGCTGTGCGTATCCTCTTCCCGCCTCGCTTCCCGCGGTTGTGCGTGCATCAAATGAATGCGCAGGCGATTTTGGCCTCTCTAACCATCCCGCAATGCAGGCCTACATCAAGCAGCTCGAGTCCAACCCCCTCCGCACCAAGATGCTCACCGCTGGTGGCCTTGCCGGTCTCCAGGAGCTTCTCGCCTCCTTCCTCGCCAAGGACCGCAACAAGCACGGCAACTACTTTACCTCGCGAGTACCCAAGATGGCTGCATACGGTGCCCTCGTCAGCGCTCCCCTTGGCCACGTCCTCATTTGGATGCTGCAGAAGGTCTTCCACAACCGCACCAGCCTCAAGGCTAAGATTCTGCAGATCATCGTCAGCAACCTGGTGGTATGTTGAGTCCCCGTTCGCTTAGTGTACAATCGCAGCTCCCTGAAAACTCACTAATCGCTTCCAGATTGCTCCCATTCAAAACAGCATCTACCTCGTCGCCATGGCTCTCATCGCTGGCGCCCGCACCTTCCATCAGGTTCGCGCCACCGTCAAGGTCGGCTTCTGGAAGGTCATGAAGGTCTCGTGGGTCGTCTCGCCCCTCTCCCTGGCCTTTGCCCAGCAGTTCCTGCCCAACCACCTCTGGGTGCCTTTCTTCAATGTCATTGGCTTCGTCATCGGCACATATGTCAACACCACCACCAAGAAGAAGCGTCTCGCCGCTCTCCGCAAGAAGCACTTCGGCGACGGCCGCAGCAACATGGGCCGCCCCGACGATTACCCTCCTCCCCCCGGTATGGGCGGCCCCATGGGTGGTCCCATGGGCCCCAACCCACCCTACTAAATATACCGCCTGGTTCAAGGAGGCAGCATTTGTCGTGGGTAAATCCTCGCTGTCTGCTAGCGAATTGTAAGAGACTCGATGATAGACGGCACACTGAGACGAGGGAGTTTCTGGAGCACAAGAGCAGCTCTCTGACGGACGGCGAAGAGCTGCTCCGGCTAGTTTCAAAGTGTATATGGAGAAGGGGCAGGGTTGACGAAATCACTGGTGTTTATTTGCGAGCATGGATGGACCTTGTATAAATCTCTTTGGTCGGATGTGCTGATTATTCTTGAATATTTACTGAATGCTAACTACTTATGACTGTGCGTTTGGCGAAATGCCGGGTATCTTGTATCTATGGTGTTTGTGTCTGTCATCGAGTAGTCCTTGCAAAATCACGATCCTTGTTGTATCTGTATATCAAACATGTCCTCAGCGAGCGATGTCATGGAATGATATCACTGTGCTTGACCAGTTGTCTGCACATGAGACCAGATATATCTTCTACGCTTCACCATTCAGTTGCCGCCGTCCATGCCTGCCATAAACGCCGGACTCCAGTATTGCCACTCGCCTCCCGTCTGCTTATCAACCCAGAGCATGCCCTGGCCGACCAGGTCGTCAATCACCGTCTCACACCGGGCGGGCTCCCAGCCCAGGTTGTCGCGCAGCATGCCGACGCTGACGTAGCCGAGGACCTGCGCGGCCTCCACGCAGGCGGCCTGGTCGCCGCCCAGCTCCCGCGGGACGCTGCGGACGTACTCGGTGTCCCCCACCGCAACGACCGCGTACCCGCCCCCGAGCGGCGCCAGCGTCGCCACCGCGCGACGCACGTCGTCCTCGGTCACGGCGCCACCGCCGCCGGCCACCTTCTCGCGGGACACGCGCTCGCGAACCTGCGCGAGCGACACGAGCCCGCCGTTCTCCGCGCGCGTGGCCCCGCAGACCTGCACGACGCGGACGGCGACGTCAAAGTAAAAGTCGTTGACCGTCTTGCCGAGGAGCTGGCCCCAGACGGAGGAGTTGGTGTTGGAGGAGGACGAGGACGAGGACGAGGCAAGGGGGTCGACACCGATGGCGGTGCACATGCGGGCGAATTGTGCGCGAAAGGACGGGTCGGAGCGGATGTCCTTGGCGTGCGTCTGGGCGAATTGCTGGAGGAGGGTGCGGAAGACGGAGAGCTGCGTCTCGAGCGCCTGGGCGTTGGTGGCGCGCAGGGAGGAGCCGTGGGAGGCGTAGTGCTTGGAGGTGAGGCGCGAGCGGTCGAGGGCGCCGATGCCCACGGCCTTGCGTGACATGGTGGACGGGCTGCTCGCGATGGGAGTTGGGGTGCGTGAGGATCACTTGATCAGGACGATGGAGGTTTTGGTGGTGTTGAGGGAGTGACGTGTTGGTGGTGGGGCTGGGACTGGGTGGCGGGGTATTGAGGCTACGCGAAGTAAAAGAAGGTTAAAACTTTTGTATTCTCTAGTTTTTCTTTAAGAAAAAATAAATAAAAAGAAAACAAATACGAAGTGTAGCCTTATTAGGAAACCGTGACAAACTGGACGGGACGGCAAGGGACTGACATAGCCGCGCGAGCTGTCGACAGCCACCACCAGCAGCGGGTGAAAAACGTCAGGAGAGAAGGCCGACCCGCCACAATATATTTAGATTTACAAAAAGGCTGCCGGAAAGCGGAGTACCCAGTCAGAAGGAGGTGTGGGTGAAAGGCAGAATGTGAAAGAAGAGAAACGAAAAGAAAGCAGAAGAAGTGAGGCGAACGGCGAAGAAACACGCATGTGTTCGTTCATTTTTTGTTTTTTAGCACACCAACTGCCAGACAAAAAGGCAGCAAGCAAAAGGCTGCAGTGTGGCTGGTGCCCATGAAAATGTGGTGTACAAGCCACAACCGCTGCCAACCAACCGGTCAGCCAAACAGGGCGCCCTCTTGCCTTGCTGACGGAGCAGGCGGACCAAGGCAACCACAGCCACGCCCCAAGTCGGCTCTAGCCTCTCACAGATAGCGATAGTGCAAGAGATAACCCCACCACAGATTTTCAACACACCCGGTCCCCTCTAAAAAGCCCGCCTCGCTTTTGCTGCGTTTTTCTCCGTCGTCATAACAGCATATCCCGCCATCAAGCGTATACAAACATGGCCGACAGCTTCCCAGGTGCCGGCGCCGATGGCAAGGTAGAGATTGACCTCTACGGTACGTCTGCCCTGCTGCCCTTCACACCGCCCCTTCTCCTTCTCTTGCTGCCTAGCCTCATCTGTCTACCCTGACTAACTCTTCCGCCTATCAGAGGTCCTCGCCATCGAGAAAACCGCCTCGGGCGACGAAATCAAAAAGGCCTACCGCAAGGCCGCCCTCAAGTTCCACCCCGACAAGGTCCCCGAGGACCAGCGTGAAGCCTCCGAGGTCAAGTTCAAGGAGGTGACGCGCGCCTACGAAATCCTCGGCGATGAGGAGAAGCGCCACCTCTACGACACACACGGGATGGCCGCCTTTGATCCTTCGCGCGGCGGTGGTCCCGGCGGTCCTGGTGCCGATCTCAACGATATTCTCTCACAAATGTTTGGCTTCAACATGGGCGGCGCCGGCGGTCCTGGCGGTCCCCGCCGCCCCCGTAAGGGCCCCGACGAGCAGCAGGAGTACAAAGTGACGCTCGAGGAGCTCTACCGCGGCAAGACGGTCAAGTTTGCCGCCAACAAGCAGGTCCTCTGCGGCGGCTGTAAGGGCAGCGGTGGCAAGGACAAGGCCAAGCCGGACGCGTGCTCGCGCTGCCGCGGCCAGGGTATCGTCGAGGGTCTCCGCCAGATCGGACCCGGCATGATGCGCCGCGAGACGATGCTCTGCGACGCTTGCCACGGCGCCGGAAACGTCTTCAAGGAGAAGGACCGCTGCAAGAAGTGCAAGGGCAAGCGCACCACGCAGGAGAAGAAGGTCCTCGAACTCTACATCCCGCGCGGCTCCGTCCAGGGCGAACGCATCGTGCTCGAGGGCGAGGCCGACCAATACCCCGACCAAATACCGGGTGACATCATCTTCACCCTCGTCGAGGAGCCCCACGACGTCTTCTCCCGCCTCGGCAACGACCTCTCTGCCGAGCTCAAGATCTCCCTTGGCGAGGCGCTCGGCGGCTTCAACCGCGTCGTCCTCGAGCACCTCGATGGCCGTGGTATCTATATCGAGCGCAAGCAGGGCAAGATCTTACGCCCGGGTGACTGCCTCCGCGTCCCCGGCGAGGGCATGCCGTTCAAGCGCGGCGATGCCAAGGGCGACTTGTACCTGCTCGTCTCCGTTCAGTTCCCCAAGGACGACTTCCTCCAGAATGCCGGCGCCTACGACGCGTTGCTCAAGATGCTGCCGGCACCCGTCGAGGGCCCCAAGACGGCAGAGGTCGACGAGGTCGAGTACGAAGACGACGCCGACATTGAAACCGTAAGTTTGATACGCCGGCCTACCTGAAAAACGTATGAAGCGAGACCTAATACCACCTTTCAGATGGGCGAAAACGCCGAAGATCCCCGCGCCGGCGGCGAGTGGCAAGACGACGACGGGGAAGACGGCCAGCCCCAGTGCCAGGCCCAGTAAACGAGACACACAATGCAGAACAAGAGAAAAGTTTATACACTTGAGGGAATTTCTTGCTCGTACTCCATTGATGTTAAAGGACTGAATTTTGTTTTGACGACATGGTGTTTACATAGATGACGCTGAACGGTGTTGATGACGATGATGATGAACTGGGGAGTTAAGGGGGCGAAAACCGCACCGAAGCGTGAACAATGAGTGGGGGGCGTCGAAAGAAAGATACACTTCTCTCTTACTTTTTTATACACTTGACATCTATACAGCCTGTTGGATAGGGTAGTTTCTTCTTGCGTGCTTCTTGCGTACAATGTGTTAGTGAGCCAAGGTGACCAGTAAGGCGTAAATGTCCTTCTCATCCCCTATGCATGAGAAACATTGTATGAAAAGATCGTGCTGCACTGTAGAACGGGTACCAAAGTTGGGCGATACACCACGCAAAGAGATACGCAAGACTTGTCAATATACATGCAGCCAACAGGCAATAATATACGCAAAATACTTACCACACGGTTCTACGTGCTTACCTGAAAATTCGTCCGACAACTTACCAATAACTCACCTTTATCCTCGACTCTGCCGTCCGACCAGTCCCTGAAAGCAAAGCCAATCATCGTCTTCCTCTCTGAGGTGGCACGACTCGCGCGCCACCCGCGCCGCGTCGCGTCCGTCGTCATCCTCAACCGCCGTGTCCGCGCCGGCCTCCTCCATCGCCGCGCGCACGCCCTCCGCGCCGCGATCCGCCGCCCACAGCAGCGCCGTCATGCCCCCCGTCCGCCGCGCATCACCCCCATCATCATCGTAGCAGCGCCGTCCCCACCAGGCACGCTGTCGTCGACTCGGCGGCGCCGCGCGCCTCTCCATGACGGCGCCGCCGGCGATGAGGTCCTGCGCCAGCGCGTACGCCTCCCCGCGGGGGTCCGGATCCCGGTGCAGGGCGAGGCAGTGCAGCGGCGTCCAGCCCTGCGCGGTGGTGGAGGTGGGGTCGGCGCCGTGGGCGAGGAACAGCCGCGCCGCGGCGACGGCCTCACGCACGCCTTTGGACGCGGTGGGTGACTCGTGGGGAACGAGGGCGCATAGGAGGGGCGTCCAGCCGTGGTCTGCGACGGTGTTGACGTGCGCGGCACTGCCATCGAGGGACAGCAGATGCTCTAGCACGTCGCACCTACCGCCCGCGGCGGCCCAGTGCAACGCGGAGGCGCCCCGCGCGTCGACGAGCCGCAGGAGCCTCGCAGCAGCCCAGTCCACAGGCGTGAGCGCGGCGAGGTACAGCCGGAAGACACGCATGGTGCCGCTGTGCGCCGCCCGGTGCAGGGGCAGCTCCCCCCGCGCGCCGCCGGCCTTGGTGTACGCGGAGGCGCCGTGCGCCAACAGCATGCGGACGCCCTCTTCGTAGTGCCTCCGCGCGCCCAGCCGGGTTCTTTTAGCGGGCACCGGCGCGGCCAGCACGTGCAGCGCCGTGTCGCCGTCGCTCCTTCGCGCCGCGTCGGGATCCGCGCCGCCCTCGAGGAGCGCCTGCAAGGCCGTCGCCCGCTCCGTGTACCGCGCGGCCGCGACGACCAGCGGCTCGTCGTCATCGCCGCAGCGGCAGTTGGAATCCGCGCCCTCGCGGAGCAGCGCCCGGAGGACGCGTGCCTGGGCCAGGCCCTCGGGCGCAGCGCAGAGCTCCCGCGACGCCGCCTCCCTGGCCTCGTACTCGGTGTCGACCGCGGCCGCGCGCAGCGCCTCATCCAGCGCGCTCTGGGCGAGCCCGCCGCGGTGGGAGAGCAGCATCTCAACGCAGAAGAAGTCGAGCCGGCGGGCCGCGGCCTGCAGGGCGCACCCCAAGGCCGCCGGAGACCACCGGTGCGGCTCCCCCAGCAGCCACTCCAGGATGTCTACCTGCCCGCAGCGCGCCGCGTGGGCGACGCACGACCAGTACGGGCGCGTACCGCCGTTGGCATGCGCGTCCGGAGGCGCGCGGCTCCAAAGGCAGCGCGCGAGGGCGGCGCGGCCGAGGCCGATGGCCAGCATCAGCGGGGCGGGCGGGTCGAAGCCGGCACCGGGGTAGTCGCGCGGCGTCACGGGGTCGGCGCCGGCAGCGAGGAGCAGCTCCGCGGCGGCGAGGCTGTCGAGGCGCACGGCGACGTGCAGCGGCGCGCCCCATTTGTCGTGGAGGCGGTTGACGGCGTGCGGGCTGCAGGGAGCGGCGAGGAGGGCGCGGAGGCGGGCGTGCTGGTCGTTGCAGATGCAGGCATGCAGGGCGAGTTCGGGGCCGTCAAAGTCGGAGGATTGCGGCAGCCACTTGGTAGATATCATGGTGAGGTGGCTGGTTTTCGTGTGCAGGTGATGATGGTGAAGGGGACAAGTACTGTTATGTGCTGGCGAGGGCGAGGGCGAGGGCTGGGGTGGACCGTGATGGCTGCCTAAGGTTGATCTATGATGCTTGGCAGTTCATTATCATGCATACAAAAATTACCCCCTAGCGCATGCGATTTCAGTAGGTAAGCCCTGCTCTTGGAGTAATGCCATCAAGATCTATATATTAATTTGTCGGTGCTAGTTTTCAAGCCGGCTACACACGTACCCTGTATGCGAACATAGCCTCTCACCTTTCTTGGTCATGGCTTAATTACAGTCAATGGCCTAACTCTCTGAGCTTTTCAAGTTCATGATTAGACTCTGGAATTATACTTACTAATTACCTACTTACTATCTCGCCAACAACGCGGGCTGCAACGGTTTAGCCAGGTATGTACGTATACACGTATCCAAACGGCCCGCCATTGCGAGCGGGATAAATACGGTACCCATAGATACAATACATAATGCGATGCGATGCGACTTACCGCCCGATTTACTAATTACCCGGACCCTTGGTTAACACACCATCTGCCATGTAACCATGTGCATACTTGACATGCATATTGTGCATTAAATCAAAACCGGAATCAGCCCCTTCCTCTTACTGCCCGTGACACTTACAGGTGTCAATTCCCAATGACCTTTAGGAAGCCTAAAATAATACAAATATTATCATCACAAATGCTGATATAGATCATTGTCCCATATCCACCGCGGCTAATGCCCCGCGCTCTAAAGCCGAAGAACCTCCTGTGACCGGCCTTCGGGTTGCAGCGGAACATGGCGGAGCCGGGGAACCCCAAGTTTTTTCCCGTCGCCGGCAACGGCACTTTGTGCCCTCCAGGCTGAGCCTCTAGCGCTCCCCAACAGATCTACGTCTTCCGTGTCTTAGTTCTGAGAAACTATTCTACCCTCGTGCCTGATGATTTGATTTCCTTCTTTTTTTTCCCACCCAAGCCTCATCTTCTTCGCAAGTCAGGTTGTCGCTCCTTCGCAGCTGAACAAACCCCCCGCGTTTACACCCGATCAACCCCACCGTCATCGCAAACAAGCCGCCCTCGGAACTCAGCACCTTCATCTTCCGACATCACCAACGCACACTGCCCAAACTCGCCATCATGGGCCAATCCGTCCCGCAGGACTCGCCTGCGCCGCCGCAGGTGCTGGCTGAGAAGCTGTGGACGCACCCGGACCCGTCTTCCACGCCCATGTGGCAGTTCATTCAGCGCGTCAACGAGCGCCACAACCTCGCCATCACCGGTTATCCCGAGCTCTACAAGTGGTCCGTCGAGCACGTCGCTGATTTTTGGCGCGAAACATGGGATTTTGTCGGCATAGTCGCGTCGAAGGAAGCCGATGAGGTGTGTCTGCCAACCATTGCCTACTTCCTACCCCTCGCATACTGACAACTTCCCATTGCAGATCCTTCCCAAAGATGCCCCCATGTACCCCCGTCCCGATTTCTTCGCCGGCGCTCGCCTCAACTTTGCCGAGAACCTCCTCTTCCCTTCAACCTCGTCGCCGATTGACCCTAATGCCACCGCCGTCCTCACCGTCACCGAACTCTCCACCGACGACATCCGCACCACGACGTGGGCCGAGCTGCGTGAGGCCGTCCGGCGGTGCGCCCACGCCCTGCGCACCGCCGGCCTGCGCCCGAACGACGTCGTCGCTGGCTACGTCTCCAACCATGTCGAGGCGCTCGTCGCCATGCTTGCCGCTGCTTCGATCGGCGCCGTCTGGACCGGAATCAGCCCGGACAATGGCGTGTCCGCCGTGCTCGACCGTCTGCGCCAGATCGCCCCGCGCGTGCTGTTTGCCGACAACGCCACCGTCTACAACGGCAAGTCGTGGCCCGGCGCCGCCAAGACGCGAGAGGTCGTCGCCGCGCTCGTCGACGCCGGCCTCGAGACCGTCGTCGTCATCGACAACGTCCACGGCGAGGACCTCGGCCTGGACGCGCTCGTCGCCGCCCACCCCGGCCTCCGCGCCGTCGACTACGCCGCCTTCCTCGACGCCGCGCCCGCCGACACCCCGCTCGAGTTCGCGCAGCTGCCCGCCTCGCACCCGCTCTACGTCCTCTACTCGAGCGGCACCACCGGCCTGCCCAAGGCCATCGTCCACACCGCGCTCGGCACGCTGCTGCAGCACAAGAAGGAGCACGTCCTGCACTGCTCGCTGACGCCCGCGTCCCGCATGCTCTACTACACCACCACGTCCTGGATGATGTGGCACTGGAGCGTCGGCGCCCTCGCCGCCGGCGCCGCCCTCGTCCTCTACTCGGGCTCGCCCTTCCGCCCGCACGGCCACATGTCGCTGCCGCGCCTGCTCGCCGACCTGCGCGTCACGCACTTTGGCACCTCGGCCGCGTACCTCACCGCGCTCGAAGGCCACGGCGTGCGTCCCGTCGTCGACGACCCGACCCTCGACCTGTCGCGCCTCGAGGCCATCTACTCGACCGCCTCGCCGCTGCCGCCGTCCACCTTCCGCTTCGTCTACGAGGCCTTCCCGCGCACCGTCAACCTCGCCTCCATCACCGGCGGCACCGACATCATCTCCCTCTTCGGCGCGCCCTGCCCGCTGCTGCCCGTGCGCGTCGGCGAGATCCAGTGCGCCGGCCTCGGCATGGCCATCCGCGTCGTCGACTCCGCCACCGGCGAGGACCTCGCCGCCACCACCCCCGGCGAGCCTGGCGACCTCGTCTGCGTCCGCCCCTTTCCCTGCCAGCCCCTCACCTTCTTCGGCCCCGGCGGCGAGGCCAAGTACCGCGAGGCCTACTTTGAGCGCTTCGCCGACGTCTGCGGCGTCGCCGGCCCCGTCTGGCACCACGGCGACTTCGTCAAGATCCCGGACCCGGCCACCGGCGCGCTGCTGATGCTCGGCCGCTCCGACGGCGTGCTCAAGCCCGCCGGCGTGCGCTTCGGCTCCGCCGAGATCTACAACGTCCTCACGCGCTTCTTCGCCGCCGACGTCGAGGACGCCGTGTGCGTCGGCAGGCGCCGCGAGACCGACGCCGACGAGACCGTCTGCCTGTTCGTGGTGCCCGCCGCGGGGCGCGCGTTCACCGAGGACCTGCAGGCGCGCATCAAGGCCAAGATCCGCACGGAGCTGAGCCCGCGCCACGTGCCGGGCGTCGTCGCCCTCGCCGGCGGCGGCGTTCCCAAGACGGGCAACGGGAAAAAGTAAGTGGGAAAGAAGCTGGTGAACCGTTAGAAAGCTCTGTGGCTAATATTTCATTGCTACAGGATCGAAGTTGCCGTCAAGCAGATCTTGTCGGGCATGAACGTCAAGACCAATGCGTCCGTCGCCAACCCGGAGTCGTTGGACTGGTTCCGCGTATGGGCCAAGACCAACTGAGGCGTACCGATCTTTGTTAACAGCGATGCGTAATGACATACAAAAAAGAAGGAACAGAAAATAGAGCGAAAAGAAGGGGCAATGCCAAGATGTACAGGGGGGGAGTGGTGGAGGAAGTACAACATGATAATGATAAACCGCGACGACATCATAGAGCCAGCGTGGAGCTAGAAAAAAAAAAAAGAATATCTTCAACAACAAGAACTTACATATAAATCACCTCTTTGCCTCGCATTCGCTTGATATTTATTAACCAGTCCGCCCTCATCACCCCATACGCCCGTCTACGGGCTGACAGTTAACATTGCAGCAAACGGATACAGCGTAGTCGGCAGTGCAGCTTTCCCAGCTGCGTTTGTCACCCTATGAAACAAGCGTGGTTTGTTTCATCCTTTTTCTCTCTCCCTCCTACTCATCACGACATCGAACGACAAGGCTTCTGGCGTCTCAACTTTTTGTCCCTACGAAGTACTCACTAGTCAAGCCCAACGCCAATCCCTGCGCCGCGCATTCAACCCCAGCGGGCAAGTAAAATTACGCTTGAAAAGGAGAAGCAATTTCTCGGTATGCAACGCGACCCGCTCGCCCACCTCGGGGTCTTCCCGTTTCTCGCCAGACACCTCATTCGCTGAAGTTCCCGATGGCGCTGATTAATAATGCAGTAGAAGCCGTTGCTGCATCTGTGCAGACTGAGAACGATTGCGCCTTGTCTGGCTGAAAAAAACTGCGGCTCCGATGTAGACACATTGAAACAATGTTGATGGAAAGGAAAACTGCCTCGACGGTCACCTTGCACCATAGTTATCACAACCACGAGCTACCACGACCACCCCTTTCGCGACGTTGCATTCACCGTGGAGAGGCGATCCATTGCAATTCTTCCAGAAGCTCAGAAGCTTGCCACTATCCTTTCCGAGTTGCCGGCTGCTCCTCACTCTGCCTGCTGAATTGGGCAGCGTCGACTCGCAGACAATTTTATTCACTCTCCGCTTTACCGTTATGGCATCCGCGGTAGACATGTCTTGCCTACCTGTGACGTGTAACATGCGCCTCCAGTGTCCACGAAACGGCGAGCAAGACGGAAGATCGCCACGCTTCAGTAGTTAGCGAGTGAATCAATCACTCTCGAGTCTGGCGCGCCTACCAGCATGATCACATGTCTCAGCTTGAGCCCCTGATCATGTTGTTGCCCATGCCCGCGCCGTGCACTTCTCCCGGTTTCCGTGTTATGCACGCAGAAGGGCTTGGCGGTTCCTTTTCTACGGCAGTGGGATAGCTATTCATGTCTCACCAGCTCAATTCCCGATATCCACCGTTCCTCTTCCCCGGGACGCGCATGCATCTGTTTGCTGCATCTTTCGCCGCAAAAGAAGTAAAACATCATCCTTCATCATGATGTTGCTTTCGTAGTCAGCTACCTGCCGAAGGAACTGTGACTTTTTTTTTCTTTTGGCTGCAGCCGAACCAAAAATAGCACGTTGATGCTGTTATTATCGACGCGCCATGTTGGAGATTGTCTCAGTCCATATGCCGTTCGCTGCTTGCATTCTCGAATTCTGCTATTAATAGCTGCCGTCTTTGCTTTAAAAAGAAGAAAAAATTCCACAGAATCGATAGGTATGACAAGCAAGTGTCATCCGTGTCATAACCAGAGGAGTTCTTTGTCAGAGAGACATAGCCAGATTTTAGTGACACGAAGACTCGATTCGTAAGTAGTTGCTGGCTTGGAGTCTGCGGACCTCTCTTGCCTGGGCGGAACCATCCCATCTGACAGGTGGCTTACAGCAGGGGGGCGGAGATGCCAGGACAGCTGGTTCGTCGGTAACAGTAATATTTATCGAACGCGCCGCTGGGGCGGACGATGGCCAGCAGCGGGTCATGAGGCGTATTTGAATGATAAACGGTGCCAACTGGTACCCGCTCCTGTTGTCCGTTTGTCACGGATCTTGTCGTGATTCATGGCGATGAATGGGCATAGCGCACGGGTACTAGTCATTGGGACGAAAAGTTCAATCGCGGATGATTGGATATGGATCGATTGGTACTATAAGGCTTTGTCGACAATAGTTGGTAGGGAACCCCCATTTTGCGGAAGCGGCTTGGCCTGTGGGCGATGATGATGGGTTGATGGCGGAGCGATATTTATTAGTCGGTGGGAGAAGTGCCCCACTAATGACCTGGGACACTAACTAATAGCGAGCTGTCTTCGGATGGTCTTGTCTTGTGGCCTATGGGCAAAGCGTGGAGGGCAGGAGCGTTTTGGTCTTTAGCTATGCCATTGACAATCATGACCTTGAATTCGTGTATTCATCTATAGTTTGCTTTGATCGAAGTCCCCTGTTTCCTCTTCTTGAGCGTAGGCAGGCTATTCGACCCTGCCTGTGAGCTGTGAGCGCTAGCCCCTGTCTTAGTAGGGCTCTACTCATCCACCGCACACCACCAACAGCTACATCTCCCATAGCTGCTGTACCCATTCGTCCATTTATTTGCCTACTACGGCACTGATGGACACCAGAGCCCAATGATGTGCAGAGGCTGCACAGAAGCGCAGGTGGGCAGGACCGACCGTGCCCCGGCCCGCTTGGATCGCTACCATTGGGAAGGTACATGAGACAGGTACCCGTTGAAGCTAACAGGATGGGAGTGTGGAGGTACGTTGTATTTGGTGGGCTGCGCTGCGAATTTGTCGGTACCAGGCTGGCCAGGGCAATAATGCTGGCAGTGGGAGTATTCCAGCATCTTCAACGTCAACGGAACAAACGAATGCTGGCCCTTGCCATCTCGGCTACTCTATCTGAGTCTATCATGATGAACATTTTGACAAACCGTTGGGCTGTCTGGGCCGTCTATCAACAGGGGGGCCATGTTCCCCTGGTTGATGGTGACGGCAGGGTATCGGGAGGTTTAATTAGGGGCATTAGTTGTCGAAGGCCGGTTGTGACTAACAAGTAACTTAGTAGACACTGGCGAGCGCAGAGAAATAGACAGAATCCGGAAAAGTGAACAGGCCGGTCAAGTCGAGTATGAGAACTGTCTGTATGCATCTGAATTGCAGGCAAGTTATTTGCGCGTGCCTTCCCCCCTAATTATACTGTCAAGTGATGGTGCAGAAGTGCCTGGATTCATTAGGGGGCATCCACCAACGCTGCATGGGGGCCCTGCAGCATTGAGCAGACGTGTTTTGCGCACAGCTGGGATACCTGCAACCTATGTACATGCGTAACTCCGGACAGTAGTTACTTCGTACGTAAGATGCCATGACCAAGGTCTATTGTAAGCTGCATGGTGTTTATTCTTATTTTTATATGTCACTTGCTTGGACAATGAAAAAACTTGTTGCTCTGTTAGTGCTAATATGTGCCTTATCCATCGCCGCGTCACCGAAAGCAGCCGAGCTAGCTTGCACCCACCAAGGCACCTTCCCGTCCTGGGTCGCGGCGGCGAATCTCTAATAAGTCACCTACATAGGTACTATCCAGTGCATCCTGCACCGAATCACACCAATTGCAAGTCTGCGGGTACCAACGTTAGTACCTGCTTACTCCGTGAGTAGGTACCGGTGAGGAGAGACCGGCTTGGTTATTCGTCTCACTGCTCACTGCTCACTTGCACAGTTTCAAGGACCTTACAAACACTTGTAATAAGACGAAGGACCGGCCTGGGCTAGCGCCCTTGCTCATCTCCAAAATGCCCTGCACTAGTTGAACACCATCCACCAGAAAAAAAGCCCCAGCTCTCATCGTCCCCAGTAGGAGATGGGCTAGCCTGTAGGTTAGTACCAGGTCGGCCCCTCCCTCTGTCTCCTCCCCCCCCCTCCCAGCCCATCTCAAGCCGCCTAGCCTCGCCTCGTCTCGCCTGGCCCTGTCCAGCAGCCCAGCCTCTCTCATCTGTCCCATCCATCCATCCTCTCCTCCGCTGCCTCCTTGTCTCTCGTCGTCGCCGCTTGTTGCTGCATCTGCTGCTGTTGCCGCCGCCGCCACCGCCGTTGTCGCCGCCGCTCAGTCTGCTCTCGCTCAATTACCTCCTGCTTGCTCGCTCTCCACTCTCCAGCCAAACACATCGACTCCCATTGACCGCAACCAAACGCCCCTCTCCCCCCCGTCAAACCCCCGATCTCCGACGATAGCAAACCGAACAAGACGACCATTTTGTCATCTCGAGTCCTTGGCCCAACCCCCTTCCACATTCTTCTTTCTCTACCTCCTCTTCGTCGCCCACTCGCCCTGCGCAGACGCTTAGCCGAGCCGACCGTCTCCTCCGCCCCCTCCGCCCGTTGCCATGAATTCTCAGGGCCAAAACGATGTTTCGCCCGAGGCCATGCAGGCGCGCATCCAACAGGCCCGTCGCGAAGCTGAGAACCTCAAAGATCGCATCAAGAGAAAGAAGGATGAATTGGCCGATACCACCCGTACGTTCTCCTCGCACCCAATCGCCCAACTGCCCCAAATCTCTTGTAGCTACCTACTGCTGCTGTTACTCCTATCCTGCCTGGCCCAAATTGCTGCTTGCCACGCCGGCCAGGTCGACATTGCTATCCTCTACCATTCACCGCATCGCCAATTCATCGCAGACCACCCGCCACAACCTCCACCTGCATCTGTTTCCATGTCAAAGCTAACTGCTGCTTGCCCACAGTCCGGGCTGTTGCCCAGCAGGCTCACGAGCCCATCCCCAAGAACCAGCTCATGAAGGCCAAGCGCACCCTCAAGGGCCATCTCGCCAAGATTTACGCCATGCACTGGTCGACTGACCGCCGACACCTTGTTTCAGCTTCGCAAGACGGCAAGCTCATCATCTGGGATGCCTACACCACTAACAAGGTCCACGCCATCCCCCTCCGCTCTTCTTGGGTGATGACCTGCGCGTACGCCCCCTCGGGTAACTTTGTCGCCTGCGGTGGTCTTGACAATATTTGTTCCATATACAACCTCAACCAGCAGCGCGACGGCCCCACGCGTGTCGCCCGGGAGCTCTCCGGCCACGCTGGCTACCTCTCTTGCTGCCGTTTCATCAACGACCGCAGCATCCTCACCTCATCTGGCGACATGACCTGCATCAAGTGGGACATCGAAACTGGCCAGCGCATCACAGAGTTTGCTGATCACCTCGGCGACGTCATGAGCATCAGCCTCAACCCGACCAACCAAAACACCTTCATCTCCGGCGCCTGCGACGCTTTTGCCAAGCTCTGGGATATTCGCGCTGGCAAGGCCGTCCAGACCTTTGCTGGCCACGAGTCCGACATCAACGCCATTCAGTTCTTCCCTGATGGCCACTCCTTTGTCACCGGCTCCGACGACGCTACCTGCCGTCTCTTTGACATCCGCGCCGACCGCGAGCTCAACGTCTATGGCGTACGTGCTGAATCGTCAATCTCCATGTCTCGCCCTGCTAACGCCTGTTGTAGTCCGAATCCATTCTTTGCGGTATTACGTCAGTCGCCACCTCTGTTTCTGGCCGTTTATTGTTTGCTGGTTACGATGACTATGAGTGCAAGGTATGCATCGCATCTTACCACATCACACAGTACCGAAACGCTGACTTTTTCCAGGTTTGGGATGTTACGCGAGGCGAAAAGGTTGGCTCTTTGGTTGGCCATGAGAACCGCGTCAGCTGTCTGGGCGTCAGCAACGACGGTGTCAGCCTGTGCACAGGTTCATGGGATTCTATGGTGCGTAACACGAACCTCGCCCACTTTTGTGTGAATCACTACTAACAAAACATTCCATCTACAGCTCAAGATTTGGGCGTACTAAATCTAGGCGAGACGGAGAGAGTCTCTGTTTCGATACCGTGACAATCCGGCGTGCGCTGCGGCGCACTTGTCGTATGCGAGCCGCTCGACGACTACACCGACCGGTTGGGACTGCAAACGACACGACACGAATTGACGGTATGCGGAAGCGAGAGAGCAAGACGAGGCTTGCCGGCGTACACTGCACGATGTGACGACACGTACATTATATAACTACTTGGACCCAATCATGAGGCAGATCGGAGCCCTTGAGCTCTTGAGCAAGCAGCTGGATGCTCGGCACATTTAGTCCCGAGGTGCGGAAGCGGAGAGTGCGATCGATACCTCATGTACCATGGATTCTTTCTTTGCCTTTTCATTTTTGCCGTTCTCTTCTTTACTATGTTTGGTCTTTTTCGTTGTCTTGTTCCTCTCCATGCTTGCTTTTGCTGGTCTGTACCCCCTTTTTATTTTCCCTTTTTTTTTTACCTGTTGCGGCTGGGCTCGGTCCTGTTAAAAAACTATTTTGTGTGCACTTCTATTTGCAGCTCCCAACATTCGGTCTTGCTTTCCTCCCGCGGCATCCCCAACCCTCCGCCTTGTTTCTACGACATCTACACGCCTTCAAATTCGTTCCTGTTTGCCGCCACCTCGAGGGACCGTCTGAAGCGATCTGTATTACTTGTTGTCTCATATTCCATTTTGTCAGTGCAGCCGCACCCCGCGTTCCTTGCTATGTTTTTGTTCTCCGATCCGTTATTGGCTCGGCTGCTTCTCGTCAACCGAAAAAGGTGAAGGCCGGTCAGTACCAGAAGGGAAGGAAAAAGAAGAGAGAGAGAGGGAGCTGCAGAGAGGAGGGTGATACGGCCATAAGTGTATGTGTGGAAGGATAATTTTCGCCCTCTCCTAATTGCCAGAGACGGATGAGGGAGGATCTTGGCAATCTCTCTGTTTTTATGGGGTTTACTTTTTTTTACTTTTTTATTTTCTTCTGATTTCAAGGAGGGTGGATGGGGAAGATGCCAGCTATACCAAGAGTCAAAGCCAGTCAGGGAGATAATACACTTGAGATTATCAACAAGTTCGGCGAGAGATGGAAGATTGTACCGTGATTCGCTTCCGAAGTCGGAAAGAAGGAGGGCGTCGTCGTCCCTTGTGCCGCTTTCATATGCGGGCTGCCGTTTTGTCGGCAGCCCAAATTTGTCATGCGGCTGGGCTGTCTGTGCCGAAACCTCTTACTCTACGAATTACTGTCAACTTTGTCACGGCGGGAGCAACTATGAACGCATTGGCCCAAGAGTAATCCTGCAGCATACGTACACGAGATGCATGCGCCTGCACATGCACATGGTAATCCGTTGCCATTCTAACCCGCACTCTGCCGCCACAAGATCGCCTTGTTTCGATCTCCTATTCCTCTCACCGGATCATAACTTCTCTTTCCCGAAGCACGTTGCTGATTTTGTTCCGAAGTCCTATAAATAGACTTGCAGTGTGATAAAGACAAGGGCGCGCGGAAGGGGGGGGGGGGGGGGACTCGTACAGCGGCTGGGCGTTGACATATCTGCCTGAGGGGATGCATGCATCATCCAAATCGTAAGAGAGACGATAACTTTTTTTTTGTTTGACGGTCTCCTTGTTTTGGTGAAAAGTGTGCTTGTTACGAGAGAATTGAACTTCACCACCGTCACCCCAATGTCGTCGACCGACCAAGAAGACACGGAAGCGCCTGGCCATGCGCTGCACGACGCCGTTGCCGCCACCGCCGCCGATGATGACGGTTCGTCCCTAGAGGCTGCCATCGAGAGCGAGGAGAATAAGCTTGTGTCGATGCGCTTCCCCGGCCTCCGGCGGGAGTTTTACGCATCCATTGAGGCGCAGAGGGGAGAGCTTGAGGCCATGATCTCCCGCTTGCTGCCGGTTTCATCGTGCAGCGTCGCTCCCTCGTGTTACTGGCGTTCTGGGAGCTTCAACGTCGCCATCCCAGTCCGGCTGCTCCCGCGCGGTGAAAAGGTGTACCTGCGCCTTCCGCTGACGCATCGCATCGGCGAGGGCCACTTCCCCGGCAATGCGGAAGAGAAGCTGCGAACCGAAATTGCAACATATCTCTGGCTGCAGGAGCACTGCCCAGACGTGCCGATTCCTACATTGCACGCTTTTGGTCTTCCTGACGGCTCCGTCGTACGGTTCTCTGTTGAAAAGCTTATTCCTTGTCGTGATGTGTCTTTGCTGACTTGTTGTATTCTACCTTTTGATCATGTTTAGTTCACATCTCCCGAGTATGCTCCCTGGTGGCGTCGAACGTGGCGGCAGTTCCATCGCATCGTGGCTCAAGCTCTCGGTCGCCCTGGTCCCATCAGACACGTGCGGCATCCGATCCAGCACGCCCTCAGCCCTGGGTTTCTTCTCATCAGCGAGGCCCAGGGGACGAGCCTCGCACTGTCCTGGAACAAGCATTACCAGGACGAGAGATATAAGGCGAACCTGTTCCGCGACCTGGCACGCATCAAGCTGTCGATGAATGCCATCCCACAGCCACGTATCGGGGCGCTATCGCTTCAGCGAGACACCATCTCACTGAGCAACAGGCCACTGAACCTGTATATGCACATGCTGGAGAATGATGGGGTCTGGTCGCAGATTCCTCGCGAGCGGACGTATCTCGAAGTGGAACCATACCTGGCAGACCTGCTGACGCTTCAGGATGCCAAGCTCCGGGGACAACCGAACGCGGTATTCGATGCCAAAGACGGCCAGGCGCAGATGGCAGCTCTCACCGCACTGCGTGCCACGTCGCACCATTTTGTTGATGCGGGTTTGCGGCAAGGCCCTTTCTTCCTCACCCTTACCGACCTACATCAAAGCAACATCTTCGTCGACGAGCAGTGGAACGTCAAGTGCATCATCGACCTCGAGTGGACGCACAGCCTGCCGGCACAGATGCAAACCCCGCCTTACCGGATCACGTCACGCGCTGTTGACGGGTTCAAGGAGGCTGCACACCTCGACGAGTACGAGGAGACCCTGGAAGAGTACCTGGCCGTGTACGCGGATGAAGAACGAAGGCGACATGGTTCGACGAGGCAGGCCGAGTTACAGCTGAAAACATGGCGTAACGGAGGTTTTTGGTTCTTCCACGCCGCAATGATACCAAAAGGCATGTATAATCTGTTCAACGGACACATCCAGCCCATGTACAACGCGGACCATCCCCAAATGGCGATTTTTGACGACGTTTTCTTTTGGTATTGGGGCCGACAGGCATCGACTTTCATTGATAGAAAGCTGGAGGATACAGATATATATATAGATGAGCTTAGAAAGGCGCACCGTGGAGGGCAGGGGTGCGTCTGAGTCGCAACTGAACTGATATGTTCGTTTGAACTGTGGTTATTTGGTTGGGGTCCATGGGCCTCGTTGCTCTCCTACTTTCCTTGAAGTGCTCGCGTGGATTTTAATATACATGCGGTCCGCTTGGCATTGGATAGAGGAATCATGTGCTGTAGAGCCAAGGAAGTTTTCTTGGCCTGAGCTAGGATGTAAATTGCATTGCAATGTAGGTGCGTCGCCGACTCGCCGCATCGTGTCTGTGCTTTCTGTCCTAGCATGACACTAGCCGTTTCTCTGTAATCATAAGTTGCGAATCGAGCATCTGATTCCTGGCGGTGATCGGAGTCCGCCTGTCAGACTAGCGGTCTGTGAGGCAGCGGTGGATTGGATTTCACGATGACTGGCCGGGCCATGCCGTGGCAGTCACGGTGTTGGAATGTACGTCTGCGATGGCTCGAGAGGTCATTGTGTGCAAGCCTCAAACGCAAGGAAAGACTAACGTATTTGAAATTCCTTTCAACCATTTAAGAATGAGCTAGGAGGCGACAATCAGTATACTGTCATCATCGATATAATTTTCCCTGTGCTGTTGGTGTAGTTAAAAGCCACCCCCATGGGGTGTGATGCTAACCGACGCAGGGACTTGAAACACCCGCGCCACGAGCCAGCACTCACTAGGTGGCGAGACTGGGGGCTCTATCTCTGATTTGGCAGAAGCTTCTTTTTGCGTCCCAAATTATCTGTAGATCCTCGTTAGGATGGAAGCTGGAAATGGCAGATTGGGTAGTGATCATTGTAGCAATGTGACTTTTACACCTTACTGGCAGACACCAGCTGAGACACTGTTTTGAACCGAAATCAGTGGCTTGACCTCGACGCACTGAGTGGTGGCGATCCTCTTTTACGAGCATTTGACACGACATCATTTGTGGTTATGTGCTGATAGCTTTTTATAGTGTGCGTAGCCGTATTGTTGCAGGCGGTAGCGGTGAGTGTGACCATGGCGGCAGATGGACGACTCCCGAAGCCGAAAGGTCAGCAAGGTCGGCTGCCTTATGGTTAATAATATTCATGTATGGCAGAGCCCAGTTGGCGTCGTCGGATGCATCCGCGAGCTGCCTGGTGGATGATCGTAATTTGGGAGCCACGTTGCGAAGGCGGTCGTGCGGCTCTTGCTGCTTGCTGATGGGTCTCTGCAGGCTGGTCACAGCAGAAGCGAGACGTCAAGTCTGGCGTGTTGCGGAACAATGCCGACCTATTCTGTTCGTGATAGCTGGCTGTTTGCTTTATTACTGGTATATACGAAGTACGACCGATGTGTGCGTCAGGGACTCAGTGTAACGGCAAAAGCGAGACATGGCTGCATCGCTGGCCAAAGCGTGACCTGACATGGCGGTCACTGTGAATCATCAGTCTGCGCTTCTAGAAGCCCACGCAAAAAAGGGGGATAAGATGAGGTGCATTGACGCGTTATTGGAGACTGTCTTGGACGACGCCAGTGATGTCGTTTTTCCGCGGGCCTCGCCGAGCGCGCCCAGGCAGACAAATCCCTGCGGCCGCATGGCAGAGCTGGGGTTGCCCGAAGTTCTTTGGAGAAAATGGCCAGCCGAGGGAGAAAATGACATCTGGGTCGCCGATCTCCTTCCAGAAGAGCCGGACAGCGAAGCCGCAACGTGCCAGTCGACGTGGAGGAGGGGACCGGCTTGGGGACGAAGACGGGTCGAAATGCCCATATTTGTGGTTTCGAAAGTGGAGGGCCACATTGTCGTTCAGCCCGGCCTCGATGATTCGTAGTCATGCTATCCTTAGCAATGATTGGGCTGCTTTATTTGACAAGTGCCATTTTGTGTCTCGTTGAAACATCGAGTCGTGCACGATGCATGCAAAGCATGGCATGGCATGTATTTTCGTATAATAAATTACTGTCAGCAATGTGGAGGGCGTGATGTGCGGGCCTGTGGCGCCGAGTATGTTGGATGCCAACGAACCCCTGAGCCACTCCTGCTGTGGCGTCTTCTAGCACGCATCACAGGCCAAGAGTCCGCTGAGACAACCTCCGAGTCACTGCCAACGGCCATCATTGAAACTCCACCATGCGAGGCGCAGCAGGGCAAATCGCCAGCATATTCGCTGTGGTCTGTAGATTCCACCGCCACAAACAACCGGCACCAAACGACGGCTGTAAACGAGACCAACAAGGCCAGAATATTTATTCCTCGTCATGCCTCGCTTCCTTCAGTGATTCCTCGTCCGACCTCCCCCTTTATTCCTTTCTTCTCATCTCCATCTTTCCACCGTTCCCGCGTCGCCCCTCTTGTGCGCTTCTTGAGCACAGCAAGACGCCGGCACACCCAAGCCACACGCACGCCCCTCCCCCTCTGCACTTCGCTCTGCTCCACACCCCTCCATCCTCAACTCAGTTCCGTGCCCTGCTTCCTCAGCTTCAATCTGCGCCGGCGCGCCGACTCGCAACTTCTTTTTTATTTTTTATTGTTCGGCTCGACCAGTTAACGCCCACTCGCACCATCTCCCGCTGTCCGTCCTATTATTGGGGCTTATTGAACTCGCCGCACCGCAGGAGCCCATATTGGATCAGCGCGCTGCCCCTCTAGCCGCTTCCTCTTGCGTCGTGCTTAAACAGGATCTACCTTGGTCGACTCGGCCCAGCCGCTGAATCCCATCGCTGCTTAAATACTTGATATACCCGCCCTTCCCGGCTTTCGCAGGCTCTCTTCCCGGAGAGTCCGCTGCGCTGCCCTTCCTCATATGGCTTCCACCACGGCTGCCCAAGACGAGTTCAACCAGCTAGTGTCCAACAACGCAGACCGTGCCACGACACATCCCGAGGACAAGCACGACGCCGACCGGTCAGAAAAGGACGAGCTCAGTGAGGAGGAGACATATCGCAACGCCCAGATCGACGCCGCTATGCGTATGCCCACCACCGCCGCGGAGCTGAAGCTCCCACCCGCGTCCTTTGACAGCGGCCGCTTCACCGGCGTCAAGGGCGTCATCGCCGACGCTCGCAGCTACGAGACGGCGCGCAGGAGTAAATGGGTCGACCGCGCTCGCAACGCTCGCCGGAGCATCCTTGGCTTCGCCGGCGTGGCCCCAGCCACCGGCAACAGCGTCACCATCACTGGCGGTGCCCGATCCGACAGCGAGACAGACGACGACGCGAAGAGCAACACGGATGAAGACAGCTTCCTGAGTGAGTGGCGCGAGAGCCGCCGGCGAGAGCTGCAAACCGCCACAAACCGCGTCGTGCGCACGAGGAAGACAAGCCCGAGCGTGCGCATCTACGGCCGCTTGGACGAGGTGGACGCTTTGGGCTACCTTGACGCCATCGAAAAGGTCAACCGCGACACGACAGTTGTTGTCTTTGTGTACGATAATGAGGTAAGCATCCCAGCTCTGGCGCAAAGCTACATGCGTAAGTTTGGTATCATGGCTAATACGGAATTAACTTTAAGTGCGAGGTATCGGTGACCATCGAAGAAGCTCTTATGCCTCTCGTACAGGCCAACCCGACTGCGCACTTCGTCAAAGTCCACTACGACGACATTGAATTTGATCCGGCCGCCGTTCCTTCACTGCTCGCCTATCGCAACCAGGGCGATCTGGTAGCGAACCTGACGGGTATAATTGAGATGATGCCGGACGACGATAGCTTCGACTCGGCATCTCTGAAGAGAATTCTCCAGCAGCACCAGGTGCTGTGAAGGATGAGCTTTTTTTGTTGGATTCTTGCCAATTTTCGAGTCCAGACTCACGTTATGCTGCGTCGTAATTCGACGCAGGCCGGAGCAGACTGGGCTGCTGCTCGAACATGACACTACATCAACGATACCCCTTTTTGCTTCTTGTGCCCGTATTGCCCCCCGAGCAAGGCATGTCTTTTGCTGGCCAATCGGCTGTTGTGCTACCTACAAACTCTTGGTAGAAGTTGAGAGGTGCAGAATTTGCATTTTGCATCTTTGAGGCGAGTAGCGGCGCTGACGGTGTGCACATTGCTTGAACTTGTTTTATTTCTGTCGCGGAATCGGTTTTTTTACTCTGCAAAGCTGTAGAGAATTACATCCCCGGATAATATGGGCAGAATGAATTGTTGTAGAGGTGGATCATGTACATCCTGGCGTTTATTGTTCGTCGTGGTTTTCTATTTTGCTTTGTCCTCCTGGTTATATACCAAGTTGTTCTGGCCTCGTTTGAAAGGCACCTATTGCTGATGGCTGTGGCACAGTCACTTGGAACAAAGAGTGGAAATTCAATGAACTCGATATCAAATACAAGTGGAAACGTGTCATTTTCTATCATTGGAGTTAAGCTGTTGGCTTGGATCTAGTAGAGCAGAGTAGAGTACAAGTCAGAACCTGCCGCGTGACGAGGACTCTGGGGATAAGTGATGTGTCAATGGGAATCTAGAATAACCACTCCAACCAATCCGTGTCGTTGGCTTGGTGGGAGGCGGAGGAATGGAGGGGCAGCGGGACAACTCAGGGCGGACAACTGGCTGACCCCGCAGAAGCGCATCTTTCGGCCCACTGCGAGGCGGCAGTGACAACACTCTGAATAAGAAAGAAGTGGCATGCCGCCGTCCTACAATCGTGCAACGTCATCACGTCAATGTCAGATACAGGGCTAGCTAGGAAATTTCATGCTGAGAATGCAAATGATAAATTCACCATGTTTGTTCCAGGATCGAGTATGCTTCTCTTGTTTATGTGCGCCTTAGATATGCCCGCCCTCTCCGACAGCGTCTTTGATTGTACCTCCCCGCCATAGGTACCTGTCGAGGCCGCTTCCCTGACGTGTCACGCACGCAAGGTATGAGTACCCAAGTGTAATATATAGTTATTCAGCATTCCCAACCTTGCCGGTTCTCGTCCTGTAGCAAAGCCCAGTCGAGTCTTATCCATGCATCCCGTCATGTGGCCTCTGGTTAGGCGAGGGGTTCAATTGCACTATCGTGGCGCTCAGCGAATGGCAACCCCTCACCGCAGCGGGGGGCGACTCTTCTAGGTGCCGTACAGTGTGTGCCGTACTATGCTCAGCGCGCTTCAGGTACTCGCAACTGGCTGTGCTCAGCACACTCACCCGCTGTACCTACAGTGTGAAGTAGCAACTCCGCCTCCCTCATCACGCTGCCTGGGTCGGCCCTGCTAGCACGGCCAACTTGCTCCATGCATGCATCCCATCCCACCTTCCAAGGTGAATGAATGCAGCCTGAAACGCTTCCTTCATCTTGCCCTCCTCTTCCTGCTTTTGCATCTTTTTGCCTTCTGCATTTGAAAGTCATAACCACGTCCAGATTATTGCGTCGCTCCGCGTTCTCGCTAATAAACTTTCTGCCTGCCCTAACTCGCCTCCCACCCGCTTAGTACTTTACCCATTCACGTCCAGCCATCGCCACTCCGCAGCCCACGTTCGCAATCTTTCTTCACAGATGACCAAGCAGCAGGGAACATAGGCACCGATAACGATCGTATTGGCCCTTTGCATCTGCTCCCGCTGGCAAATCAACTACCTCGCCGACCCGTGCAAACCCGGCCCCCCGCCGTCGTCAACCCCACCTATTCCGATATCAGGCAGCATCAACCTACAAACAGCCGCAGTCAACGACAACGCTGCTACGCAAAATCATAGATGAAACCCTATGCTTCACCCATACATTTAAAGACTGCGACGCCGCATTAAACTTTCCGAGTTTCCCTCGCTCTTTCTACATGGTGGTTAGTGTTGCCCGCACCTGCACTGATCCCCCATCTTTTGACGCTGCGTATAAGCCCATGCATACTCAACTCCATGGCCGCCATCTACTGACGTGACTCCGCTGACCTGTGTGCTTCATGATGGAACAGCAAGATATCGAAATACCGTCGACTTCACCGTCTTCGAAACAGCGCCGCGATACGCAGATATATTCTCCCCTGCCGAGACCATTGCTGCAGCCAGAACACCGAGACCCCCAGCTGTCCTCCTCCGAACCCACCCTCCGATTTCCACTGCCGCAGGGCGACCAGAACCTTGCTCACTGGATCTCTAGCAGTGATCCGGACATTATGCACTTGACAAGTGTTTCGGTCGAGGATGCCGGCCTGTCCGAGTCCACGTACGAGTTGATAGGAGGCACCGATACCGAGTCTCAGGACGGCAACTACCTGGACAATATTAGCGAGTCCGTCGGCTCGCTCGACATGCATCGCCCAGACGATGTCATAAGCCTTGCTGGAACGGAAAACACTTGTGATGAAGACTCCGTCGCCGATGTTACCGAGGAACACCATGCACACCGTGGGATCGATGAGCATGAGTTCAGTCGAGGGCCAGAGCTCAGCCATTTCCAGTTGCACCACGTTTCCGCTGCGGAGAACTCCGACGATGATGACAATTCCTCCAAGGCTTCTCTAGAGTATGCAGATAATAGCCTGCGTACCCCCTCGATTCTTACTCCCGAGGCCAGCCGGTACTTGGTCAAGCAAGATGAAGTCGCTAAGAAGAACTTTCTTACCAGGGGGCTTTTATGGACGCATGGTGTGTCGGACTCTCTCGCAGAAATGTGTCTTTCTGCACTACCAGTCTTTGTCGCTCTTCTCGCTGTGGCCATCGTCACCCAAACCTTCGTCCCGAGCGCCGAGACCGACTCTGAGCCTGCCGTGTCTGGTATCGCGGCTGTGCCAACGGTAACACCTTCTACGCGGAGCCAACACCAGAATACCGTGACACTTAGCTCGCCTACCTCTGGAGTTGCGCTGATCCCGTTAACCTCTTCGCCAGACGAAGGCCTCTTCCGTTCACGGAAACCGACTGTCTCATTCACACCTCACGGCAAGAATGACGTTCTGATTCACGTTGCCCAGGACGTCAGAGATACTTGGATGACGAGCAAATGCCTTGATGTTTCTGTTTTGAGGAGCACGCAGGAGCTTGAATTTTCACTATCTGCCGTTGACGACGGCATCCTCGTGAAGTTTCCCCGCCGAGAGGCTTACGGTGTGGTCAACCTCTCCATCAAGAGCATGTGTCGTCCAAAGACAGAAAAGGCCATCAAGGTTCACTTTGGCAAGGGGATCATTGTGGACGCTTTTGAGAGGACAAAGAGCCTCGCACAAGATCTGTCGGAGCTGGTCCCCGTTGCAGTATATGAGGCAGAGCGGTGCCTCGCCGGAGCTAGACGTGTTCTTGGATCTGCTTCGGACTCATTTTCCCATGCATGGCTAGTTGGGGCCGAAAGAGCACAGGATCTATTAATCAGTGCCAATATTGGCACTGGTGACCATCTTGCCAGCTCTGTCTCCGATCTTTGGCGACAGGCTGTTAACTTTATCCATTCCACCACCGAAATCCCGCACAAATACTCCAAATACGCACACTCAGTGCGCAGTGTTCAAGCGCAACTTCGACTCGGGCTCCTGGATGCGCAGATCTCCGCACGCATGTGGTGGCTCAAGATACAAGGCAAGGACGAGGAGTACCAGATGTATGCTAGCATGGCACAAGTGTACCTACAGCAGAAGAAGGCGGCAGCTAAAGAGCTTCTACAAAAACTCCAGTCGAGGGCCAAGACAACGGCCTAGGAGGCTCAAGTCGGTCGCTCGCGCTACAGGGCTTTGTGGGGGTTTGGCAGGGTATAACGTATGCCTCGGCCTCGTTGGATGTTGTTTCGACTGTGGCGCAAACACAATCAGAGAGCTATTACGCATGGAGCATAGGAGTTTGAGGTTTCTTATCTTCTTTGGTTGCTTATTTTGGTAGTTTTATGTTTCTGATTTCATACTGGCAAGCCGAGGGGATAGTCTACCTATGTTTTGCAGCTTTACAGATTTGGCCGCGCCGGTGGGGGGGTATAAGGAAGGCTTAGATATTTGATTTGAAAGAAGAATACCACTCGTGCTTTTTATTGGAACTTATTAGGCTCTGCTGCTGCGAAACCTCGTGATGGTTGATGCCTATGGGTAACACTGTTGGCGCCCAGTGGCACTTGGGCTGTGAGGTAGGGCATGGGAAATGTACCTTTGCCAGTTATTTTCGGGAAAAGGTACCTCAGCAATACGCACAACTATTAGCAAAGGGTGGGTGGCAAGAGGTGCCAGGTGCCCACTCCTGGGCCTCCCAGGCAGTAACTGACCAAGGAAGCGCTTGCTTGCTTGAATGGGCTTGGGCTTGTGCTACCCGCCGTCGTCGCCCTGGCCCGCCGCCGCAAAGATGAGGGGCAGTCTTCGCTCTTTTTTCATTAGCCCGCACTTGTGCAATTTATTACAACAACAACCACAGGACTATAACTAGTTCTCATCTGCTACTCGGACCTCCCAAGTCTCTCTATTCTCTTGGCCCATACGAGGAGCAGCAGTATTTCATATCGAGAGCTGGCCCTGTAACCATTTTTATCCATACCGGTACGTCTCGCAACGCCGGTCAGCGATGGCTCGGGTCGCCGCCCCCTCCCCCTCTTCCATCGACAAGCTCCCACACCGGCCCTCCTCTGCTTCCGCCTAGGAACGAACGTCCGGTCACGCAGAAAGGCGCTTGCTGGTGGACAGTTACGGATGAACGGTCAAAGGCTAACCTTTCCTTCCTATTTCTTCCCTCTAGAGCAGATTTTCCCGACTCAAACAACTACGCACATCCATAAAGATGTCTGCCGCCGGCACTGAGCCCCTGGTCGAGGAGACCCAGCCTGTCGAGGTTCCCCAGGTACGAGCGCGAAACTGCGATTTTTCTAGTGTTGCAGCGGGACGACTGCGCTGCTATTGAACGGTCATGGTAGAGAAGAGGAGCACAGAAGTTGTCGTGCGGTTGCAGAATTTATTCGTGCGAGCAGCTCTTACTAACTGCTATTTTTCACCAGACCACGGAGGAGACTACCACGACCGAAACTGCGACTAGCGAAGTTGCCACTACTGAGCCCGCCGCTGAGGAGCCCGCCGCTGCTGAGGCCACCACCGCCGCTTCGGAGACTGCCGCCACTGAACCTGCTGCGACCGAGACCGAGGCCAAGGAAGATGCTCCCGTCACTTCCTCGGCCGTCTTCTCCATGTTTGGCGGTGGCGCCAAGAAGGAGAAGAAGGAGGACGAGGACCGTGGTGATACCTCTGGCAGCGCAAAGGCTCAGCGGGATGCCGCCAAGGCTGAGGGCGAGGAGGAGGCTCCCGAGAGCGAGGACGTTCACTTTGAGCCTGTCATCAAGCTGACGGAGAAGGTCGAGACCAAGACCAACGAGGAGTCTGAGGAGCAGCTCTTCAAGATGCGCGCCAAGCTCTTCCGCTTTATCAAGGAATCCAACGAGTGGAAGGAGCGTGGTACTGGCGATGTTCGTCTGCTCAAGCACAAGGAGAACGGTCGCACACGCTTGGTCATGCGCCGCGACAAGACTCTCAAGGTCTGCGCCAACCACTACAGTAAGTTGAGAAGAAAATCAAGGAAAAAAAAGGAACACCGATCTAACGAAGAGCAGTTGTGCCCGACATGAAGCTTGCTCCCAACATTGGCTCTGACCGGTCTTGGGTTTGGAACGCCGCCGCCGATGTTAGCGAGGGAGAGCCTGAGGCGGTAACTCTGGCCATCCGACTCGCCAACTCTGACAATGCCAACGAGTTCAAGGATGCCTTCCTCAAGGCGCAGCAGGAGAATGAGGTACTGTTCAAGGAGGCCGAGGCTGCTGCTGCTGCTGCTGAGGGCACAGCCGAATAATGATAATCAATAAATAAAAAACCCACTTCCTGGGATTTTTCTTTCTTTAGCAACTAGATAAGTTGAGCAATGACATGAAATCCGTGTCAATGTATACGTGATAACTTAAAAAAAACGCTTTTTCCGTTCCCCTTTCCATTAATTCCAGAAAAAGTCGCCTCCATTTTTGAGAAGGAGAAAAGTTGAAACCCCCTGTCATCCCTTATAGAGCTACAAGAAGCTGAAGGGATCCGAGCCCTACAGCGGTTGTGTCCCTCCGTTGGGGGCAGAGCCGCCGCCGCCGCCGCCTGTTTCCAGCGTGGGAAATTGTACAGGATCCATGGCCATGTACTCGAGCAGGTCGAGGCCACCGACGTTGACGCCCTCGGCCGTCATGGAGACACCGCCATCGCCCATGTTTTGGAAGAATGCGGGGCCGGCGGGCAGGTACCACATCTCATTGCCCGGGTTGTTCCACTCCTCGAATAGCGTCACGTCCATGCCGCCGGCGCCGGCGGTTGCGGTGCCGCCATTCTCCATCGCAGCTGCCGGCGTGGTGGGGCCGGCAGACACCGGCGGGTGGTAATGGAAGGCGCCAGTGCCGAGGTCGAATGGGGTCGCGGAGATGTTGTTGCCTTCCATCGTCGGGGAGAGGGGGCGGCGCTGGCCATTGAGCCCATCACGCAGCTTCTGGGCATGCCCCGACCAGCCGTTCTCAACGGCATGGGCACCAGCGGCACCCGAGTCGGGCACGGGGCTCTGCTCCCGGCCGGACAGCGGCCCGGTGGGCGCCTGGATGAAGCGGTTCCGCAGACGGCTCGTCAGCGTCTCGAGCAGATCAGCGAAGCGAAGACCCAGGTGCACGTCGTCGACCACGCAATTGCGGAGCGCCTCGACGGTGGCGTCCATGAGATCGATGCTCATGCGCACGTCGGCTCGCGGGGCGCCGAGGGCAAAGGTCTTTAATAAGAACATAGCTCCGCTAATAATGCGGAAGTAGGTGCGTACTGGGGCGTGTTTGAGGTAGCCGCCTGGCAGGAGGCCATCGACCACTGTATGAAGCAGCTTGCGACATCCATCGACAACCTCGCGAACATATTCTTGATCTTGGGCAGTGAAGCCACCCAATTGACCAATCGGGAGCTTGCCGTACGTCATGAGAGTCGCGGGAGAGAGCGTAGGCTGGGCGCCTTGGCCGTTCGAGTTGTTGGATACTGTCTGGGTGGCATTGTTGGTGCAACGTTCCACAACCGCCTGCAAAGAGAGCGAGTTGACATAGATGCGCACATACTCGTACTCGATGGTCAAGATGTAACGAATATACTGGGGCAGACGGAAGAGTTCAAACTCACGGTACCAATCCTTGAGCATGGGCCCGTACTCGCCCAGTAGCTCAACATACTTGCCGCTCTGGATTATGTCGGTGGTGTGCTGGCGTGACTTGAAGAACTTTTCGTTGCCAATATACATGGCATTGCTGATTCCAGCCCAGCAGTGGATGATTTGGTCATCGAGCTCCAGGTCGGGTACGTAGTTGAAGGTGTTGGAGAGGGAGTAGCTAGTAGACGGGGTGTTGCCGTCGGTCGTCAACGGCCGTTTGCGGGCCACGGCAGGGTCGGCCCGGCGAAGATGCTCTGGGGCCATGCTGGTCCAGCCAAGCCGACCAGCGAGCTGAGAGGTATATATGAGGAGAAGGCGCTTGATGCGGTTGGCACGCAAGCGATATGCTTCATCGCGGTATTCAGGGCGGGTGATGGCATCGTCCTTGAGCATGGCGTCAATGTCGTCAAAGACGCCCAGCTCATAGGCGAGACCCATTGCCGTGCTAAGCAGCATCCAGCACATGCGATCGCTGCGCCAGGCGGGCTCGAGCCAGCTTTCAATTCTCTTGCCGCCGAAGCTGCCACCTGCCGGGCGAGCCATTTCGTCCTCTGTGGCCATGAGCGGTGAAGACTCAGCCATGGGAAGGACGAGCTCATCCGTGGCTTCTTGTGGAGGGAAGTGCAGGGCGCGGGGATGCCACTCGGTGAGGATGAGCAGCGACTCAATGGTGCCAAGAGTTCGCAGACTACCTTTGCGCAAGCCTCGCCAGGGCGCGGTACTACTAGTCTCCTCGCTCAGCATGGCAGTAGTAGCTGAGCCGCCTGAGCCGCAGAAGCCGCCCCCGAAGGCTTCCTGCCCCCAAAGACAGCGCTCTATCATACCGCGGAGGTATGTCCAGAGCTGCTCTGGAATAGCGTGTGAGCGGCATTGGCCACCAGTGCCAGGTATCTGACGATATCTCGAGGCGATGGTGAGAAGAGTTACGGTAAGTATGGGTTCTTCCGTCAGGAGGGTAAGATGAGAGGCGGGGTTGCTAAAGGTGGGTGGCGAGATGGGTGTGAGAGGAGAAAGGTATTTATAGTAGCTGACGACGTTAGCGTGTTGGGATTGGGATACGGAAGCATGGGAGCAAGGCATACTAGTCAATGTATTCAATTGCCTCTTGCGCGGTGAACCAGCCGGCACGGACGAAGCGGAATCTGGACCATGCCTTGATGGCATCGGCGTATGCGGGGTGAGAGGCCAAGTCGGAGGTGTGGTGCTCGACTTGGGCAGGACGGGCCGAGGCGGATGGCTGGCGGGGAAGCTCACGGACGGAGGATTGGCGTCGGTTATGAATGCTGAGAGGATTGGTATGGGATGTAGAGGCAGCCGAAGTGGGAGCAGCAGCGCCCGAGGCGGAGACGATGCTGCTGTCACGTTGGTGATTGGAAGCAGGGCTAGGGGGACGAGTCTGTTAGCAGTGCTCTGAGGAGTAGGAATATGCATGAGAGGGGGTTACAGACCCATCGGTGGCGGCCTTGTAGAGGAGGTCGAGGGCATCATGGGGACCGTAGACGGTCTGGCGCATGACGGTCTGGGCTTCAATGTTCTCGAGGGTCTGGTTGCCCTCGTCTCCGGAGTCGTCGCCGGTCCGCTTGTCGCGACGGCCGCCGTCAGGGCGGCGCAGAGGCTGACTGCGCCAATTCGTGTTGCTTTGGGGAATTGTAGGCTCGGCGTAGACTCTATGTTCGACCCGTCCGGGGCTGGTTGCCTGGACCTTGCGGCGGCCATTTCTGATGATGTATTCCTCGAGGTCACTGCCGTCGTCCTCGCTCTTGCGCTTGCGACGAGTGGCGGAGAAGAAGCATTCCTTGGATTCGCGACGGCACCGAACGCAGGGGGGGTCGTGGGGGTTGTCGACGCTGCCGAGGTCACATCTGACCTTGCGGCGGCGGCAGGGAATGCAGGCCTGGTAGACGCGCTTGTGCTGGGCATTGGCGGTAGAAGCGGCGGCACCAGACAGGGCGACTCCGTCATCGCGGGGCGTGTCGTTGGCGGCCGACGAGGTTCCCTTTTGAGAATCCGGACCGGACTGGTGGCCGGGGGTCGAGTTGAGGGCTGGGCTGGCCGCGGCGGCATTGCTGGCGTACTGAGCCATGGTGTCGTTGAGCCGAGACACGGGCGGGTAGGAGGGAGTAGGCCTGCGCGGCCAACAGCGGCGGGGAGATCTGAAGCCAGAATAAGCAAGGCAAAATAGAGATTGGCACACCAGCAGCGGCGAATCGGCTGAGGGCGGAAGGATCAATGTGCAGGAAGAGGAACGGGCAACAAGCGCGCGTATGCCGTGCTGAAGCGTTCACAGAGGTTTGGCTGGGGGAGATGGAGGGCGGCGGGGTTTGTGGTTTTTGGTCCGCCTTGTCTCGGTATAAGAAAAAAAAGAAGACAGCTGTGTGGCAGAGACCAGGACGAAAAAAAAAATGGTCCCTCGAGCACGGTCAGATCGTGGTGGGTAGTCCCCCGATGAATTGACGACGAACCCCGCGCAGGACTGCGAAGAAACGTGTTGGGGAAATGAATTGGTGAGGAGGTTTTGTGTGATAACTAGTGATGTTATGTCGATTGAAGAGGGGGAAGAGTCAGGAATGGCAAGCCGTTTGGACGGTGAGGAAGGAAAAAGAAAGAAAGCCAACGGCCAATTCGGTACGCGGCAAGGGGGGTGTGTCTTGGTGTGGTGTTACCTGCCTGGCAGACAGAAGGCTGTACCTATAGAAGGGCGGTAGGCGAGAGGCTTCACGATACTAGCTACTAATAAGTTAGGTAGTCCGGCCTGCCCCAACTTTTTTCTCTGCGCATGTTGTGCCTGTTTACGACACGGCTCCCTCTGTAACGCACTCTAAACACGGCGGGGTGTCTGTCGACTGGTCCATTGGCACCGCATTCAAGTCAACAGTAAACCCCATCCCACGCATTACTACATACATAGGCGTTCTTGTCCACATCCACATTTCCATGCACAAATCCAACAACCTTGGTGTCCTTGTTCATGATGACCTGGGTTGGCCATTCCTTGCCATCTCCGTCCCTTTTAATGTTATTGCCAGGACGTGGTGGTGAATGTGCGGCCTAGAGGGAGCTGTTGACCTGGGTACCTGTCAGCCTATATACCTGAAGCACAGGTACTTATCGGCGTTGTTACTGGTACTTGGGCGCACATCGTTCCCGAGGCCTGCTGGCACCTGGCATCTGGCATGAGCTGCCACCTGGCAGAACGCGCACCTGGCAAAAGCCAAGCGAAGCCATCCAGTGAACTTTTGTTCGGCGGCCCTCTGTTTGTAATACCATTTAGTCCGCATTATTGTGACGCTACGCCGGAACCCTTCCGTTACCGTCACTCCGAACAATCCACGCCGACTTGCACGACATCAGATTGTCAACGTGCGGTCGTATATCTCGCCACGATCTCTTGACATAAGCGCTTCACTATATGCAATCATGGTAAAATTATGCATTTGATACGGAGAATTAATCAAATACACTTTTTTCCTCATCCCCTTTCACCCTCCGTCCCAATGAACATACACGCCCCGGCCATACTGAAGCGCATCCATGCCCCCCTGTACTAAACTAACTAGAAGCTGCATCCCTTTTGTGGCTTTCCTATTACCAAACCGACCTCCTTCCCAGCCAATCACCATCTGCACTGCCCCCCGCCGTCCGCCTCAGGTCCTTCCTTGTATGGTCACGTTGACCTTGTAGATTTTTTCTTCTTCCTCCTCCTCTATTTTCTTCTCTCTTTGCGTTGGCAGGTACAGGCTAAACTTACGGATGCACCACAAAAAGCCCACTCACCATGATGATGTACTCGACATGCATCGGATTGGTGGGTGCTCGCAGCAAAGCCTCCTCTCTCCGTGACCTGCTTCCGGGTTCTTCATTTGCTCTGATCTGGTCATCATTGCCGCCCTATTCTTAGTGCTGTTCCCACCTGTCAACCGCCACTCATATTCCGTCCTTTCGGCTTGACGTTGACCTCCCATGGACCTTGCTGGTCTCCATCACCACAGCATCCTCCACCGCGATGGCCTAATCGCACCACGCCCGTACCAGAGTAGGCGGCAGAAAACGAGGCTGCAGCTGCCGACAGCATCTAGCATGGTCCATGACCGCAGGGATGGCCTGGAGCTTGGCCCGAACCTCACTCTTCCACCCCTTCCACGGGAAAGCAAACCAAGCCGGTAGCCCGCGCGGCCGTGCGGCCGTGCCCCATAGGCACTCGGTGTGGCTTCGTGGCTGCCGTACCTCGCAGCCGTCCATCCGTACCCGGCCACGGCCCAGCCTCGCCAGCCTATTATTGCCCCTGCTTCTCCTGCCCGCCTACGAAAAGGTCGAACCTTGCGTTGATGATACATCTAGTCTGCAACGCAGAGTGCCCGCTACCCAACGGCTTTGGTGTATGTGCATGGTGGCAGTTGCTGTCGCCTGAAGCCCCGTCGCAAGCAGCAGCACAGCAGGGTTGGCAGAAATCCCAGAGACAGTTCCATTTCAATGCCTTTTTATCGGGCCTCGCTCTGTAGTTGCATAACTACCATCTTGATCCTGTTCTGGCAGCACATTGACAAAACCCCGGTACCCCCGAGCCGTACGTCTACTTACGTGCGAGCCGCCGCTCGCGGCAAGTCCTGCACGGATCACGTCTTATGAACCTGTCATGCATAGCGCCGCTCGCTGTACGACCATACACACATCCGAACGCAACCCGTGGTCCGGTCTGTACCCAATTATCCCGTGGCAACATTGAGCACGGGTGGCTCCACGACCGCAGAGACAACATGCTTGAATCTGCGTGCTATGCTCAAGGTGGCAATGCGACGCTTCCTGAATGCTGAAAATGCATGTCAAAGAGAGGGGCGGCTGCTTGCCCACACAGCTCTTTCTCTTGATCTTAATAGCTAAATGCGAAGTGTACTAGTCCTTTGTTCATCATTCAACAAGAGATTGTCTCGTCACCATATGTTTCAGTGCCAGCAGAACGCAGCGAATGCGACGATTGCCGCGAATGCCACGGACGAGCTCATTCCGACAAACCATTAAAGTCAGCACGCATGTCTCTAGAAGACGAACCTATCAAGATAGTCCGCGGCCACATTGGTCGCAAGCGGTGCGAGGAACTCCGTACGCGCTCGACAGACTGGAACCCCAGCGTCGTCTACTAATCCGGCAAGGGCGTCGGAGCACGCGGCGCGGCACCAACTCTGGGTGTTGCAACGCCCCAGATCATCCAGAGGGCCTCGGTCGCCGACATGAACGAGCGTGTAGTCCAAAGATCAGAGCCGGGCGCCGAGAGCCCAAAATCCGAACGCGTCTGAAGACAAGATGTGGGAGGTGTGCCTTGGCCCCCATGCTGGGAGTGTGCATCTGTTGAATACTACAGAGGATAGCCAGTCGAGTGTCGTGTAGGGGTGGTTGTCTGGCTCAAGTCTTCATGCTCGGGTAGAGTCTTGTCGTGGCTCAACGCACAGAATGTGAGGCTGCTAGAAATCAACCATCCAATAGACGACCATCTTCTGGTTTTGAGCTGGCGCTTATTTTGCGTGTCTGCCCCCCTTGTCAAGGCCAAGCCACCTCGGATGCCCATCCCGAGGAGCAGGGAACCCGCGAGATGGAGACCGGGGACGGGGCAGATCGCGGTACCGAGAAGGAGTAGAAGAATATTCTCTCGTTTTCTTTTTCTTTCTTTTATCTGCGTTGATTGATGCGATGTCTCCCGACTTCAGTTGCAACAACGCTGTCTCTGGTTGCGTGTGGCAGACGCTCCCCCGGGGAAAGACAATCTGTAGATCTGCCATGTATGCATATGCACGTCATGACACGACATATTCGACCAGGTAGGTAACACGCTTCAAGGGTAGAGTTCTGCCAGCATATTGGCGATGGCAGATATGCCCAACAATGAGTATTACCTCGAGGAATCAGCAACACGAGAGACGCAAGGAGTTGGCTATTGCAATAGCGGGAGTCTAGGCATGGAGGGAGGAGAAGAGGGCATGTAGCATTTGGCGCATATTCACGCCGCATAGATAAACAAATAATTGGACCGGATTGCCATGACTTCATTGTAGATGGCGTTGACTGTTGACAGCTGCAGTGCTCGGAGGGCCCTTTCAAAAGTCGAGTCTGGCGCTAAGTCTTTGCCCGACCCCACGAGGGAGCGTGACGATAACTTCCTAACACAGGAGAGCGCTGAAGCTATCACGCACTTGCGTAGCAGCTACCATGAGTTGCCCAGTATGGGATTATGGTGAGCTAGGTATGCTGTAAGACTGCGCAGAACTTTTTTCATCATGGCTTTTATGTTGTTATTCATTTTAGCCTTTGATATCTCTCGCATCTGCCCTGTACATATGCTTATTGGAACCTTCATTCTGGAATCGCAATAGACGCAATTTCTGAAAGATAAGTGTGTAGCAACAGATCCTTTTTTGCGTGAGGCAAGAGGGCGATGGAGAGTGGGCGTGACGAAGTTGCTGGCGTTTTTACGGGTGTAGGTATGGCTTAATCTAGGGACAGGCAAGCAGGTTGGTCAGGTTGTTTGATGGAAAGGCTGGGTGGCAAAAGAATATCCGCCTCGGTTTGGAAGGGAGGTGACATGGCTGTGCATATGGTACGGGCGAGTTGTCAGTCTTGCTGGCTTGGTTGTGCGTAGATGGTAGGTATGGAACGGGTGCTTTTGTTCTCGTGACGGTGATCACAGCAAGAAACAGAATGGCCTTGCTTGCTTTCGAAATTGAAGAGAGGCTTGTACAAGGCGAAAAGAACAGGTGGGAGTGCAAGTAACTAGCCATTTACTAACTTATTAGAGCGAGCAAACAACTGAAGGGAGCGACCAGCCGCCGCGTCCGTCCGGGTGGAAGCGCGTGGAAAGCAGGAGGGCTGGCTATTGTGTGTGGAAAGGGCAAGAAAATTCCCAGGAAGTGGGTTTTTGTTAACATGCCTGCCTCAGTAGTAAGGGAGCAACGAGCAAACAAGGACAAAGGGATGGGGGGAGGAATAGCCTTTTATTCTCTTGATCTTGCGGTTTTATATCTTCATCTACAGGAATTCATTGAATAAACAATGTGTATAACCAAAAGCGAGATAATTTTTCAATAATCCGTATAATTCTACTGGTGAACGGGTTGCCCCGTGCTCCGGCGGTAAGTGACAGCAATAGTGCAATAGTGAAGCGCTCAGCGCCCAAAGCCCTCCACTACCTTTGCTGTGCTGTGTGTTGGGTGGCGTGGCCGATTTGCTGCTATCTTTTTTCTTTGACGGGCCACTCAGCAAAGTGCCGTAGGTAGTAAGTAGTAGGAGGTAGGAGGTAGGAGGTATGAGGTAGCAGCCAATCCTTTCTTCCCCCTCCTCTCACTCGCTGTCACTATTTTTTTCCCTCTCCCTCTCTCTTCCTCTCTGCCTTGCTGCTGCTGCCCTCCCTCTCTAATCGCCCGCTTTTTTGCTCCGAGCCATCTTATCCTTCTCGCCTTACCGGAAACGAAAAGCCCGCCGCGGTTCCTTTTTTTCGCCTCTGCTCTTTTCTTCCCCTTCCTGTCTATCGCCCATTGCTTGGATAACAATCATCATCAGCTTCCCGGGCTTCTTTATTTCTATTTTTATTTCATCGCTAATTCCATCCTTATCCTTGGGAGTTCCTTTTACTTTGCTACCTGCTCTGTTTTAAATCTCCTGTCGCGTCAAACATACACACAAGCACCATGTTGGTGGAAGTAAGTGTTATTCTTTTCCTTTACTCTACCACCATTCACCATCCATCCCTCCTCTCCCATCACATGTCTGCTTTACTGCTCGGGGCAATAGTGACTTGAACCTGTTTTCATTTTTCCCGTCCATTACATTGCCTTTGTTGCTGTGTCGCGCCACTGGCATCGCCGCCTTCATGGTGTTTTGCCCCTTCCTGCTTCCCTTACTACACCAGCCTTGCCGCAGCGAACCAAGCGCACGCACAGGTTGTCTGCATGGCTTTTATCTCTCTTCAGCATCTCCCCTCCCGTTCTCTATTCATCCTACCTTTCAATTCTTGATGCGCCGTGATTGGCTAGGCGGCTGGCAGTCAGTCGTTGCCAGCTGGGGGCCAAGCTCCGCGTCTGCCAGCTGCCAGGGGTCGTTGCCGCCACCACGCCTCGCCCTGCTGCTGCTGTTGCTGTCTTGTTACAGCGAGGGCCAGTTCGAGTGAATGCCATCACCCACCGAGTTTGTGCCGCCGCATCCTGTTTTTGGCTCAAAACTCGATTCATCGCATGTCCGCCATCATGTAACCCTCACATCTGGAGCATCGGCTAAGCTCCTCGCCGTCTTGCCCAGGCTCTCACTTGAAGCAACCACCCGTCTCTCATCTCCCTTCTGCCTGGCGTGCCTCACACATCAATCCCGTCGCCGTTTGCTCTCCGTTTGTCGTGAAAAGACTCTCTCATTCCGCACACATACCGCCCTTCTCTTCTCTTCTCCATAGCGCACTGCACAATATTGGCTTCCTCTATCTCCCAACCTTCCCTTTCTGCTCCTCGTTCTCTACCAAGGCCGTACCATCATGGCACCACGCAGGAACCGTGCAGCTTCCACCGCGCCTCACACAAGAAAAAAAACGCAAACATCCAAAATAATAATCGGTCCTAACGATAAACAGAGAAAAGTCAAAGTCGTCACTGACCAACATGTCATGTAAGCTTCTATCCACGACGCAAGGATCTTCCGCCGCGAGGCTTCTCTTACTCGAAATCTGTTTGCCGCCCGCGACGCCTGCGCATTCCATTGGCGTTGCGAAAACCTTTTCCGCCCGCTATTCTGCCCGCCATTGACGCTAACTGGACATCTTTCTGTTTCCTCACATAGTGATAAGCCCTCTCCCATGGCCGAGTTCCCAATGAGAGAATGGAGCATCCGCCTATACCTGCTAGACGAGGATGGCAACGAGCATCCTGGCGACGTCTTCACCAAGGTTGTCTACAACCTACACCCTACCTTTGAGAACCCAGTCCAATGTAAGTACCCGGTCGTGATGTGCTGGCAATGCTAGAAGCCAGCCGGCCCCAATGCCAGCCACTAACTCGTGCAGCTTTCTCCAAGCCTCCGTTCGCCTGTACCAACGAGGGCTGGGGCGAGTTCGAAATTGCTATCGACTGCTACACCACTGAAAAAACCAAGCTCGCCCCCATCATTCATGACCTCAACTTCCTCGAGTCCAAGTACGAGAATACTCACACCGTCGTTTTCAAAAACCCTTCCCAAGCCCTGCAGGAGCGCTTGCGTGAGACCGGCCCACTGCCTACAGACGAGGACCGTCCCAAGAAGAAGAGCGGCCTCGCCGGTGGCAAGAAGAGTGGTCAGAAGTACGACTATGAAAAGATTGCCGAGGCGCTTGAGAAGCTCGAGGAGGAAGATCTCCTACGCGTCATTCAGCTCATCAACGAGAACAAAGGGCCCAATACTTACATAAGAAGCGACGTTGATGGTGAGTTCTTGCTACCTTGGTGCTTCGCGTCGCTTAGCTGGCCATTGGTTGATGTCTGTGTGTGCTAATAGCGAATGACCTGAATGAAGCCGGCGAGTTCTCGATAGACCTGTATACGATGCCCGATCTTTTAACCACGAAGCTGTGGGACCATCTCGTACGTGTTATAGCTTACTGCGCGCCAACTCAGCGCATATGCTAACTGTCACTCAGTCTAAGAAGGGCATGGTGGCCTAAGCAGCTCAAGTCGATCCAGGTGCATCCGGGTGCACAGTCGGGTGCCCGATCGACTCCGGCGGAAACCAAGCCGCCAGCCATGGAAGATCCAGACGAGCCATATGCCTGGCCATGGCGTATATTCACATAAAAGACCGGACGAACTGCAACGCGAACGGAGGAGCAGTGACATCTCGTAATAAACTGCCAGATTCGACCTCCATTCACGAACTTGTATGCTCGGGGAATTATCCAAGGAGTGGATCCTGTGGCGTCCTTGCGTTTGGCACAGGAATTTATCTTTGTCCTAGCTCTCTTCGGGGGGCATTGTACCAGGTACATCGGAGGAGGAGAAGCGCGAAACATATGTTGAGAGCATTGAGAGCCTGTATCGATGAGTGTTGTTTGCCATTTGGCGTAAAACGACTTCTTTTTTTCGCAGTCATGGTTGTGGATCTTTTTTGGTCGTTATGTTGTCTGTGTTCGGGACGGAGTAAAGTAATGAAGAAACTTGATGGTAATTAATGATGTGACTAAGGGATGTGACTTGACATGTTCTGGGCTAGTATTTGCTTCTGTCCAGGATGAACATATCCTGATTACTACCTCAATGATATTTCATCACCCTTGTTTGTATCGCAAATCGGCATCTTCCCCCTCCACTTTTTGCTGCGAATCAACGAAATAGATGTAATAATTAAAAAAAGATGAGTGCATGATGTGACGATACTACCCATGCAGAAAAGACATCGACAAGAAAGTAGAGGGTAAGATAGTAAGTTTGGCTCTCCCAGCAGAAACTAGTACTCTATAGTGACAAAATAAAAGAGGATGGAAAGGGACAAAGAAGAGGCTTCTTCTCGTTACAAGCGTAGAGAAAAATTAGAATGACAAGGTATGTATTTTCATATCCAAAATCAAGAAGAGAAGATAGAGAATGCAAGCTCCGCTGAGTGTCCGTGTCGACGGGATGCAGATGAGACAGAATCAAAAAGAAGAGAAAATGAAAAGGGTATATAAACAAATGGGAAAGAAATTGCGACGGAAGAGAATGACTGCATGCGTGAATAATTAGAACATGGACGTTGTTAGTTCTGTTTCCATGGGTTGTGTGCTATTGACCAAACTGCGCGGCATGCTTGGAGTGGGCATCAGTCAGATCGTTGAGGACGCTGACCTGGCCGGTACGGTCCTCACAAGCAAGCTGCAGGCTGGTTCCCTCAACAAAGTCAAGGACGACGCTGTTGGGAAGTTCCTGGACCTCGACGTCCGGGCAGTATGGCGGGCGAAACTCGCTCAGGTGGTAGCGTTTTGTGCCTTGGGCGGCGCGGCTGCTAGGCGCAGGCAGCGCACTGAGCACAAGGAATCCCTGCGAGTCAATGCACATATTGCGGCGCTTCCAAAGCAGATTATCGGGGAACTGAACATTAACGTCGCCCAAGTAAGAGACGATCCAAGGCGAGGTGCCGGTGGTGGAGGGGCGGGATGCCTCAACGCGGAGGTCTTCATTCGGCGCTAGGGGCGACTTCACGGTAGGAGATGGGGTTGTCTTGGCGCGCGTACCAGAAAGGTTGGAAAGTCGGCGCATGAAGCGAGTGGCGCGGGACAGCTTGCTGTCACTCGACTTCTCTTCGCCGCCCGAGAGTGCGTCGTTTAGATCGGGAGACTGTGGCTCCTCGCTTTCCTTGCCGGTTGATCGACGGCTGCTAAACGACATGCGAGGAGAGAATGAGCCGTTCGCAGGCGGTGGCGAGGTAGCAGGAACAGGGTCCGTCGAGATGGTTCGTCTGTCCTTCCTCAAACCACGAACAAGACTGACGGACGAGCGGCGTCCGTCATCCTTGCTCGAGTCAGTCACTGTGTCTATGCTGGCAGTGCTGAAGTCTTGAGTGGGCTTCTGGTGGCTGACAAAAAGAGGGGACTGCTTCAGATCTAATGGGTTGAAGCCAGATGCATCCCTATGAGGCTCGTTGGCCTGTTGGTCAGGGTCGCGCACAATCTTGGCCATCACCGAGATAGATTCAGGTGCGCCACGAGATGAGTCAGAAGGGGAGGGCTGGAACATGGAAAGTCTGTTGGAAATGGACCCTGAGCGACCACGTTGGGGTCGGCTAGTCTCGGGCGAGGAATCAGAGCCGTCACGAGAAGGGGGTGCAGCCATTCGGAGAGAAGACGCGCGCTCAATTACTGACGGGGCGCGGAGGGGCTCGCTCTTCTTGACGGAAAAGAATGTCGACTGAGGACGTTCACGACTAGCGGGGCGACCCTCGGCGCCGCTGTTGGCAGAAAGCATCTCAAGAGCCTTGATGCGCTGCGAAATGCTGGAGCCAACATTGGACTTGGACGAGAGGTTGGCGTTATTCTGCTGCTGTTGTTGGTTGATCTTGTTGAGATACGCGGCTCCGGAGCTCATGGAACGAACTGAGGACTGGCTCGCATCCGAGGGCGAGATCAGATTACCTCGTACGGGATTGGACACAGTCCTAACAGCAAAGGGCTGTGGATTCGTGGCAGTAGATGGACGCATGGCCATAACGCCACTATCGGGCGTGATGGGCGTTACCGGCGTTGCGATGATGGATGGATTGGCGCCGGTCTCAGCAATCACTGAGGCAGCGGTAGGTGTCCGGCTTGCATCCGCTTGCTCGTCAATTCCAGTCGTCCGAATGGGCTCAACCAGTCCCTTGCGCTTCTCCTTCACGGGCTCAGCGGTCTCCGTCTCGATTCTAGGCGTATTCTTTGCCTCTACATTAACCTCTGTGGAGGATTCCTTAACCTCGTGCTGAGTAGTAGCGGTTGCATGTTCCTTGGAAGTGGCGGGTGCAGGCGGGTCGGATGTGATGAGCGTGAGTGTAGCGAGAGGGCTCTGCGTAACTTCTGCGGCAGGGGTCTCAGCAGCTGCACGAGTGGCAGCGATCAGATCCTGAGCAGATGGCTGAGGAGCGACATCCTGACCTGTAAGCTCGCCAGCGTGCTTCTCCACCTCCTTTACTTCTGCCTTGGGCTCTTCAGCGGATTGCTCTGTAGACTCTTCGATGGGTGCGGAACCGGAGTTGTTGGTTGAGAACTTGGAAATCGGAATAGCGACGGGTTCCTCGGTGGCGTCGGTATCGACATCAGGCGAACCAAAGAGGGCAGCCTCAGTGGCCCTAATGTGATCCTGTGTTGTCATATGCGTTAGGTCCTTGTCGGGAAGTGCGGCGACGCGGGCTAGCGCGTCGGCCTCCTTCTGCTGCGGCGTTGTTTCACCGGCCTCCTCCTTTTCATGTACGGTCTCATCGGTGGCGTCAGAGATGGATGAAGCTTTTGTCGAGTCGGCCGTTTCCGAGTCCTCCAATGCTGGGCTGGCTGGATGAGAGTCCGTGGCTGTAGCTTCGGAGGCTTGGTCGGCGAGGGATGTGTTCGACTGTGCATCGGCGTAGAGATCAGCTGCTTCGCGCGCAGGTGTTTCTTCGGGAGAAGGGCCACCAGCAGCTTGGGATAAATCGTCATCGCCAAGTGGCGCATCTTCAACCGTTTCCTCTTCCGTTTCAGCTTCAATAGTGTCGGTAGGGGTAGCAGCATCGTCGCCTTCCTGGGCGACCTTTTGAGCAGCAAGTCGCTTCTTCTCGCGGAGCTGCATAGCTTTCTTGAGCCGTGCCTTTTCAGGCGAAATCTTCTTGGCTGGCTTGAGGGTGGTCTGTGAGCTGGACGGGGCTAATGTCGGATCAGTGTTTTCTTTAGTCGCGTCATCGACCTCAGGAGCGACACCAAAATCCAGGGCCGCAATTTCTTCCTGTGGAGAGACGAGATTGTTGCTTTCGCGGCTCTTGTTTCTCTTGCCACCCTTGCCAAAAAGCTTGTACCCGGCAGGAATGGCAGACACTGGTCTAAAGTTGCCGGCAGTTTGGGGACGGATGTTGACGTCGAGAGAGGGCCGGGGACCCAGCTTCACCTTGGGCTTGCCATAGGGGTAGGATGAGGAGCTAGATAAGCTGCGGTCATGAGAATCTGAGGTGGAGGGACGCTCATCAGCACCAACAAAGGTGGGGGGTTCGGCGGTATCTTGGGCGGAGAATTTGCTTTGCTCGGGTGACGAAGCCAGATCGGCGTTCAGAGTGACAGGATTACGGTTCCAGTTGGGGTCGACGGGTGTTTTGGGAGGCAGGGCATCGGCCGTGACAGACTTGCGCTTGGAGGCGGGCTGGTCATCCTCGTCCTCCTCGGCAATCTCAACCAGACGCTTCTTACGGGAGCTAGTGGAGGAGGCAGTCGAGCCCGAGGCGGTGTGCAGAGAGCAAGCGGCGGAGAGCTTTGTGTCGGTCAGGGCGGTGGCAGAGTCGATTTCGAAGACGGTATCGTATGGTGAGAATCGCTCGCAGACAAAATTGAAATGGACGGCAACACGAGCTGGAGGATGTGTTAGGTGATGGGAGAGTTGACGTGGCAAGAGATGAAGATGGGTTCGGGCTCGACATACCTTGTATTAGGCGAGAAGAGTCTTCAGGGAGATATTTAAGAACGACATTTCGACGTCTGTACTTGATGTATCCGTACAATGGGCTGTCCTCGTCGTATTCTTCGATGCTAGTACGGAGCTCGGCAATACCACCAGCGCCAGTGCTGAGGAGTTGGACTTCGTCGCGGCTAGTATATTTGAGGAGAAACCTATGCGATTGGCGTGATTAGCTGAGACTATGTGGTCTGGTGGGATATGGCTAAAATGAATGAAAAGAGGAACGTACCAGCCTCCAGGTTCGGCTGCGGCGGTCTGGAAGGCCTCTGTGACCTGGGGTTCGTCGAGGCCGTTAAGCGACATGGCTGTGTAATGTACGGGATGTTGTGGTAGCTCGCAGCGTCTCTATTGAGGAGGATGACCAATATGGTCGCGGATGAGAGATTGGGCACTCGAATAGCGCAGAGTTGGGCGGGCCGGGCCGGTCAGGTATCGAGTCGGGTTGATCGTCACAGACGAGAGACGAGAGTCGCAGAATGGCGTAACTGGAGCGGTAGAAACGTGGAAGAAGTGGTCATGAAAGCGACGAGCTAAGAATACTGCCCAAGGACCAGCTCCGAGCTCAGAATGAAGAAGGAGAAAAAAGTCGGGGGAATAGGAGGAAGGCGGAAAAAGAAGGGGCTTGTGGTTGGTGGAGGGGTCGTCCGGTCTGTGTGTGTGGTTTGTGGTTTGTGGTTTGTGCGGTCGACGAGGGAGTCGGTTCGTTGGCTCAGCTGGTCAGTGGAGGACGAACGAGACGAGGGAGGTGACGACAAGGTAGAATAGACTGATTGGCCGAGGCGAATCCAAGGAAAAGGGCATAAAAAGGCAAAAGGCAAAAGGAAAGAAGAAGGTCAAAGAGACAGACGGACAGTGCGCTGCTGTTCAGTCGGTAGCGCGAGTGGAGATGGGATGGGGGGGTTGAAGAGAGGCGGCGCAGAGGAGAAGAGAAAGGGAGGATAAAGTGGCAGGCCTAACCAAGTCTGTCAAAGAGGTTACAAAGTAAAAAGAAGGGGGAAAGGAAGGACAGTGTCAAAGGGGAAGGTGGTGAGAAGGGAAAAAGAAAGGCCAAGAGAAGAAAACAAAAGCAAAGAGCCAGGGGGGCAGAGCAGAGAGTCAAGAAAAAGAAAGAAGAGAGGAGTCTTGCTTGGGTAGGGTAGTCTGCTGTTTCGGCTGACTGACGTGTAGGACGAGGGTGATATTACCAGCATGAATATCCCGTCCTAATAATAAGGCCCAACTAGTCAAGCAATGCCTTGCAAAGTATAAATTGTTATACGGACTGGTACCAAATTCAGGTCGGTATTTCGACAAGTTGGACGTGGCCGATTCAGAATTCAGGGGCAAATGCGGGAAGCGGGAAGCGGGAAACCCGGTGGGCCTAGCTTAATGCACTGGTATTTTGATAGGCGGCAAGTACCTTTTGTGCCAAGCTGACGCTCGTAGGTACCTGATCCTTATCAGAACCGCTCATGAACCCGCCAACGGTCGCCATCCGTCGTCAGGTACATAATACATACATACATATGTACATACATACATACGTACCAACGCCGAGTACCAGGTACAAACAGAAGCAAGAGTCCAAATCGCGCGCGTCTTCTTGCACGCGGTGTCGCAGGCACATTCCAGCAAAGGACGAAATCAAAATAAAGAAACCAGGAATAAATTCCGCAAATCCAGCTAATGGCCAAGTACAATAGCCACGACAATTTGACCTAAAATTCCCCGGATTGGCCCTGTCGGCTCCGATTAGCCAGCCAGCCCAACTTTGAAACACGCCGACAGCCCCAAGCAACAAGGAAGACTTACATATCGCAGGTATCTAGGTAACTATTTCGTGCATTAGAGTTCATCGGCTGCTCATTAACGATTTCCAATTAATATGAACCTCAATTCAGCTCAATCACATTCTTCCCCGTACAAGCCACGCTTCCAACCAGAGGGACGTGCTCTGAGCACGTCCCTTTCACTTTTACCACTGCCCAGAGGTAGTTGCAGACCTATGTTGTACATACATACATACATACATCCCGACACAATCTAGCGTTCCTTTGCTGCACTCGCCCGTCTCCTGCTTACAGGGGTCTCGAGTTCCCCCTCGGCATCGCAAACACCTGCCAAATTGCCAATGCTGCATCAACATTACCATCCCATCACCATCCCATCGCCATCGCACCCGCCATTCATCCCATCAACCTGCATCATACTGAGCGCCCATCACATCAAACCCCTTCTTCCTTTACCACTCGACCGCCTCTTGCGCCACTCCAATCTCCCAACTCACCACTCGGATACACGCATGCAACACAACCCCGTATCCTCTCCTGTGTATCCTAACTTCGTTAGAAAACGGCTCTTACAACTGCCATCAGTTCAGTGCCCATGTGGGCTGTGGCTTTTACCAAAAGCTCTTCAGACGCCTCTCCTTCGCTCCCCTGACTACCCTAGCAGGGACTCCCCCTGACAATTCATACAAACCATGTTGACCAGGGGCGCCCCCGTGGCGATCTACACGCCGAATTTTAAACTTTGCCTGTCCAACGCGCTTTGCTCCTCGGCTGGGATCCCATCGCGTCGCTCTCGTGAAGGACGGCCATGGCGGATTCGAGAGCCTCGTCTTGCCAATGATCACGGTCGTCTTTCACAGTGCACGGTTACAGTGCGAGTCCAAATGCACACCTCGAACTGACTCGATATTCACCTTCACTCACTTATATAATGGCTTTCTCGCTTGGAGGCATATTCCCTTTCGATGTCATCATCTGCCGAATAACTAAATGTCCTCTAGCTTCTCCGTTTAGTCTCCTCTCCTACGCTTGTCAACACTGCCTCGTCTAACTAACAACGCGTAGGTCAATGTACTCGCCTGCAAACGTCTTCAACAACCCTTACACGCGCTTGGCCACGATCTCCTTGACCGCATTATAGACGTCATTCCGAGCATAAGCCCCCAGCAGCGCGTGCGTCTCCGGCGTGGTCTCGATAAAGACGTTCGCGTCGCCCCCCATGCGCGCCATCTTGGGAAACAGTGCGTGGTCATCGTCAAGGCGAAGTGCGCCGTCAGCTACACCCATCGCCCGGCGGAAGTAATCAAAGAACTGCACAAACGTCAGGTTCTCGTCGCTGACGAACAGCACCTTGCCGGCAACACCCGCCGTCCGGTTGGCCACGGCCCCCGCAATGGCCTGCGACAGCGAGCGCAGCGTCAGGAAGGCCATGCCGCCCGGCGGCGCCGTCTCTGCAGGCCCGAACTTGCCCTGAAAGTAGAGCACGAGCTCGGCCGCGATTGGCGACGCAATCGTCGCTGAGATGTCGCCCACGAGCATTGGTGGGCACAGGCTCGTCGCCACGAAACCCGGCCGGGCCAGCGCCACCACGCCTTCGGATTCGACCTGCCGGGACCGCACGTACGCGCTGGCCTCCGCCAGCGCCGGCAGTGCGTGCCAGTAGTAGCTGCCGACGTGGATGAATTGCACCACGCCTGCATCCCGCGCCCGCGCCGCGAACGCCGGGACGCCCTCCCCGTTGGCTCGCATGACGTAGGCGTCGATGTCCTTCTCGTTCGCCGGCACGTGTCGCGCGTCCGCCCCGGCTGTGAAGACGACAGTCTCAAACGCCGAAAGCTGCTCCTTGGTGATGTCGTCTTTGAGATAGTTACCCTGCAGGAAGGGCAGGTCGGCCAGCGGTGACGGCGCCTGCGGCTTCGTACGGCCGGAGATGGTGACGTTGTGGCCGAGCGCGCGCAGGTGCAGCGCAGCGTGGCCGCCAATTAGGCCGGTTCCACCGACGACGAGAGTATTCATCATGAATGGTTGTCGTTTTGAGAAAAAGGTAAAGGTTGTGCTTTTGACTGTAAATTGATTCGTAGCAAATCTGTCCTGGAGCGTGAGTAAACAGCCAGCCTCGATACAAGGAAATGAGCCTTTATATATCTTTACATTTTCCCCAATTTACCTAACCTCTCTCTATTTACTGCCACGGCGTAAAGAAACTGCCTCGTACTCCTACAGTACCTGCTGTTGAATCATGTCCAAGTGGGATGCTTGCGGACTTTCGGGTTAGGGCCCATCGATCCGCACGCGGACTTGCCCCGATCGGTTCGGGAGCACCTGGAGGGAGCGCCTGGCACCGATGGGTACGCGTACAGCGCGCGCCGCGTGTGCCGTGGACCCCGGCGGCCTGGCCTAAAAAAGTTTCCCGATGCACGGCCTCCGGAATCGAAAAGACATTTGCAGTAGCGTGTCTGAGCCTGATGGTGGGGCCGCGACGGCGCCGTGTCGTGAGAACTTAGACGTAGATTGGGGTGTTGAGGGATGAAGCACGGGTGTATTATTTGCAAGATAAAAGCTAAACTAATCACGATTGATGATTGATCGATCTGAATAAGAATAGAATATAGTTGGATTTTTGAAAGCGCCTTGGAGGTCAAGATTCACCGCATGATAGTAGAACGGAGCTATTGAAGCAAGCAAGCCATTGCCGCAGAACTCGGGCCAACATTCCTCCATGCGGTTTGAATCCTTTTCCGCATTCTAAACTGGGTCTTTAAATGAAATGCTGTCCTCGGAAACACACATCAACGGCCTACTGCTAACCCGTACATGTCATGCCATGACTCCTCTATCAGCTCCCCGGCGAAATGGAAGGCGCTGGGCATAAGTGCTCGGCGGAGAGCGGTCGATATCCTCAGCTTACAAAACAGGGGTGGAACCTCTAGTTTGATGGGATGGAATCTTAAAAGAAGAGTGCCAGCCCGCCTCAGCGTTCTTGCGGAGGGCCCGCGTCAGGTAAGATCATCGTCAAACGTGTTCTATGCTAGGCATCTTGAGCGTTTGGCCATTCATAGCCAAGGTATCTCCCCGCATCATAAGACACAAAATTCTGCAAACTTGTGCATATAAATTTTGTGTAGATTTTATCCCCGTGACTTTATCTGGGGAAAGAGAAGAGGAGCCGCAGTTGCACGAGTGCATCGAGTGCATCGAGTGCATCGAGTGCATCGAGTGCATCGTCACCTTTGCACCTGCAACTCTTGAAACTTTTCGATGCTCTTCACGTTTCCAGCTGCCTTGACAACGTCATTGAATGGATTTGTGTTGCCAAGTATTCAATATGTATGGCTTCTGAGACTCTCTTCTGGGTGGTACTCGACTCTCATGGCTGACTCTGGGCACCTCCGTTTGCCTCGATTGGCGCGCGCATATGCACAGTCAACCAACCACATCACCAGCCGCTGCATGACAGCTGTCATCGTCACACCATGCACGTACAATGCACTTTTTTCACTGGCATAAAAGCCGGCCATGCGTCGTGCCGGTCGACACCCTCAGACCGACGGCCATCGCGGACATGATGTCGGCCAGGCATCACCGCGGCCGCAAAGTCACGTCTCGCATCTGCACGCCTCCAAAGAAGAGGAGGCTTGGCGTCTCTGCCATCGCAGAGGACGAACGCGGCACGGCTGTGCCGCTCTCCCTGTTCAACATGCCCATCAGCTCCACCATTCATACCCCCGAAACTATGTTACCGAACGGCACAATCTGCATTGTCAAAGAACCTTTTCTCAAGGCCAAGAAGAAGGAAGGTAATTATTCCATCAGGGTGGATCACGTAACTGACATAGTCTTTCTGAACGCCACCGACAGCCGGGTTCCCGACGCCTGGAAGCAGCCTGAAATCAGATCCAGTGAGGAGCTTCCTCAACAAGGCAACGATGACGTGCCCCGAGATCTGGCGGCTGCTCTTCCCACGCCTCAAGCACCTCCACTTCGCCGCCTCCAGAGGGACGCTGCCCCTCGGCCCCATGGCCTTCGTCGACGTCCTCGTCGGCACGCTGCGCGCCATGTCCTTTGACGTCGACTACTCGCGCAACGACTTCGCCATCCGCAGGTGGGGCATGGTCTTGTCCAGGCTGCCGAGGTCCACCAGAAGCTACACGCCGAGTACGAGTTCCTCAACCCGCGCGTGTGCCTCGCGATCCGGGAGTACGCCCGCGTCGCTTTCCGCGTCTTGGTGGGCGAGGACGAGACGTTTAACAAGTGCTTCCCTAGATTCAAACATCCCGCGTAATTCTCCCCCTTTTTTTCCCTCTTCTCTTTGCTTTTTTGGACTTGTACGGCGTCATAGTTTGACATGTTTGCTTCACACAAGGGTTGGGATTTGATGTGGAACTAAGGCAAAGTCTGGAAATTAGAGGGTGTTTTCCTCACGAAACCAAACGGTTCTACGAAGCGAAATGATATCACATTGCTATTTCACTCTTAAATAATCATGACTACATCGACATCATGTTTGCCGCTTCGAATTTGGCTTGCTGGAGCGATGGCACAGCAGCGGCACTGGTGAGGAGGCAGTCCTACGATACACGTCATCATGATTCCATGTATAGAGAATACCAATTGAAAGTAAACAAAAGATAAGAAGATGTCAAATTTTCCATCCCGAGACTCACAACCAGTCTATGCGGCGAGCCCCGCATGTCATGACCTTAGACACGTCGCGCAATGTTATCGGTGTCATCGCTACTGACAACCCCGTGTACCCTTTTGCCCCCAGTGCACAAAATGAAATATTTATGACAATTTATCAGGAAAACATTCAAGGACGAGACATAGCGGCCTAGATCGTAGGCGAATGCTAGAGCACGGTGCCGCCCCTTGCGGGCTTTTCTTCTACGGGTGTGTCCTCGCCGGCGCGCGTTACCTCGGCGTCCTCGTCGTCGTCTACGACGGCCACTTCCTCGTTGTCGGCGGCGCGGCCGGGGGTGGAGGCCGAGGCGGCATCGCAGCCGCGGCCGCTGTTGGTGGTGGAGACGCCAATGGGGGCTGTCGAACCGTCGGCAATCTTTTGTTTCGTCTCGCCGACAATCTTGTCCGCCTCGGTGGTGGTCCTACCACCAACGGGCTCAGCACCAGGTTTGCTAGCTTGGCGGATGGCATCCTGGTCGAGGCGAATGACCATGCACGACAGGTTGTCAGTACTGAGACAGTCGAGGGCGTGCTCGACGAGTGCCTTCGAGGCAGCAGTGGGGTCCTGCATCTCCCGGATGAGGTCGACAGCTTCTTGGTCGCCGCAGACATCCCAAAGCTAAATTTGTCAGTGCTGAAGTACTAAGAATATTGTAGGCAAACTCACTCCATCGCAAGCAATAATGATGAACTCGTCAAGCTCGGGCTGGATGACTGTCTCCGTGGTGTAAGGGTGGCCTGTGACAAGCTCTTTCATGTATGCGTCACCGAGGGCGCGAGTAACGGCCAAAACACCATTGACTCGGTTATTCAAAATTAAACCACCAGCATTGGCGATACGTTTCCCTTCATTCTCGTCGCTGCCTTTGTGGTCGTATGACAGACGGAGCGCCTTGCCGTTACGACATAGGATTATGCGGGCATCGCCGACGTTGGCAGTATATAAAACGCGCTGCTTATTCGGTTGAGGTTTTGAGGGCGTTGTCGCAGACGCCTCTTTATCAGCCGGGTTGGCCTTTTCCATATCGCTGTTTGATTCGGGCAGCTTGCCATTCTTGACGGTCGGCATGGCGATGGTGGGGACGGCGACGTGATGGCGGTCACTGGCAGAGCGCTTCTCCCAGCGCAATACAGCAATAGCAGCAGTACAGCCACTGTTTTTGAGAGGGAGCTTCTCCAACTGCGCATCGCAACTTGTAAATGTCTGGTCGAGGAGCTCTGGCAGAGGCGCATGGGGATTCTTCCTAACAATGTCCTCGAGAACAATATGGAGCTTCTTGCCACACCAGTCAGCGGCAAAGGTGCCGGCGTGGCCATCAAAGATGGCAAAGTATCCATTGTCGGATTCTGCGATTTCTGTACTTGATGTATCAATGGAGGACTTGTCAGACTTGGAGCTGGCGGCACCGTCAAGGGCATTGGCGTCGAGAAAGTTGTAAAGGAAAGCATGGGTATCTTCCATGGTACGACGACATTTTCTATTGCGATCCTCCCAGACGCCAACTCTAAAAGTCGACCTGGGGCCGGGGACGGAGTCGCCAGCCGAGTTGTTCTGGCTACCCTGGGGGACAGCCAGGGCCGGATCCTGCTTGCCAAGCTTCTGAAGGGGGGAGGCCATGCTGGGGCTGTGGCGGGAGCTGGGGGAGAAGCCAAAAGAGCTTCTAGCAGAGGCGAAGAGACTGCTTGCCTTGCTGCTTACGCTGCTGCTTCTGCGTTTCTTGTCTGTAGAACCGCCGTTTTCCTGCCTGGTGGGCGGACTCCCATTGGTGTGGCGCTTCTCACCACTGGCTGCCTGATCGGTGCTCTTGGTAGCAGGTGCGGCGATGGGCTGGGGAGCAGCGGCGTTGGGGGAGGGAGGCTTGCGGTCAGAGGCGGTGTCGGTCTGGATGCTGGAATCTATCGAGTTGGAGTTGGAGCTGGAGCCTCCGAACATTCTATTGAGCAGACTGCCTCCGTGAGAGGAGAAGCTGCGACGCTTGGAGCCTGCCAGTTTTGTGGAGGGCTCGTGCGATGGGAGGAAGAGGTGTAGGATTCGTCGGTCTCGTTGCAGAGAATCCGATCGAGAGAGTCGTTGGGCGTCAGGCGTCGACGGGGGAAGCGGCTCGGCAACGGCGCAGTCGGGGATAAGGCGGGCGGGATGGAAGGAGAGGCGAGAAGGCGGAATGATTCAGGTATGAGCGGGCGTGTATCGCAGGTTCCGCAAGGAATCGCAGTTCAGGATGCTAGCAATGGATGGTAAGCAGGCTGCGGAGGCGAGAGTCGAGAGCTGCGAGTTGAGAGCGTTGAGGGAGCGAGGGGTGGAGAGATGGTGACCGGGCTTGGTGGGGTTGGTCTGGGCAGTACGGAGTAGGCAGGTAGTGATATCGGGGGTGGGATGTTGCGGGTAAGGGTAATTACTTAGGAGGCCGGGCTAGGCAGATGGGGAGTATTCGTGATAGCACAATGTTTGGGTGGGTTCTTCTAAATGAAGGAGAAGAGGGAAGAGAGGCAAGTTGTCAACGGTCACGTTTGGCGACGGATCGCACGGGATGGGGATTGATTGCTGGCTGGCAGGCTGGCAAGGGACCTGCAACAGATTGTCTGAGCCTAACGGCGGGCGCGTGCGCACGTACCTTGTACGACGTAAGGGTCTAGCAGAGAGCCTTGTAGCAAGAGAGCAAGGGAGCTGATGATTTTGTAACAGGCAATGAAGGATTCCCTGGTTAAAATTGGAAATGACGAGCCTGCAACGAAGCAGGCAGGCACTTGTGGGATGGAAAGAAGCAATGTTGGGAGTGTTTGGCGTGACGGACGCTGCTGTCAGCAGCTGGCAAGGCAGCGGATAAGGGAAGGTACCTAAGAGGTAGGCACAGATTAGCTACTTAGCTAGGTTGTACTTGTCACGATGGCGGATGGTCCACCCATGAAGAGGTACCTCAGAGCAGTGGTGCTGCCAATGGGAGGTATTACGGCGGGGAAGACCAGAGCTGCGAGGCATCGGTATCTGTACAAATGTAACTATGATCATTAGCACATCGAAAGGTTCCTTGATAAATTGCAGATCTGGAAACACTCCTAGTGATTAGGCAGAATGCCTCGTCTCGAGTATTTCCAAAGAACCAGATATTGCCACGATGTGGCGAGCTGCTCTGGAGCCACTGCGCTTCCCGTCTCTTGGCCTGAATGGCTCACGTCAGTGGCTCACTTGCTATGGCTGGTATTAGCAACAAGCAGTGCGGGGACTTCTCATCGCCTTCTTCTTCTTCTTCTCCCTCGCTTGTCCACCCTTTCGGTGCTATTAGCTCCAGCCAATTATTTCCATAAATAACTACGCCATTGACTGGTCGCAGCACCTTCGCTGTATGCCCTTAACTATATTTGGCGGGTACTGTCAAGTCGCGCCTCGTTTTATGAAGCTGGTTGCATGCGGCCTTCCATTTCGGCCTACCCTAGAGAGACCAATTTCCGTCCAGCATGCTCGACATTATCGCCGAGGCAGTTCGCATCATCCACGCCGTTGATTTCAGTCCCTACGAACACAAGGCACAAGATTTTCACATCCAATTTTGTTGACACTACTTTTGCACCAGCCCGCGAGACCCTCTGGATAGGCCATGGTAATTCTTGGCCATGCTAGCTGCTTCCAGCACTTGCTTGCTGGGGAGGACTTTCGGCCTTTTTAATTGGCAAGCCTCAAGATCTGGGCAAGATCAACTAATTATCTCAACAACCCAATGCCACCTCGAATAGTAACTACCGACCAATATGCGATGACGAAGGTGGCAGAATAGACGACCGGTGCTGTTCCATGATGCGGTCCATTCGATACAGAACATAACCTCATGCCCGAGTATTGAACTTTACCAAGTCATGCGCATCATCAAGACCCAGGACGAGATAGAAATTTACCGCCAAACATGGGGCAACGGGTACGAGCAAGAGCTCAATTGGAAAGGCTTTCCTGTTGGAAGATCAGACGAACCTGAACAGGAGCGATTTGCTCGCCCACCGACAGAGTGGTCGCCCGCTAGATCCCACGCCCTGTCAGTAATATGGCAGTGCTTTTTTTCGCTCCTCCAACACCATCTGCGTACGTCGTATGACAAGCCGAATGGCACGAGCACCTCCAATGGTAACAAGAACAATACTATGGCACAGAAAAGGTGCTGTGGTGGACTCTATCCTCTGCCCTCAGCCTCTTACCCCCCTCCTCGGCCGTGGCGTTGTCGCGAGCCAGTTCGAATGCCTCGGCCTCCACCTCCTCAACCGTCGCAGACGGCTTGATGCTGATGTATCCCTCGTCGTCGAGCTCCGACAACGCTCGCAGAAGCCAAGTGCGACATGTCAGCGGCCCCCAGCGCTTCGTGTCAGCTACGCCCATGGGCACGCGGGCAAGCCGGTCCCGAAGAGGGCCATCCATGTCTGGCGGGATGATGGCGATCTTGAGCGCGAGGGTAACAGACAGTGAGAAGATGATGTTGCGCACCTCAACGTCCTCGTAGCGCCACGGCACGGCGGCGCTCGGTCGCGCGATGTGAAATGTGCTGCCGCTGAGCATCTCCCTGTGCAGGTATAAGCTCCAGTGCCAGTGGTACTTGCGGTCCTGGTCTGATAGCAGGATATAAAGGCCGTTCTCATCTAAGGGGAGGATGGTGTTCGTGCCGCGTGTATGCGCATCCATCGCGAGGTTGTTGGGTAGCGAGCAGATTACTTCCAAGGGAAAACGTTGTGAGAAGAAGACCAGCACCAATAAACAACACCGCCAAAGCACCCGTCCTTCTCTATATAACATTTAATCAGGCCATTTCTGCATGATGCAGTGCAGCAGGAATAGGAAGCGGACGGGTTGTGAGGCTGTTGGAGCTGCACGCCGCCCGATGCAGCCCTGTTCGCCATGGAGTAGGGCTTGGCGGTGACCATTCACGACACCTGCTCAACAGCGAGGCGGGGAAATGCAACGGGCGGTTTCACTTCAGTCACGCTCCTTCGGTTGGTTTGCACTTGGTTGCCTTGAAAAGACAGTGCTGCTGCGCTTCTCTTACATCTGCGACTAACATCAAGCCGTGAGTTGGCGTCCCAATGAATGGTGCGAGCAGCAGGATGGAGGGCAGCGCTGCCTCGTTCGCATTGCTTGGCAAGATGCAATTTTGAAATTATTGTGTAGTGCTGCGGATGTCGTCTAAGCTGCCCTTCGCTCTATGTTTTTGCGGTGATGCCTGTCGTTTCTGGTACAGCCTGTTTGCTGCGGATATTGAGGCGTGAGATCGACAAGTGTGCCGCTCCAGTCCTATCAGTACTTTTGTGGCTTGCTACCAACGTTGATTTATTCATTTCTTGCTATTATCGGCCCTTTATATCTTGCTAGCGTCTACATATTGTTTGGGCTTTACCTTGGTATTCGCCGTGCGCTTAAGCTTGCGTATAATCCGACACAGCGTCGTTCGAACTTACCGTTCTACGCCACCGAGCGGATTTATTAGAAGAATTACAATTTTTTTTCTAAAGCAAAGTAAGTGATCATTTACTCTGCCGACCCCCAGCCACGTTAGGCAGCTACGAGCCTGAATGTGATTGGGACGTGATGGACACTGCAGCTACGCGGGGTCAAACATATATATTTACCTGCCATGATGCCCAAGCCCTCATCCGGCGCCCTCTCCTTCTTTTTCCATTCGCCCTCTTCGATCTCGCAAGCTCCAAGACCAAAGACAGAGGCTTTTCATCCACGCCATGGCGGAAATCACCTACGACAGGTATGTCTCGCGCGGCCGGCCATGACAGTGCCATATAGTTAACTCCTCCCCACAATAGCATCTTGTCGTCCAAGCCCTACTGCTTCCTCGTTGGGCCGCAGGAGCGGGAGTTCTTCATTCATGCCTCGCTGGCGGCGAAGAAGTCTTCGGTGCTGGACTCGATCGTCAGCAATGGGTTGACGAAGCAGGAAGCAAACGGCACCGCGGTGTGGCGACACGTCGACGAGGACACTTTTGTTCGGTTCGGTCAGTACGTGTACACCGGAGACTACGAAGGCAGCGCTCCGTCCCAGCCTACCACTGCTGAGGCTCCGCCTCCTCCTGTTGCAGAGGAGAAGGAGGAACCGGAGCCGCAGCCTTTGCCGGACAAGGTGGCTGAGGAGAAGCCCGTTGATTTCCCCGTGAGAGAACCGGCGACACATGTTGAGCTGGAGGCGGTGGTTGAACCTGTTCCAGACGAAGCAGTCGTTCCTGAGAAGGACGTGTGGGGTTTTTTCACTTCGAGAGGAAAGGTGGGCGGAGATTACGATTGGGGCTTCAGCACAACCAGAGCGTCGAAGCCGGCTGACGAAGAACCTGCTGCACCTGAGCGTGAGCGTGAGCGTGAACCTGAGGATGTGGCGGATATGTGGCTCTTCGGAGTTTCGAAGAAGGATAAGAAGAAGAAGAAACGGGTCCTCATTGCGTCGGAGCCGGAGCCGGCGGAGGCAGTCGTTGAATTGGTTGTAGAGGAGGAGCCAGCACGGGTGAAGCTGGCTGAAGAAGATTGTTGGGATGTTCCTGCGGCTGAGCCTGAACTGGAGCCTGAACCAGCATTTGAACCGGCGCCCATCGAGGAGGCGGCGGACATGTCGCCCACTCCCATCAAGAAGAAGGGGAAGAAGAAGAAACGGGCACTCCTTGCGCCGGAGCCGGAGCCGGCCAAAGACGATGTTGAGGAGGCTCCTGCGGCTGAGCCTGAACCGGAGCCAGCGCGGGTGAAGCTGGCTGAAGAAGATTGTTGGGATGTTCCTGCGGCTGAGCCTGAACTGGAGCCTGAACCAGCATTTGAACCGGCGCCCATCAAGGAGGCGGCGGACATGTCGCCCACTCCCACCAAGAAGAAGGGGAAGAAGAAGAAAGGGGCTCTCTTTTCGTCTCAGCCGGAGCCCGCGAAGGCAGTCGTTGAGTTTGTCAAGGAGGAAGAGTCAGCGCTGCCAGAGCCAGACGTCTCCTTCCGGGCCGCCTCTCCGCAAGAGCGGCTGCTGCCTATGTTGAAAGACGTGTGGCACAGCTTCACCACGGAGCTGCGCTACGACCCCGGCACCGGCGCTGGTCAATTTGACGCGCCCGGCAACGAGGTTGACAGCGCTCTCGAGTACGCGGGCGTGTTTCTGTCTCACGCGCGGGTGCATGCCTTGGCTCACGAGTTCCGGGTCGAGCCGCTCGCGCAGCTGGCGCTGCATAAGCTGCACCGGATCCTGTGCGCGTTCACGCTGCACGAGGCGCGCATCGGTGACGTGGTGGCACTGCTGCGGTACAGCTACGAGGAGCGGCAGCGGCTGGGGGAGCAACTGCGGGCGCTGGTGAGCAAGTTCGCGGCGTGCCATCTCAAGACGCTGTGGACGAGCGAGGCGTTTAGGGCGTTGTTTGCCGCGTGCGGAGAGCTGGCGGTTGCTATTGTGGGACATGTGATTGACAAGTTGAATTGAGGGTCTGTTGTTCCGTCATGTTGTTGAGTGTGTGTGTTTGAGTCTTGGAACGGCGATCAATGGAGGCGAGAGTCTGTCAGAGGTAATGGAAGTCAAAGAGATCTATCATTAATACAAGGACATGGTATCTACATTAGATATACCGGTCTCGTACGACCCGTTGCAAAGACATGACAGATGGTTCTGGGCTGGCGGGTTGGCCGTGTCGAGACACTTCGGGCATCCTGACTCTGGCCATGTTCTTTTCTTGGTGAAGCAACAGTCAAACTGTCTGCTGTACTGAATGTTGCAGTATCTTGTCGGAATCGAGTTACGAGTATAAATAATACAAGGGAGACGGGACAAGATGGCCAACGGGTGGTGCCGCACAGGGATCTACGGCATTGCGCCAAGTCATTTGTGTCTCAGGGCTTGTTTCTTCTTTTCTCGTCGTCTTGGACTGTTGAGGAAAAAGGAAACCAAGTTTGGGCAGCAAGACCAATAAGAAAAATGAGCCTTGACATGCTGATCAAGCGCCTGAGTTGATAAACGCACACCCTGATGGCTTTTTAGCGCTGGCGACGGCACCAAGGATGGACGGGTCCGCGAGATGATTCTTCATTTCGAGGGAGATTTCTACTATTCTTAGTTTAAAGAAGGACAAGTCTAGATTGTAGGAAACGAAACCGAGAATCCTAGTTATTGACAGGCATTCACGTCCTCGTGATGCGCCGCCCATGCGAGGTCGGACGGAGTCGAACGCCGACGGAGAGGAGAACAAGGCATGGGGTAAATGACAAGAATAAGAACATGGGGAAAGGGGGAAGTGAAGTCGGGGAGCCACACCGTGTCGGCCGCGTAAGACCGACCCAGGATCTCGGGATAGTTGGTTGGGCTGCCAGTACGGAGTGGTCTTTGCACTTCGACAGGGGACGAGGGGAAGAACGAGATTGGCAATTTAGCGTGACGGGAAGAGAGGAAGGGGAAAGGAACAACGGATGGAAGGAAACTCGGAACCCGGGTAAGCTGGTCAGATGGCCAACAAGTTCTAGGCCTGACACGAGATGGGACAAAGAGAGAAGGAAGCTGGGGCAGCGGTATTATGCGGGGAGGCTGGTGGTTGAGGATTTGGAGAAAGGTGGTGGTGGTGGTGGTGTGTGCCTGGGGATGACAGGTCGGCACCCCCGATTGGAGAGTTGCTACTACGATGTGCTGGCATGGGAGAAAAAAGGCCTCATACGAGCTTTGCTGAAACACGATTTTCCACGAAATGCTGAAAGACGAGACAAGAAAAACTGATGTGGAGGGAGAAGTTGGCCGTGCATCATGGCCTGGGCAGATGCAGCCATCGTTGCGAAGAAAAAAGAGGATTGAAATTTGGAGAAGGGGGCCCAGCCGGTACGGAGGCAGGTACCCGTTAAGAATAAGCGTTAGCGTGGACGAACTCCGTACCTGGTGATGTACCGCCAGAATTGGAGAAGAGGGGGCGGCAGGCGAGACAAGAAGGCGGCGTCCTGACTTGCGGCGAAAAAAGATGGGTGGTGGTACGTTCTGCAAGAAGGCGTTTAAAACAAGAAACATGCCGAGCATTGAATAAAAGAAATAAAGAAAAGAAAAAGAAAAAAGAAAAGAAAAAGGTTAAAATGCATTGACCAAAAACGTGCATGTCGCTAAATTTTTGGCGAGCGGTGCGCATTCAATTCATCCCTGCTGCCGTAAACGCGGGATGGCGGAAGGGGGAGACAAAACGGGGCTGAGGGCATCGTGACCTCGCTGAATTTTCTGTATGGTCCTCTGCCTCCCTCTGTAGGTCCCCCAGTCCCCCAGAAACCCGCAAAACAGAGGACCCGGAATAGAAGAGAGACAAAATGTTTACAAGGGGGTGGGTGTGTGTAGTTTCAAAATAATAAGCCTTGTAAATTAAGAATACAACAATTTGTGATGATTACCTTATTAGCTACGAGTAGTTTTTTTTTTCTTTTAGTTTTTCTTTTAGTTTTTTTTGCAGTCCTCGTGATGGACGCTGTTGCCGGGGGCCGCCCGCTTCTGCCCCAGAGTCTGGGTCTCCCGGGGCTCCGTGAAAGCGGGGCGTGGGGCGACCGGAGCGAGGCGCAGGCTGCAAGAAACGAAAAAAAGAATAACTAAAAAAAAGTAGAATTCAAAGGAATAAACGTGCGGACCTGTTTGTTGAATCGTGCGTCGTGCAACGGCATGAGGAATATTACTTGGGGATGGTGTGCGTGGTCTTGATCAAAATAAAAGCTGAAGTAATGAAAAAAAAAAAGAAAAACATATTGAAAAAAGTCACTTTACGCCCTCTTCTTTTTTTGTCTACTCCGGACAAGCGTTGAACGGAATCGAAACGCTGCAGGTTCGGCGTGCAGAAAGTGTGTGCGTTTGCGCGGTTGCAACTACGCCGATGCCACCCTCCTCCTCCTTCTCCTGTTCGTTTATGAACAAACACGGCGTAGAAGTTGTTGGGGGTTGGGGAAAAAATTGGAGAGCACACAGCGAGCTGCCTGCCTACCGTATTACTCCGGGAGAATTGAAGAATTGAAGGAAGCTGATGATGGGGTTTGACGCCTTGCTGCTGCGCCGCCCATCACCACCACCAAAGTCCACCCGCGCATTGCGCCATTCCAAACTTTCATGCATCTCGACTCTTCGACATTGGATTTGGCTAGTCGTGGAACGCAAAATAAAAAAACACATTTTTAAATGAATAAATAAATAAAAAAAGACACATCCGCATTTGGAAAGTTGGGGGTAATGGAAACTCGCTGTGCATGATGGCGTGCCCATCAGGCTCCCGTCCGGCCAAGCCAGCCGCCCCGTCGTCGTCGTCGCGGTGGAGGCCCGATGCCATCCGGAACCAGTGGACCTCTCTTCCTCACCTGTAGCTATTCCTGCTGTAGCTTTTGTCTGTCTGGCCATTATCCGTACCTCGAACCTCTTTCTCCGTGCCGAGTGAGAGCGCTAGCATCGTACAACGACAAACCCACACCGTCTGCCGGCATCCCATCCGCCTACGCCTTCCTCTCCCGCGTCTTTTGTTTGATGAGCAAGGGAGGACCCCTTATTCCGCAATTCCCGGACAGGGCCCGTTCTCGGTCTTGTCACGAAGAAAGGAACGTAGCTGGCCAACCTGGATAGCATCAATAGCACCCAATATTGCATGTCCGTGGTGTACCTTTTTTGGGGAAGCGAAGCAGCCCCCTTGCCAGCTCGAGCCTCTCCCTGTCACCGTTTGCCGTGTCTCGGCTGCTGGTGTTGGACACGCTGTTTTTCTTGGCGGCAAGTCGCAGAAATAAAAAACGACGAGCGAGTAAGAAAAAATGTCGCCTGCCCACGTTTTACCCGTCACTACAGAAAGTTTCTGCCATGCACTTCTTCCCCTGTCATGTAGTTGCCAGACAAGGGCATCGATCTGCAGGAGTTGCAGACACACACACAGCATCGGGCATTTCGCCAGGCTGAAGACGCCACTGGAGCGGCTGGCTATTTTAAGCCCTCTCTTCTTGTTACCGTGTGCGTCTCTTCTGCGAGGCTTGGCTCTGCGAATCGCCGCCAAAACGTCGCACGAAAAAGCCCGTCCTATACGGCGCGTTGCGTTACGTGAGCCCGTGATGTTGACCCGCACCCGGCTCTCGCGTGGCATTGGGTTGTCTGCCGGTAATTGAGAAAGAGAGACGTGCATTCACGATGACTTGACTCAGCGCGTCGCAGACGGCGAAATCGACTCGGCTGATCGAAGCCGTGCATGGGGAGGGGGGGGGAACGTCGTCCAGCGTGGTTGTAAGCATACTAAACAGCTGCTATAAGCCGGCCTATAACCCAGTCTCTTGGTTATAATAAGACGAGCCGTTTCGTAATCGTCAGACCCGGGGGAATAAGGTCTGACTCTTGCTGCAACTTACGAGCTCTGCCAACTGTAGTTATACAAGAATTCCTTTTGATGAAGCTTGGCTGCCGGCCAAGCGGTTTTGACGTGAGCATACCCTGGCAACTTGCAACCCACTCCATGGGCTGCAACAATTGACGCAAAAAAGAACTAGAGGCCGACTTTCCCTCGTTCTGCTGCAACCTGCGCGTCACGCAAGCATCGCCATTTTATATGCAGTTCTGTCACCCGCCGAACGCCACCACCACCAATGCCAATTCAATTGCCTGTCCGGGCAAGTGCAGCCCGGTTTGACTTAGTGGGCCGGAGCCGCCATAAAAAAAAGTAACAGTAAATGCATGAACAACACACGGTCACGGTTAGTGGGCGACTATTTTCTGCATTGTTGTTTCTAAGAGTTTTTTCATTGCCCTTCTTTTTCTACATTGGCTTGTTGGGGGTCGCGGTACGTATACGTTATGGCTGGCTGATGGCACGACGAATGACAGGCTCAGCTTACTTGCCGGCTCCCGCGGAATTGAGGACCGAACTTGGCGCTCGGGTATTATGTATGGTCTGGATCTTTTCTTTCTTTAGCAACCGTTTTAGTTTTGTTGCGGGATGAATAAGCTATTAGCTGAGGGGTGTTGACATAGAGAGAAAGAGGATCAGGTGGGCATCAGAGAGACGACGCTCCACAATAGCCATCCCATGATGCTCGTCTCCTATAGGCGTGTGTGTGTTGTGTGTCTGTGTGATGGCTCACGTCTGTGTGATGGCTCACAATGCGTGCGGGCTGGGATGCATGGCGTGGGTGCTGTGAACGAATCACTTGTTAAATGATGAGGCGGCCACCGTTTGAGACGGAGCGTCATGCAAGACAAGCAACGAAGGCATCCATCGTTGTTCAAGAGCCTAGAATAACCGATCAGCACATTAAGTTAGTAGCTCCAGTCAGAAGGATCTTCTGAAGCTGGAGGGATCGAGAGATGGGGTTGTGGTTGGTCCAAGCTACGTGACTACGTAGCTACGTATCTCTTTTTTTCTCGGGCTTTGCCTCTGTTTTCTTCTTGGTCGTCTTATTCCCCTCGTTGGGCTTCTTCCGAGCTTCCTGCACGTTGCCCCGTCCCGCTGGCGCTGCAGAAGCCAGACCTGCCGAAGCTGCCCCTCAACCCCTCCATCCCCTCTCGACTCCAGCTTCTTCTACCTCTTGTCGCCGATACCCACCAGCCCGCTGCATCAGCTGGCCCTTTTGGCGGTTCCTGGGCGAACGCGCTGACAGCCAGGAACCAAGTAAGGCGTGCGGACCCAACAGGATTGAAGTCAGTGGTGGGGTTCAGCGGTCTTGGGTTGGGTAAAAAGAATGAGCAGCGTTTGAGAAGTCCCACTTTTTTACAAGTATTTTTTTTCTTTAAATTTCTTATTTAATTGGTTCTTACTTTTTTTTGCATTTATAGTATCCATATACATCATTTCTTTCTAGTTGACGCATCACGATCGCCCGCCATAAAAAGTTGGACCTGGCACAAGGTCAAGAGTGGAAACTTGGGATCAAGAAACCCCACTAAATCGGTACGGAAAAGACGTGTTTGCTTTCTGCGCGAATCGACGAGGGCAGAAGTTGCCGATATTACCATTTGTATGTTCCTCTGAATTCTGGCAGTCCTGCAAAAGTCGAATCGTGAAAATCGGCCTCTAATTGAGTATGCCGTGCCGTTCCTCACGCACGCTGATGGAAAAATTCTTCGCCATGGGATGCCCCCCCACCTCCACACAAAGTACCTTTTTCTGGGTCCCCAGCTATTTTCGAACCGCCTCGAGGCCTTCTAGCTTCCCTTTTCGCGCGGAGGGGGAAGCAACTAGACAAGCCCACGAGGTCAGAAGAAAAGCTGTGCGGCCGTGGACCAATTGCTCGAGCAGCTTCCCCCATTCCCACTCGCCCTCCGCCGCAGCCCCCTTTGACCCGCCCGTTCCCACTGTTTGGAAGGAGTCTGGAGGGAGGGGGAGGGGGCCAGTGCTGGCGTGTACCGACCGCTACGTACCGAGAGCAGCGAATTTGACGCCGTCTGGGGCAATGTGGCTTCAAACCGAGTCGAACCGGTTACGAGACGGGGAGGGAGAGGTTCGCAAGTAAGAACAGGAATGAAAACTCTGATGGACCGATTCGAGGGGCAATTCTATACAAAAGGAAAGCCTCGCCTAGCTTTGTAGCTGATTTTTTTTCTTGTTTTAATTTCATTTTATTCGAAAACATAACAGCCAGTTTTAGCTGAAGCCCTCTTGACCTGCTGCTTCACCTGTTTGGTTCTATTAATACCTGTCCCGACACTGGTGCTACAGCATTACACGCACATTCACCTTGTTACTCGGTAAGTAAAAGAGAATTCTCCTTATTCTTTCTCCCATTCAATTTGCCTCGCCACCACCGTCCTGCCGTGTTTCCATGAAAACGAGCACGCGACCCCCCTTTCTTCCTCGACACACACACACACACATTCCCGTTGCCACGCCGAGTACGGGAAGCTCGTCTCACCAAAAACAACCAAAAAAAGAAGAGGCGAGGGAAACCGGGCTGTGCTGAGGTACCTGAATCGGCGTTGTGGCACGTCAGGCCCTGGCTGGGGTCAGTTGGTCACGCAGCCAGCGCAAATTTGCGGAAAGCGGAGGGCCCGGCCTTCCAGCCCGCCTAGCGATGGCCTAAATGCACGCACAAGGCCGAGAAGCTCAGCGCAAGAAAGAAAAGGGCCAAAAAGAAAAGGGCTAAAAAAGAAAATGGCTGGACCTGACGGACCTGGTTGGGCGCCTGGGCTGCCCGTTTGCCAGGCACTGCGTGCACCTGGCACGTTGCTGCTTCCGGACAGGCTAGAAGCTCACTGGCTTGCTTGGTTGGGTGCCAGCTCATACAGCCTGCCCTGAGAAAAGGGAAGAAGCCACTACAGCACGGCCGCTTTTTTTTTTTACAGGCTTGCTGCTGGTACCAGTACAGCGCCCCTTCTAGCGCTGCTGGTCTTCCCGCCTGATCCGTCACGCCCAACGGCCAATCCCTGGATTAAAAGCCCGCCCGCCCAAATTCAGTTCTCCAACTTGGTCCCTCATCGTCTCCAAATACCAGTTTCCGCTGGTTTCATTCTTCTCATCCTCCTCCTCCTGACCACCAATCCTGCTTTTCTACAATCAATCGCATCTCTACCTCTGCGTCTCAGCCTCAGCTGCAGAAACCAACATCTTTTTTTCTGCCCCCTTCATCCCGCGCTGCGAGCCATCTACTCTTGCGCAATTGCCCCGCCAAGAAGCCGCCCTTGCCCCGCCAACTTCACTGCGACCTCGTCGAGCACAACAAAAACAGGAATCCCACTAACAACGAGCGCATTGTTCGCCTGCAGCCAACGCCGCCAATAGCCCATTGTTGAGCTTTTTGCGTTGCTTTTTCCTCCTGTCTCTCCGACCTTGCCGACCGTTACGAATTTGAACATTCATCATAGGTAAGTCAACGACGAGTCAGCATTTCTGCGAGCCCTCCGATATACACAATTCCAATGCCACCGGCCTTTTTTTGGTCAGATGAGCCTCGTTGCCGGGCCGCAAGCACCTGCAAACAGAAGCGACCACTTTGCCAGCTGGCATGCGGCCGGCAGCTGGCGGCTGCACATCTTTGCCAGCTTGCCAGCAGCGGTGCCAGCGCTAGGCCTGTTAGCATCTGCTAAGACCAAGCGGTCAGGCTCACCCACACCAAATCGACCAACTCACGATGGCTTCATTCTTTCCACTGCCGTTCTCCCCATGCCCCTCATTCCTCTACTGGTCGCCATCTTCTCTCCCCTCTCCTCTTTTTTATTCCCTGCCGCCTTGCATTTCCCCTCCACTCGCCGCTGCATCCCGCATGAAAGTGGCCAACAACACACACTCCCTCACTCCCTAACCCGGTCCTCGTCAGACACCCCCTTGGTCACCTGTCCTCTTGTCTTTCCCCATGCTTCCTAGCACGCCCACGCCATCTTAAGTACCTTGACCAGGCCCTGGAGCTACCAGCTACCTTACCCCCCTAGACTACCCTAATCTCACACCTCACACCCCCCCAGTGCCCGCCATCGGAAACTATTGAGTAACAGCTTGCTGTGCTGTGCTCTTCACTTACACGATGTGTCGGCGACCGCTTGTTTGTTCTCTCGTCACCGTCTCTTGTATAAAACCCTCTTCTCCCCATACCAGTCCTCTCCTCTTTTAACCATATCACTCAACTTCATCATCGTCTGGTCTACATATCCATCTTCCACCGCATCATCAACTCATCCTCTTCTGCATCCTCCCTCTATTCATCTCCCTCCACATCGTCTTCCACCTTGCACCATTTTCTTCACCTTCCTCTCCCACTTATAATATAATCCTCCTCTCACACAATGCCTGGCCTCGCTCTCGACACATCTAACCTTTCTGGCAGCCAACCAGCCACCATGCCAACATCAGTAAACAAGGTCCTGGCCGATGTCGCCTCGCAAGAGTCGAGCCGCCTGCCCTCTCCTCAGCCCACCCACATGTCTTCCCACAACAGCAATGGCCACCGCAAGCTTCGCTCGGCCACCGTTGGCTATGTCGCCCCCGAGTTTGCTGGCAAGGTCGAGCAGATGAAGACTGGTATGTTGTACCAATACACAGCTGTCAACCCCCCACCAACTGACATCAATTCCCCAAGTCCGCAAGATCATCTCCGACAATGGCTGGATCCCCGAGGCCCTCATCGAAGAGCAGACTCGCTGGTTCTACGAACAGCTCGGCATCGATGATGTCTACTTCCGCATTGAGACCCCCGACGTCATCGCTAACCAAATCACTTCCCTCTACGCCGCCAAGGTCGCCGCCAACTCCCGCGAGGACAAGCGCGAGGAGATCCGCCTCGACATGGAGGCCGAGGACCACGCCATCTACATCGACACCAGTGAGCCTGGTCAGTCCAATGTCTTTGGTCCTCGTTATGAGGGCCGCCTTGAGGCCAAGTACCTCGACCACTCCGAGAGGACCAAGTACCGCGTCGAGACCTTCCGTTCACCTGCTGTCATCGGCGCCAGCCCCAACTCCAAGGCTACCCTCCGTTGCTACTTTGTATACAAGTGTGACTTCAAGCAGAGCGTTGAGAATACCGATCCTAAGGAGACAAACCTCGAGCTCATCTCCGACCACGGCTTCTGGCAAAAGGCCACCGAAAACACCAAGCAGATCTACCAAGAAATCATCGAGCTCGCCGTCGCCCGTACCGGCCCCGTCATCGAAATCTTCGACATTGAGGACTCGGTCGAGAAGCGTCTCGTCGTCGCCTTCCGCACTCGCACTGCCCGCGGCATGTTCTCCTCCCTCTCCGATCTCTACCACTACTATGGCGTCACCTCCTCCCGCAAGTATGTCGAGCAGTTCTCCAACGGTATTTCCGTCATGTCCATCTACCTGCGTCCCGCCTCTACCGAGCACGGTTACTTCCCCCCCATGGAGGAGTCTATTCACCAAATCACTAAGGAAATCTCCCTGCTCTACTGCCTTCCCCAGAACAAGTTCCACAACCTGTTCGCCACTGGCGAGCTGAGCCTTCAGGAGGCCGTCTACGCTCACTCCACCTGGGTCTTCGTGCAGCACTTCCTTAACCGTCTCGGCCCCGAGTACGTCTCCCTTTCGGAGATTATCGATCACAACGACAGCGCCCAGGCTGCCCTTCTCTCCAAGCTCAAGCGCCGTCTCCGTACCGAGACCTTTACCCCCGACTACATCTATGAGATTATCCAGTCCTACCCCGAGCTTGTCCGCTCCCTGTATGCCTCCTTCGCCAATGTCCACCTGAGCGTTGGTCCCGACTACGACCGCGCGTACCTTGCCCCCACCCCCAAGGTTGAGGTTCTTTCGGACGAGAAGCTCAAGGACAAGATCTCCAAGACTGTAGCTAACGAGCACGACGAGATGGTCATGACAGCTTTCCGCGTCTTCAACAATGCTATCCTCAAGACCAACTACTTCACTCCTACCAAGGTCGCCCTCAGCTTCCGTCTCGATCCCTCTTTCCTCCCCATGGCTGAGTACCCCCGCCGTCTCTACGGCATGTTCCTCGTCATCGGTGCCGAGTCGCGTGGTTTCCACCTGCGCTTCCGTGACATTTCTCGCGGTGGTATCCGCATCGTCAAGTCCAGAAGCAAGGAAGCCTACGGCATCAATGTCCGCAACCTCTTTGATGAGAACTACGGTCTTGCCAGCACACAGCAGCGCAAGAACAAGGATATCCCTGAGGGCGGTTCCAAGGGTGTCATCCTCCTCGACCCCAAGCAGCAGGACCGTGCCCAGGAGGCCTTTGAGAAGTACATTGACTCTATCCTTGATCTCCTCCTTCCTGCCGAGACACCCGGTATCAAGAATCCCGTGGTGGATCTGTACGGCAAACAGGAGATCCTCTTCATGGGTCCTGATGAGAACACTGCCAACCTTGTCGACTGGGCTACTGAGCACGCCCGCATTCGCGGCGCCCCTTGGTGGAAGTCGTTCTTCACTGGCAAGTCCCAGAAGCTAGGTGGTATCCCCCACGACAAGTACGGTATGACTACCCTGTCTGTCCGCGAGTACGTCAAGGGCATCTACCGCAAGCTGAACCTCGACCCTGCTACTGTCCGCAAGATGCAGACCGGTGGTCCCGACGGTGACCTGGGCAGCAACGAGATTCTTCTCGGCAACGAGAAGTGGACCGCCATTGTCGACGGTTCCGGTGTCCTGGCTGACCCCAACGGTCTCGACAAGGACGAGCTCGTTCGCCTCGCGAAGAAGCGTGCCATGATCAGCGAGTACGACTTGTCCAAGCTGTCCAAGGACGGTTACCGTGTTCTGTGCGAGGACAACAACGTGACCCTCCCCAACGGCGAAGTCATCTCCAACGGTACCTCGTTCCGCAACACGTACCACCTCCGCGACACTGGCATGACTGATGCCTTTGTTCCGTGCGGTGGCCGTCCTGAGTCCATCGATCTTATCTCGGTTAACCGCCTGATCAAGGATGGAAAGGCCGTTATTCCCTACATTGTTGAAGGTGCCAACTTGTTCATCACCCAGGATGCTAAGCTCCGCCTGGAGGCTGCCGGCTGCATCCTCTACAAGGATGCGTCTGCCAACAAGGGTGGTGTGACGTCGTCGTCGCTCGAGGTTCTGGCTTCGCTGTCGTTTGATGACGCCGGGTTCATCGAGAACATGTGCGTCGACGCTAAGACTGGCGAGGCTCCTCAGTTCTACAATGACTACGTTCGCTCGGTGCAGGCCAAGATCCAGGAGAATGCTCGTCTCGAGTTCGAGGCCATCTGGCGGGAGCACGAGAAGACTGGCGAGCCCCGCTCGATCCTGTCTGACAAGCTGTCGATTGCCATTACCGACCTCGACGAGAAGCTCCAGCAGTCGGACCTGTGGTCCAACACGGAGATCCGTCATGGTATCCTGAAGGACGCTCTGCCCAAGCTTTTGCTGGACAAGATTGGTCTCGAGACGATTATCGAGCGTGTCCCGGAGAGCTACCTGCGCAGCATCTTTGGTAGCTACCTGGCGTCTCGTTTCGTGTACGAGTTTGGCGCGGAGCCCAGCCAGTTTGCTTTCTTCGACTTTATGTCGAAGCGCATGGCGGCTATCGGCGACGGCGAGGTCAACGGCAACGGCACCGAGCGCCTGCGCCGGGCTTCCATCAGCAAGCACTAGATGGGCTAAGCGGGCTGAGTGGGCGAAAAGCGTATGCATTGGCTGCTGAAATGCGGTTTGATTTGAGCATTGTTTTTTCTTTATTTTCGGGAATCAAGCATTGGCAAGCATGGCCTGGTGTACCATTGCTTCACATTTACAGATATATGTGTGAAAAAAAAAAAGAAGCGGATAAGATTGGCTTTGCTGCATGAGAAGTACAGAGTCGTAACAGAGTTGTCATATGGAATTGATCTAAGGGCTGGGAAAAGCTTTGCGAGTGAAAAGAGACAAAAAAAGGAATAAAGGATTGAAAATGGAGGCATAGATGCCCAAGTGCTGGGAGATATGGCTCCTCAAATACTAGTAGTTTTTGATGCATGATTTATTTATATATTAATTAGACTGAATGTCAACCTCAATTACAGAGTTCGCTTTTAAAAGTCATATCTAAGTACTTGTAGTGTACACACAATTCTAGGTAGTAAGTAGGTAGGCATTTAATAAGACTAGACGTACGAATTAGGGGAGAAATAAAGAAGATAGGAGAGACATGAAAGATATAACAGACAAGAAAGATGGGAAAGATAGGAGATATGAGAAAGATCAGAAAGATCAGAAAGATAGAAACGATAAGAAAGACGAAGAAAAAAAAATAGAAGGAAATTCCAGCGCGAGACACGACTTTTAAAGCGACATCCGTATATTGAGCAGCTTGAACTTTTAATTGGCGAGTGTTCATGCGGTCGTAGTATGTGCGTCAATTCAACAAGACGGCTGAAACTGTCTCGGCACCTCCAGCGCTAGTTATCGTCTTCCGAGGCTTACTTAATAGGACTTGTCGCGATCGAGGAAGGTATCCCGGCTTTCCCTCACTTTGATAACCAGCGCGGAGCATGTGATACATGCCTTCTCTCCACAGAACTGGGACCGAATGGACTCGGTGCCAAATATGTCTGATTATTTTCACCGAACAGGGCAGCCCCGCGAAGTGAAGAAGGCTCGTTTGCGCGCGGTAAGCGCAACGACGCACATGATTGCTCACGAATCGACAGGGGACGGGCTGTTGAAAACCCCGGAGTTTGACTTAATTGATGCATTATAGCATATCCGGACTTGCTCATTGGACCGGACACTTTTGATCATGCGATATATATAGTGCGTGGCGCGAAACCCGCCAGTGTCGATACGCATACAGCCTCGTCTCCATAGGGTGCATCGTAAGCCGAAGGTCTCGTGCATTCAACCTCGCCCACCGGCATTTGCCTGAAATGGCGGCATTATGCGCGGAATCCACATCTGTCTTGTGACAGAGACTGATGGACGTTTGTGTAAGAAACCTTTTTTTGCAGAGAACGGCGCTGTTGCTTTACAGGTCATGCCGACGACTGGGACCGGTTTAGGCCAATACGGCCTCGTGAATGGGCCATTGCCACTTTCAGGCCTCGCCGTCTGCTTTCTCCATCGTCACAGCCCAGGATCCATAGAAACCCGAGGCAGGTCGAGGCGAGGCGAGGCGGACTTGCGGGATGTCTTTGTCCACTCGGCCGGGCGCTTATTGTTAGTTACGCTACGGACCACACATTGTTTGCTTTCCGTATGGGTCTCGCGCCCTCGGAGACTCGTCACGATGGGTGTAAACAGGCAAAAAAGCATCCACATGACGGCCGCGGACCCCATAAGGCCATTGTCGTTGGGAGAGAGACAATGTAAGCAGTTCCGCGGTGAGCCTGGAGGGGGAGGAAGCCAGCCCCCAAACTGCGAGACCTCGGGCTTTGTCTTGCACTTGTGTGTGATGGACAGCAATCCAGACTTTGTAAATACGCCGAGTCATCCTATACTGCAAGACAGTGTTTCAACGCTCGCCATGTATGTTTCATGCCACTCGTTCCGCGTTTGATACATCATGACTCCCAAGGATAGCCATCGTCGCGGCAAGGACGGACGACGTCTATCTGCTTCGTCTTATTCTTCTTGCACAGACGGACCGGCCGGCATGCAACACGACCAGGCGAGAAGCACAGCGTCGCCGCCGTTCCCGCGGCTCTCCAAGCCATTGGACCGCCTGCGGCCGTCGTACGACTGCGTCGTGATCGGGTCCGGGTATGGCGGCGGCGTCGCGGCGGCGCGCATGGCCCGCGCCGGGCAGTCCGTCTGCGTCCTCGAGAGGGGACGGGAGAGGTGGCCGGGGGAGTACCCGCGGAGCGACAGCGTGCGGCAGGTGGCGAGAGAGCTGCACGTTTCCCGGGGGAGGACCGGAAAGGCCTGCGGGAAGGCGACGGGGATGTATCACGTTATTGCGGGCAAGGGCCAGAGCGCCGTCGTTTGCAATGGTGAGTGAGACTTGGCGATGCCCACGCCGCGTTGCCATCTTGGACTTGAAGAAAAACTTACATGGGGGGGGGGGGGGGGCTTTCTCGAGGCGGACGAGCCAACCTTGTCCTCGGAACTATGGCCGTCCGAGATCCGGCAAGACCCGGCCTGCTTGTCAAAATGCATGTATTCCGCCGTTCCTCTCTGTCTGCCTTCCTTTCTCATCCTTCCCTTTCCTTTTCCGTGCCAGAGCTAACACGTCTCCGTTGCGCACGACTTAGACTATCAACGAGTCAGAGAGGTGTTGGAGCCCGAGCCGTACCCGGACGACTGGCCGACGCCCGACAAGACGGCCCGTCTCGAGCGGCAAGCCCGCGCCCTCGGCCTGGCCGACCGTTTCCGCCGGGTCCCGCAGACGACGCGCTTCCGCGCCGGCCGCAGCTCTGCCGGCGTGCCCATGGAGGTGTCCACGCTGGCCGGTCAGGACGCGACGGGCGTCAACGACGGGTCCAAGACGACGACGCTGGTGACGTACCTGGCGGACGCCCGGCGCCGGGGAGCGGACGTGTTTTGCGGGTGCGAGGTCCAGCACGTCGAGAAGGCGCCCAGCGGCGGCGGCGGCGGCGGCGGCTACGTCGTCTGGTTTACCGCGCACGACGGGGCGCGGGCCAGGTTTCGCAAGGGCAAGAACTCGGGGTTGATGTGGGTGCACGCGAAGAAGGCGGTGTTTCTCGGGGCTGGGGCGCTGGGCACGACGGAGATTTTGCTGAGGAGCAAGGCGATGGGCCTGGCTGTGAGTGACTCGGTCGGGCAGGGCATGAGCGGGAATGGTGACATGGTGGCGTTTGGGTGCGTTGACCCGGACTTGCACAGTTTACACTTGGTGGGCACTAATCTGATTTGCACGGATTATAGATGCTATCCCAGCCATGGAGCGAATGCTAGGAGGAGCCCGAAGAAGACATTCACGAACCGACCGGGGCCGACCATCACATCGGCCATCGACATGCGTGACAAGGCTGGTAATCCACTCGACGGATACATCATCCAAGACGGAGACGTCCCGCATGTGATGTCGGCATTTGTCAAGACCGTGGTCTGCACCCATGCAACGCTTTCATCATTGTCGAAACGGTCGATTCGGCAAAAGATGAAATGGGCCCTTTCAAGATGCAAGAAGAGACTGCTACATCCATTCTCTCCCATAGGCACCACCAAGGACAACATCCAAGTGTTCTTGATCATGTCTCATGACAGTCAGTTATCATTCCAATGAGAGAGGTCAACTGCTCACCATGCAACAGGCAGCCAGGCGGCAGCTCGGCTGGTTGACGATGAGCTCGTCTTTGAGTTTCTCGGGGCCGGCCAGGATGAGGAACGGATCGAGCGAATACTGGCACCGCTCAGGGAAGCGGTCGAGGAAGATGGCGGCACGCTGGTCTACAATCCATTGCGCCGACTCTGGGGCAACCACCAAATCACCGTTCATCCTCTTGGGTGAGTCCCAATCTTGTTCTTCTCAGCACCCAGAACCGCTGCTAATCTCTGTGTCTAGCGGTGCTGGCATGTCCACGGACAACAGCGGCAAGAGTGGCGTCACGAACCACCTAGGGGAAGTCTTTGTCGGTCCTTCGTCCGAGACGCATCCTGGTCTGATTGTTGTCGATGGCGCGGCAGTTCCGGCTGCGCTGGGGGTGAACCCGAGCGCCACGATTGCCGCGCTTGCTGAGAGATCCGTTGCTGAATTTGCTGAGAGAGAGTCGCTGGCAATTTCTACCGAGCCAAACGGCAGCATCGACCCTGACGAGTTCCTTCCTGCCCACCGACTTGGCCCAGAGCCAATTCAACCCAGTACCCAGACCGTCAAAGAACCTGCCGATACCATCTCCTTTACGGAAGCTTTGGAGGGCTACCTTCATGGCAGCAGGACTCTCGAGTTGCGCAACAATACATCATACAAACGGGCATATCGTGTGGCAAGCGGTGGAGGAGAAGTAGCACGGCTATTGGTGAGCATTCAGCTTAAGCGGACTTCCACAGGAGACTCGGAAACCTGCTACAAAGGCACCATGTCTGGTATGCTGGTGTGTCCCACCATCACAGGCTCGCCATTCATGGTCCATGGTGGCACCGTGGAGTTGTTCCGGCCGGACCCGGAGACATGCGGGACGAGAAAGATCGTCTACGACTCTCCCATGACGGGGATTAATGGACGGGAGCTACAATTTCACGGGTTCAAGATCCTCGACTCATCTGTCTCGTTCAATCCCAGGCGGTTATGGCGGACCATGACCAACCTGAACGTAACCATTGTCGAGAAGGGCAAAATGACAGACAGCGGAGAGCCCCAGACAGTGGCCGCGGGCATGTTGAAAATAAAGCCTGCCAAGTTCCTAAAGCAACTACGCACCATTACCTCAACGGGACAAGGCCGAGCGGAGAGGTACAAGCAGGCACTGAAGCTGTCGTCACACTTCGCCCGCCAAATGGCGCCGCACTTCTTCCTGCCGCTGGGACCGCTCGAGCGCCCCATCCCGCCGCCACCAGTCGGCTTCCCGAACCCGACGGAGCCTACCGCCACCTACCGGATCGTCGCCTCCGACGGCGTGGCCACCAAGATGCTCATGTGGGAGCCGGATCGCCGCCTTGTCCGCCGAGACGTCTTCGGCAGCCCCCTGCCCGTCGAGGACCTCTTCCTGATCCCCGGCGCCGCCGTCGACCACCGCATCTTCGCCCTGCCCACCCTACCCACCAACGCCGTCACATTCTTCACGCGCGCCGGCTACCGCGTCTTCGTCGTCGTGCACCGCATCGGCATCCTCGAGACCACCGACGCCAGCCGCTGGACCACCTACGACGCCCGGCTGGATATCCGCGCCGGCCTGGAGAAGCTGCGGGCGGTCCGGGGTGATGGGCAGAAGGTGTACGTGGTGGCGCACTGTATGGGCTCGGTGGCGTTGGCGTGCGGTTTGCTGGACGGCACGGTGCCGGCGGGTTGGGTGCGCGGGCTCACATGCAGCCAGGTCTTCATGCATCCCGTCTGGAGCGCGCGCAACGCCCGCAAGGCGCGCTTCCCCGTGCCTCTGGACCAGCTCTACAACGCGCTCTTCGGCCCGTGGTTCCCCTGCCGCTCCGACGGAGGCGGGTTCCGGCAGGCGCTGCTGGACCAGCTGCCGCTCCGGTTGGTCTCTGGAGAGGAGCGGTGCGCGAGCGCGAGCTGTCACCGCGCGACGTTCCTGTTCGGGCGGTGCTGGAGCCACGGCAACCTGGACGAGGCGACGCACCGGCACGTGGACGCGTGGTTCAACGGCGCGGGGACGGCGCTGATGGGGCTGCTGATGCGGATGGGCCGCCGGGGGCGGGTGGCGGCCAACGACGGGCGGGATCTAACGACGGAGGACAACGTGGAGAGGTTGCGCGGGATCCCGGTGATGCTGTTCTCGGGGGGTGAGTCGGACGTGCTCTCGCCGGAGGCGACGGAGAGGACGTACGAGCGGCTGAGCGGCAGGTTCGGGCTGGACGCGGGGACGGGGCGCGGGAGGCTGGAGTACAGGAGGAGGGTGGTGGAGGGGTACGGGCACTTGGACTGCTGGATGGGACGGTATGCGTGGAGGGATGTGTATCCGATGGTGTTGGATGAGGTTGATAGGGTCGTGAGGGCGGACGATGTAGAGAATGGCTTTTTATAGGCTACTGGGGGAAACGGGGTACTATAGAGTTGTTGCGAGAAAAGGAAGTGCTATAGAGTTGTTATGAAAGTATATAGTATCTCATTGATGCCTTAGTATTAGATCTACCTGGCATGCTGATCCAGTTCCAAGTGTGTTGTGAAACGGAGTGGCAGGAAAGGTTCGAAGAGTACGGAAGGATGAAGGCAGAAGCAGCGACGACATCTGTCAAATTGGTAGAGAGGTGGATAACTAAGCTGTCTATATCGGGAGTGTGTAAGACGGTCCGTGGATGAGAAGACGCGCATCGTGGGCGCGGGATTGGGTTCGGGGGTAAGCAGGTGTAGATCCTGTGGTAAGCAGCCAACCGTCGGGGTGCCCGAGGCTGATTGGGAGAGCGGGGGAAGAACGACTCGGTACTCGTTTTCTTTTTCTCCCCTTTTGCTTCCTTCATGCGTCCTGCTTCTATTTCTCATGCGCCTTTCGTGAGGTGAGGCGGCATTGTCCGGTACGTGCATGCCGCCCCCGGTTACGGAGGTCAGGGTTGGACAAGACACGGGAGACTGGGAGGACACGACGCGGCTCTGCATCAGCGTACGAGAGGGGGAGGGATCGGGTACGAGGGGGGCACGCAGCTCGAGTTTTCCCGTTTGTGCGCTGCCGGGGATTGGGATGATGGGATTGACGAGGTGACAGGCGGTGACAAGTAACTAGCTGTGGCGGACAATTCTCGGGTGTACAATCGTTTACCAAGTGCAATTCATTTGGGGGAAGGGGGTGTTGCCTTTTTTCATTCTTGTTTTCAAATTTGGTCTGTCACTTGGTTGTGTTGGATTGGCTGGAAACGAGGCCAGTGACATTCGCTTCGTGGACGGACGGCCCCGTGCAGGTCGTCGAGGCGCCAGCCATCATGGGCGATCGACGCGACAAAGTGAGACTAGCACTAGCCGAGGAACAGGGGGGGTTCCTTTTGCGACGATCTACGTTTTCCTGAATTTTTTTTGCCTGCGGTCTCCCGGATGCAAATGTCCACGTACAGATACCGGTAGATTGTCGACGGGGTTGACTCGACAGGGCGCGATCCCGACGGGCAGCTGAAGAAATGGACGGCCAGTGAAGAGCGAGGACTCGGGATTGTGGCATGGTGAGAGGATGGCGATACAGATTAGGTGGTGGTACTGATGTGATTGTTGATGTGATGAGGCTTAACTATAGCTTAGCTAGTTGGAGCGAAGCGTGAGATGCGAGTGGTTGCTTGATTGAGAGCGTGACGACGGGAGGGCGGCTAAGGTGATGTTGGATGAAGAAAGGGAATGAACGAGGCTTGGCGATTAGATTTATGGACATGTTTGGTTATGAAGATTCCTGACACGTACTGTAGGTTGGATGAAACCCGTCTTGGTTGTAGAAGGGGGAGGTCACGGGCCGAGGGGGGCTAGTAATAAAGGAACAAGGAACAAGGAACCAGGCACAGCACAGCCCAGCGACAGCTCGGTGTTGGCGAGTAGTTATTACCTGTCGTGTAATGCGTGCATCGTACCATGATCATGACCATGACCATGTCGATGCTGCTTGGTATCACTGCATTCTGGTGGGCATCTGGTGGGCGGGCTGATGGTACAGCCAGCGATACGTGGCCATGATGCGCATACCAACTACCCATGCTGCGGCTGCAGCTCAGAAGAAAACGTGAAGATGAAATAGAATAAATAAAAATAGTGCATAAATCAAGCTGACACAGCTCAGCAAACACGGCGCAGGTCCCCCAGGACGGTACGGAGCACTTGCACATCATCCTCGTTATACTAAACTTACTCGGGCACCCAGGGTATCTATTGTGTATGCCCATCAGTGGAAAAACGTCAGCAGGAAATACTCAGCAGAATCCCCCATCCATACCTATGTACCCGTTGCATGCATTTTCGTTCAGTCTCATTGCCGTTTGTCCGTCTGCTTCTCCCCCACACCACACCAAAACTCACCAGCCTACCTATGTATGCATGCATGTATGTATGTATGTATGTATGTACAGCTTATAATTTAGTTAGGGGATCAACGGCCGCTAAAAACTCCACCACCAGTACCATTACCAAGTTATCCGTGCTGATAGCAGTTCAGACAGACACACAACGCGGGAAATATTCCAGGGGCCAGCCAAAGCCCTCTTGCTCCATCCATCTCTCTCACTCACCTTGTCCCTCTGTCTGTCTGTCCCTCTGCCTCCCTTGTCTGGTGCAACGGCCGGCTGCCCTTGTCGCGCAGCATTCTTGTTTTTTTTTTTTCTCTTCTTCTCGTCTCCAGGCTCAAATCAAGCCTCATCCCCGACGACACCAACCACGGGCTGGTCACAATTTAGCTTCACGCCGCCGCCGCCTGGGCCACCCACCACCCAACTATCCATCACCTTCTCAACCGCCCTTGCTCGACTTGCTCGAACCCGTCCGTGTCAGATAACTCATCATCTCGGTCTTCCGTGACCATGACCCGGCCATCCATCATTAGAGCCGGTACGCTGCAACTTTAACCCCTGCCCGCCCTTCCCATCGTCCCTCTCCGCTGCCAGTGCCAACCACCCCCTACAATTTACCCCCTTATCCCTGTCGCTCGCCACCAACACCACCTCCCAGCACAGTCAGGCCAGGCCTCTTGCTGGTCTGCGCTTTCTCCGTCTTCCTTTTTCCCTGTCATTACGTTTTCTTCTTCGCCTTCTCGTCGCCTTCACGTCGCCTTCTCTTCTTCCCGTCTGCGCGGCTCTCTCACATCCCCTCTCCCCTCTCTGCTTGCTCAATTGCGCCTCTGCTGCGTGTGTCTCTCCTCTCCTGCATTCTTCCCGCTACCCGGACTCCGCGCGACAGCTGGGCCGCTCCGCCTCCGCTGCATTCCAGCCAGCCTGTTTGACGTGCATTGACACCCAACCCGCGGCTTCTGCTTGTCTCGCGCGCGCCTTTACTGCTGCTGCTAGACCCTCCGTCGCGGTGCCCAAAAAGTGCATATTCGAGACCGGCCAGCGCCGACGGAAAGGAGCTCTGCATTGCGGCGCAATTGAGAGAACGAGAGAGAGAGAGAGAGCGACAGAGACAGACCATTCCACACACAGACAGAGACGGAATCAATCACCCTGCCCGCACTCCGCCACACAACCTTGCCCGAGAACTCCCAACTGACCTCGTCGACGCTCTTCCCCTCCCTCGGTAGATACCATCGACTTGCAGCATCAACACGCCCCCTCGACGCAGGACCAGTCCCATCCGCGATCAGACTCAGACGACACCCACCACCATCGCGCGCCTCACCAAGCAGAAACACTGCGCGACGTCGCCCACGAAACTGCCCAAGAGCTCCTGCGCAGCCCCTTCATACAGCCCGTCGCTGCCAGCCCTCCACCCGACTCGCGCCAGCAGACGCATAAATCTGCCCCTGCCACCAGTCAGCCTGCTGACCTCGACGTCGCCGACTCCGACTCCGAAGCCCAACATCCCGACGCACGAGCTGCCGATCTCACCGACGCCCTCACCATGGACTCCTACCGCCAACACGATGACGACGCCATTGCCGCCGCTCATAATGGCACCTCCTCCTCCGACGAAGAGGACATCCACGGTGATTCCATCGACGACCTCGACGACGACCTGATGGACAAGATATCGAGCTCCCCCTCGATCGAAGATGGTGTGTATAATTCATCTCCAACTCCCTCCAGCAGCGCGAGACCCCACGACTGGCCTCGCCGCGTCTCTTCCCTCCCCACAACCTCGAGATTCCGTCGTCAAGCGGCTGCACGGTTCTTTAGTTCACAATTGCAGTCTTCCCCCATTTCTCAGCAGCCTCGCCATCTTCTTCTTTCCCGGTCCGACGGCCCTGTCCACGCCAATCATGTAGAGTCAACGCGAGACACCGCTCCGGAGCCCGCCATTGGCGCCAGCCCGGAATCAATAAAACACGGACCCGAGACTATCCAGCTCCACCAGGAAGCTTCGAGTACCGAAAAAGAGTCTTGCCCATCAGCCGCGCAGCAAAACGTCGCCTTGGATTAGGTATCCTCTCGGTCAACGCTGGCTATCACAACCCAACCCGAGCTTCCAGCCAGCTCACCTGAATCCGTAGCAGCAAGCAAACCCATCCACAAGCCTGCCACTGCCATCGAAAACACCAGCTCGTCCAGCTTCGATCCAGTTCCGAAGCCGCCCTCGGACCCAAGCCAAGAAGAAGATGACGCTCCTGCTGATGATACTATCCCCGTCACCCCGTTTGAACAAGCATTCAGTGACTTTAGCTCGGACGAAAGCTTACATGACTCAGAGGACATCGATTTCGAGTTTGTCTACGCGCTTCACACCTTTGTCGCCACTGTCGAGGGTCAAGCAAACGCTACCAAGGGTGACACCATGGTTCTGCTTGACGACAGCAACAGCTACTGGTGGCTCGTCCGCGTCGTCAAGGACAGCAGCATTGGCTATCTTCCCGCGGAGCACATCGAGACTCCCACAGAGCGACTCGCCCGCTTAAACAAGCACAGGAACATTGACGTAAGTTCGATTTCTCCATCCTTGGCCCACCATGCTCGCTGGCCTCGACTAACCCACCCAGCTCTCTGCAACCATGCTGGGAGACCAAGCCGTCAAGCAAAAGACCTCCTTCAAAGGCATCCGCCGTAAGCGCAAGACAGTCGCCTTTGCGGAGCCCACCTATGTTGATTACTCCGACTTTGACTACTCCACCGAGGAAGAGGATATCGACGAGCTTTTTGGCACGCAACCACGATCAGCCAGAGAACAAGCTGCCCAATCTGTGCAACAGGAGAGCCAAGAAGCATCCGAAGAAGCTCGTGTGGAACCGCTCCGTACCAAGGACTCAAAGAGTGAAGAAGCTCAGGACGCAAAAGCCACCAACGGCGAAAAGGCCTCCAAGGACGGTGGCGTCGAAAAGGACGACTCTGGCCGGCTTGGAAACGACGGAGATGACGATACCAGCTCCGTTGAGGAAATCATCGAGGAGACGGCAAGTGTTAGCCGATCTAAGAACGGCACCGTGCGCAACACGGATTCCTTCTTCAACGATGAGGAGACCAAAAAGATTACCCTCACCCCCAATCTGCTACGCGATGGTGATGCCGCTGCCGCTAGACCTTCAACCGACTCCGCAGGCAAAGACTCGGCCAAGGGCCGATCCAGCCTCGAGAAGATGGAAAAGGAGCTGGTCTCGGACAAGGAGAGGAAGAAGAGCAAGGACAAGAAGCCAAGCGCCATTCGTAGCTTTTTCTCTAGAAAGGACAAGAAGAAGTCGGAAGACGACGACGAATCGTTTGGCAAGCGCTCTATGGACATTATCGAGGCCGACGATCGGGACGACACTGGCTCTCCTGACAAGTCTCAGCGCATCGGCAAGCTACACAAAGCCCAGCCTCGCCTCGAGCCGCAGCCTCAGGCTGGCCGCAAACTCTCCACCTCGCAAACACAAAAGTCTACGGTCGAACTTTCGTCCTACCTCAACGAGACGCGCACAAACGACGTCTCCTCCGTACCGCCCGCTTCCATGCGCATTGTCGACCCCGAGACACAAGAAACGCGCAGCGTATCATCCAACCAGCTGCAGCAATCCCCCGAGTCTGCACCCAGTCGCTCAGTGTCGTCAAGCAGCCGCAGCGACAAGGCATCCGCTGCCCTGTCCAAGATCATCCCCCATCGCAGCCCCAGCACCGGCGCCGATCCGAAGCCACAAAAGACGAAGAAGGCCAAGACGAGAATGGAACTGGATGCCTCCGACAGCCCTGAGGAGGTGGAGCAGCAGGAAGAGGTGACTGCATCGCCGACTCAACCACGCACCGTTGCTGCTGCGACAGTCGGTGCCACTTCTGCTGCGGCTGGTGTTGTTGGCGCTGCCGTTGCCGCTTCCAAATCTCAAGGCTCACCGTCACCCTCTTCGCCAGTCATGTCCAGAGATGGGACCGCTACGCCCCAGACGAGCGCCGGCCAAACTGAACATTTGACGCAAGCCGGCTCGCCCGGTAACATCTCGAGCCCACCGGGCCTGGTGCCCGACACGTCGTCCGCGGAGGACCGTTCGCCCAACGCCTCGCCATCACCCGAACTCATCTCCAACAAGGGCGGCAGCGCTGCCAGCAGCCGCAAGGAGGCGACGTGGGACGACGTCAAACTGCGGGCGTTCTTCGATGAGGGCGATCACGTCCGCGACCTGCTCGCCGTCGTGTACGACAAGTCGGACGCGGAGCCCGTCGGCGCCGACCACCCGGCCGTGAGCGGCCTGTTCAGGGAGCAGAACGCCAAGCTGGCCGAGATAACAACACAGCTGGACAATTTGCTGGGAGACTGGCTGGCGCGGAAGCAGCGCCTGCGAGGATCCGCCTAGGACGGTCTCGTCAGTTCTTCTCTCTCTGTTCTTTTTCCTTACAATACCCCCCACATGCATTATTGGCATGGCATGGCATGGCATGGCTTCGGCCTCTGTTGTAACGATTGATGAACTCTTTTTTTTTTCTTTTTCACTTTATTCCCCGGTGCGCTGGCCCCCGCGAGTCTCACGAACCCAGACTTGAGCCGCATCAAGGGATGTATAAAACACCTTTGACACTTCTTCCAATTTTTTCTTTTTCATGAGACAGCGCTCTGGATGACCGCGTTGAGTCTTTCTTTCGTTAACTTCTTTTTCAACTTTTTTTTCTCCCATTGTCGGGTCGGTTTGGTTTGGCGTTTGAAACGTGACACGCACTGAGTCGTTGCAGTCGACTCTTTTTCTTATTGACCAGATACTCTCGCTGCAAAATATTCTCTTTCTCCTTCTCTCCTTCTCTCTCTTTTTCTCTTTTCCCGTCCTGTGTTGACTCCATGTTTGAGGGGAGTTTTTAACCATGTTGTGGGCGGTGGGCGCCTGGTTTCTTTTTTTTCTTTGGCTCTGTGCGTATAGAAAAATCGGAAGGAAAAAAACATGTGGCTTCTGATGGATGGATGGACGGATGGACAAGTTGGTTGTATAGTAGGAAAGTCTGCTGAGGATGAGGGGGGAACTTGGTGCATGCATGGAGAAGCAGGAAAGTACAGAGAGGTCTGTCTTAACGTGAACATAGATAGCTATGTCAGACAACTTGTTTTGAAGCTGAGTTGTGAAAGATGCGTGAATACATGTGTGTATGTCCTACTTTGCAAAAACGACGTGAATGGGATTAACTACGTGGCACCAGAGACCGCGTTCTTTCGCTCTACAGTCGACGAGCACCCGCGCGTTACGCACGCGCACGCAATAACGCAAGGCATGCCACGCATTGGCATTGACTGCGGAACAGTTGAGGTGGATTTCGGGCCATGTTTCTTCGTTTGTCCAATCTTTTATCATCGCGGTATGGCCGTGACGGCACGTGCATGTCTAGTTATGGACGGTGTTCATGATGAGAAAGATGGTCATAGTTGGAATAATGTTCATAGTTGGAATAATGTTCATAGTGAGAATGACGTCCATAGGAAGAACGACGGGCATGGCACTGATATCGTAGTACCAGAGATGTCTACTGGAAGTATTGGAATTCACTGCGGGACGGTTCAAGGCGTATTTTGAATCATGTTTTCTTCATTCAATGCATCCGGTCGCTTTGTCCGACCGGCATGGCTGGCGTCCTAGATGCAGCAAAACACAGTCAGTCCACCAGCCCTCGTCCCCCGCTCCATTGGCCTTTGAAGAACAAAAAACCAAATCACGTTGATCTCCCTAGAACACCAAGTTTTCCCAGTGAAAAAAACAAGCCCGATTCTTCTCCTTGGTTTTCAGAACAAAGAATCAGATGCGCCACGCTTGCGTAGCTTCTTCTCTCCTCATCAAGCAAAGAAAGTAAAAAAAACATGTGAAACAAAAGAGAACAAATCTTGATATGTCATTCGCTCTATATCGTTGCCTTTTTTTACTATGTTTTTTTTTCAATGCCTTTTTTTTTGTCGTCCATTCCCCAGGTAACCCAATTACACGCAAAGCAAAAAGTGTTGGCTTTAAACCTCGGTGGTGACCTTGGCCTTGGCGTTGGTGACCTTGACGCCGAGTTGCTTGGCGCGGGCGACGATGTCGATGCGCTTGCGGGAAGAGACGGCGGAGGCGATCTCGGCGGCGTAGGTGCGGTTGTGCATCATGAGGAGCTCGAGGTCCTTGACGTTGTTGACGAGGAACGACTTGTGGCCGGAGGGCATCATGTAGCGGGTCTTCTTGTTGGAGCCGTAACCGATCTGTGTGTCATTGTGTTAGAGGATCCGTCCCTGGGACAGAACATGGTGTGGCTCGACGTACGGAGGGCATGGCAATGCTGCCGCGGAAGCGACGGCGGACGCGGTTGTCGATACCCTTGGGTTTTCTCCAGCTGGCGTCCAGGCACTTGAAGCGATCGGACTGGTGGCGGAAGAAGCGCGTAGTGCCTATAAAACTGCGTTAATGCCGGGCTCTGAAGAATCGTGCGTGCCTGCTTCGTATCGTCGACAATCTTCTCCTGCGATCGGCGGCTATCCCCCTTGTCCAACGTCATAAAACACACGAGACCAATGGTCTAATCGGGGATCGTATCCATGGTTTCATCGGTTCGACGGGTGGTTTCCTTCCAAGTTACCAATCTTTTCGCTTTGTCGCAGGAGAGGTTGATTCGGCAGTTGCACGGGAAATTCCATTCAAATAACGTACGCTTCTTCACGATAGGGACGTGCTTCTTGGCGGCGACCATCTGTAGAAAACAAAGTTAGCATAACCACCTCCCTCTACGGCGCAATTCGATAGCAAGGGCAACAGCATGGATCAATAATTCGGCATGCTGTTCCCTTCTTCCGTGAATCTCTCGGGGAGGATAAATCGTACCTTGACGGTTGTTGTTGTCGGATGGCTGTGAATACTTTACCCGGGCGTAATTGCTGGCGATTTCACACTTTTCGAGGGGCGGCGAAATTTTGGACAAGTCGCTTCGACGGGGCAGGCTCCGCAGCTCTCCCAAGGGTTTAGGGCTGCTCAGTCACGTGTGGACATTCCACGACTGGGAGATTTTGGTGCAAGACCAGGCGAAGGGCCCCCACCCAGCTTAGACTAGCGTGTTTCTGAAGGGCACAAGCCCTTTTTGGAGGAAAAAAATTACCCAGCCGATAACTTGTAGTGCAGTGCAGAGAGACCTCGCTAGCCTGGTGCCCCCCGAACCGCCGCACCAAACCCGCTCTTTTTTTCTCACCTTGTTTCTCGCGACGCCCTCACACCACCTCTCCATTCCTCTCCTTTGCGAAAAACCATCACAAACCGCAAACATGTCGACACAGAGCGTCCAGTGCTTCGGCAAGAAGAAGACGGCCACCGCCGTCGCCCACTGCAAGGTCCGTTTACAGCCAACCGAGTACGACCGGTGCATATATGCGTTATCGTCCCGATTCGAGAAGAGTCTTGCCGTCACGAGAAGTCCGAAGTCTTTTGAACTGTAGAATGGGAAGAGGTGGATTGTGCGCTGGGAGGATTGAGGAAAATTGTGATGGCAGACTGTGACATTGACGGCCGATGGCGCATCGCATTTGGAGAGGGACTCAACATACGAGCAAGAACGCAAAGCTAACGTATTGCAGGCCGGCAAGGGTCTCATCAAGGTTAACGGCCGCCCTCTGCAGCTCGTCCAGCCTGAGGTTCTCCGCTTCAAGGTACGAACCACTCCCGAGTTCCAAACCCCCCTCCTTCGCAAACAGTGGCGTTTCGGTTTCGGCCAGCTGAGAAAAAGACAAAACCTTCCTCGCGAGGGGATGTCGTTTCAACGCGCGCCCAGCCAAACGTCCTCACAACAAGAGAGCCATCCATTCGCAGCAGGCACGCTAACCCGCCTCCCAGGTCTACGAGCCCGTCCTCGTCGTTGGCCTCGACAAGTTCGCCAACATTGACATCCGCGTCCGCGTCACCGGCGGTGGTCACACCTCGCAGGTGTACGCCATCCGTCAGGCCATCGCCAAGGCCCTCGTCGCCTACTACCAGAAGTTCGTCGACGAGCACTCCAAGAACCTGCTCAAGCAGGCCCTCGTCGCCTTTGACCGCACCCTCCTGGTCGCCGACAACCGCCGCTGCGAGCCCAAGAAGTTTGGTGGTCGTGGTGCCCGTGCCCGCTTCCAGAAGTCTTACCGATAAAGGCCTTCGCCCACTATACGGGTGTATGCTGTCCCTTTTTATCTGGTGTTAGCTTCCCTCTTCTCTGTTGTACACTGAGATGGGCTGAAGAATCATGACTTGGAGCGCGGTTTAAAAAAAGAAATGTTTACGGTCGGGAGGGAGTGTGGTCGGGGTCGCGAGCGGCCTTGCTCCTCCTCGGGATCTATGTAGAGTGCAGAGGACAACTTATGAATCCTAGGAGTCTTGTCCAAGTCCCTGGTTCTGGGGAGTACGGTATTTCCCACGGCGCATTTTGCATGGCCTTTGCTAGGTAGATATGTAGTCACTTGGCAGGCAAATGAACAAAACAAATTAAAAATCACCCATGGTCAATGAAGATGAAGTGTGCGTGAATTGAGGTTGTGTTCACGTTGGTCTATCCGTCTCTACCCAGTGTTGTCCTGCCCTGCAAGACTGCACAACGTCCGCTCGTGCCCAAGGGGGCGGGATTACATTCACGTCGCATCACACAAGGCGTTGTTGAGAACGGCGTTATGGCCGCATGTGTACAGAGTGTAGTCACTGGTCTGCCCAGCTTGGGCGTTCAGTCATACTCAGGGAAGGTGGACGGACATGTGCATTGATAAATCAGGGGATAATTATACTGGCATTATGGCTGTATGCGTACAAACAGTCATCATTAAGCCAACCAATTGGACGTTCTGTCATGCTCAAAGGTGCGTGTATCGATAAAAGGGGTATTTCATTCTCGTTCTCGCCATCATTCTCGTTCTCGCCATCATTCTCGTTCTCGCCATCATTCTCGTTCTCGCCATCAACATACAGGTTCATGATTCAGATCAAAACTCCAACGCCAGGAAGGACGTCTAATCATTCCACGAGATCAACCCCTTCTCGCGCCCATGCTCATCCAGCTCAACCACCTCCGGCGCCCACTCGCCCCTCTCGTCCTCCGCCTGCAGCTCATCCATCTCCAGCTCTACCTCCTCCCCGTCCTCCATCACCACCCTCCCCCTACGCACATACTCCGCCCCCAGATCCCAATCCCATCCCTCCCCCGCCACCGCCGCCTCCACCCCCGCAAACGCCATCACCACCTCCATCATCCCTTCCCCCTGCTCCTCCTCCTCCTCCTCCTGCAGCCGCCGCTTGTACACGATCAGCGCCAGGCGCAGCTCCCGCGCCCGCGCCTCGCCTAGCATCTCCCCCAGCGGCACCTCCAGCCTCGTCCCGCCGTGCGCCAGCTGCGCCGCCAGCGCGCGCAGCCACGCGGCTGCGAGGGAAGGCCGGAGCCGCGGGAGCGCGTGCGCGCGGAGGAAGAGCCGCGCGGAGGCGTGGAACCACTGCGCGATGCAGGCGTCGCTGCCGAGGTGCGCGCCGGCGAGGAACGCGAGCTGCATCTCGCCCACGAGGTCCGCCTCCGTGACGTCCCCGTCGAGGGCGGAGAGAAGGTACGAGGTGGCGTCGGTGGCGTCGCGCGTGCGGTCGGCGCCGAGGCGCGCGGCGGAGTACGTCTTGGCGTGCTGGTCTAGAGAGAAGCGCAGCTCGCGGGGAGGCGGCGGCGGCGGCCCCCCGGTGCCTGCGATTTGCCGCTCCATGGCGAGCTCGGCGGCCGATGGCGGCGGCTCGCCGCGGACGCGGTCCGTGGTGCTCATGTGCCAGACGGCGCTCTGCTGGGGTAGCGGTCGCTGCCCGGTCACGCGCGATAGCAGCTCCGCGGTGATGGCGCTCGTCAGCTGGCCCCAGGTGCGCTCGCCGCCCGCCGTCCGCGCCTCGTCCGCGCCACCCGCCGTCGGGTCGTGGTACGGCAAGAGCTTTTCCACGTCTGGGGCGGTGACGGCGTGCAAGTCGTCGGGGCCCGCGTCGACGAGCTGCTCGGCGGCGTCGTCCCAGCGCACGACGGCCTGCCCGCCGTCGCCGCCGCCGCCGGCGATGTCATCGCAGCCGACGGTGAAGACGTGCGGCAGGCCGAGCATCACGACGACATCACCACCGCCGCCGTAGGCACGTGACGCCGGTGCTTCTTCTTCCTGGTCCGAGTCCGGGTCGTCAAGCGAGCCAAGTGGCGGTGGCGCATCGTTGACGTGTTGCTGCGCGGTGGCCACGTGGGAGGAGGTTAATAATGCTCGATGACGCGCAGAGTCCGACGAGGACGATGTGTGGTGAGTCATTGTCGTGTGTTTATGGGGCGCGTGGCCTCGGCATGTTTTGCATACTCCGATACCATGCCCCGTTCGTGACTCTTCGTATTTTCGATTACGTGGTTGGTTAGTTGTCTGTTTTGTTTTCTCGCGAAAATCTCTTTTTTGTAACAAGGAAAAGCAACTAGAACTCGTGACGAGATGGCGATGCGGACCGAAAAAGGTGGGGGATCGCACATGTCTCCACTCGAAGAAAAGTTTGGAGCGAAATGGACGGCAGAAATGGGAATGGTGGGTGATTTGAGTTTCACAGGGATGGAAGCGCGAAGAGCGTGGCAATTAGGAAATTATCAGGCAGCATCGAGATGGTGGCCGGCGTCAAGGGCCATTCGGTTTGGCGGCCCGGCCGGCTGCTACCGAAGCCCTGCAACTCCTTGACTCGCCGCATTTTGGAAGCGCTGGTTGATGCTGGCCAGACGGTGTGCTGCATTGAACCGGATCGTTTATGCTTAAGCCGACCGCCGCCTTTCTCCCGTCGATTTTATCCCATCTCCATTTCTTGATTCATTTTTCTGTCGCATCTCGTTCGCTTTTCTGCTCCCTTTAGGCATCCATCTCTCAACTTCAACCCCGCACCTCCCCCCTGAACGCCACCCTTCCACAAGTCCAGATGACAGCTGTCTTTGTGCAGGCTAGACTTTCGCAATGGGGCTTTGACGTGTGTGAAAGAGGGTCCTGGATGTGTTCTGGAAAGCCCTGGGCTTCTCACGCGACCTTTAAGCTCTGATAGGGGGGTTGGGTTGAAACTTTAGCACTTGTACTGTTGTTGTTGCTTCGCCGTACACTGATTTTCATCAGATGTACCCTGAATTGTGCTCTTGTCGCGTTCTTGTACACTAAAGCGACACCTCTTGAGGAAACTTTTGCTAAATTGCAAGCGTCCGTTAGTGTTGATGCCGGTCGTGAGCCATCGCGCAATGGCGGCGTGTAGTGCAAGTGCCATCGGCGGCTGTCAAAGAGAGCACACCCAGGAGCACACGCCCATCGGCACGTTGGTAGCGCCCGGTGATAGCGCCATATGCGCCGTTTCTTCTTCCAACACGAGTTAACTAGACGCCCATTAGGATGTCGAGGTCCTCGCAATGCATGCCTTGTTTCTCCTGCGCTTGCCGAGGATGGTGCCAGTCCGTCTCTGTGTTAGTCTGTTCAGCTGGCCTGTCTCACTCGTGATTGGCGCCTAGTGATGAAGCTGAAAGGCGATGACACCGCACAGTCTTGTTCCAAGAGATGACCATCTCCGAAAACGCTTCTAGTGTAGGCAGAGATACCCACATGATGTGTGATCAATCTAGACATAAGAGAGAGGCCGTCGCAGGATACTGGCTGATGAGAATCCCGGCCTTCCCTTTCCCAGATCCTGCTCACTGCGTGTTGGGCCAAAATGCTCGCCACGATGAACAAGACCCTCGCCCTCGTCCTGTCTCTGGGCGCCCTGGCTTCTGCCCAGGCACCGATGAAGGTGTACGGATGCTCGGGCCGCAGCTTCACCGGCCACTGCGAGACCTTTACGTGCCCGTTCAACGGGTGCTGCCAGCTGCCCAGCTTCTTCCAGACCAGCCTTGTCTCGGTCAAGTCGGCGGGCTCGTACTCGTTCCGCCTCTTCACCGCTGCGGGATGCAAGTACAGCTGCAACGACAACGACAACGGTAGCCGAAAGGTGGACAGCCAGGGCTGGGGCAATATCGGGGCCGCGGCGTATGCGTGTGTCGACGGTCCTTACTAGGGCACCAAGGTGCGCAAATTGCACTGTCTATTTGTCTTGGATGAGTTCTGATGGATGTGTTTAGTTACCCTGCTATCTGTCGGAGGCGTGTGAGTGACCATGAGTTGGAGAGCGGATCGAGGATTTTGATGACGGAGATCAAGGTCTCACTACAATAGACATGAGAAAGAAATAACTAGTGGCATCGAACTGAATTGAAGAAGCAGGAGTAGTGACGTAAACTAAAAATTTCGTTTATTTTTTCACAACTCTGTATCTTGAAGAAATGCGATTTGCAGGACATCTGTCAGCAGGCGCGGGCCGCGCGGCTGTGTTGTGCACCGGCGGCTACAAATTATTCAGTGCATGCTGCCACAGTCAAGTAGGCACGTCAGTGCATACGTGATGAATAGCAAATGAATTGCACTCCATAAATCTTTCTCTCCTGCGAATACGCCATGTTGAACCTCTGTTCCGCCTACAACTTCCTAATCAGACTGGCGCCGACTAATAGCAGCATTGTCCTCCGCTCCGCATCTTTGTCCAACCCCAAACTAAAAAGGATCGGTGGTGCATGAGCTGATCTTAGTGTTCCCGAGTCTCTAGTGCAGGCACGCCCTCCTTTTTTTTATAAAAAAAAAAAGAAAACAAAAGAGCCAGTAACTAAAGCTATCCCGAACGGCGGAAAAAATCGTCTCTCGGCCGAGACTAAGTTGGCTAGTCTCGTGCGAGGGTGAGGCCAAGGCTGACGCTGGCTACTAAGTTGGTGGTGACTGCTGGTGAACTGGTGGTGAGAAAAAGAAGGGAGGAGGGAGGGGGCGTGGGCGCGAACCAGAATCTCGGGATGGCGCTACGGTAAGTGCATCTCACTGCTGCTGAGCTAGTTCGGGAGCTTTGCCCAAGATGGGTGTGGCAATGTAATTTGGTAGCGGGTTGGTATAAATCTATAATCTGTAAATCTACAAAACCGATCGTCTTTAGCGCAGAGGCACGTCGATAGTTAACTAATGGCCGGGGCGGTGCAAGTCCGACGCGGATGCGGACTTTGAGACAAGGTTAACCGGGCCTGATGACTAGATGCATCAAACTGCGGCATGAAACTGTGCATTGGAAAAGAGCCGCGATGGTGATTACAGGAAACCATGACCAGCCCTCGCTACGTGTATACATATATTACTTGAGGATGCTGGGGGGAAGGCATCGTGGACAAGCACCTCCCGTAACCAACAACCACTATGGCTCGAGCAGACTGTCAAGAAAATGGATAAAACTTCACCTCCAAAATACGACGGAAAACACGGACTGCAAAATCAGACTACAAGTATCCATTGTACCGCCGCCTTGCAAGATAATTCTCAACTGCTAAGCGCCCAGCGCCTTGTAAGCGCGAGACCTCCTCGCTTGAACAAAGTCTGCCAGCATCCTTGCACTGCCGATTTGATCTCGATTAATTTCCTGCCTGGACTTATCAGATATTGGGAAGCTTTTCCCGCCCGTCTCGGACAAAAACAAGAGTCACTGTCTTGACCCGGGACGCACGGTCCCGTCGGTAAATATCACCAACCAACGGGCGTATCTCCGTCGGCCAGTCAGCATCTTTGTAAAAGCGGTAAGGACCAAGACATGGAATACAAGAAGAGAGGTCCCATGCTGGCCCCGGGGATGCGCAATGACCTCTGTGCATTACCCAGAAACAAATTCGGGCATCCGTGCTTTTCGGTGAAGAAATGCGTATCGCACACCTTTGCCTCCCGGCTTCTTTCTTCCGTGCCGTCGCTTGGAATGATAAAAAAGCACGGGCTTTCTTTCTCATCTTGTGCCGCCCCCCCCCCCTGTCAGCAATATACTGGGTAATGTAATAATGTAATAAAGAGAAAATCAAGCATCGATATCACAAAAGCATAAACTCAGCTTGCCGGGATGATCACAAAAGAAAATCCACAGTTTCCCAACAATTTGGTCGGCGTTATGCGCTCTCTGACCGTGCGTTCTCTTTTCGGTGGATGGACACTTTTATTCTTCTGGTGTCTTTGATTCTTGCTACTTGATTTGGGTACGAATTCCGTAGAGAGCGCGGAATTGCAAGCAGCAAGGGGCGGTGCTAGAAAACGCCACACGACCATGGGCGACTCAACGGTGTGCCGCCCTTTACATCCCGTGCCCCCCCATCACCCTTCTACTAAGACACTGACATCCCAAACCCCCGGATCCCTGGTTGCATTTTCCTTGCTCACGCCCTCTCCACCAATCCTTCCCCCCCCCCCCCCTGACATCCCAAACCCCCGGATCCCTGGTTGCATTTTCCTTGCTCACGCCCTCTCCCCCAATCCTTCCCCCCCCCCCCCTACTGAGCGAGAGAGGGTGTGGCTTGCACCGGCAGTGCTTTTGGGCTGCCTCCCCCTTCTCAGCACTTTTTAGCCCAGGGCTGTAGCGTAATGCGGGGAGGGGGGGGACTCGATTGCAAACAAAAAAAAACAAGAGACAAGAGCGAGAGAAAAAAAAAAAAAAACACGAGCGGAACGAGGGCGCGCGCTTGCTGCCCGTCGCATCGGCTTCTCCCTCTGCCGAGAAGGTTGGTGTTGTCTTTAAAGTTGCGGCCTGCATTCTGCTCAAGGGTTGGGAGTGATGATCGAGATTTGTCTTCCGCTCGGTGGTTTATATGATGCCCCGGGTTCTAGACCAGTCGGTCTAAACGCGGCATAATGAGGGCATGAAAGACATTGCTCATGTGTGGCCAAGGCAAGGGCAGAAAAATCGAGAGAACGCGGCAACTTCCACCAACTTACAGATTACAGACCCGACGATCTTCTTTCAGCCTGAA